GAAGAAGATGAAAAGAAAAAAATAAATAAAATAATTGATCAGCTAAAAAACGATATTGCAAAATTGACAAAAGAGTGCTCTTACTGGAAAAAGGAAGCTCATAATTATCATAACAAGCTAAACGTTTTAAATAAAAATTACTTAAAAATTAACGAATTTTTATTTAAAACATTAAATAATGCTAATAATAATTCGATAGGTCCTTGCGATTTGTCCAGTTTTTACAATCCCTTTATCAAATGTGATGAACAAACATCTGAATGGACGAGAGAAGAAACGATGCGGAGGGATCATTCCTTTCGTCCTCAGGGCAAATCGGAGACTCTTCGACAGGGGGAAGAATATTATGACCAAAAAAAAAGTGTAACGAATTTGCCTGACCTCTTCAGGCGAAATGGTAGTGCACACAGGGGTGGCATTGCTAGGGATACTAGCGGTTCTAGGGGTGATGGTTGTAAGAGTCATAATGTCCATGAAGACATGTGCAAAATAAACGAGCCACGTTCACAAGGGGAGGAAGGAAATTTCTATTTAAGAAACCAAAGCACTGCGAATCCTCGTCAAATGAACCAAAAAGAATTCGAAGAAGACAATTCTTCTTACGATAAGTATTGCTCCCTTGGTGCAAAAAAGAAAAAAAACGATGACAAACAATTTATGCGCAATTTACCTGACCAGGAAAAAAAAAGCTATGACCAACAATTTACGCGCAATTTACCTGACCAGGAAAAAAAAAGCTATGACCAACAATTTACGCGCAATTTACCTTACCAGGAAAAAAAAAGCTATGACCAACAATTTACGCGCAATTTACCTGGCCAGGAAAAAAAAAGCTATGACCAACATTTTGCACACAAATCGCCTGAACAAGGGGGGGCGAATTCTCCCAATTTACGGAAACAGGTATCCACAAAGCGTGAACATAGTGGGAAAAATCTCAACACAAAATATGAACAAGTCAGGGAAGGAAAAAGTCAAACTGGCAATACTACAACTTATGAAAAAAAAAATTCCAGCGTTGCATTTAACGATGGAAGCATCGATCGTATCGAGTACAACGCACGTAGTAGTGACCTTTTAAAAAATGAAATTACCCTGGCCAATGTAAACAGTGAACAGCGGAAAGAGCACGACAAGGGTGAACATTCCACTCATATAGGTGGACTCAACTTCTCAGGAAGTGTATCGCAAAAAAAAAGAGGGAACGACAATGAAGTTTGTGAAAACAGACATGGAAGTTATTCAATGCTGTGTGGGCATTCCACCTGCACACGGTCAGGTTGTAATCAACTGGATAACGCAGCAATGCACATTAGAGGAGGGGACTCAGAAGATCGAACCTGTCCATTAGGAAATGGTAATGAGGAAAAGGTGGCAACAGGAGAAATGCAATTCGTAACAAAATGTGACTCGAGGCATGGAAAAAAAATCACCATCGAGTCTCTTTCAGCTAAAATAAAAAACAGAATACTCAAATCGAGAAGTCTGTCCACGGTCAGGTGAAGAAAAAGAAAAGCAATCACAAGGAAGTCCAATAGTGGTGGAAGCAGAAAAGGAAGCTGAAATATTGAGGGGGGGGTAGGGTAGGGTGAAGCAGAAAAATTGGACAAATTGGAAAAATTTATACTCCTTCCCATTTTTATATTGTTGTTGTTTATTCAATGCCACTTTCCATCGAGTTCACTAAAAATGTATTCAGCAGAATAATATTATCAGTTTGTGAAAATTGAGGGGGATTATATATACTGACAATTTTTAACCAGATTCGTTCTCATATTATTCCCTATTCCCAGTTGAAAACACTTCAGTCCCTCCTTCCACCTTCATGCGTTAGAACCTGAGACGTTAGTGGGGTGGAGAAGCTCGCCTACGCGTACTGCAATTGCTGGAACTGCTGCTTTGTCTCTTATTTTACTTTTAAGTTTCCTTTTTGTCAGTCCATAGGACCTCTCTTTCTTTATAATGCACCCATGCCATGTGAGAAACGCGGAGAGAACAATAATACACATTTGTACCTGTCCTCTTTGTCTGCTTTTCCGCTTGTTTGTATGTCTAGAGAGGAGAGGGGCCAGTTTTTTTTTTTTTTTTTTTTTTTTTTTTTTTTTTTTTTTTTCTCTCTTTATCGAACAAGCTAATTTACGAAATATAAAACGCGTTTGATACACTTCTTTACATGTACGTGGTTCATGTGAAGAAAAAGAGTTTCCCCCTTTTCTCTCGTAAGGAATCTTTAGAGGTATGGAAATCGAAAAGATTTGTCTCACAAAACTGATACCTCCCTCCTTCTTCCTCTCCCATTCGTGTCATCTTCCACCCTTCGACACCTCGGGAACAACCAAAAAAAAAAAAAAAAAAAAAAAAGTAACAAACATAGCAAAAATGGTAAGAAAAGCAAAAGTAATAATATTAATAGGAGTAACAAAAATGAAACGAAACTAAATGGACAGGAAAAAGCAAGTACTAATTGTCGCAAAAATAGAATAAGGCATTTTCATTGGAGATTGGAGAACATACGAAAGATGGAGGCAGAAGAGGAGGGAAAATAAAATGAAGGACCATTGTCACATAAAAAAAGTTGAATAATTAATCAGGTGACAAATTACAGGGCATGGTGCTAAAAAAATAAAATAACAACAGCAGTGATATATTTTATTGTATATTGGAGATTGGGAATAATGGGTTTAGATATAAAAATGGAAATTACAACTTTTAATTTTTATCGTTCTTGTAACCAGAGCCAAAAAAACATACATTTTTCCCTTTGTCATTACAAAAAAAAAAAAAAAAAAAAAAAAAAAATTGCTTAAAAATGTATACCAAAAATTGATAAGTTACATAGATTTTTTTTTTTTTAATTCCAAGATTGACAAATTGTCGCCCTGTGACATTCTCTCGGACAAAAAAGTGTTACCCACCTGGGGGGGTTTTTTCTTACGTCATCCAGCAACCGCTCGTCCCCCCTCCCTCATTCTATGTTTATTTTTATATTGTACTTTAATAACTTATGTTTTCTACATTTTATGCTTAATATATATTTTTAATTTTCTGCGTTTTGCGTTTTACATTCTGTTTTTTACGTTGTGTTGTGCATTTTTTGCTTTGAGTTTTACGATCTATGGCTTTGTGTTTTTTTATACATTTTTTTTATTATATTTTTTTTTACTACATTTTTTTTTACTACATTTTTTTTTACTACATTTTTTTTCTACATTTTTTTATTTTATCTTATTTTATCCTATTTCATCTTATTTCATCTTATTTTATCTATTTTATCTTATTTTATCTTATTTTATCTTATTTTATCTTATTTTATCTATTTTATATTACTTTATTTTGTACTTTATTTTTATCACTTCATTTATTACTTTTTACTATTTATTTTTTTCTTTTTCTTTTCTTTTCTTTTCTTTTCTTTTTTTTTTTTTTTACGTACAGGGGTCTTGCATTTATCGAGCGACAGTAGATCTTCACCACGTCGTTATGTTTTTAGAAGAATTGTTGTGCCCTTTTTTTTGCTTGAGATTTTGCTTGCGATTTTGCTTACGATTTTGCTTGCGTTTTGCTTGCGATTTTGCTTGCGTTTTGCTTGCGATTTTGCTTGCGTTTTGCTTGCGATTTTGCTAGAGATTTTGCTTGAAAATTTGTTTGAGATTTATATTTATTTTTTTATTTTATTATTTTTTTTTTTTTTTACCACTTGCTATATTTAAAAACATCACTGTTTACTGCTTTCTCGTTTTTCATTTTTCATTTTTCATTTTGCTTTTTTTTTTTTTTTTTTTCAATTGATTTTACTTTGAGATTTTTTTTTTTTCCTTACATTTTTACCTTCTTTTTTTTTTTTTTTTTTTTTTTTTTTTTTTTTTTTTTTTTTTTTTTTTTTTTTTTTTTTTTTTTTTTTTTTTTTTTTTTATTTTTTTTTTTTTTTTTTTTTTTTTTTTTTTTTTTTTTTTTTTTTTTTTTTTTTTTTTTTTTTTTTTTTTTTCAATTGATTTTACTTTGAGATTTGTTTATTTTCCTTACATATTTACCTTCTTTTTTTTTTTTTTTTTTTTTTTTTTTTTTTTTTTTTTTTAATTTGTATTTTGTAACAGCTATTTTTTTTTTTTTTTTTTTTTTTTGAAACACCGAATTATTTTATTTAAAAAATTCCCCTCTTGTTTGTTTTTTAAAATTAAAGGGATGGAAAAAAAAATTCCATTCCCCAGAGGTCTAACAAAAAAAAAAAAAAAAAAAAAAAAAAAAAAAATTTTTAAAAAATCCATAAAAAATTTTACATTTAAAAATTTTTTTTTTTTTTTTTTTTTTTTTCAATGAGCATGTTGTAATAGCTAGCTTTTTTTTTTTTTTTTTTTTTTTTTGAGACACCGAATTGTTGTATTGAATAAATTCCCATCTTGTTTGTTTTCTCAAGTTAAAGGAGTGGTAAATAAAATTCCATTCCCCAGAGGTCTGACAATCAGAAAAAAAGAAAAAAAAAAAAAAAAAAGCAGTTGGAAAACACGTTTAGGATATAACTAGACAGGAAAGGAAACTTGTCGAACGGAAAAGCATCAAAAGATCCAACTACACAACAATTTGAGAATCAATTCCCTTGGAGGAGGGGTATATGGTGGAAGTGGGTTATATTATTCAGCAAATAGATCTGACGAATTTTCTGACACTTTGAAATACTGCATCATTTAGATAACAAACAGTTTGTTTTCACAAAATTGTGAACATTTGGATAAAGTGATAAAAATTTAAAGTGTGCCTATGTGTGTGTGGAGGGGGCGCATCACCATTCAGCTCGTTCCCACGTATACATCCACTAAGCATTTACACCATTGCAAGATCGAATAGACACTAATCTCTCCCTCCTCTTCTCCTGTGTGAAGCCATGTCGAACTGGGGTTTTTTTGGAGATTATGGAAATTGGTTCTCATCACCTAGTAGCAACATCGCAAGAGCAAATGCAGGATCAGCAAACATTTCAACGAACATACCGACGAATCTAGCAGCCGCTGCTGCTGCCACGAAGAGTAGATCAACTGCTGAATTTTTTGATGAAGATGATGATTTGGGAATGAACAATCCACATGAGAATAGTAGACATCATTACAAATTCAAGTATAGCAAAGCGTATAATTCAGAAGACAGGAAGAGAAGTGGTAAAATGGATGATGAACCATTAGATTATCGAAGCAGCAGTAGTGGAAGCAAAGAACAGGCTAGTGATTATTATATGAAAAAAAAAAGAGAAGAAAGGGGCGAAGGAAAATATGGAATTGAACGGAGTGAGGATATAGATGATTATGAGGACAGGTATGAACGGGTGAGAAGAGGTGAATATATGAGAAGCGGTGAATATATGAGAAGTGGAGAACCTATGAGGAGAGATGAATATATGAGAAGTGGAGAATCCATGAGAAGAGATGAATCCATGAGAAGAGATGAATATATGAAAAGAGATGAATATATGAGAAGTGGAGAACCTATGAGGAGAGATGAATATATGAGAAGTGGAGAATCCATGAGAAGAGATGAATACATGAGAAGAGATGAATATATGAAAAGAGATGAATATATGAGAAGTGGAGAACCTATGAGGAGAGATGAATATATGAGAAGTGGAGAACCTATGAGGAGAGATGAATATATGAGAAGTGGAGAACCTATGAGGAGAGATGAATATGTGAGAAGTGGAGAACCTATGAGGAGAGATGAATATATGAGAAGTGGAGAACCTATGAGGAGAGATGAATATATGAGAAGTGGAGAACCTATGAGGAGAGATGAATATATGAGAAGTGGAGAACCTATGAGGAGAGATGAATATATGAGAAGTGGAGAACCTATGAGGAGAGATGAATATGCGAGAAGTGGTGAATACACGAAAAGGAATAAACATGCTGGAAGAGATGTGCTTGAGGAGTGGAATGATTATGAGGAGAGAAATTATCATGAGGAGAGGAATGAACGTATGAGAAGTGATTATCATGAGGAAAGGAATGAACGTGTGAGAAGCGATGATCATGAGGAAAGGAATGATCGTAAGGAGAGGAATGAACGTATGAGAAGTGATGAAAATAGGAGAAGCCGTGAGAGTGTGAGAAGCAATAATCATGAGGAGAGGAATGAAGGCTTGAGAATCGATGAGAATGAGGAGTGGAATGATCGCAAGGAGAGGAATGAACTTATGAGAAGTGATTATCATGAGGAAAGGAATGAACGTTTGAGAATCGATGAGAATGAGGAGTGGAATGATCGTAAGGAGAGGAATGAACGTATGAGAAGTGATGAGAATAGGAGAAGCCGTGAGAGTGTAAGAAGTGATGAGAATAGGAGAAGCCGTGAGAGTGTAAGAAGTGATGAGAATAGGAGAAGCCGTGAGAGTGTAAGAAATGATGAGAATAGGAGAAGCCGTGAGAGTGTAAGAAGTGATGAGAATAGGAGAAGCCGTGAGAGTGTGAGAAGTGATGAGAATAGGAGAAGCCGTGAGAGTGTGATAAGTGATGAGAATAGGAGAAGCCGTGAGAGTGTGAGAAGTGATGAGAATAGGAGAAGCCGTGAGAGTGTGAGAAGCGGTGATAGTGTGAGAAGCGGTGATAGTGTGAGAAGCGGTGATAGTGTGAGAAGCGGTGATAGTGTGAGAAGCGGTGAACATGTGAAAAAGAAAAAAAGTTCTGGAATCGAAGAACGTAAAAAAAAAAGTGATCGTATGAAAAAAATAATTCGCTTTAAAAAGAACAAACGTACGGGAAGCAGTGAGCGTGAGGAAAGCAAAGAACGTATGGAGAGAAAAAGTGAACGCCTGAAAAAGAGTAAACTCCTGAAGGAGCGTAAACATTCTTTAAGCGATGAGTACGAGGAATGGAAGGAACTCGAGGAAAGAGCAGAACTAGTAGAAGGCGAGGAAAGTGCAGAACTAGTGGAAGGCGAGGAAAGTGCAGAACTAGTGGAAGACGAGGAAAGAGCAGAACTAGTGGAAGACGAGGAAGGAGCAGAACTAGTGGAAGAGAACATACATGAGGAAAAGAAAAAACTGGAGGAAAAAACAGAACCTGTAGAAAAGAAAAAACTGGAGGAAAAAACAGAACCTGTGGAAAAGAAAAAACTGGAGGAAAAAACAGAACCTGTGGAAAAGAGCAAACATGAGAAAAAGAGCAAACCTGAGGAAAAGAGCAAACCTGAGAAAAAAACAGAACCCGTGGAAAAGAGCAAACCTGAGAAAAAAACAGAACCCGTGGAAAAGAGCAAACCTGAGAAAAAAACAGAACCCGTGGAAAAGAGCAAACCTGAGAAAAAAACAGAACCCGTGGAAAAGAGCAAACCTGAGAAAAAAACAGAATCTGTGGAAAAGAACAAAGATGAGAAAAAGAACAAACACGAGGAGAAAACAGAAGCTGTGGAAAAGAAATTACTGGAGGAAAAAACAGAAGCTGTGGAAAAGAAATTACTGGAGGAAAAAACAGAAGCTGTGGAAAAGAAAAAACTGGAGGAAAAAACAGAATCTGTGGAAAAGAGCAAAGATGAGAAAAAGAACAAACACGAGGAAAAGAAAAAACATGAGGAAAAGAGGAAACATGAGGAAAACGATGGAAATGGAGAAAGTGCAAACCACAATAGTGGCGAAAGTAGCAGCGGTGGTGGTGGAGGTTTTTTCAGCAATTTTGGATTTTCGAACCTGTTTGGAAATATTGAAATTCCTTCGTTCTGCAATGAGTACAAAACTGGTTATTGTTTAGATGAAGAAGCGAAGAAAATATTTCCAGAGGGTAGTAGTAACACCAATTCTACAAAATTTGGTTCTACTAGAGGAAGTAAGAGTAGTAGCACAGGTGGTGGATTTGGCTTCGAAAGTGGAGGTGGTATATTTGGTGGTGTAAAGGATGGAGGAAATAGTGGTGGTATATGTGTAGATACAACATATTATGACATTTTAAATGTGAAACCAAATGCAAGTTTTAGTGAAATTAAGTCAAGTTACTACAAATTAGCTTTAAAATTTCACCCAGATAAGAATGCCAATGATCCAGAAGCAAAATTAAAATTTCAAAAAATAAATGAAGCTTACCAAGTATTAAGTGATTCACAAAGGCGAGCTGATTATAACCAACATGGACTTAATGCAACAAAAGATATGGTTCTTATAGATCCAGCTATTCTATTTATGATGCTTTATAGTTCAGAAGAATTATCTGATTACATTGGGACATTACGTGTTGCCTTTTTTATTAAGCTAGCATTTGAACAAAATACATCTATTGAAGATATTCAAACACAAGGTGGAAAAATGCTTTCTGAGATGGAAATGGAACAAGCGAAAAGAGAAGTTGAATTAGCATTAATTTTACGAGACAAATTACAACCATTTGTAGATGGAGATTGTACGGATTGGCCAGAAAGAATGGAAAAAGAATTAAAAAATTCCTTAGATTCATCTTTTTCAAGTTCTATTTTAGAATCCATTGGTTGGACATATCGTAACAGTGCTGTTTCTTTCATAGCAGAAGTAACAACACTATGGGGAATGGGTGCCACGGTTCCAAATATTCAAGCTCAGAAAAGATCTGTTCAGAATAATTTTGGTTTGTGTACATCCATTATTAGTACATTTCTAACCATGCAAAAAATGGCAACTTATAATGAAATGCAAAATGCCATTGATCACCCTGATTTTCAGAAAAATCAAAAAATCACAGGTGCTAATGAAACAACAACAACCACAGCAACAACAGCAACGAGCAGTAAGAATAAGAATAAAGAAGATAATAAATATATAGCTTATAATGATGATGATGCCTTAAACAATAATATAAATGATGAGTACTCAAGTGGAAGTCATAGTGAAAGTAAATCATCCAACAAGTTCTCTGATTTTTTTGGAGATATGCGAAAAGGGAAGAAAAAAAAAAACAAAACGAAAGACGCAAATGATGAAAATATCGACCTTACGGATAAGCAGAATGTGGATGAGCATAATACCAATTCAAGTCCTACTGCTGCTGGTGGTGCTACTGCTGCGGGTGGTACAACGACGAATGCCTTCCAGATGAATGGAGTGAGTTATTTATTTATACATGATAATTCATTTGATAAGAAATCATCAAATAAACATTCTCGTGATAGCAAACAATTCAGTAGCAACATAGACCCATCGAAAGATTTCAATAGAGATGCTTTTCTGGAAAAGAAAAGTAATGAAGCCTTTGGAATAATTATAAAGAACGTGCTGAAAATAGTTCTATGGGATATCGAAACAACCTTGAGAAAAGTAGCAGAAAAAGTTTTGCGTGATGAAGGTGTTTCTATTCAAATCAGATTGAAAAGAGCTAAGGCTCTAAAAGTTCTTGGAAAAATAATGCTAAAGCTGTCGAAAACAAAGAAAGATATGAGTGATGCCAAAGATTTTGACGTGAACCAGCTTTTCGAGACGGTCATTTTGAAAGCTGCTGAGAAGGCAGCAGCAGCGGAAGAAGCTGCTACATCTTCAGCAGCAGCATCATCAAAGGGTGAAGGAGGCAAAACTGATTTTAAGCGGGAGAGTTCGTAGATTGCTATTGACATTTTATATCCTTGAGGGGGAAAGAGAAAAAAAAAAAAAAAAAAAAAAAAAAAAAAATTTATTTTTCACCTTTTTTTTTTTTTTTTTTACAAGTGCTCGCATGTACAAAATGAGAATAAATTTTACGTGTTCGGTTGATTCTTCATGCAGATATGATGGTGTAACAAGGTGTACATAGATAAGTGACATGTGAAATGTGCTATATATGTGTATATATATCATATTGGGTAGGATGCCAAAACGTACACATTTGAGTTGAAATCTAAAACGAGGTAGAAGAAAATAGGGAGAAGAAGGGTGACCCCATCAGCACACACATTTGTGTTATAATTGAATTATCTCTTTCGACACTTCTGGAATATGCAAAGATGTAGGAGAGAGAGAGAGAAAAAATAAACTTAACTGCAAAATTGAGCACGTGTCAGTTATGCCCATGTGTGTGTTTAGAGGCAGCGAAAGGGATAAAAAAATGTCGAAAAATGTTTGGCATACTTGGACGCGGAGGAGGATCATAAGAGGAGTAGAGAGAGAGGAGAAGGAGAAGAGTTCGTGGGGGCAGAGGAATAATATATATATATACCATCGTTAATTTGCACAACCACGACTTAAAAAAAATATTTTTTACAAAAAACATGTTAACACTTCTCCTTACCCCCACCGTTCGTTTACGTGGGGTAAGAAAAATGTGTCCATTTTTTACCCAGCTTTTCATTCCACTTCAGCATTTCATTCCACTTCAGCATTTCATTCCACTTCAGCATTTCATTCCACTTCAGCATTTCATTCCACTTCAACATTTCATTCCACTTCAGCTTTTATTCCACTTCATGTCGCCCTTTTTTTCCCACACATCTTTACACATTTTGTGATTTTATTTCTTTCCCCACGCGCTTACATTTTGAGTGCAAAACCAGACTGGTGTGTAAATATTCCACAATCAACTTTGCGTTAGTGTAATTCCTTTTTTTTTTTTATGCTTATTTTTAAGAAACACACAACAGCGTAGCAGTTGTATATTTGTTCATACCGTGTGTAAATGTTTTACTCTCCATAAATGAAGTAATATGCAATTTTATGTTTGGATGATATACTGGAGGAGCAGACCCGACCTGGAACCAACCCCCTTTCACTGTGTTTCTATCAAGTCTTGTGTATTCTGGACAAATCTGGACAAATTTGGACAAATTTGGACAAAATTGACAAACTAAGACAGTATTTATTCATAGTACTTTATGTTTAACTCTTGCTGCATGGATTCATATATCTCCAGCGAGTGAGACACTCCCCTTTTACATACCTACATACATTATATATATGTACATGTATGTAGTATATATCCCTGGTGTTGTTGTCTTTCCATATTTTATATATGGTGTGTTCTTCTTCTCTTCCCTCCATGACCTCCCACCCCACCCCAATGGGTGTTGTGTCCCAGTATATATGATGGGCTTACTCATAACAACGTCGTAAGTCACTAAGAAAAAGTTCGTTCGTCTGAGGGGAGGGAAGGGTTGCATACGTATTTTTCTTTAAACATTTTCTAATTTGTTCCATGAGATTTCTTAAATTTTCACATATGTCCACATAATTAAACGACTGCATAAAATAAGCAAATTCCATTTGATGATTATTCATTAATTTTTTATTCACAACAATTAGAATTTTTTTATTCATTCGTAAACATTCAATGGTAGTACCTGCTCCTGCATGGCATAAAATTAATTTTGCTTTTTTAAAATATTCAGACAAACTTTTTTTATATCGAAAATATTTTACCCTTTTTAATGATTTTCTATTATTATCCTTATTTTTATATATCAGTTTAGGCACATATGTACCTTCTCCGATCTGCATTGTCATTTTGGAAAAACCTTCATTTTGAAGAAAATCGTGAAACTCGTATGTATCCACGAATTCAATCAGTTCATCAAATTTGTATGATCCTACCGTCACGAACAATGTCTTCTTCGGCACCTCTCGTTTCTCGTCGTCTGCTTGTCCCATTGGCTGTTTTATTTTATTTTTTTCTATTTTATTTTTTATTATTTTTTATTATATTTTATTATTATTTTTTTTTTATTATTTCGTTCTTTTCTTACCATAAATGGTTACACGGTGTGAAAATAAATGCGTTGGAATGGACTTCAAAAAAAAGAGTCACGTTGCACATGGCTCTTGCATAAAACTGTAATATTTTTGCCTTAACATGTGCATGTGGGGGAAAAAAAATGTCACATTTCTCAACCCGATGTGTAAGCGATGTGCGGTGAATTGCCACTACGTGCTGCGATAATATGCTCTCTTTTTTTAATGGCTGAAATTTCACGCTTCTGCCAAGTCACAAAAGTGTTACTCCCCCCTGCCTTAGCGGTACACACCCAAACGGGAACTTTTTGAATAAACACAAACATAAAACTGTTTTTTTCAGTGCATTAAAAAAGGAGCCTTTTATCCACGTTCACTTGGTGCTACCCGCCCGAACACTTATGTTTCATTGTCCTTTTGATAAACTGAGGAAACGGCCTCGAGAATGCTACACACACACACATACCCTACTTCCTCTTTTTCCCATGTGTGCTTAATCTTTTTTTCTTTTTTTTTTTTTTTTTTTTTTTCAGAGTTGTTCCTCTTCACCCAGATTATATATATACACACACAAATCGATATAAGACGTAAGTAGAAAAAATTCACTTACCGTTAGACTAACATGTGTAACTATGGACATACCGAAAGTCTATAGAAAACATATTCCCTCTTTGGAGAATGTGACTCCTCTTGGAAAAATGTCGAAAAGCCTTCTATTCGATGCACCAAAGATTTACACAATCAAGAGTCCAAAATATGCAGTCTTTTTTTTTTTTTTTTTTTTTTTTTTTGGAATAGTAATCTCTTTCGTATAATTCCACTCTTATTTTTGCGAAAATTGACATTTCATATATATATATATATATATATATATATATATATATACGTATGTATGTATTTATTTTATTCTTTTTTTTGTTTAAATGTTCTCCTTTTCAAAGTGTTATGAACAATTTGTATTTTTTTTTTTTTTTTTTTTTTTTTTTTTTTTTTTTCTTCTTACCTGTACAACTTGGCTACTTGAGAAAAAAAAAAAAAAATTCCCTAAAATAGTTCCCCAAAAAATCCCTTTTCCCCCTGCATGTTCATACAAAATAGCCATTTGTGTACCGAACTTTTTGTCAAGTGGATTGACAAAAATGGAACAAAGGAAAATTTTGACCAACTTTGTGCCAATCCATCTCCCAAAAATGGAATAGAGGAAAATTTTTTAGTCAACCTCTTTTTCCCAAATATACTAGAATGGAGAACAAGCACAAATACTCTTAGAGAACATTTTCAAATAAATATGGGGATAGGACCACGGTTAATTAAGACAATTAATCAATTACTACTCTCGTTTTTTTTTTTTTTTTTTTTTTTTTCCACCAAATTGTAGTGCGAATTAGCACTTTATGGGTGTATAGCGCAAAGCGCCATTTGATGCGCAGCACAGAATACACTTCCCTCGGCCTTTCTCCTCCCTACGTATCAATTAAAAAATAGAAATTATATATCACCCTGACCCTTATTTGTAATTAAGTACCACACACCTTCTTTTCACACTTTTTTTTTTGATATATGCTATAATAATGTCCAAAATGAACTTTGGGAAGAAAACTCAGTACAACATCAAGGTGGATATACATGAGGTGAAAGATTTGAGCTTCCGAGAAAGTGCGAATGAAAAGGAAATAATTCCAAACCCGTATGTACAAGTAACAGTGAATAATGAGAAAAAATGCACAGCGAAAAAAAATCAAGCAGTGAATGTGGTGTATAACACATCCTTTAACTTCTCAATGGATTTAACAGATTATCATTTTGAAAGAACAAGTGTTGATGTGTGTGTTTTGCACAAATATACAATTCAAAGTGCATTAATAGGAAAATGTTCATTCGGGTTAAATTATGTATACTCCAAAGTACAGCATTGGTTATATAGAATATGGGTGAAGTTAAGAAATCCAGATTTGCCACTTGACGAAGTTGGTTTTTTGTTAATATCAGTAGGGGTGTACGGCCCAGGGGATTCCATACCAATTGTCAATGATAGTGTAAAGACAAATATAAACGATGCAACTGTTACAAATGCAGAAGCAGCTCGTAGTGGAGACAGTGATAATGATGATAGTAGGGGTCAACTCTGTGAAAATAAAGGATTGGACATACACATCACTCACTATGATTTATGCGTAAATATTTTCAGAGGTCAAGACATGGAATTTATCGGTAGTAGTACTTTATTCTCAAACAGCTTAGAACCATATGTAAAAGTATCTCATAATGGGTTCGAAGAGAGCACAAAGGTTATTAGAAATGATCCTAATCCTGTATGGAATCTAAGTGTACACATACCTACATGTACTCCTTGTTATGATAAAAATATAATTATTGAATTAATAAATGGAGAACATAACGGAGTAGTTATGTATAGTATTCTTTTAGATTTATTTGAGATATTGAAGCGTGAATTAGATGCTAGATGGTATAATATATATTATAACCCCCAAAATCAGATTGCCCCGAGAAGTAGTATGTATAACCAAAATGTAAATAATAATGCACCTTGTGCAAATACAAATAGTAATACTACTCCCAATTCTGCTAATGCATTGGGAAATTATTTATTCTCAGCTACAGCTGAAAAGTTATTCAAAAATGCAACTCAAGGGATCAACATTAATGAAATTTTGGGAGTAACCAAAGTTCAAAATATGTTTTCATATGATGAAAATTTAAAAGAATTCTATCTATATGGGGGTAGAATTTTTCTCAGTGTAAGTGCAACCAAAACACATGCACCGGGTCCTATATACATCAAATCAGCAAAAGTTGAGCCAGATCCACCTAATAAAGAATTTATTTTTTGTGCAGATATTTATGAAATATTATCAGTTCGTAGTAATACAAATAAAGGAATGAACTATGCTTCTATGAATGATAGGATTAATTATAACAAAGCATATGATTCAAATGGTGATAACATCATATGTGTATGTGGTTTGGGACCACATAAATTGAGAACTACTCCGTTGATAGCAAATGAGGTAGGATCATATGTACTAAATGAAAGTGTAGGTAGAATTGATGAATTTCGTATCTTTCTTCCACAAAATAATATTGATCAGATATATGATATCTTTTTATACATTTATGTAAAATCCAACATGGCTGTTACAGATTGGATTACAAATAGGAGTGTGTATAACACAGGAGTTCTTCATAATAACCATGATTATTACGATTCTGGAGATGCGAATAAGTTTATGAAACTTAATCAAATGGGTTCTATAAATAAGCATTCAGAAAATCTTTTTAATGATTCCGATGTAATGAGTAATTATAAATTAAAAAGTTATGTAAGAATTCCTTTCAAATATTTACTACTAAATGAGAATAAACCAAAATGGTTCATTATGAAGGATGTAGAAACAAATGGACATGATTATAGCATTTCCTTTTTTGCTAATTTGATTCCTTTTCATTTGTTTAAGAAACGACCACCGAGATTAGAATATAAATTATCTCGGTACTTTTTTCGTGCACTAATCTATGAAGGATTACATTTTCCTGCAAAAGGATATAATTCTTTTCCAGATCCTTATATAAAAATTGAACTAGCTGGACAGACCATAAAAACTAGTACTATTTTACATACCTTGAACCCAAATTATTATGAAGCATATGAAGTAGAAGTGATTCTACCAACCAATTTAAATCTTGCACCTGATATATCGATAGAAGCATTATCTGTTAATAAAACATTCCTTTACAATGACGATGACATCCTACTAGGTTCATGTACTTATCCAATAATAAAGGTCCCCATAGAATGGAAACGCTCACCTGTTTGGATAAATTTAAAATCGTCACAATATAAAAAATGTAAAGCAAAATTATTAGTTGGATTTGAATTAGTTCCTTTAGAAAAAGTTCTTGATGATAGTTATCCATTTTATGATGACATTAGACCTTCTACCTTACCTGGTCATGTATCTTTATTTCTTGTTGGTATACGTATGTTTAAACCTTTGAAAGATCCATCAGTAACTGTTTGTTTTGGACGAGATATTGATGATACATCTCAATTCCTGTGGCATGAAACCACAAACAAAGTTATTTCAGGGAAAGAAGGAAATTGGAATTTCTTAAAATATTTTTCTCTCGATGTTGCTTTACCAAAACGAATGCAACATCATAGTTTTTTAGAAGTTCGAATTGAAGATAGAGATTTGAATACTGGATTTACTACGACAGGTGCAAATACTACCCAGTCAGCCAAAGCTACGAATAATAACAATTTAATCGGTACTGCATATATCACTTTGAACCCGTTACTTCCTTGGCTAGATAAATATGAAAAAAATGAATGTGCTGAATTGTTTAAGTTACATCTGCTCGAGGAAGTTCTAATGGAAGATGCAGAAACTGCAAGGAAGACATACAACGGGGCTCTTATTTATAAAAAAAGTTCTATGATTTCGAGAAAAATTACCGATGGATTTTTTGATGGTGCAGGTGCTGATACAGACAATGATGAGGACTATGGAGAGAGGCATGCAGGTGGGTTCCATGCCATGTCTTTGGTTGCACTTGAGGAAAGAGCAGAAGAAGAGGAAGCAGCTACAGATGTGGATGCCCGTCCTGTTGCAGGGGTAGAGGCAGGAGTAGAGACAGATGTGGATGAAGAAGCTGGTATAGAACCCAACGCTGACACAGCGCCAGATGCAGTGATTGAGTTGGGAGAAGTGCCAGACCTGGAGGAAACACGAGGAGATGAAGAGGATGAAGAAGATGGAGAAGATGAAGCAGATGGAGAAGATGCAGAAGATGATAAGCTGCTCCACCCGCACAACAACCACGTCGAAGGAGATGAAGTCCATTCGTCCAGAGTACTCAGGGAAGATGCATCTACCAAATGGAGAGGCAAAGATGGAAAAGGTAAAAAGTGGAAAGGTAGAAAGGGAAAAAATTCAGGGAGCAGGGAACGATGCACGAAATTGAGGGTCGTCGAGAAAGGAATAAAACAGATGCAGGAAATGAGTAAAAAGAAAAAAAAAAACTTGAAGAAATATGTTAATAAAGAATACGTGCCATATAACGATCCCGACTTTGCAAATGTTCGAATCGAAGAGGCACTTGAACATGTGTGTTTCAAAGCTAGCGAATATGGAAATGATTCTGTTGTAAATGTAGAAGAGAAAGAAATGGAGGATAATGAGAGTAATGCAAGTGAAAAACGATTAAAATTGAGAGACATGAATTTTTTTAAAGGAAAACATGATGATAATAGGGAAAAAAATATACTAATGAATAAGAAAAAGGATAAAAAAACTATTTACGGGTTCAATGAAGAGATGTTAAATTTTCAACTATCGCTAGCTGGAGATGATGAGCAAGAAGAAATACAAAGAGATGAGATGTTATACGAATATGAAGTAGATATGAATGTAGATGATTTACCATACCTAAGAGCAACTATATTTAGATGCACAGATTCAGGAGTACCAGAAGCTGTAGGTTATTTAAAATATATATGCAATGTTTATGATGAGAAAACTATACATTTAAAAAAGGAGATGCTAAAAAAATGTGATAATTTAGTAAATGAATATAAATTGACTAGAAATTTGGTTGTAAGAGCATATATAATTCAAGCAAGAGGATTGAACCCACCCTCTGGTGCAACAGATATAACTACTTATGTATGGATCAAAAACAGTAATGAAATTACCAACATCCCTGGAGGATTATCTCATAATATTAAAGACACAGGTCATACTAAGAAGCAGGGATATAAACCTGAATTTAATAGATGTTATCAGTTGTTGTGTTCTTTTCCTGATGAATCTATTATTCAAATATGTATAATGAATCAAGGTTCCTTGTCAGATGAAATAATTGGATACACATACATCGATATGGAAGACAGATATTTTAATCCACGAATTAGACAACTCATGATAGATGATAGTATGCCAATTGAATTACGATCACTCAAATTAGAAAATAGTACCATTTCTCATGGATCTTTAAGATGTTGGTTTGAAATATACCCAGAAGAATATGCACAATTAAATCCTGTTAAAATTCTGTGCTCTAATGAACCTGATGATTATCAACTGAGACTTGTAATATGGAAAGTTAGCAATGCAGCTATGGATGATAATCCTACCATTAGTCTCTTTGTCAGATGTATATACACAGATGAAGATTCTGAAGACAAGCGAGACACAGACACCCATTACAATAGCAAGGATGGCAAGGGCATGTTCAATTGGCGTTTTGTTTTCAACATTAAAATTCCAACCAACTCAACCAGTATCAAAGTGCAGGTGCACAACTACGCTCTGCTTTCTTCAAACGAACCCATTGGAGAAGCCACACTCGAAATGTCTGCTCACTTTTACCGGGCTCGCAAGAAGAAGGGTCTATACCACATTCCGCGGTGAGCTCCACACTGGCTAGCAGTGATCAGAGGAGTTGCAATTATTCGAGTCACATCTGGATGAGTTACATCTGGATGAGTTACATCTGGATGAGTTACATCTGGATGAGTTACATCTGGATGAGTCACATCTGGATGAGTTACATCTGGATGAGTTACATCTGGATGAGTTACATCTGGATGAGTCACATCTGGATGAGTTACATCTGGATGAGTCACATCTGGATGAGTTACATCTATTATTTTACTTTTCTTACTCCCCTCAGGTTCTGGCTTCAGTGCAAACACCCAGCCCACAAAAATAAGGTCCGTGGGAGTGTCGAAATCGAGGCGAGCATATTGCCCAAATCAGAAGCAGAGATAGAACCCGTAGGAAACGGAAGAGACGAACCCAATAGAGATCCGTTTCTGCCACCCGTAACTGAAAACAGGACATACGTAGATTGGGTGACCATTAACGAGAAATTTGGAGCCGCAACCGCATCTATTATGCAAGGTTTGAAGTGGACAGGTACGGCACTTCCCCTCTTTAAAAAAAAAACAAAAAAAAAAAACAATTACATTCTTTAGCACATGTATCATATACAATATTCAAAAATTTTTTTTAAATTTTTAATTGGAGGCATTTGTTTTTATGAAAATACAATTAGATATATGATTTACAAAAAAATAAAAAAAAAAAAAACCTAAAAATGTACTAATTTAAACTTCTCCCTTTTTTTTTTTTTTTTTTTTTGTAGGCGTATGGATTGTTGTTGCTGTCATAGTCGTGGGTGTATTTTTCCTTCTGTTTCTCTTGAAATGACATTTGCAAGTTCCACATGAATTGTTAGAAGATAGGAATTGTAAACAGTGCGTTCTTGTGGAGAACATGACTTTTGTACATGGTTGCAGAATTTTCTGCACATGTGTATGGCAGTACTTTCACACGTAGAATCTATATATGCACATTTGTGTTCGCCCACCTGTGTATGTAAGAATATGCATATGTGTATATATGTATGCATATATGTATGTATATATGTATGTATATATGTATGTATAATTTTTTTTTTTTTTTTTTTTTTTTTTTTTTGTACCCAATTCCCCCCCTCCCGATCCGAGATCACCGGTACAGATAGAAAAATGCCAAATAGTCCAAGAACCCAACCTGCCGTTTCTCGAAAAGATGAAAGTTTTTAAAAACACATTCATGCATGTGAGACACACGTCTAACCAACTTCCACATCTTTTTGTATATATGAATATATTCATCATTTTCGTTTCGTATGTTGTACAAGTATACTGCATTTTCACACAAGACATTTAAGATCATGTCTAATTCCCGTATATGAAATTTTCTCTTTATCATTTTCCCTATGCTCACTTGGCCACTTTGCTTTGTACCTCCCCACTTGCATTTCCCTTCGGAGCTTGCACCTTGACATTCCTGTGTATTTTCCACGTCTCCAGCTTCGTTCACATCTTCCCCTTGCCACACCTCATAGTAGAACCCATGGTCAAGCGCAAAATTGGCTACCTGTATAAGGATTCCTATGTTTTGGTAAAGAAAGAAAATGTCTTTCCTTCTCTGTTGATATAAAGATGTTTCTATCAAGAAGTAGATGTAGGAAGTGATCATCTGAATCCGCACTGATATGGAAACATAAGGATCTAGGAAGATAACATAACTGTTTTCGCTACTTGGGTTTGGAATCGTGATTAGTTTAATCCCTCTCTTATAAAACTGGTGTGCCATTCTTGAGTTCCTTATGTCATAATCGTAGAATTCTGCCAAGTGGAAAAGGGTTGATAAGTTGTGGGATCTCGTGGTTGATTGTTTGGAATGCTGGGGGTCTCCCTTCTGATCCAGATGCAGTTCCATGTGGTCACGATGTTGATAATGATACTGGTGAAGAGCTTTCTCCACAAATTTGTACAACGCAAACCCAATTTGATAATGCCTGAGTACGTCCAAATGGGATCTAGCAACATCCGCAATGTGCTCGTGGCACTTCTGGTCCGTTTGCATGCATCTAGTTATCCAAGGGGTGTAATAAGTCATGTCGGAGTATTTGATTTGATCAAACTGTTCATAGGGAGAGTTATCATGAATAAGTTTGGGGAGAAAATAGACAACGCTAAATTTTCCGTTTCGATAAAGAGTCCTATAATTTTGATCATCATATAATACCCGCTGGCAGAATTTCATACTTTTTCTATTTTTACATTTAGCATAATTAGAATCCACTTGTTCAGAAATAGTGAATGCGTTTATTTCTTCATTAGGAGTTGTTGCACATCTATATATATTTGCAATAAAATATCGAACTTTATATTTCTCATAATAATACTTTTTGGCATCGCTAAATGGTAAACATCCCGAAAACATATAGTAGTCTTGTACTCTTTTTCTTAAGCTTACATCTTCATATTGTGGGTTCAGAACAAGTTTGAAATTTGTAGTTGATCTTAAAAAACTAGATGTTGGAATATCTGCAATAATCCCTTCCCCTTCTTTTAAATTTTCTTTCAACCATACAATTAAATCCATGTTCTTACTTATATTGGGTGCTTTATTTTCCATAATATTGATGTATTCATAAGTTGGGAAATATTTTATGAATGGGTAAATGCATTCTAAGAGACAAATTCCATAGATGATGAGTTTGGACAATGTCTTCTTACTAGGCCTGCACAAGAGGGATATGGGATGGGGTAGCAATTCCAAGTGTTAAAATATGAGAAGAGGAAGAGGTAGATGTTTGACGACACGGAGGGTATTCCATGCATTCCAATTTAAAGGGTAATCCTACGTGCGTACATATAAAAAAACAAACCGCATGAATGAATGAGTGAATAAAAATTTTGCTTAAAGGATGGAAAACGCACCCTAGAAGGAACAAATTTTCCATAGTAACTAGCCATATATCGGAGAGTAAATAAGGAGATCCAAGAAGACTGCTCAAGAGACACATGAGGGGCAATGCCAAAACACGGAGTCGAGATATAATAAGCATAAGTAAGGCAAAAAATCCAAATTGAATGATCAAGTAGAAAAATTGTGCATGGAACACCTCGAACCCAAATTCGATTTTTTTTCTTCGTCTGCATAAGCACACACAATAATTCATTACATAAAGGAGTAGAATTACGTTAAACAGTAGGAAATATTCAAACAATGATGTTTCTTTTATCATGTTAAACATGCGTTTTGTAAACGGATTGAATTCAGAGCCCACACTATATATCATGCTATCAAAATTATGACTACTTAGATGTAGACGCACTTTTAACAGAGACATTACGTGTGAGTCATCCTTTTCTATTCCAAATGTAATCAGACGTAGCAGCAGGAATATAACTATAGATGTCAATCCCTTCTTCAGCATGAATCCCATTTTTTTCTGAACGGAGCAAAATTTACCTGACCAGGTGCTGAATACCTCTGCTTGGCGTTTCTCTACTTGGAGTTTCTCTGCTTGGAGCTTCTCTTCGATTCGTTCCTCACATGTGTGACTACTTCTGATCATATGGATGCTTCCTCGTCCTCTTCTAAAGGCATGTCCATACGTCCCCTTCACCACATCAGCGTCTGTCCCTTTCACCAAACCAGCGTTTGTCCCTTTCACCACACTAGCGTCTGTCCCTTTCACCACACTAGCGTCTGTCCCTTTCACCACACTAGCGTCTGTCCCTTTCACCACACTAGCGTCTTTCTTCTGCACCACACCTGCATCTGTTTTTCCCTCCTGGCCACCCACCGTGGTTCCTCTGCTTAATGGAATTACTTGAGTACAAAAAATACTGGTGCCAAGAATTGAGATCAACACAAAAGGAAAATATGTATAGAGAAGATATCTCGGGAAAAATGTCAAAAGTAATGAGACAAGATATGAACAAGAGAATGTTATCAGTATATAGTTCAACTCTTTTTGTATTCTGAATCCTAGTAAATCAAGCCCAAAGAGGGTTACCACATGTGTTAACATAACAAAAACAGAGAATTGCCATGTGATGAAAAAAAGAAGGGAAGAGAGAAATAAACAGACCAAGTGGAAGGGTGATTTCTGCGTGTAAAAAAAAAAAAAAAAAAGAAGAATGTTCCATTAGTAAGACATAAAGAGGGATATATATAGTTACATTAATTGGGATAGATAAAAAAAAAAAAAAAAAAAAAAAAAAAAAAAATCTTGTCCATTTGTTGTATACAAGTGTATATGGCTACGCCAGAGAAATAGTGTGAGTGTGATTATTTTCTTTTTTTCTTTATTTAATTCTACTTTTATACTCATCTTATTACTCCAACTTTGCACTCAAATCTTGCCTTCTTCTCACGTAGGATCATATAGATGAACAAAATGTTGCACCACATGTACACTGAAGAGAAATTTTCTCGTAAGGAAAAAGCTATCAGGGGGGGGGGGGGGGGGAGGAAAAAAAAAAAAAAAAAAAAAAAAAAAAAAAAAAAAAAAAAAAAAACATGACATTTTGGAATGGAAGAACCGTACACATTGTACATGTGTACAGATTACATAGGCATACATATGCAGGTTCTCCTATTAGTGCTCTTTCTCAAGGATACAGATATAAAACACATACCTGACAACCTCATTATGAACTTTTCTCTAAAGCATGAAAAAAAAAGCATTAAGAATATGACACCCGAGATATAGGACCTTCCTGCAAGCAGGGATGTTGCAAATGATTTTGCAAGCGATGTTGTAAGAGATGGTGATAGAAAAAGTGCAAAATAAATCTGTCTTGTCGTGACCCATTTTTTACCCAAATACACTGAAAAAAAGAACAAGGTACTGACGCTGGCAGCCTGGGAAAGTAGGACTGAAATATTAAAAAAAAAAAAAAAAATAATAATACCACTACTACTGCTACTACTAGTAGTAGTAATAATAAAACTAAATAAAAGAAATATAACTCCCTCTTTTGTATTAACAACCTATGGAGGTGCAACTCGATTTGCTGCACATACATTTATCTTCTCTTCATATTAAATGAAAAACATTCTTTCGTTAAACCATACCTGCGTATACGTAAAAATTGTAAGGAGTTGCGACGTGTTCTTTTAAATTTAGAACTCTCCATAGTGTTCCCAGCACAATTTCTGTAAATTGAAAATAATGAAACAACAACATAAGGGTGTGGAGAATGCATATAACAAAATGAGAACCTCTTGTTCAAAATGAACCAATTGAAGTTTATCATTTTTGTTCATTTATTATATACCTGGATACACATTGAAACGTCTAATGGCATTGATAGTGTTGGGATATTCACTCCTGTTATCATGTCTAACAGAAGAAAAAGAAAGAGGGTAAATGAGTAAGGAGAGGGGAGAAAAAAGAACATATTGATCAGTGAACGATGGAACCGTGAATAGAAAATAGAACAAAACCAAGATAAATTAGTTGTGATACATTTTCCTGTATATAATATCTCTCCATCTCTTTCCCCTCATTTTTGTATAAAATACATCAACAGATTGATCCCTTCCATGTATGTCTTAGATTTCACAATGTCGTCAAAAAAAGAAAAGTAAAATGATTCCTGAATGTAATGCAAAAGGGAGATATGACATTTCTATGCTTTAATAAGACAAACACACACACATACAAAAAAAAAGAAAAAAAAGAAAAAAAAGAAAAAAAAGAAAAAAAAGAAAAAAAAGAAAAAAAAGAAAAAAAAGAAAAAAAAGAAAAAAAAAGAAAAAAAAGAAAAAAAAAGACAAAATATGCTTAGCTGAATGTATGCTTCTTCTTCTTTTTTTTTTTTTTTTCTTTTTTCTCTCCCCATCCCCTTTCGTTTACCTCAGAATAGAGTGACACCTTTTGTTCTTCATAATTTCGATAAAAGTCGTATCTATATCTTTTATAAAATGTGAAAGCCACGAAAATCCTATAAAGGGAGGGGAAAAAAATTGGGGAAACTATGAAATTCTTCAATATAAACCACATTTTTATGAAATTCTTTTTCAACATGCTAATTGCCATCGATCCATTCTGCACTTTCATACGTATACAGATTGAGACATCGCTCTAGGTAAACATAAAAATATTTTTCATATGTCTATTTGTATATTCACATAACGTTGGTACAATAACATCATCAATACAAAAAAAAAAAAAAAAAATACAGGAACAACCCCCACTGATATTTATTTTCTTTATTATGTAATTACCACACGAAAAAAGAACAAAGAAAAAGTTTTAGTTTACACTTCTCCATTTATAAGTGCACATGCTAAATGTTCCAGATATTTTTTTTTTTTTTTGAATGTAGATATGGAGGAAGATAGAATTCCTCCCTTTTTTTTAATTAATTTGTTAAAAAAAAAAGACGATGAAGTAGTGGAAGCAGTGGAAGAAGGCGAAGAAGAAATGACCGTAATTTGTGTTCTGCTATAGTTGTCATACCATTACATGGGCACACTGGATGCAGGTAATTATAGTGAATAGTTTTAATAAATGGTCGAAATGTCACAAGAGCAACAAAACAAATAAAATATCTTGCAAACGGTGTAATGCAAATTAATGTTGCGTTATAATTAATTGGCAGTACATATACATATATATATATATATATATATATATATATATATATATATATATATATATATATGCTCTGTGGAACATATTCATATGATTAGACAGAGCAAAGAAGGGTTGTAGTACTAAGCTGGTATAATAAAAAATGAGTTATCGAAAAAGTAGGGAAAATAGTGGAGCAGCCTTTTTTTTTTTTTTTTTTTTTTTTTTTTTCTATAATTATTTATAATTTTTATATAGCCTTATTAAATTTTGTTTATTCACTATTTTGCTTATCAATTTTATTTTATTTTGTTTTATTTTTTGTTCTTGTTGAAAAATGCTCGTGCGAAGAAGAGGTCCAACAACTTCATTAAATTCTGTTCTTTTTTTTTTTTTTCCCTCTTTTTTTTGCCTTTGAGTTACTACATAACAATTGATAAACAGAAAAATATAGCTTGTTCAGGCAAAAAAAAAAAAAGCATACGTGATAGGTACATTTTGGTAGGCACACACTGTGGTATGTACATGTACGGTATTTTTTTTTTTTTTTTTTTTTTTTCTTTTTGAAAAATTTGTGCGGACTTACACATTGAATAGCAAAATTGGTTGACAAATAAAACTGCCCAATAGATGGTAATAACACACAACATGGAGCAAAATTTAAAATGTCCATTTTTCCAAGTGGACGGATTGGGGTATGTTCGTGGTTGACACAATATGTTGAGAAAATTTGCAACGCATTAATGTGTGAACATACCATCACATACACACCACGCATACAAAAACAATATGCACACATGCACAGAACAGACAGACCATGGATAAAAGCACAACAGCATCGCGAAGATGAATGGATGTTAGAAATAAGCCAACATGTTTATATCTCTGTATATGCCTTCTTCATTCCCCTCGTCCATCCGCACGTAGCAATTGCAAAAATATTTGTCTCTATTCTCATTCTCATTGATGAGAAATACTGAGTCACAAAAATACTCAACTGAATGGATGTCCAAGTGAAGGAATCGTTTATTGTCAATGTCTTTAATTCCTATATTTTTATTTTCCCTGTACTGATTAAAAAATTGCTGCTTTTGTTTTTTTAAATTTTCAGTTAATATGGTGAATTCATCTGGGGATAAAACTTTGGGTATCATTTTTTTGTTTGAAGTTTTTTTTATTAAAAGGTAAAAACTTTTTTCACAATTTGGACATACACATAAGTAAATTGTTATTTTTCTCGACTTAATTAAACACTGATATTTCAGAATGTTAATATCTTCACTATTTTCTCCATCACTCTTCCATTTACCCTTTTGTGCTTCATTTTTTTCCTTAAAGAAGAAAATTTTTTTTACATTTTGCATAAAATCGGTAAATGCATTCCCTTCCTTGTTTGTTTTGTTTTCAAAAAAAGAAAAAATGTTCCTCCCTTTAATTATGTCTATATATGAATCTATATAATTTCTGTTATTTTTTTTAATGTTGTTCTCGTTATCGCTTTGGTCCTGTAAACTTATGGAGGTTATGGTTTGTTCTTCCGTTGTATTATTTTTTTCAAGCCATTTTTTTTTTCCTTTTTTCTTTTTTGCTTCCCCAATGTGTGCACTATTCGTGTGCAGATAGGAAGATAACCCTTCAGGTATTTTTTCGATCAACTTGCCGTCAAGGGGTAAATCCTTGTTTCTTAATCTGTTAATGATGTTTCTCGTGTCACGCCTTACATGTGGCAATTTTTTCTTTTCATTTCTTTCATTAGAGTTCTGCATAAAAGTGTTAAAATTTGCATGGAGCATATTTTCCTCCTCCTGATCGGAATAAAAATAGCTGTTTAACCTTGTCATGAAAATTTTTTTTTTTTTTTTTTTTTTTCCAACTTTTTCTCCTGACTGTTCATAATTATTGATGTACATATCTTGGTTCATCACATGACTGTTCATATTTTTTCCAACACCACTCGCATGATCTTGGTATATTTTTTCCCTTTCACGTTCCTTTTCTACACTCAGCTCATCTTCTAATTCTTCACTGTTCACGTTATTATATGTACCTCCAGAATAATCACTATCTTTCATCCATTTCTTTGAAAAATTATATCCCTTGTAGTTTGTTTTTTTTCCATTCATTCGGTTTTTCCATAACTGTTCGCAATTTTGGCTATGATTATACTTGTGCAGACCACCTACTTGGAAATTGCTAAGCTTGGGATGGTATCCTTCTTCTGTACTTTTCCACAGTGTTCTGTTCTTCTTTTTTTGTAGTAACCACCTGCTTTGTTCCTCATTCTGATGTATTAAGATACTCTCATAAAGTACATCCTTTCCACATTTATATTCTCTCCCTTGGGAATCCGAATTAGAACACTCTGTATAAGCTCTACAGTAAGCGTCTTCAGAAGGGTTATAATAATCCTCCAATTTTGTATTCGATGTGAAAATAATTCCACAGCTATTAACAAAGATGCTGTTTGAGGAATATATGGAAACACTGTTAAGAAAATTGTTGTTCAGGTAAAAATTGTATTTATTTTGCACAACTGTAGATATTTGAAATAATTTCCTTTCTCTTTCTACCCTTTTAATGTATTTACTTAATTGTCGGCACTCTTGCTCAATTTCTTTCACATGATCTCTTATATTCTTGCCTTTTACGCATAAGTTTTTTTTTCTTCTCATAATTAGTTGTGGGTTACAATATTAGTGAAGTGGTGGTGTCAGGGTTTTTGGGCAACCGGGTGGGGGGTGTCACAAAAGAAGGTTTTAATTGTAGTGGACGGGAAGCATTGACCTGTTTTTTTTTTTTTTTTTTTCCAAATTCTGGCTTCAATTCAAGCATTCAATTTGCTTCGTCGTCTATTTCTTCGTCTTCCAGCTTCCTTCTCGTCTCCTATTTTTCGTTTTGTGGGCGGAGTGCCATGTTGCTATTTTAAGCTTTTCCCCCCCACACACAAAAGTAATCACCCCATTTGTTGAAGTTTATCTTATTCTCTGCGTTTTTTTTTTTTTTTCTTTTTCTTTTTCTTTTTCTTTTCTTTTCTTTTCTTTCCTTTTTTTTTTTTTTTTTTTTTAATATACAAAATTGATCTTATAGTTGTAATTAAATTTCACCTTTATCTAGGTAGAAGAAAATTCGACCCCTTTTTTTTTCTTTTTTTTTCATTTATTTTTATTAATCCTATAAGCCCCTGACCCTGAGAGCATTTATTTTTCGCAAATCAGTTAAAAGAATTAAATGCTTATGTAATTATTCCCACATAAAGTGAAATAAGCCGTAGGCAGAGGAAAAGCTTCAAAAAGAAAATTTTTTTTTATTTTATTTTATTATATTTTTTTTTTTTTTTTTTTTCTCCTCCGCTTACCTTTTCTTCCCTGCCATGAAGAATACATGTAGAAACACCACCACTCAGACCCAATTGACAAGTAGCAGCAACACACTTCGTCAATTACAAAACAACACTTGATAAACATGAAGAAATTGGCAATTGAAAACCTTTGCGTTTACTGCAGCAGTAGCCAATCCTTTTCTTACTTGCAAAAATGTGACAAGGATTTGAATTTTGGCAATTCCTTTAAAAATGAATATGAAAGGGATTGTTTGAAAAAGGTTGTAATATACAAATGGAGAAAAAATTTGTCATGCAAAGAGTGCTTTCAGAACATACTAGACAACGTACAAAATGATGAAAACATTGAATATGTGAAAGAAAAATATCGAAGGAGAGATAAAAATTCACACAATATTTCTCTCACTGTGGATGGCATAAAGGGGGAACCGCTTCATATCCTAAACAAAAGTTTTTTTAAAAATGAAAAATGTATGAAGTTTGCCAATTCAGAAGATAGCCGGAAGAGACGAAGATTTAAACTCAGAATTTTTGTAGACAAGATTAAGTCAACAAAGGGAGGAACTGGAGGGAGGAACGGGAGCTGCACAAGTAGGAATGAAAAGGTGGGAAGAAGTCAGGTGAAAAAAACACAAACTGGAATGGCTAACCAAACTGGAATGGCTGACCAAACTGGAGTGGCTGACAAAACTGGAATGGCTGACCAAACTGGAATGGCTGACCAAACTGGAATGGCTAACCAAACTGGAATGGCTAACCAAACTGGAATGGCTGATCAACTCGTGAGCGCAAAGGTGAAAAGGGGGATACCAAGAAAACACATGCACAAGTACCTGTTCAACATCCATGTGAGAAGAAAGTATTATGAAAGAGTGACCAAATTGTGGTTACGCAAGTTCATCAAAATGAGTGGTTCAGTGTATAAACATTCAGCTAAAGAACTAATAAATTTTCTTATCATAAAAAATTTTCAAATGTTCGATGTTGAATTATGGAATTTTTTTTTTCCAGATAATGTGACAAACCATATGAACATGAATTTGTATTTCCTTAGGGGGAAAGAAGGAAGTGAAAAAAAAAAATTTTTAAAAGATTTGTTTCAATCATTTCCTTTCAAATATGCGAATGATCTAATATACACAATTGATATAGACAAGTATCAGCGGCTCCCAATTGTGAGTGACTGCAGGTATGTAGCAGGTCCTATGAAAATTTTTACTAGGGAAGACAAAGTTGTAAGAAATTGTAGCGATGTTGTAAGAAGCGAGAGGCAGAAATGTTCACAGAATGTATATGGGAAGGGAGATGAAGTATCTAATGTTAAGAAGAAGAAGAAGAAGAAGAAAAGAACCCTTAAAATATTTGACACCTTCAGTCTCAGGTGTGAGCGACATTTGGATGAACTCAGAGTGGGGAGAGGAATGGTTAGAAGTGGTGCCAGGAGGGGGACAAATAAAGAATACATAAATAAAATAATGTACCCAAGCCTGTACGAAATTTTGCAGAAGGAAGAAGCAATCGAAAATCTCACGAAGAGAAGAAATAGGTGCCTTCGAACTATAGATCCATTTAATGAAAATTTTGAGAATATCCTCCTTAGTGTAACGAGAATAGCTCTAGTGAAGAAAAACGTTTGGAAGAAGCAAATGTTCAAAGTATTGTGTGAATTCTTGGAATCAAGATTGAAGCGTGTAAATGTGAAATGGAACGAAGAAAAGAAAAAGGAAAAGACATCAAGGAAATGTTTTCAGGAGATGAATTCAGAGATGAGTAATAAAACTAGAGGATTAAACTTGTTTAATGGTGGATACTCTTTTCTGCTAATTAAAAATTTGGGAAAATTAAATGAGCTTCAACTATCCACATTAAGAAAACGTTGCATTATTTTATTACTTTTAAAGTATGTATACTTGTGGAAAGAACTAAATTTAAATGTGCATGCGTTCGCCTTATCATCTGATGAAAGTTATCATGAGACAGGATTAGGTGACAGTAGGATGATCCCACTTAGTGAGTACTTGTCTAAATGTGCCATGTTTCAATTTTCTACCTTTGAACTTCCTCCATTCTTGCATGAATCTAAGAGGTGTCAAGTTTTAACACATCTTTTGAAAAAAAAAAAAATGAAATATACGAAGATTGATGTAAAAAATGTAGCAAAAATTACGAACAGTTTTAGCAAAAGTATGCTAGAAAAGTTGTGTAGAGATGAGTGTCGAGAGAGATTTATTTATGCAATGAAAAAGAATGAGAAGGGGATGAAGGAGATGGAAATGGGGAAGATGGAGATGAGGGAAATGGAGATGAAAGAGATGGAGATGAAAGAGATGGAGATGGAAGAGATGGAGATGAAAGAGATGGAGATGAAAGAGATGGAGATGAAAGAGATGGAGATGAAAGAGATGGAGATGAAAGAGATGGAGATGAAAGAGATGGAGATGAAAGAGATGGAGATGAAAGAGATGGAGATGAAAGAGATGGAGATGAAAGAGATGGAGATGAAAGAGATGGAGATGAAAGAGATGGAGATGAAAGAGATGGAGATGAAAGAGATGGAGATGAAAGAGATGGAGATGAAAGAGATGGAGATGAAAGAGATGGAGATGAAAGAGATGGAGATGAAAGAGATGGAGATGAAAGAGATGGAGATGAAAGAGATGGAGATGAAAGAGATGGAGATGAAAGAGATGGAGATGAAAGAGATGGAGATGAAAGAGATGGAGATGAAAGAGATGGAGATGAAAGAGATGGAGATGAAAGAGATGGAGATGAAAGAGATGGAGATGAAAGAGATGGAGATGAAAGAGATGGAGATGAAAGAGATGGAGATGAAAGAGATGGAGATGAAAGAGATGGAGATGAAAGAGATGGAGATGAAAGAGATGGAGATGAAAGAGATGGAGATGAAAGAGATGGAGATGAGAGAAATGGAGATGAAAGAGATGGAGATGAAAGAGATGGAGATGAAAGAGATGGAGGAGTATCCCCCATTCTACAAAACACTGAATTTTCAGAACGAATCGCATGCCTTTATCCATACTCACGAAGTTGAATTGTATAAAAAAAAAAAGATATATAGGAATTTTAGAAAAAGTGCACTTGGTAAAAAAACACACGGATTGTATGAAGTCATAGGAGAAGAGGATCTGATACACAAGCTAAGAAAAGAAGTATTACACCACTTTACTTCTAACTGTGGAAAAGAGAATAAGATGATGCATAATGAATACAGGATTATGAAACTACCTCCCGCTTCTCCCGCTTCTCCTGCTTCTCCCGCTTCTCCCGCTTCTCCCGCTTCTCCCGCTTCTCCCGCTTCTCCCGCTTCTCCTGCTTCTCCCGCTTCTCCCGCTTCTCCCGCTTCTCCATCTGCTCCGTCTGCTCCGTCTGCTCCTCCTCCGTCACCCTGTTTTCCCAGTTATGACAAGAGGAAAAGAGGCATTTCTACACCTCCTGTTGGAATATTAATACACGGAAAAAGTGGATCTGGAAAAACATTCATATCCCGAAGAATCATTGATGAATGTAATTGTACCTCTATGATTATTAACTGTTCACAAGTTTTCAATAAAATTATGGGAGAGTCAGAAAAATTCTTAAACGAAATTTTTGTGTATGCAAAAAATAAATTAGGACCGTGTATCATTCTATTTGATGGAATAGAAAATATTTGCTTTAACACGAACCAACATACTTCATATCAGATGAATAGATTTGCAGAGAGATTAAAATTATGTTTTTATGAAAATATGGATAAAATATTTTTTGAAAATAAATGGGGTACCAATAAAACAAATGCAGGAAATGTATTAATCATAGCTACAACTACCGACCTTGCCGATGTAGATGCAAATTTATTAACAGAACATAGATTAAAATATGTATATCAAACGAAGGATTTCCATCTATGGGATGATAAAGATGTGTTTAAGCTTCTTCGTAACAGCTTGCAAAGTCATAATGTGAATTCGGACAATTTCGTTTTCTCCCAGGAATTTGAAAATTTTTTTAATGGATTCATTTTAAATCACAAAGAGGACTTTTCACCCCTTTTCATTTCGAATTTGTGTCGCGACGTTTTTACTGGATACGTGCGACGCGTCCTCTCTCATGAAGGTTAGGAACAGTTCATCGGTTTCTCTTACACAGATACGTGTTCATGCACATGTATGTGCTTATGTACTGAGGGGAGAGAGGGGGGCTAGGGCGTTGGAGGAACCCATTTTCCGTTTCTCCCTAGATGTGCATAAACGGGAGGCAGATGTGAGAAATGTTAGCTAGCTCCTGCTAGACCCCTTTTTGAAGGAATTAACCAAAATATAGATGTGTAGAAGATGTAGATGTAGATGCACATGTTCGTGTGTTGAATTTTGCGTGCACGCGTTCCTTATTTCGTCTTACTACACTAGTGCGAACTAAATCGAATAAAAAAGGAAGTAAAATGAATGAGAAAAAAAAAAAAAAAAATAATACTATGAATAAACGAACGAATGAGCGAGTGAAGAAGCACGTGGGGCAATTTAAAATGTAACGGCCTTTTTTTTTTCCTTTTCGTAGGATATGAACCAAATCATGGAATAAAAGTGGAGGATTTTATCATAGCCCTTAGAAATGCAAGTCCCTGAAAATGATGAGTCAGAAATATCTGAACACACGTGGGTAGGTATATTACACAGTTTTCCCGTATGCACTGGTTCTTGTAAACCTGTACGCAAAATTTTGCTTCTTCCTTGTGAAGCAAATCTTTGCTGTCCGTTGTTATACTCTACTGTGGGCCAAGATAATAATGGTAAAACGTGAATGTTGAATTTTTTTTTTACTTCATTGTTTTTATCATTTTATATATATATATATATATATATATATATTTTTATATTCTTTTTTTCTATATTTTTTTCTTATTTTATTTCATTTTATTTTAGGTACCCCATCATTTTTGTGAAAAAATAAGAGCAAAAAAGAATGGAAGTGAAACAAAGAGGAGAGAAAGTTTAAATTGCATATTTTAAGTTCTCACATTTTGTTGTGCTTTTCTATCCTTTCTGTTTTTTTTTTTTTTTTTTTTTCCTCACATTTTCCAACTTGTTTATTTATTTTTTTTTTAGTGTATTTTTTTTTTTTTTTTTTTCATTAACTCGTGTTTTGCTGAAATTATTTAATTTTCCTGCATTAAAGTAATTCATTTTGATTATGTTCCACATTTAACCTTTTTTAATTAATCTCTCTATTTAGCTTCTTTTCATGTACTTAACATTTTAACGCATTTAACTTTTCAACCCTTTTAATTCTTTTTCTTTGTCCAAAACACTCGATATATAGTGTATAATTCACACCTCTCTTTGCATTAGATTCTTCTCACATTTTTTTTTTTTTTTTTTTTTGTGTGTGTTTAAAATGATACATTTCCAAGTTAGAGGGAAAACTTCCAATAGTTTGCTTTGTTCTTTTAAAAGTCTATTTTTTCCACTTGTAAACTTCAAATGCCCTGAAAATTCCCAAAATTGTAATTTTTTTTTTTTTTTTACTTAAAAAAAGGCCCCGGTGAATTATTTTTGTTCATAACAGCACAAGTGTGCTATTCCTTAAGTTTGAATTTATATTTTTTTTCAGAACGTTTCACTCCCATGGCATCAGATTCGAAGAGTTATGTTAACTTGAGTGGATACCAAATTCCAAAGTGAGTAGAAGAAATAAGAATTTATCTGAGGGGATAGAGAGAGACTAAAAATGGATATTTTCCATGTAGAGAGAGGAAAAGGAGGATATTGTCCAATTATTTATGCAACATTTTAATTATTTTGCGTACATTTGTCATGCGGTATGTGTCACGCGCTGTTTGTCATATGTCATGTTTTTTTGTTTTTTTTTCCCCGATACAGAACAGTGTTCGATGACTTGAGTCCGATAGAAAGACATAAACTTATGATGTCATTACGTCATCTGGAAAAAACCAAAGTAGAAAATAATCAAGAGAAATATCTAAGTGATTACGACATTTTGAAGAAAAAATACCAATTTGTTCATGATGTGGTAAGGAAAAAAAAAAAGAAAAAAAGAAAGGAAAAAAAATAACCAATTTATGAATCGACAGCTATTCTTCCTTTTCCCATATGATCCACCCATTTTGTATATAAAAGGATCATACCATTCTACACCACTTTTCATCAATATCCTATTTCTCTTAGTCCACAGAAAATAACTCCCTATTGCAAAAATATTATAAGAGCATATGTAACAAGTACGTCATATGTTACTTGGATGAGTACAAAGTAAAGAAGGTATTGTCCGCACTTATCTGCATTGCCCACGTGTTACGTATATCACTGTCTTTACATAATTGAAGAAGTATTTTTTTACCTTATTACTTCGATGTTTCTTTGTTACTTCTCTGTGTATTTGTTACTCCACTGTGTCTTTGCTACTCCACTGTTTTTTTGCTACTCCATTGTTTTTTTGTAACTTCTCTGTGTCTTTGTTACACCCGTTCCCTGCTGCTTCCTTTCAACGCCACTTCATCATCTGTTTTCATTCTTTTTCGATATTATCACGGGTGCTTCTCACAGATCGGACTAAGGTGGAGAACAGAAGAAGAAATTGTTAGTGGAAAGGGACACATTATATGCTCATCCAACGAATGTGACAATACAAATTTGAATACATATGAATTTATGTTTCGCTATTCCGAGGAGGGCATAGAGAAGGAGGTAATAAAAATAGCCCATTTGCGTGTCCCAGGATATGCACTATTGCACTCGTTTTTACTCTTCCAATTTATATACATGTGTTAATAATTTAGTGCGCACTTGTTCATAATTTTGTGCGCATTTGTTCATAATTTCGTGCGCATTTGTTCATAATTTCGTGCGCATTTGTTCATAATTTCGTGCGCATTTGTTCATAATTTCGTGCGCATTTGTTCATAATTTCGTGCGCATTTGTTCATAATTTCGTGCGCATTTGTTCATAATTTCGTGCGCATTTGTTCATAATTTCGTGCGCATTTGTTCATAATTTCGTGCGCATTTGTTCATAATTTCGTGCGCATGCATCCATTTCATTCTTTCCTTCAACCCATGTGACCGAAACAAAATTGTAGACCAAGGTGAAACTTCGGGCTTGTATGGACTGTGCATACAAAATTAATTACAGGGCAATTAAAAAATACCTCAAAAAAAATCCCAAGGAAAAGGTGAATAAAGAAAAACGAAAAAAGGAGAATTGCACATTGGGCAAGAGACAAAGGTGCGATAAGGGTCACAGCAAAAGTGAAAGCAACAAATTGAGTAGTGATGACAACGGCGAGGGTCGAAGCAAGAGCGGAAGTGAACATGGTCATTGATGAAGGTTTGGAGGAATGCATGGAGGAAGACATAGACCAAGACATAGACGAAGATATTGACAAAGTTGCTAGAGAAGAAGCCTCCTTATAGCCTTAAACATACAAAGTGATCGCTTAAAATTCAAGAAAAGCAAAATGGTGTATTATGTAAAAATCCATTCTTACAAAAATTAACAGTTGATTTCTTTTTATTTCCATCTGCCCATTTTTTCCAAAATTTTTGAAAAGGGAAAAAAAAAAAATTCCGCTGATTTATTATTATATTGAAAGGAAGCTTGAAAATATATTCCTCAAAAAAAAAAAAAAAAAAAAAAAAAAAAGGAAAAGTAAGGGAGGACAAGAATGAAAAATGAAATAAATATTTCCCCATTTTATCCATTTAGTGAAAAAAGGAAATGTTGCATATACCATAAACTTGTATACCATGTGTGTGTGTGTGTCAGAAATTTCCACTCGAACGAACAATGTGAGATTAATTCATACCATCCACATAAAATAAATTCCCATATTATATACAACACGCAAGGAAATATTTACAATTTTTTCAGTAAGAATTGTTGGATTTCTTTATCTTAAGCAGACATCATAATGCTGTATTATTTTATTATTTTTTTTTTTTTTAATTTATTTGTTATCTTGTTATTTTACCGCGTTTATATTTGCATGCTTATTTGCAGTTGTATTTTCCTTCTTCACCTTTTTCATTTTCTTCCCCCTCGTCTTTTTTTTTTTTTTTTTTTTTTTTGTTTTGTTTTGTCAACTATACTATTACTCATTAATGATATAAACAAGTAATAACTTTAAAACTCTTTAATTATGTGAGTCTTTATCAAAAATATCAAGGTATATAAATTAACATTTCCCTATACTTCAAAGAACGTGTAACGGTTTGTGCATGTGAGGGAACTTAAAAAGGGAGTGCAATGGGAAACATCCAGGCGAAAGGGAAAAAAAAAAAAAAAAAAAAATAATAAATAACAAATATTAAAGTATAAAATATAGAGTATAAAACATATGAACCTTAAAAAACACACTTTTTTAAATTATAGAAGCGGCAAAGCTTTTCAACTAACCCATTGTACCTCATTCCCCAGAGCCTTGTCTTCACCCAGAAAAAAGGCTTATTCACATGATTGTATATTCGAACAGATCGAACAAGAAAAGTAATGTACATTTTTGAAGAACCCAACGTGAGACCGTTTCAGATGTTTCACAGCTCGTGAACTATATCTAGACATACACGTCCATCAGGTTGTATCAATCTACCTCTAGTACACACAAAAAATTGCGTATGAATGCATATATATAAAAACAAAGGGAATTACACACATTAAGAATAAAAATGCAAACCTGAGAACATGCAATGAAGCCTATGAAGTATGAACACAAGGGAAGCATCTACAATGAAATAACGAAGCAAACAAGTTATGCCCAAAATAAAGACATGCTGAGTAAAACAAAATGGTTAGGAATTTTTTCCATTTCTGTGATTATAGACTGGTTAAACAGTCTGCTACTGAGTAAAAAAATTTTAAATGAAAAAAATATATACGAAGAATTAAAGAATGGATTTTTAATTTTGAAATTAATTCAACTTTATAATCCTCAAATGAAAATTCATGGAATATTCCCAAAAGCAACAGAAAAAAAATGTTCTATACAAAATTTAGAAAAAGCATTATCAATTGTTTATGGGAATAACCCATATTACTACTCTATGGTTTCTTCGTTAGATATATATGAAAAGAAGAAGAACAAAATTCACATATTATTAATACAACTTTTTAACAAATTTGAATTCCAAATTTTGAAAAAAATTTCAATTCCTTTATTAAATTGGTATAATCTCACACTTCAGAAGTTTCAATTACAACTTCATAATGAGACATTAAGCAACCCTTTCAACGTCCCTCCAAAGAAGTTACTGATCAATTGTTCCATAAGTGACGGTTGTCATGGTACGAACCATTACAATACAGATGTTTTTTTTGAAGAGAACAACTCTCATGTTTTGAAGAAATACAAAATAGGAAATACAAGATGGAAAGCTCATGTATTGAAAAACTTTGCAACGTATGTTCTATTTAAGGATAAAGAAGAAAGAGAAAGGAAAGAATGTACTACTACTACTATTGCTACTACTACTCCTCATATTGTTGAAGATTTTTCAGATTGTGTAAAAATGTTTTTAATATTTTACAGATATGGTTATATAACTCAAGAACAACTCATGCATGTAGATAAAGTAGATATAAGAAACAAATACTTTTTTCTACAAAATTTGCTGACAAAATTGAATATCCCAGTTATTTTAAAAAATCAGTATCTTAATAATCCTTGCGAAGTTGCAATTCTTCTGCAGTTAAAATTTATACAATTTTTCATCCGTAACAATGATTATGAAAGAGCTATTGATTTGAGTGGGACATACTTCATTCCTGACTTGTTAAGGCAAAACGTGCAAAAAACGCAAAAAAAAAAAAAAAAAAAAAAAGAATTAAATTGCACACAAAATTCCTTCCCCATCAACTCATCAAATGACGGCTACTACTCCTCTGTAAATCCAATTAGCGAGAACCTGAAAAAGTACGAAGAAACCGAGCTGAACCAGTGTAACGATATTTGCACCTACTCCAGCTTTGCAGCTTTTGATAAGCAGAAACAAGCATATACACAGTTACACACTAAAATAGCTATTTCTGGGTTGAATAACGAAATTAAAACTAGCCCAAATGATTTTCTGACTTGTGCAGAAGAAAAAAAAAAAAAAAAAATTCTCAACAAGAAGCAATTTTCCGAAGATACAAAGGAAAATATTATTCCGATGTGCAAAGGTTTAGAAATGGATATATTCAGACGAACACCCACATGGGTCATACGAAAAATGTTTTATCAGCATGATGAAGAACTTGCACATGATGATGTCTACATTCAGACAAGATCACGTGAAGAAAAATAAAAACATAATAATGATTTCAAAAAAAAAAAAAAAAAAATGAAACAATCAGAAAGGGTCAATGGATGGACGCTCGTACAAAGATCCTGCACAATTGCAAAAAAAAAAAAAAAAAAAAAAAAAAAAAGGCACGTGCACGTACAAAAACGGCACAATTAAGTATATGATTATTTGATATTCAAGAACGCTCACCAAGCGCTGGTTAACATGAAGGAAAGGAATAACACAACAAAAAAAGAAAAAATGGGATATGCGTGCGAAAACAAGAAAATAAGCGAGGTGAATATGCAAGCGATTAAGGAGTAAATATATAACCCTTGAGAAAAAGGCTGTGTGCTTCTTTGGAAAGCAGTTTTCTTACAGACTGTGCGGTCCCAAAAAAAATAGCGCAAAAGCAAACAAATAGATAAATAAATATATATATATATATATATATATATATATATATACATATATATGTGTGTATGTATATGTGTATGCATGTATATACATGCAAAAGAAAAATAGTTGGAAAGGATTATCCTTGATCATGCCAAATTATGCAAAATGGTTCCATTGGTGAGGGGAAAATGTTAGGACTAAAATAAACGCAGCTCATACGAAATAAAAAAAAAAGTAATAATCTCAAAGATATACAAAGAAATGTATACACATCCATCAGCATATTTGTTTTTTTTTTTTTGCACAATTCAGCTAAAGCCTAAAAAAATAACAATAATTTTATGGGAGAAAGAAGCAGAATGTGCATTACAATTTGTTAAAGAAATTTAATATCTATCTTTATGTTATTTTGTTAAACACAATCTCAGAGGCACGCGTGTGACTGGCTTTATGCTAGAGCACTTGATATAAATCTTATTTTTAAAATGCTCAAGTTATATTACTTTTTTAACTCATAGATGGGCAAAACGAAATATTCTGAAATAGCATTTTTTTCAAAAGTTACTACGTCCGAAAAATAAAAGTTTTAACAAAAAAAAAAAAAAAATATACATATATATATTTATATATATAGTATATGTATATACATCATCATTACGGAGAATGCACGAAAATATGTTCCATCATGGGTTGATAAGTTCGCGCCAAGTACTACCTTAGAAATTTTTAAGGTTTCGCAATGAGTTCATAGTAGTGCATAAAAAAGTGCGCAAAAGTGATTAGAAGAAACACGGATTTAAAGGTAGATATCTCTATCACACAGACTCTTTGTGCGTACATATATACACATATACCGTTTTGTATAAGATACCGATATGAATAGATGCACCTGCACATGTACTTTTAATTTATATATGTACACGAAAGGCGCTTGAAAAAAGCGAAATTGTTCCATGCATGTTCACATTTTTGCGCGTAGTATTATAAGCCTATTATAATGCTATTCTCCTAAGGGATTAAAAACAAAATTCAAGATTTTTTCTAAGTTTTAATGCAGTAATGGGAATCATTTACCTTAAATAAATTTAAAACATAATCCACAAAGTTACTGTTTCGTAATTTTTAAAAATATATATTTCTCCATATTTTCCTGCTTCCGTCAATGGAGAATGTATAAATTCAAAGATTATAAATAATAGAATAAAATTTAATTTACATATTGCCTTTTTATAAACAGTTTGTCATCATAGTACAATTTCTGAGGATTTTTGTAACAGGAATTATTTTTTATTCTTGTTACTTCGTTTTTTTTTTTTTTTTATAATTTTACTTTCCCTTATTTGTTTTATTTATTTATTTTTTTTTTTTTGATCTTTTTTTTTTTTTTGTTTTTGCTTGTTAATGTGTTGTGCGAATAATAGTAACGTATTTTTATGCACATGTACATAACATATAATCGATATTGAATTTCCGAACAAATTGGGAAATAAAGAGAAAATTAAATATCTTTACCATGAACAAAAATGTACATGTGCAAGTCGAAAAATGTGAACGTAAAAAGTATCACATTTGACTGAGAAATGAATATGGACCACTTGAGTTACATTTACAATTTCAAGGCATTTTTCCTTGCGTCACATTGTTATATATATATATATATATATATATATATATATGTTGATGGTACATTGATACACATTTAGGATTATACGTTAATTTATATCACCATAAAGTACGCGTTGCGATTACGATTGCGAAGCACACACGTAAGGATATACAAATGTATGTGAACACGAACTCACCCATTTGTGAACACACATACAAAACGTACACATAAACAAACACTCATTTAAGTTTGATCAGCACTTGCGTATGAAAAAATAAATAAAATAAAATAATCTGGTGGCAAAATGGCAAAATTATGACAAAGTACCAGTTATTATAATCAAAATGCAAAAAGAGACATTTTGCAGCCTCAAATTTAAAAAAAAACAAAAACTCATGAACTTTTTCTCTCAAATTGTTTTTTATGATTACTTTTTTTTTTTTTTTTATATATATCGTATATAACATAATTACAAATGCATTACACATGTGTCCTCTTTCAAGTTACATTATATATGCTCACAAAAAAAGAGTTCATAACTCTGACCTTAACAAAAAAAAAAAAAAAAAAAAAAAAAAAAGATAAAACAAAAGAAAGAATGGATAAAATAAATTCAAAATCTTATTGTCATTTTTGCGAATATGTATGAACAAATTAGCTTTTTTTTTTTTTTTTTTTTTTTTTTTTATTCGTCGCAATGTGTTTAAAGGTTTTTTTTTATGTGTTGACAGCTTTTTACCTGTATGTTCATGTTTTGTTTATTTTTCATACATTTTATACATTTAGTATACATTTTAAACATTTCGTATATTTTAAACATTTAGTACACTTTATACATTTTGTACACATTTCACACTTTTCACATGTTTCACATTTTATACACTTTTCACACTTTATACATTTTGTACACTTTTCACACTTTATACATTTTGTACACTTTTCACACTTTATACATTTTGTACACTTTTCACACTTTATACATTTTTTACCTTTTGTACATTTCGTACATTACGTAAAATTCCTCACAGCTCTAACATTTCTTAGCATCCCTACGCTTACAACTTTTCCTTGTGCACATTTTGTGACTTATTTTTCGCATCTTGCGCATTTTGCCAATCCTGCTTGGGCCATATGCGCTTTTCCTTTTCCCTAGACGTTTTTGCACTTTTCCCCCACTTTAAAAAAAAAAAAAAAAAAAAAAACACACACACAGTTTTTCTTTTTTTTGTGCTTCATGAATTTGTAAACACTTTTTTTCAAAATTATGAGTTTTAAATTGCGAATTTCAAGCGATAAACAATATACACAACGCTCACAGAAGACCTCCATTGTTTGCTGCCCATCACACGCATATGAATGACTAAATGAATGAATGCACTTGCACAAAGATTTAGCTTTTTATATCTTGTCCTAACAACTTGCTATTTTTTTTTTTTTTTTTTTTTCATTGTCCAATATATTTTTCCCCCTTTTCGTATCCTATAATATATCACCAGCATTGGGGGATGCTTCTCCCCTCCTTCCTTTTATTGGCATCCAACTTTTAAAGTACATATTTTTATATACATAATTTAAATGAATTAAAAAAATGATTACTTAATATGAACAACCATTTTCCCAAGTTCTCTTTTATTTAATTGCATAAATCTTTAAATCATTTTGGAAAAATATACTAGCGTGGTGGCATGCGTTATGACCGACGGGCGCGGGGGGTCAGCGTTCATCTGTGCTACAAGGATATATATATAAATATACTTCCGAATGTGTGAATATTCTTATGTATATGTTCATATGTTAGTAAGTGTGCATTGACCCATGTAGACAGATGAATGTACATATATTTGCATATGCATGTGCACAAGCTTTGCGCACCCGCAAAATTTGCCGAAATTCTCTACCTTCACAATGAAAAAATGAGAAATAACGAAAATCGAAAACGTAGAGTATTGAATTCACGAGTGAATTTTTGTTCACACATTGATCAAATTTTTCTCGTATTGTTCTCATATATTGCTTGTATATTTATCCTATACACTCTCTCACATTTATCGCATACTTCTCTCTCATATTTCTCGTATTTTTTATTTTTTTTTTTTTTTGATATCCTATTTAACGATGTTTAGCAATTTCCCCCATCTTTACCATTGCAAATTCTTCACAACGCCAAAGGCTACGCATGTGAAGATATAAATTTTTTTCTAGTTCAACAAGTCTACACACAATTTTCAGCCCCAATACATCATTGCATACTAAAATTACTAAACATTGTACTTTTTGTGTATTTTTTCGATCTAATTTTTAGTAGAGTATTGGTGTACAAATTGTTTTATTGCACTCGATTGGACTGTTTGTTATATTTTACTACATATTGCCATCTTGCATTATATATATATATATTTTAATATATTTTAATTTAAAAAAAAAAAATCTGTTCTTACAAAATCTTGTAACATACTTGCTTTATTTTACACAATACATCATTTTCTTTCCTTACTTTGTAAAGACAGTATATAAAGGATACACAAAAAAACAACGTGGATGGTTACATTGGTTCAATTTATGCATAATAAAGTTTATTATTATGTTAATTTTTTTTTTTTTTTTTTTTTTTTTTTTGTTCCGTTGTATATATTATACTTATCTTTCGTAAGGAATTAATGTGTCCTTTGAAGGACTTTGTCATTTCTCTTACCTGACGTCTGTACGACATTTTGGCTTTTCACATTTTCCTTCAGTTTAACTGTTTCTTTGTGTAATTTTTACACCATATCCCGTTAATGATAACCGCTATATGACAATTTTTTTTTTTTTTTCTTTTCTTTTTATGACGAATAATTTAATTACAAGGGGTCAATAGATTGATCCGCAGATGTGATCAATGTGTGCAAACACGCATATATACAAGTATATGCAAATATATATCTTTGTGTTCTTGTTCGTTTTTTTTTTTTTTTTTTTTTTTTTTTTTTTTTTTTTTTTTTTTTTTTTACATTTTACCAAGTAGGTGCAGAGGTATATGTACATACATATACACATGCACATACTCATATGTGTGTGTTTGTAATTCACAACTAAATAAAGTAAGACATAATCAGAATTATATATCCATTGAATATCCAGCATGCACATATATGTGTATGCACTGGGTCCATTTTATTGTCAAATTAAAACTTCGAGTGTAGGAGTTTAAAGATCGCTCTGATCGAATGTAAATATCAAGATTACAGTTTAAAACACAGAAAAAGAACAAAACAAAATATATAGAAAAGTACAGGAATGTGAAAGAGTACATCACACTAACCCTTTTTTGACAATTCATCCAGAATTTACAATCCACGACTTAACACATTAGATAAAAGTGCAATTCTGCACCGTGATCATATATTTGCATAATCCCCTTGCGAATATACATATGTATATATATATATGTATATACATACCCATACATATACATACACACCTGTACATATAAAATATAAAGAATGATTGAAACCACGGGGGAAATTAAGTACACAAAATCGAAAACGATTGTTTGTGATAGCAGTAACGGTGGGGATGATGATGATTCGAACAACTATCTATCCTTGAAATATGAAAAAACGCTAGATCTGGAAAAGGAAAATGATAAAAGTAACACTTTGAATAATAAGGGGAAAAAATGCAAAAATGATGAACAAAATTTCTCTATAAAGAGTAATACGACTACAGAATCACCAAAAAAAGATACTTATGATGATAAGATGGAAGGCATAATTAATGGAGGTAGTAAATACTTTGATTTGGATTCCAAAATGATTAAGAAAACTAGTCAGGAAAATTCAAGTCATAAGGGAAATAGAACATCTCCACAAAATACAGACATATGGGAGGAAAAGTGCAACAATATATGTATGGGAGGAAAGATAGATTATGACATTTTATCGAATGATAATATGTATAGTAAGAATGTGATAAGTACAAAATATTACGACAATGCTGAGTGGAGTTGCACAGTTAGAAGTGCAGATAGTAACGATGCAAATGGATGTAACAATGTATCAACAAAAAAATATGAAGAATCCTCCATGTATAGAGATGATGATGATGAAGAAGGTAAGAAGAGGTATGAAATGTCTGACTCGTTAGGAAAAGTACAAAGACATAACACCTTTGTGGAAGATTATGAAAATGTGATGATGGACAAAAAGGAAATATTCTCAAAAAATTTGGAACATGCCACAAAGAAGAATAAAATTGATAGGGATGGCAATAATAAAGGAAATAACAGTGGCAATAACAGTGATAATAGTGTTAAGAGAGATTACAAAAATGGGTATGCTAATATGAATAAGGAAAAAAAAGACTATAACAATGAAGTTATTTTTTCGAAGGAAGATGATAATAATATACTTAATAATGAAACAAGTTATACTTTATATTTACATGCCAATAAGGATAGTCTAACGTCAAGTATAAATTGTGAAAATAACAATAGTAACATTACAGATAAATTTAAGAATGAAACTCAAAATGAGGAAGTTAACCAATCTGATGATGGAAAAGGAGAAAGTTTAATGAAATATTATGAAAAATTTCTCTCAAAGAAAGATAGTGGATTCGATGAAGATGGTAATGATAATTTGATTGATCATCTTTTTCAGGATAAAAACAAAAAATGTAACTCAGAAGATGATTCTGGATTCCATAGTGGGATACAAAAGAATGAGGAAAAAATGAAAGAATGCAATATGAATAATAAAGATTTCTTATACGAAGTGAAGGAAGATTTAAAAGGTATAACAAGTAATCAAGATATTTTTAATGAAATGGAAAATGTGAATGACAGTACCACAGAATGTACTTCTTCTGTTAAGGATATACCCATATTTATTGGTAAACATGCAGGTGTATATGAAAATAGACCAAATGAGAAAATAGAGAATTCAGTAAATTCAATGAATTCAGGAGATTTTACTACCTACAAAGATGTTAATAGTACAGAGTACAAGAGTTTTAATTCAACAAAATTTTTTCACGGGGAAAATGAAATAAAGTTAACTTTTAACAATTCAGAATATAGCACGGTTGTAAATAATGCATCTATGTCTGTCGCAAATAATGCATCTATGTCTGTCGCAAATAATGCATCTATGTCTGTCGCAAATAATGCATCTATGTCTGTCGCAAATAATGCATCTATGTCTGTCGCAAATAATGCATCTATGTCTGTCGCAAATAATGCATCTATGTCTGTTGCAAATAATACGTCCATATCTGCTGAGAATGAGGATGAAGAAAAAAGCGCATTCGAAATTCTCCTTGAGGTGGGGGCGTATAATAACAGAGCTGGAGGAAGTCAATACTTTCCAGCTAGCCATAATATTAATCCCCATTGTGGTCCTCTAGACCCTAATAATGAAAATGGGATCGAAAGGAAATACACCGTGAGTGAGAAAAGGATAGAGCGTGAGAATGAGATAGGCCAGTCAAACATCCCTATAAACAGCCACATAAGCAGCAACAAGGTTAACAACGACAGTCGAAATTACAACCCAAATAAGAGGGACTCTTTTCAGGAGGAATTATTTTACAAAAAGAAAGAAATACATTCTGGTAAGGAAGGAGAAAATATGAAAGAGAAAAATGAAAGCACGCTGAGAAATAGCCAAATTCTTGAATATTCAAAAAAGGAAAATGAAGAATCATTAGAAGAATATTTCAAGAGCACAATTCCGGATAACATTCTAAGGAATATAAAATATGAAAATCCATCGAATACATTCAACGACATTGCAAACAATACTTCTCATTATGATTTGACAAGCGCGCTTAGAATCAACAATCCATCGAATATGTTTTATGCATCTGGACGGAATAGAGAAAAGGGAGAGAGAAAAGGAGGAGAAATGATAACCCCTGCAACAAGTGTAGGAGTTTCACACATGGGTCTCAGAAGCAGAGGAGGTGGAGCAGCAGCAGCAGCACGTAGAGATGCTTACCACCACACGCAAGGTGAAAATGTAGTAGACTCCCGAGAAGAAGTTCAGATGAAGAGAAAACAGAACAATGGGAATTACAACTGTGCAAGCAGTGGAGGAAATATGGGAAACATGGGAAGTATGGGGAACAGTAGCTATAATTCGAATAACTACGGGAATTATTATAACAATGAGAAGGATTTAGGAATGGTGAGTAGAAACACGAGAATGTGCAATGAACCTGAATCGAATTACGCATCTGGGAAGAGATACTACTTGTTGCCTCCCAAGAAATGTGACGCCATGAAGGAACAGAAAAATCAAGTGTTGATGATATCCAAGCAGAAGATAAAGAAAATTTGGAATAAATTTAAGGGAACGCCACCCAAAGAACAGAACCTCATTCCGACATTTGAAAATGAGCAGAATTTGTTTTCTAACATGGATGTTCTGCAAGGTCCTAGGTTTCTCTCTCAGAGGCATACACAAGTGTCACCACAAATGGGTATGCAAAAGAATTCCCAGATGAATGCCAAGATGAATGCACATGTGAATGCCCAGATGAATGCGCATGTGAATGCCCAGATGAATGTGCATGTGAATGCCCAGATGAATGCACATGTGAATGCCCAGATGAATGCGCATGTGAATGCCCAGATGAATTCCCATATGAATGCCCATATGAATTCCCATATGAATGCCCATATAAATACCCCAATGCATAGCGAAATTTACGGCCTGTCCTCACCACTTCTAACGAATAACCAAAGCAATAGAGCTTTGATGAGCCCATTCAAAGACTGCATAAACAAGCCCATACAACGAGGAAACAATATGATAGAAAAACAAATAAAAGCAAAGTGTATATTTAATTGGAAATTGGCTCAAAAATCACTGTTAAAAATGCTGCATAGTGCACACAATTATTATTTTAACGGGGTAAAATATTCAGATTGGCAATTGACATGTATCCCTACATTGGGTTTTTCAAAATCTAGTAATAGAGTACAACAGATGTGCAAAGCAGTAATTCCATCAAACGATGGGAAGAATAAGAATGAAGTAAAATTATTTTTAAAAAAGGTACCTATATATATATGGGTAAAACAATTTAATTTAATGAATGAATATGATGGTGAGTATGTAACAGATGGGGAAAATTTTGTAATGGAAGCTACATCTTTAGCATTTTTAAATGATTACCATCCAGGAATAACTCCAAAGTTACATAAAATTTTGTATGAACCAGATTCCAAACAATTAAATGAATATAATAATATTCCTCCGAAATCTATGTTTAACAGTTTGACATTATTTAATGATATATTAACCGAACGACTGAAATGTAATATGAGTGGAAATATTGTAATTGTTTCTGAATTTTTTAGTGAAGATATATTAGATTTTATAGATAGAAGACAGAAAAAGTTAAATATGAAAATAAATAATAATGAGAAGAGTTACATATTATATCAATGTTTAAAATTATTAATAAGATTACATGATGCAGGTTTATCACATTTGGATTTGACACCAGAAAATATTTTAATTTCTGAAAATTATGAGATGCGTTTATGTGATTTGTCCAAAAGTACCCCAATATATACATACAATTTGAGACATATAAAAGATACGAACAGATTGTATTTATTCGAATCATGTGAACCTACTATTGCAAAAGGAGCTTATATGCCCCCTGAATGTTGGAAAATCTATTGGAAATATGATACTATGAAAATTAAAAACCCATTGAAAGATTTAAAAAATATTACTGATCAAGAAAAAAGAAAACAATTCTATTTTGATGTTTCAAGTGCCGACAAATTTATGCTGGGAGTTTTCTTCTTCTGGATATGGACAAATGGAAATTTGTGGAAATGCTCAGACCCTCTGCAGGATGAAGACTTTTTTTATTTTGTCAAATGTGATATGAATTTTGACAAGTTCGAATTGACACGCAAATGGCCAAGTGAATTGAAGAACATAATTAAGGTATAAATCTCTTCACAATTCAGCAGATTCGATAGCGCATGAAATGGGCAATTGACTGCGAAGGGTGGAGAGAGAGGGGGGGAGGGGGGGGGGAGACATGACGAACACCCGACCCAAGTGTTCGTACCTGTGTATATGTGCAATATGTTAGCTTTTTGTATTTCATTTCTCCTATTTAGTATGTATATTTTTGCATCAATTTTTTTTTTTTTTGGTGCTCACGTTATATAGACCCATATTCCACCCATTTTCATTCTTCCTGCACCTTTTACAGCAACTCCTACACGCAGAGCATAGAAAAAAGCTAAACCTGAAGGATCTCAGCATTCACCCATGGTGGTCTTGCAAATTGCAGTGACATTCGTTCGAGAGGGGTAGAAAAAAAAGACTCGACACCAGGAAATTATATACATAAATATATATATATACGCCCATACATCATATACATATATGCAATAAAGAAAGGCACGTATGCTGATTGATCCACATGAATGAACTCCTTTTATGTTGCTTTTTTTCTGTGTGAGATATTTTTAAAGTGAATACGTGTGAGCCCTTCTTCTGCTTTACAACTTTTTTTTTTTTTTTTTTTTTTACAACTTTTTTTTTTTTTTTTTTTTTTTTTTTTTTTTTTTTTTTTGAAAACCCTTTTCCTTTTTTTTTTTTTCATTTTTTTTTTTTTTTTTTTTTTTTTTTTTTTTTCCTCCCCCCCCCCCCTTTTTTTCTTTTTTTTTTTTTTTTTTTTTTTTTTTTTTTTTTGTCCCATTTTGAAACTCTAATTTTTTGTCATTTTTTAGTACTATTATTAAGTTGTGAAAACCCATGAGTCAAAAAAAAGGTTGCAAGGGCCTTTTTATAGTTTTTTACTATTAATATATTTTTTTTTTTTTTCTTTTTCTCCTTTTTTCCTTTTGGCTTAAAACTACATATTAAAAATTTTAAAATAAAATATAATATTATAATGTAATATTATAATATAATATTGTAATATAATAAAATAGAATAATAAATTAAATTTTAATCAGGTTTATAGCAAAGATGTTTATTTAAATGGAGGAGGGGCGGAGGGGGTGAAAAAAGAAGGAAAAAAAAAAAGCTACGTTTCATAGAACGGTTTATTAAATGATTAATAAATATGCGACTTAAAATATGTATGCGGGAAAAGGGGGTGAGTTTTTGTAGCTAGCAATATGAATATATATTTAAAAAAAGAAAAATAACAACACGATATTATTTACATATACATATGTAAACATATATATATATATATAAATATACAGCAACTTGGGGGAGAAAAATCATTATTGTAACAAAAAAAAAGAAAGGAAAAAAAAGTTGATAAATCGTGAGAAATGTAAACGAAGTGTATAGCAAGTTAACACGACAACCATATATCCTCCATATCCTGTTCCATTTTTTAATACATTCGTGTAAGATTTCATAAAAAAAAAAACATATGCTTCGTAACATAGGGGAAAAAAGCATGGTATAAAAAAGTATTATATATAAACACATACATAAAATAGGTCTAACAAGTATACAAAAATAAATGCGTTTCACGTTATGCATACGTAAACGCAAAATTATCACGATTCCTTAAAAAGAAAGGGGCGGAGATCCAATCGTTTTCTTCAAAAAAAAAAAAAAAAAAGAAAGTGTAAAAAGATACTTTTTATTGCACATGGCAAGAGTAAACATAATTCATCAATCAGATACATTTTTAAAATTGTAAGTCTTCATGTGTGACCACCCATCCATCATACATAAGTCATCTAGGCTCGTCTTGAAAAAATAATCCGAAGAATAAAAAAAATTTTTTTTAAAAAAAAAAAGACAGAGACGCAGATGACGAAGGCTACGAAAAAAACTTTAATTGACCTCTGTTCATAACAATATTCCCTTTCCCCCATATGATATGCTTATATTTTGAAAGTCCAAAACTTTGCAAAATTGGTTTTTATATATTGTGAATATTTCGATGAGAAAGTTAGGGTTAACTTAAAATCTTTAACTTCACATTAAACATGATCTTAATGACGAAGTAAGCCGGACACAACACCTCACAAAATGTTTCTGGGAAAATATTCAATCAATAAAAAATCCCCGAGATGTCTTCATCATATATAGCCTTCCTGAAAAATCTAAATGCTGCATGGGGTGTGTGTGTGTGTGTGTGTTCACAAACACTTGGGTTATATCTCGTATTTAACATGTTACAAATCTTCTACCCGACAATCCCAAATACATCACACAAAAGGATAATAATATACCACTTTGTTTTAAGCCGTGCAAAGTGTTACATGTTCTTTTACTTGGAAGACTTTTCCTTATAATAATGCCTTTTTATTAAATATGATACAGAACCCAAGAATAATCCTAAGAGACATCCAAAAATGGCCTGATAAAATGTGTGATCTTCAATATGAACACGACTCCATGGTATGGGTAGCAAAGCTATGAGTGCAAGTATAAAAGTTATAATATTCCATTTATCTCTCTTCGATTCTAATAGATGAAGAAAGATAAAAGTAAGTATGGTAAAAGAAAATGAGCTATGTCCTGAAGGCATTCCATATGAATTTAATGCGCTATTAATGGGTCTACTCATTTTTAGCACTTGTTTTAAAACTAAATCATTTAATCCTAATTGTGTCGGGATAATAATAGAAAGGCAAAGTAAATATTTGTTAAACGTTAATATTAATCCTATGAATATTAAAAAGCATAATAAATATGGTACATATCCATAAACAGTTGCAATTACTGACATGATATCATTTGTATTTCTAATAGTAACAAAAAATACCCCATACATTTCCAAAATACATGTTTTAAGTAGTGCAAGTTTTTTATTTTTAATCATGGTTTTCTGAAATAAGCTAAGTCCTTTTAACTTATCAGCTATTTTATATTTAGTTTCACATAATGGATACTTTGCATATAATTCATCATAATTTCCATCACTCCTTAAGAAGTAATAAATTTCTGTTTCAGGATTTATAAATGTTGGTTTTAAATTATTAATTTTTTTACTACGTAAATTAATTTTCACTTTCTCGTCTATATATTCTTCCATCTTTTTACCACGTTCACTTTTATTATTCTTCTTTGTTGTAGAATCAACATCTGATGGATTTATTCCATTTGCTCCTCCTCCTCCCCAGAATAATAAAAAACTTGCTAAGTTTATGCATCGCACAGTTGATATTAGATGCCCAAAGCTTAGTAATACCGGTGCACATACGTTTAACATACTAAAACTGTTGTCTTGAAATTCTTGCTTGTTTAAAATGATAAATCACATTCGAAAACATAAGTATAAAGCAAAAAGAGGCACAGTGGGGGACGTCAAATATATACAAATATATTACATACAGATATATTACAAGGAGATATATATATTACAAGGAGATATATATATTACAAGGCGATATATATATTACAAAGATATATACATATATACATATAAATATATACCTATTTTAAGTAATATAAAAAAATAAATAAAATATTAAAGCTGCGCTACAGATATGCTGCTAGAAGATGGACATGCTGGGCAAATAAGTTATAGCATTTTCCCCCCACGTCATCTCATATGTCATATCTCATATTTGCTATTTGCTATATTCTGAACTCTGGGTGCATGTGGAAGAAATATACATATGTATATATAACGTACTTTTGCGTGTGTTGAAAATGCTTAAATTTGGGCACCTCTTAATTGTGAGGTGCTTAAATTGGGCACTCATGAACTTAACAAGTTTCTAACAAGTACCATATTGTATATTGGAGATGTAACAATCCTTAAAAAAAAAAGAAATAATTATTTCTCCACTTATTCTATGTATAACAAATGTATAAGAATGAAAAAATTAAACAAAACTAGGAAAAACAGTATGTATATATTACTACATATTTGCGGTAAAAAAAAAAAAAAAAAAAAAAAAAAAAAATTATTATGTTTAAAAAGATAAATTTTACTCTTTAAAAAAAAAAAAAAAAGAAAACATATACAAATAGTTAAAAAGTGGTAAAAACGTATAAAATAGCAAAATAGTAAAAATAAATATGTAAAACATATATATATATAATATATGTATATATATATATATATATATATTATGTATAATATATTAGGTACTTGTATATGATGTTATCACCCTTAAATTAGAAGTAATAATCTTTTTTATGGAAAAAAAGTTCCGGAATCTAAGCGCAAATATTACCCATAGTTATTTTATTTTATTTTTTATTTTTTTCTGACACTATTTAAAACCTTTTTTTTTTTTTTTTTTTTTTTTTTTTTTTGTGTGCATGCTCTCCGCATTTTTTTTAAATTTTAGTAATGAAATAGTAATATTATATAAATATATATACATGATATATATTTATATATGTAATATTGTTTTTATATAAAATTATACATAAAAAAAATAAAATTAATAAAAGAGAAGAAAAATAATACATGGCAGCAGTAAAAAGTATATGTTTATAGATACATAATATTATTATTATATATTATGCAAAATATTGCAGTATATATATATATATATATATATTTTTTAATAATTTAAAATTGCAAATATTTGCTTCTTCATAAATGAAGAAAATTTTCCGTTGCTGATTTTTTCCTCCACTTCGAATTATGTATAACATACAGAAGCACCTGAATGGTTAGAAGCTAATGGATATGCAGCTGAATGATAATAAATAAAAAAATGACCGTCCCAGATTACAACTTACCGTGTTACTGAACCTTTGTATGTATTTTACTATTACATATAATATATACAACTCCCTTAATTTTAAGGAACGATTAAAATTGCAAAAATGAATTGACATGTGTTTTGTTCATTTCTATATTAATGCCCCTTACGCCGTTAGCCGTACTAACTCAGGATATAAATAAAAATGCTAAATACCAAAAAAAATAATATAACGAATTTTATATCTGTACCAAATTGTCTTTCCTTTTGGGGTATAATATTACCCCCCGTATTTTTAGTAATTATTTTCTTTTTCCTTTTTCTGCTCCAAATATTTAAACTAATAAAATATTTTTGGTAAATAAAATACAGTAGTGCATGGTTCCCTTACATTTGTACCACAATGGGACAGGCAGCACGACAGGTCATTATTTTGTATTTATATGTTATGTAAGCATCATGGTGTTGTAATGTATATAAATACATATGCAACACGGGGAGAGTGTATATACGTGTATCTTTTCTAAAAAGAAAAGGAAAATGGGAAATGTTCAAATGCGAGCAATAAGCATCACATTCCTCCGTTGTTTATATAATCAAAAATTAGCACCTTATGTTTTTTGGTCACTTTAAAAGTTTAAAGGGAAAGGGAAGTCAAACAAAATAAAGACAAACAAAATAAAACCAAGCAAAATAAAACCAAGCAAAATAAAACCAAGCAAAATAAAACCAAACAAAATAAACGAGAAAAACTGAACCAAAATAAAACTTAATTTGACTTTTCTATTTTTCCCAAAACACGGTATTGCCACCCATCGAGCCGTACGCACAAACCCTTTTTCCGATATAAAATTTTTAAAATTCATGTAAAACTTTTTATGATGCAAAAAGATTATTTTAACTCTACATTTGTAGACATGGTGAAAAGGCCGGTAATAATGATACCATATTATAGTATAATATACCCTTACTATTTTTTATTATAAATTGGAAAGGGTTTAAAAAGTAAAAGGAGATCTTTTGAAAAATGCTTAAACGGTAAAAGAGGTGCTTTAAAAAAATGTTTGATGCAATTTTTTATAACAAGTGTAACTATAACATACAAATGCCTCTCTTTCTTGAATTACTCAAAAAAAAAAAAAAAAGGAAAAAAATGGGGGAGCATAAAAAAGGAGATAATATGTAAGGTTCTGCAAAAAAAGACAAAAATATTTTCATCACCCTTTTCTTTTATAAAAATAAAAATTTATTTTCACAAGAAAATTTTTACTATAACATACATCATATATTTCTGCTCTTTCATATAAAACAGGTGGCAGTTATTGCAAACGAACACTTAGGTATTATGTAATATACTTTACGTATGGGAATTATGTATTAGACTAAAAGTTTTATATCCTCCATGCGTATAGAAATTGTAATTTATTCTTTAATAATATATGGCACAATAAATCGAGAAAATTTGCTTTCTTAGTGTAAGGTAGAAATTAAAATAAATAAAAATAAAGAATTTAATAAGATATATATATATATATATATATATATATATAGAGAGAGAGAGAGAGAGAGAGAAGGAAGGAAAAAAAAAAAAAAAGAAAGAGGTAAAACGTAGTACTAATTATACAAATGGCATAAATAAAAATATAGGTGAAAAGAAATTTTCCCATTTTTGTCTTATATTTTTTGTCCATAAAATATAGACTTAAAGGAAAAATAAAATAACACAATATGACACAAAATATTAAAAAAAAATTATGAAATGTTTCACGATAAAAATTAGCTTTGTGATGTGAATATTATTTTGTCAAGAACATGGACAAAAAAAAGAAAAAAAAAAAAAAAAAAAAAAAAAAAAAACGCAAGTTATGTAAAATTCCCAAACTTAACGCTCAACTACTTTACCTCGAGTACAAAATGTATTTTATATTTTTAATTCTCCAAATGAAGAGGGGAATACAAATTTTTAATTAAAATAATAAATCTCTAAAAATAATGATATGATTATTAGATTTCCCTTAATTTTTTAACTTTTTTTTTTTTTTTTTTTTTGTGTGTATGTGTGTGTTTATTCTCTGTGTTCATTTTATGACACTTTTAACCCAGACCATTTTTTAAGAGCATTAGAGCCTTAACTCTCTTCAAAGTGCATATATAAAATAATATCCAGTTTCATCTATTAGATTAATTATATGAATTTTTCTCATAACAATTTTTTAATTATTTTTAATTATTTAATAACTGTTATATTTACTTTTACTTTTGTCGCTTCTTTAATTTTTGCGTTTGAGGAGTTGGGAAAATTAATTCAAATCCCTTATTCAGTACAACACTCTACATATAAATTATGCCCCGATGCATGATTTTTGCTAAAATGAAAATATAATTTTACAAATTAAAATAGTCTAATTAAAGAAATAAATAAACAGATTTACTTTAAATTTTTCAAGAAGGAAAAAAAAAAAAAAAACTTTTAATTTGACCTTATAACATTTTGACATATTTTTGCCCCTTCGTGGCATATAATTTGTTGAATTTTAGAGTGGCACTTTTTTTGTCACATCCATTTTTGCACCTTTGCATATATGTTACGTATGTACATATAAAATATACATAAAACAAATCGATGTATCACAAGAATGTCCTTGACATTAATTACCGTTTGGTACTTTTAGTCAAAGCGTGCCAATATTTCCGTTACATTTTTTCAACCCATTTCCAAATGTAGTGATTTCCTGTAACATTATTATGTATACATATTCATTATGGTCATGTAAAGAGGGCTAAAAAAAAAAAAAAAAAAAAAAATTACATATACAAGAGAATAATGAATGAAGATAATTCACAGAATTCACAGGAAGCATTTAGTATACCAGGCTACTTCTACGATAAAAAAAAAAATAGATACTTTCTAATAGACAATGAACTGAAAAAGCAATTGAAAGAAGAAGAATTTAAAAAACAAGTGAACGATGCAAAGAGAAAAAATCGAAAGACAAATATAGAAGAAAAAGAATCGACAAAAAAAAAATTCCACAGAATCCATGGAATAAAAGAAATGAAAAAAAAAAAAAAAAATGCAAGTGCTCACAAGTTAAATATAAAAAATAAAGAACAAGAGTGTAAGTATTCGGTTCATAATTCTCATGATATATTTAATAAGGAAAAAAATTTAGAACTAATAAAGAATGAATTAAACTCTTTAAAAAAAAGTATACCAGAAAACCAAAATATATACAATATACTTAAGAATATCCGAAATTTCAGTTTTAGAGAAAATTCCATTTTGAGTTTGCCGCCCATTTTTATTAACCGATGTTCTTACGAGTATATTTTTGTGCAGGATTTATGTGAACGTCAACCTGACAACACTTCATCCTTTTGTCAACATGGAGATGACAAAGGTGTATCCTGTTTACATCATCTAAATATTCAGAAGGGTCTGAATATTTTAAGTATCTTCCATGCTTCCAAAAGTTTGAACAATCAAAATGACAATGTGAATGGAGAGGGTGTCAACAGTGTCCGGAGTGGGAGGAATATCTCGAGAGAAGACCCCTCTTTAAACCCTAAAAGAAATGACAGTATGGAACTTTCCGCTGCAGATATTAAATTCTTTAATGTATGCCAAAAACTGATGAGTGAAAATATGATAAATGAGTTAAAACCTCTAGACATAGGCAAGAACGAATCATTTAATTCGTATAGAAGCTTCAGAAAACAGAGTACATGTAGTAATAAAACAGAAGAACAAACTAAATTTTGTAATAATAGAAACAAGAAAAATTATTTTAGCAAAGAATTAGAACATGTAAAAACTGGGAATAATATGAACACTGGATGTGATGAACTAGGGAGGGGTCTACTGTTTCCAAAATTATTTGGTCAAACGTACGAAAAATTAAATTCCTGTAACATACAAAGTGTGAAATCAAAGATCATTATGAATAGATACAAGGCTAATTTTTATTATTTTTATAGTGTCCCAAGTCGAATTGTCGCTAGCATACACAGAAATAATAATGAAATTCGGACCTCCAATAGACAAAACAACATTAGTGATAACAGCATCACTGACAACAATTTTAATTACATTTATAATCATCATAACACAAATCGAGACGAACATAGTAATACAAATGTTGCAATTGATGAAAACTATGTAATGAGGAGACACAGGGATTCCATCCATAACAATACCTCATACAGTAGAATATTTCAAGAAAGAAGTGAACGAAGATTTGAAGAACATGTGTCTTTGGAAAATTTAGATGCAATAAGACACGAAACACCTATTTTAAAAACATACAAACCAGTAGAATCCTTTTTTCATTTATTCACGAATCCTTTTTATGAGGATTTTATTTTTAGTACTACTAAAGAAAATAATTGTTCCTTCAGTTTGGGAGCAATTGATATGATGAAATTTATTCAGAAAGATAAGAGGTCACCACTAGATGATATAGTTCATGAAAATATGTATTACAATACAGAAACAAAATATTTTTGTACATATTCTAAGGAGAATAGTGAATTACTTTGTGTTTCCCCACAAATATTATCACATTTTAGTATTTTTAATTCTGAATATATTGCTTATTCATCATATCCAAATATGAAAGATGAAAAAAGTTTATTATGTATGTTTAACATAGTCTCTTTTTTTGAGCCCAATCCGAAAATAGTTACATACAATTTTAAAAATGAAATTAATTACTTCAGACTGTTTCCATCAATGCAAGATAATTACTACTATCATCATAATGGAAATACATGGGGGACAGATAGCGATACCATGAATGATGGTTATTCATTCCACCATAATAACAAAATTGATAAAATTTTTATATGCGGATCTAATCCATGTTTCAGTTTTAACGCAATAAAAGATGATGGAGTTCCATATTGTATATGGGATAGCAAAAAATTAAAAGTGCACGACTTATTATCCATGAATGAAGATATAACATCTTTTGTACACAACATTCTAATTGGATGTCAACACCCTTTTACCAATTTAAATGACGATTACATTAGCCAGAAAAGAAAACAGTTTCAATCAAAAAGGTGGAAAGAAAAACTAAAAAGCGAAATAGAAAATAATAAAAATGAGCATGAAAATCCGTATACAAAAGAAAGAAAAGCATTCATAGATTACGACTCGCAAAGTAACACACACAAAAAAAATAATCATAATAAAAGAAAACATCCTTGTAAAGATCCAAATGATAACGTTGACAATGTTCACCACTTTTGTAAACATGAAACATCAAAAAAGAAACATAACAGTTTTATAGACAAATCAAAGCATCATTTAAATAACCGTTCAAATAAGTTTAACCATCCCCAACATACTCCTACTGTACAGAACACAAGTGAAAAAATGAGAAATAAGCATAACAATGCTTCGCATAACTATTATCCATCAAATTCGGGAAAGTATAATGATAATAAAAAAAAAGGAATATGTTGTGAAAATGTAAGGAAATCAAATAATAATGTTTTTTTATGTTGCAACACAGAACATTTATATTTGTGTGACATACGCTGCAACTTTTTAAACACCATATCGAAGCTGAAACCGAATGAAGGATATGTAAATAAAATATACGCATTAAATAACAGCTATCAGTATATACTATCAAAGACGAATAATCATATAGGGCTATATGATATGCGTTATGTATCATATAAATACAAGGATGATAAAACAAGTACCTTAGTAACATCGTATGAAAGATTTGTAGATAATAACAACCTAAAAAAGCATCTAAACGATTTTTACATTATAGATAATGAACAATTCATAGTTTCACTAGACACATATACAAATTCTGTTTATATATATGATATTATGAATGTTAATAACAAAATAATAAATTTAGATGGGAATTCGGATTATTCAATATATGCTAATATACATGCCTACAATAATTTGTCAAGAATACCATATATATATTCATGTAATCAATACGATGACGAATATCATAATTATTATAAAAAAAAAAGTTGTGAAACTAAGGCAACTGATACGAAACATACGAATCATTTTAATCCATTAAGATCTTATCCACAAGAAGACCTATTTATAGGATTAAATGTTCAATCAATTTTACCTCTTTTTTTTGTTAAGCAAAAGTATAGCAAGCATAATTTCATTTCAATAAATGAAGGTGGCTTTATTTGTACTATAAACGTGTAAAAACTACATAAACCTCATTACAGAACGTTTGTACATAAATTTGTTTCATTTAAGTATAACCGCAACAGTATTCTTAATTGAAAATTAATCTTTTTTATTTTATTTTATTATTTTTTTTTTGTCAACCATTAAAAATGTGTGTGTTTACCATACCTGCATAATAATGCAATTATATATTTAAAAATAATTGCATTTTTGGGGGAGAGGAAAATTTTTAATTAATATTTGCAAGAAAGGTTTTTCTTTCTTTTATTTTTTCAAGTTATTTTTTTTAAATATATAAGCAATATTCATAACATTGCAACAGCACGCTCCTTGCTGGTACATTCATTTTTGCCGTTTACCTCCTTTTTTTTTTTTTTTTTTTTTTTTTGTTGTGATGACATCTTTCTTTATTAATTTTACGGATGGATAGATAAATAAATAAATTAAAAAAAAAAACTTAAAATAATGCGACTTCTTTTAATAAAAATTAATCAATATGCTGCCTAAATATAATTTCACATCTACAAACATTTAAGATACAACACAGCTAAAATTCTCAACAAAATTTATTCAGAGTTTGTGTCAATGGATAAAGCAAAAAATGAAAAAGTTCAGAATTGCGCAAGTTCTTCGTCCCTAGGTATAAATGAATTAAAATTAGAAAAACTCGATGACAAAACAAGGGAAAAACAGTGTTCCCACAATAATCATGACAGTCTTGTAAACAAAAATACCATTTACCAAACAGCCGTTTTTAAAAACAAGCAAATTGAAATTTATCAATATAAAACATTTCCAAAAAATTATCTCAATAGTGTGTATGAACTTCTGGGAAGTGAGTTGTCTGAGCCCTATAATATATTTTTACTTAAAACAATTTTAAAGAATTATAGCGAAATCGCACTCATGGTACGTAAAACTATAATATATGTTAATGAATATATATTATATTTTACCATTTCCCATACTTCTTATAAATAGAAGAATCTTTTTTTCTTTTTTTTTTTTTTTATTAACTCTAGTGCTTATATGATGAACAGTGTGTTGGAACAGTGATAAACAAGATTACGACGAAGTGTAAAAATGACGAACTAACTACATTTGGATATATATGTAAAAAAAAAAAAATAAAATAAAAATAAAACATAAACTTAACACCAATTATTCTTCTTATATACCCTCTATAACAAGAATATGTTGTCTATGAAAATATTTTTTTGGCTTCACTTTTTTTTTTTTTTTTTTCATTATATATAAATATTAAAATAGGTATGATAGCAGTTCACAAGTCTCTTAGAAGTTGTGGCCTAGGTTAGAATTATGTCATAAAAGATGTGTCTCTGTCATAATTTAAGTTTTCGTTTAAAATTACAATTATGAAATTTCTTCATTCGTAGGCACATATTTGTTAACTGAAAGCATAAAATTAATGCAAAATTTGTATGGCATAAATGAGGTATACACACCTTTACCATTTATTAGAGAAATTTAAGTATTCTTATGAAGCTCCATACTTTTGCAGAAATACTTGTTTTGTTACTATTTTACTTTTAGGTTCAACTTGAAGCAGAAGCAACAAACAAACCAACATTACGTAATATTTGTTTTCCCCTATATAAGAATACACTTGTGCATACGTGTATATAATATGTAGGGACATGTTACTTACAACCTTTTATTTTTACGAATCATAGGTTTCTACGAAAAAAACGGATTCATTAGAGTAAAAAGAAAGCCTTATTATTATTTAAGCGGTGTTGATGCCTTCAAATTAAAGAAAAGAATATAATGAAGGAAAATACTATGCATTTGTCTTTTTCATCCTCGAAATCTTCTGCTTTATGTTATAAGCAAAAATATACAATTTAGTAATTCTAATAGAATTTTGTATATTTTACATTCTAATTTGCCCTTACATCTTTTAAAAAATGTTAAGATTTATTTTTTCTATAGTTTTTATTATTTTTTTACATCTCTTGCTAATTGGTTAAAAATATTCTAGTTAACCTTTAGATGTTAAAAACAAAAAGCATACATACTGTTATTTACCTAACTGAAACATAGAGTAAAAAATTTTAAAAGAATTTTCCTGTATTTAAAAAAAAAATCCATAAAAAAAATTTATATTTAAATTATGTACGGACTAAGCAAATCAATAAATCGTAGGGATATTTTATGTGCAGATCCAATTTTTGTTTAAAAGCTTGTCTTATGCTTCATAAAGAAAAAAAAGTTCTATACTGGTTGATAAAAAGAGCAAAAAGTTTAAGTGCCCTTATTTAAAAAAAAACTGTCTAAGACGAAAGTGACATTTTTACATTTTGTGTGTTTTTTTATGTGAACATATTGACTATTAACTTTCTTTTCTAACAATAAGGTTGTTTATATTTCCTTCTATTTTTTAAAACTTGCTGCTTCAAATTTTTGGAAAGTATAGTTACACCTCTTTGCAATTGTATAGAAATCTTTGAATTAAGTATTATTTAATCTGACATAAAAAAAAAGAAACAAACAAACAGCCTTATAACATTTCATTTTCATCATGTTGTTCAGGATACGCATAGAATTAAGGATTTTTGTTTAAAATATCTTTATGAAGTTCAAGCGTGCAAAAATAAAGGGAAAAAAATATATACATGTATTGTTCCTAGCAAATGTGCAAAAATTATTTATAAAAAAATTTAATGCATTCATAATTTCGTAGTTCTACATTTTTGCAATATTTTAAGTTTTTTCTAAAGTAGAAGTCCCTTAATTTACACAATCAGAATAAGTTTTGTGAGGAATATATTGTGTTTACAATAGCATAAAACAACAAAATTGTAATGTAGAATGCATTTTGGAATAAAAAAGTGTGTAATATAAGCTTAGCACAAAGGCTTTGTGCAACTTTTTTTAATAACCTGTGATAAATGTTATTTTTAAGATGCATGATCAATTTCAAATGTTTCAAAAATTGAGTACCCCTGAATTGAACGCATTTCACTTTATCATCTATAATTATTGTAGTATTTATTATGGACAAAATAGCTATGAAAAAAAAATAGTTCCTCTTTTTATTATTAAGAAGTTTTGTGAATGATAGAGCTAATAAACTATGAAAATTTGTCTTTCTATTTGTATTGTTCTATAACTTCATCTAGTATAATGTGTTATTTTTGGAAATTGTACTAAAAAATATTTAAAGTCCAGAAAAAAAAAATTATGCTACAGAACAATGTTTTAGTATTTTTATTATTATTATGAGAATTTAAGGAACTCAAGTAGCATAAAACCCCACTCACTGAGACAATTATTAGGAATTGCTACTACTATTGTTGAAAAAGTGAACAAAATTTACGCGACGTTTCTTCTTCGAGTAGAAAAGCATAGTGCATAATGAAATTGTCCTAAAATCACCCTTTTATGAAATTGCGTGATATATTGTAGTAGCTTACATATTAAGGGCTTGGATTTTAGGAAAAACATGTTTGCAAAGACAAATAAAAAAATCCTCAAGATAAAAAGCCCCTTAGAGGAGTGATCAAATCTATATTCATTTTGTCAGACGTAAAAAAGGCACGGAAACATTATATAGCATTATATTTAGAATTGTTATACATTTAGAATACCTTAAGCAATTTTTGGATTGATGTCAGATTCTATTCACCTGTGTTTATTTAAGCGAATACTTATTTTATATCAAAATTTATATATATAATAATATTTTTTGAAGCATGATTTAAAAGAGCTTGTGTTCATAAAAATATTCATCTTTAGAATCCATATCTTTTAGAATTTGTTACACATTGAAACCGTGTGATATAAAAAAGTATATAAGAAATGTTTTCAAAAAAGTGCTACGTTTTTATGATGAAAAATGTTTAAAAAGTTGTTTATTGATGAGGCAGTTCTATTCTTGGTAATAAGATATATTGTAGGTATTTTTTTAATTTAGACATAATGAAACCGTAGGTATTAGATATTATAACTCAAAAATTTAATGTTATTTTGAACAGTATGACCTTAAATAGACAAATCAAAAGAAAAAAAAATTATATTCTCATATATTAATATGCATAAATAATATTCATAGTAAATTACATTATTATTGCATTTCGAAAATACGATATATTAGCAAAATATTAATCAAATTATTCAATAACAACACATCAAAATTATGGATCGTTATTTTGCTTCTCTAAATGAAAAAACATTGTCATTGAATTTCATAGCATCTTTTGAAAATATATTCAAAATAATTCCACGATAATAATAAAAAGGAAAAGTGTATGTATTATAAATTATAGTTGCATAAACATTGTGTACACAAAAAAAAAAAATTAAAAATATATACAATGATAATAAATAAAAAAAATAATTAATATAAATAAACATTAATTTCATTTTAAATAAAGGTACAAAATAATTTCTAAATTAAAATATAATAAATATTTAAATTAAATAAATAAAGTATATAAATTAAGTAAAAATAATTATAGAATAATAAAAACAAATTAAACTAAAATACAAATTAATAAAAAATATATTTTTTAAAATAATAACAATAATTTTTTTTATAATATTATTTAATAAAAATTAAAATATATAATAAATGTAAATTAGTATTATATTAATTTTAATTAATTAAATGAAATATAAAAAAAATATAAAATTAATATATTATAAATAAAACTACGTTAACTTTTAATTAATTAAACAAATAATAAAAAATTAATTTATTATAAATAAAGTTACATTATCTTTTAATTAATTAAATATAAATATATATTTTTAATTATAGTAATATAATTTTATTTTAATTATTTAATAATTATTAAATTAATTATTATAAATAATTAAATAAATTAACAACATATAATTGTGAATAATAATAAAATAAATATTAATTAGACATATATAATTATTAAATTAATGAGATAATTAAAATAATTAATTTAAGTATAAAAGTAATAAAAAAACAATATATTATCATTTTAATAAATTATTTAAATAATTAATCAGTATTATATTAATTTAATGATGCAACTTATTAGTAATTATTAATTTAAATACATATAATTAAATTATTAAATAAAAAATTATTGTCAATAGTTTAAATATTTTTATTAAAAAAAAATTATATGTTAATAAATAAAATATTAATTATGAAATAATAAATTTCTTATACTGTTCTTAATATAGATAATAATTAAATAATAATAAAATATATTATATATTATAATAATTAAAGATATTATTGGTAAAATAAATTTACAATATAAACAAAATTAAAGAGCATATTAAAAAATAAAATATATATTATAATATATTAAATGTTTAAATATAATTAATAATTTATTAATAAATAAAATAAATAATTTAATTAATTAAATTCATAATTAAAAATAAATAAATATAATAAAATCCAATTAAAATGTTAATTAAATTAATAATTAAAATAAAAAATTAAATACAATAATAAATAATTAATGTTTATATTAATTCATTTTTAATAAAAATGAATTAATTCTTTTAATATATATTTATTAAAAGAATTAATTATTATATTTTAAAATATATTTAATTGTATAATAAATTAATATGACAAATTAGTTAAATAATAACAATATTGTTTTTACAAATAAAATTATAAAACCTTTATAATAAATGTATTATATATAATTATTGTTTTATTTCAATTTAAATAAATTTAATAATTTTTAATTAAATTATATTAATTAATAATAAATATGTATTATAATTAAGTATATAAAATAATTAATTTATACAAAATTAATTAATTTTTAGTATATTTTTTATATAATTAAATAATAAGCTATATATTTTTATATATTATTATTTTATTTAAAAAATTAATGAATAAAATATAAATGTGATTATTTTATTGTATTCATGTTTTGGATAAACGTATTAAAAAAAATATATTATTTTAATTAATATAATCATTTGTAATATAATAAAAATGTTAAAATGATTAAAATAAATAATATATATATATATATATATATATATATATATATTATTTATATAATTATATGCAAAGTATTAGCATTTTTATGTTATTAATATTTAATTAAATAATATTATTATTTTTAATTAATATAAATAAAATAAAAAATATAATAACTTATTTTAAATTTAATTAAATTATAGATTTAATTATTATTATATTTATTAAATTATAAAATACTTAAATATAAATAATGTTAATATATAAACATTAATTATAATTACATAATAAAAAAAGTTAATTATAATTAAAAATATATTTATGTAATTTTTTAAATTTAATTAAATAAAACATTACTCCAAATAAGTACTAGCTTCATTTAACAGTTGTAAAATGTATAAAAGGTTTAAGCAGAAACATAGTTTTTATAAACATAAATTAATCTTTTAATAACTTAAAATTGTTATACTAAACAAATTCGTAAGATATTTAATTATAATTTATTGTATTTTATTAATATAATACTCAAAAATATAGACAATTTTTAACTTTCTAGAAAATTGTAAATGAGACACAACATTCTTTTAACTTAAGAAGAGCAACATAAAGAGGAATATGAACATATTTTTTAATATGCGGTTTTTCATTAAATTGCATATGAACACGTGTACTGTATCTATCATGAAAAAACATAATTCACATAATTATATCCTACAGTTTTCATTACTGAACCTCATAAACTTCATGATTATACAGATAATAATGACTATTTCACGCTCCTTATAGTTTAATAGAAATATGTATTATCAATGAAACTTTTAAGTTATAACTTTTCTTATTTAGAACCCAAATAAAAGCTTTACTATTTTGTCAATAATAGAGAATTCATGCTTCCAACGTTATAAAATTTTAAGTACACATTTGTCCATGCACAGTTTTCGTTACAATTCGTCTCAAATTTACTGTTAAGCTATAACTTCCTTTGTTTTTTAATGTAATTGTTTAATATTATCCTTTTAGCTTTCTTAATTTTTTTCAACATACAAAAGAAATCATCAGAAAAATAAACACTTTAGAAAATGCAAAAGTGTTGCTCGGTATGTTAGCCCTATATGAACAGAAAACAAGCAAATTTACTCATTCATCAATTCATGCATGGAAACAACTTGAACATGCACTAGAGAGACGTACATTATTATATTTTTATAAAAAATTTAATCATTACTTTCACTAAATGCTACAAATTTGTGGTAAAACTTTCCTGCGTCATCATAGTTTTGTGTCTGAAAGATGTTTTACGAACTAAAATTGTAACACACCATTGTTAAGCATTTTAAACTATGGAATCATTAGTGTCATAACAAAAATTGAAATGGTTCGCAGGAGAGGGGATAGTATATATTGTTAATAATTCATCAATTCCCCCTTAAATAACAATCTTATGTTATACAATACTTTAAGATCGTGGGGTTATTCTTAGCTCTTTCCCCAAAGAAGAGATAGGAAAAAAAACATTCACAACTTTGGGAATATAACAACCCAAGATTGACAACTCGACAAACATAAGAACATTTCTTCACTATATTTATAAATTTCTATTTTATATTGTACATGCCTTTATTAATTTATCCTAATGATACATAATTTAATAATCATATTGCGAAGGAAAACACATTTTTATGTAAAACATGGGCTATTCTGAACTCCAGAATTGTGTAAGTATGTGTATGTTTTTTTAAGCCACTTCTCCAAATATGTTTTATATTCCTTTAAACTAACATACTGTGCTTTTGATTTGTCATTCACAATAAAAACACTTTATGAACAATACATTCTACCTATTACAATTCCGATTGAAGACCAAACAAAGAGCAAAAAAAAGGAAAAAGAAGAGAAAATTACAGAGCACAAGACTTTGTTTTATGAAAAAGTAAGTGTCCCTATCTAATAACTCGGACGAAGAGCACAAAAATTAAAGTTACATGGATTCACACATATAATAAGAAATTTTTCTTTTATGTAAATATGTCCTGGATAAAGAAATATTTATTGTATATGATCCGATGTATATACGTAAATTGGTATTTTGTTCATGGAAAACCCAAATAAAATAATGCAAATGTGTGCATATATTTAGTACTTAATACATTTTTAATAGTTTCCCCATGTTTTCTACAATTAGAAATCAAAGACAAATTTTTTTGTAGTAAAAACCTAAAAAAAACATCATCCATGTTAAAAATAATAATTCCTTTTATTTAACGTAAATTTTTTTTTCTAAACTCTTTGACCTTTGATTTATTCTATAGGCTTAAAAAAAAATTTTTTACCCCTTAAAAATATTAAATACATGTATTTTTCTTTTGTTCTTAAATCACATTTACTTTTTTTATTTTTGATAATATTTGCCATTTGAAATTATCTTAATTTCTTCATTTTAATGAGGAAATCCACTTTTTTTATGATATTTTTTTTTGCAAACATTTTACACACTAACCTAAATGCTTCAGAAAAAAAAAAAATTACTCTTTATGAAATGTCAATTTAAGACTCAACAAGCTCAGAGTATATATTGTATTATATACTATGAATTGCGCGACTCTTAATTTTTTTTTTTTTTTGTGCGTTAATTGAATGTTTCACATAAAAAGAAAGGAGCAAATTTTAACCATATCTCATTTTACCTTTCTTACATTTTTACACATTCGTATAAACGCATATGAATGAAAGAATTATGTGTAAGACAACATAACTTTGTGAATATGTTACTTTCAACGTTTTTAAAAAGAAGACACTTTTACAGGTGCGTGAGTGAACATATAAACAAATTTTAATTTATGTTGTCTTTACCTCTGAATTCTTATATTATATATATGTGTAGCTACTATAATAAATTATATTGTATAGGAAAAGTAAATGTTTAAATTTACATTTTAAATAGTTCCTTATTATCCCTGTACTTTTTTCTTTAAAGCATGAACATGTGAAAATGAAGTTTTGGAAAACACAGTCAAATGAACACTAGTGTAAAAATTTACACACATAATATATAATTATTTTGCGTTTATCGCATTTTGATATTTAAGGAAGTTCTTAATGTGAAAAATGATAAGAATATATCCTTATCCTTTTAGTAAACATGTTAAATCATTACCAGACCCACCACCAGGAAAATCAAGAGAAGTAAAGAGTTTTGAATGTAAAAAACGTGAAAATGACTATAGTTGGCTACTGAAAGCGCGAAGTAATTTGAAAAAATGTTTTCATTTATGTGATATATGCATTCAAAAATTTAATTATATGAAATGCTTAGTGAGAACTTCAAATGTGCAATATGAAAATAATTTAAATGGCAATACCGTGAAAGGAAATTCCAAAGATGGAAAAAAGGGAATTGTAGAATACATATCTACCACACATTTGTGTGAGAACAATAAAATTATTAAGCATGAAAGGGAAATGTATGACGTAAAAAACATGTTAAAGATAAATAGTAATACATCAAAAAATAGGATGGGTAGCAATCAAAGTGTTATCAGCTTAAAATCATTAAATAATAATAGTATTTTATTTAGCAACTCTTTAAATTATAATGAAAGTAATCCCTTATCATTTAATGATGACGTCTTTATATTTTTAGATTATTATCCAGGAAAACGTACAACTAGTCATCAAAAAGAGGATAAAAATAATGACTTAAAATTGCAAAATGTGAGCCTCTCAAAGGGTGATGATCTTATGACCCCTCCATATGAAATGGACGACATGATAATACACATAAAAAGACATCTTAAAAATAATGTATCGTATTTTGCTTGTAAGCATGTTAAAATTGATGAGTTGCATAATGTAAATGACGAAAGCACTAATTATGATAGTATAAATATTTATATGTATGACAATGGTAAAGAATGTTTTTCTGTGTATGATTCTGCAATAAATCCATGTGAGGAAAAGGGATTATTTAATTTATCACAACCACTTATTATAACTGAATCTAGTGAAAAGAATGAAAAAAAGGAATACGTCCCTGAATCAGGCGATTTTAAGAATATGTGCAACAACAGCTATCCATATGAATCTTTAAACAAATATAACATAAGTAAAGATATTGAGCAATCAGATCTTAACCTTGAACACATCAGTGAAAATTGCAAACTGTTTAATATTTCTCACTTTTATGTTAACGAAAAATTTGACACCATAAATAAAGAAAGTGAAAAACAAAATGATAAGAATTGTGAAAACAGCATCAAAAATAAGATAATTGACAAAAACATTAATGGTGTCAATAACCATGATAATATGAAAAATGTAAACCAAAAAATTGAAGGTTATGGGGATAGAATAGATAATAATTGTAAAAATGAGGCAATTTTTGAAAAACATGCACTTAAAAAATCGAACAAGCACACACAGATATTAATCCAAGGAAAAACGGAAAGAACATTAATTGATGAATTGAAGGAAAAATTGATAAAGAGAAAAAATTCATATATTGAAAGTCATAGTAAACAAAATAAAAATATACTAGATGATGCATTGACACAAGAAGAAAAGGAAAAAATGATCCCTGAACAAAATATCCAATATTTAGAAACTAATAGTAGAGACTGTTCTAAAGAAACACGCAAAAGTAGTTTTACCCCTGTGGAAGGCAATTTGAAAACATTACATATTTATAAAAAGAATAACGTAAGGAAGGAAAAGACAATTAACAACGTTAATATTGATGAATTTAAGAGGAAAATTAAAAACTCTGTAAACTTAATTCCAAATAGTGGAGGAAATAGTTCAAATGATTTTAAAGCATTACATATCAAAGCAAAAAATGTGAATGGGAAAACGACTTATTCTAGTGGCAGGGAGCTTGAAAATAATATTCGTAATAGAGGTATTTGTTGTCTAAAACATAATATAGGTACCATTGCTAATGAAAAAAATAAAAAAGACAGAAATTCAAGGAGTTTTAAAAAAAAACATAAAGGATCCAAGGATGATTTATATATATGTAATTGTGATATAGGAGTAAAATCTTTCAGTATTGATGAAGAGGAAAAATATAGAAATTTCAAATTGTTAGAACAAATAAAAAGCAATAAATTCAGAGGAACAAATACGGGGGAACTTAATAATAAAAATGAAAATCCATGTAATTCAAAAGGAATCTATAGGAAAAATACAAGTATATCTGGCATAAATAAGGTAGATATAGTTAAGAGGTCCTTGAAATGGTTTGAAAGTGAAAAAAAAAACATAATTCATAATAAAAGAATCAGTGATAACCATAACAATGGTGATAAACTAAGTGATATTAACAATGATGATGAACTAAGTGATATTAACAATGATGATGAAAGAAAGAATAATGAAAATAGTACCATTTTAAGAAATGATGAACACAACTGTTTGATGAAAAATCACAAACCGAGATTAAAAAACTATAAGTATTCTCAATTAAAAGATGAATTTAAAGAAATTAATTACAACTCTAAGAAAAATAGTTGTAGATCGAATGATGGTGATCTACCCATTTCTAAGAAAAAAGAATGCATTTCATCAAACATGTTGGATAGGGATGTGCCGGCATTTACTAATAGGAACAGTGAAATTTGGAATAACGTGAATAATAGTAAGGATTATTTAATCAAAGACAAAATGTATGTTAAACAGAATAAGGGGTCACATAATGAATCGCACAAAGAATCAAATATGTGCAACAAACCAAATGATTCAGATAAATTAAAAAGTTCTAAGGAGAAAAATAGCCAGAAATGTTCAGATAAGGACAATTCAGTTTTACACAGAGAAAGAGAAATATATGGAGAACATAAGGAACAAAATGAGACTTGTAAAAGTGAATCTAAAGGAAGATTGTTAACTAATGAATTGAAAAAAAAATTAAGTAGAATTTTAAACTCATGTTCTAATCCCAATAAAATTAACATTCATAACAAAATATATGCACCTGATATCGAAAAAATTAACCTGGATAATAACAAAATAGTATATATTAATAATAATTATTTTTTTAACCTTGAAAAGGGCAATAATTTTGAGAGTTGTGATGGAAATGTTACAAGAAATTCTTCGATGGAGTACAATTTTAAAAAGCTGGATTTACAATTTTCTGAAAGCAAAAACGGTATTTATAGTTTTAAATATATGAACAATGTCTTATCATCAAGAAGTTCTAGCTTGTCCAAAGAATATGTCTTTGCTGAGAACTATGGGTCTAAAATTTTAGACGATAAAATTAACAAATTAAATGAACTAAGAAAAAAATATTTATTAAAAAAATATTTAAATGCAATTTTGAATAGAAATAAAAGGAGCTTTGTAAGCAATAGAATAAATAAAACACTGTACAACATTGATCTTCCAAAATTATGCTACAATACGGAAAACAAGAAACTTGATTGTAAAAATGTTGTTAGGGAAAAGAATACTGACATAAAAAAAAAAACATTTCGGGAAGGTTTATGTATAAAACAAATCCTTAATGAAAAGTTAAAAGTTAATAAGAGAGATGGAAGACCATATGAAGCACCTCAATCACCGAAAAAACAGGATAGGATACCGAAACCTTTAGCTAGTCAATTGGATACTAATTCTGCATTATATTTAAAAAAAACGCCATCATACCCATTTGAGGAATTTAATTTGTAAATATATATATATATATATATATATTTCTTAATGCGTTACAGTGACACATTTTAAAATATGAATTATTTGTGTTCACCTGTATCTTTTTTTTGTTCTCTGAATTTCTTATCCATGAATATTTTTAAAATTTGTTTAGATTTTGTCTTCACTTTAAAAAGTAAAAAAGTAGATATTGTTTAATCTTCATAAAATTCTAGTTTCAGTGTTTAACAAAAAAATAACATAAACCTATTGTAATGAAAAGGGGTAACACTCTTAACCTATGACACACCTTTAAACTTAAGTAGGAGAAATTTTGTTTATTTAAATAGTTGCATTTGTAGACATGTTAATATGTTCCTCATGTTATATATGATCCATAAAAACCCTTTTAACTTGTGATAATTCGTTAGTATATATATGTGTTTTTTAACTTTAATTGCTCTATTTTTTTATGTTTATATATCTGTTGAATTAATGTATATTGTCTCATTGGTTTTGTTTCCATTTTTTTTTTGTGAAAAATTTAATTAAAACCTACCGAAACTGTAAGTATTATATTCATGGAGACTTTGATAATTGTAGTAAAAAATAAAAAAAAAAAAAAATAGTTTCAAGTTTTTACAAATTTCAATATGTTTTATTTTAGCACATAGCGGTAAGATACGTGATGGAACATTATTTCAGTGCTAAAAACGAATTGTGCTTCTTACCTGTACAAGTGTAAATCTTGTTTATTTATAAAAATGGCGTTGATCTAGAGTTTTACAGAAAATTTTAGAAATTGTTAAGTGTATATATATATATATATATATACAACACAGGAAACCATCAAAATGTACAAAATAATTTGAAACTTCCTTTCTTAGTAATTACTAGGTATCCTTAGCACACACTTTAGAAAAGCTACATTTTTAGATAAATTCTTTATAAAATGTTTAAAATTAAAAGATGTAAAAATAATGGTATTTACAGAATCAACTTATAGGAAAGGGAGGAAGTTGCACTTTTCATTTCAATAGTTGTTTCTATACAATAGAACATTTTAAAACCTCTTTACAATGTATTGCTACTAGTGAAATTTTACGGTAAAATGAAATGTATGTTTTCAGTTTCTGTTTCATTTTTGAGAATAACATAAACAACATGGATTCGTGACAAATGCTTTTATATACTTCACCCAGAAAAAAAAAAAAAAAAAAAGATAGCCTGGAAAAAATTCTTAAACTAATGGAAGTACATACACAAAAGATTAAGTAGCATAAAAAATAAATTTCATTAAATGATATAAACCAAGCGTAAACAAAATATGAACGAATTTTAATTCACCGGACGGCTCAACATATTGATGAAGGAAATAAGTGTAAATTTTTAAAAAATATCAATAAAGAGATTAAATAAAATATTACAAGTATCCATCAATTAAAACTGAACATTTTTCATTAATAATAAAAATAGATTAAACCGTTTTAAATACAAAAAAATATTAATGTAAAGTTACAAGAAGTAATACTGAAATAGATCAAATTTATAAAAATGCCAAAACTTAATATGATAAAAGACCAATAAAACATGTAAGCATAAGTTGCATTGATGTTTATTAAAAAAAAAAAAATAAACAACCTCTTACATAAAAAATGTCACAACGGTGAAAGTTACACTAGGGGAAAATCGTTAAATAAAATTAAAATTATTAATATTTTATTTTAACATTGAAAAAATTTGAGGAAAAAGTTAGAGATACACTTAAGTATAGGAAAAAGCTGAAGAAACAAGTCAATACACATTAGGAAAATTTAACAAAATACATTGTCTAATTTTAAAAAGAAGCAGACATTATATTAGCTGAGGAAGTGGAATATTTATGAGAAAAATATTCTAATAAGTGGCAGAATACAAACGATTCGACGAAAAAATAAATGAAATTGCTCAAATTCAAAAATAAATTATACGGTAGACGAAAAAGAAACAATTCGCACTTATTTGAGTAATGCAAAAGAATAGAAAGAAAAATGAGGATCCGAAATGAGCGTTGCAAATAGGTGAAAAGCAATAAATTATAATTTTCGCAAAACTGGAAAGACAATTTCGGAAAATATATATATATATAAATCTGCTATATTTCTATATTTCACAATAGTACTACTTGGCATGTCCATACCAAAGAAAAACAAAACATTATGTTGCTATAGATATTTAGTAGTTTTTCTCAATTTGTATTTGTAAGTGTTTTACTTCTATCATTTTAGTTCCTTGGGGTTTTATTTACATTACTGTTTTTATTTTATTTTATTTTTTATTTTTTTTTCTTTTAAATTCGACATAGTTATTCTAGTAATTTGTACACAATTCACTGCACTGACCTTATATTTTATTGTTATTATTTTTTTAAACTTATTTATTGCTATCCTATTAAAGCTTTTCAAATATTTAGCTATATATACCTTTAGTATGTGTAAAGTTAGATTTGTGTTATTTACATTTTAAAAAAATTATAAGACTTGTTTTTTCTTTCGTTTTTTATATTATTTGCATGCGTAAGTTTCAATAAAAAAAAAAAAAAAAAAAAGAAAAGTTTTTATTGTTTATAAATATTTTGCATATCTAATAGATTAAAATAAGGAAATATGCAAAATATAGTTAATTTATTATAATATATGTAGTTTTCAAAAAAAAAAAAAAAAAAAAACATGCATTATGAGTTGAGATTGTGGCTATCATGCTTTACCTATTTCTATTGATCTATTATAGAACAAATTTAATCTATAAATCTTGTATATAAACAAACGGGTTCAAATTTTTACATAAAGAATTTGCTTTGTATAGAAATAATTTTCTGTTCATTTTATCATTATCTTTTTATTTTAAAGTAGTGTACTTATTCTTCTTTTTATATATGTGCATTTTTTTGAATCTAAAAAATAAAAAACTTTCATGAACTGTTCTGTATGGAGAGGTTACGGCTAAAGACAAATTCATATAAAAAAAAAAAATATGCACTTTTACATATATGCGTAATTATTATTAATGAATTATTTATTAAATATGTTGTTGACAGGAAGATAAGAAATTAAATAGCTACATGAATATCTAAAAAGAATAAAAAATAGCAATAACTAAGGCTATGTAATGTGAACAAAAAGCAGATTATCATAATAGCTGCTTAAACATTGCAAAATAATGCAACTAGTATTATTGCAATATCTTCAAAACATGTTACTCAAAATAATTATGTTTAAATTATGCTTTTATTTATTTTTTTGTATATTTTTATTTTATATATATATATGTTTTTCTATTATTTTATTCATCTTAATGAATTGTCATGTTAATAAAATTGCTATAATTGTAAATTGCTGTATTAATAAACTATTGTGCTAACAATAATTTCAACTATATAGAGAATGTATAAACTACAATCATACACGTATATGTTTTTACAGGAATCTTCATTAGAAGTTGTTTATATGATAAATGCCTAAAAACAACAATAATTTATTTTAGCACTTTCGTTATTACAAATTACTTTTTTCTTAAAAATAGGCACGTCCAAATTGTTTTATATATACAAGTGCAATTGGCCATATATATAATACATGCATGTGTGCCAATATACATACTATCTATATGTTTATATGTATGAATTCTTATGTAATTAAAGAAAGATAAAATTTGTTTTTACAACCAAGTAAATAAAATACATAGTAATATTGAAGATTTTTCTTCTTAATTTATTAGTATATAATTTTTGAAAATATTTGCATTTAAAGAAGTTCAACTTTCATAAAAATACAGTAATTTCATTATATCCCAAATTTCAAGAGAAAAATGAAAAAAGCAAAAAAAAATTATACCCACAAATCTGCACTCGCTAATCTAACTTCAAAGTCTAAAAATGCAAAAGTAAGCATGAAGAAAACAATTTTTCTAAACGTTATATTTGTACTTTTGTTAGTATGGAAATATAATTATTCCTTTTCTGCAAAGTAAGCTTTTTTTAGTCTTTTCAATTATGTGTGAGTGTATTTATCTTAGTGTACTTAATGTTAGCATAATGTTTTGTATTCATTCATGAATATTCTATGTTCACCTTTAATACATGAAAATATTATGAATACTTATAGCACCACTACATATATCTATAATATTAACAAATTTTAAAACGAAACAAAATTCATAATACTATTTTTTTTTTACCACTTCTTAGCACATGTATGCATAACCCATTGTTCACTCAAAATGGGTCTCAAGATTTGTCAAAGCAAATATTTAAAAGAATAATAACAGAAGTTGTAAGTGCACAAAACGAACAGAATTCATTTTCACATGGGAAAACTGTACGAAATAGTTCACGTAACTCTGGATATGACGAATTAGATACTCAATACATTTCTAATTTAAAAAACGTGTGCTCAAAGGCATCAACGAAATTGGGAAGTGTAGTTGATGATATAGTAAAAACATATAACTTAAAAAAAAAATTTATAAAAACAAAAAAGGAAAAAGACGAATTCAATTTTGAGTGGATATGTTTTTTAAGCCATATGTATGCAGTCATAAAACTTAACTTGAATTTATTACCTACTTCTAAACTTAGTGCCGAACAAAATTTAAATAATCTAGAAAGCATACTTAGAACAGATTTTAAATTTTTAATGAGTTATTTTAGTGATGAATAGCAAGTTTTAGTAGTAATGATTCCTAGTGAGAACAAAGAAGAAAAGAAATACCTTCGAGCAATAGAACTAAAGAATACATCTGAAAAAAAAAAGTAATGAAGATATGAGATGATGGAAGGATGCAGCAGAAGGAAAATTGTAGGAAAATATTTCACTTGGAGTAAAAAATGATAGTAGTAAAAATAAGGAGAAAACAGATGAAAACAAAAAAGAAAAAGTGAAAAAAAAAAAAAAATATCATTTCGTAAATAAGTACTATTTATAACTCAATGTTATTCCATTTTTATTTGATTAACCGTTTTGTTTTTCTATGTTAAAGAGTCCTTTTAATGGAACATACTTATGAACTGATTGTAAATCTTATAACGTACTTAATGTGTGTGCATTTCTTGAATATGTACATTTATAAGATTAACCTTTCCTTGCAGTTAAAAATTATTGTATTCGTTGTTATTTATAATTTTTTCAAAGATAGACTTTATTCTTATGAGTGCTAAAAATTTATATATGTAAAAATATGTGACAAAATGTATATGATAAATTGTGCATTAGTCAGTCATATAAATTGCATGTATTTTTTTTTTTTTTTTTTTTTTTTTATATACATTTGCATTTGTAGTTGTAAAATGTACAAGCATATATAATACTAATGTTCTTCCTTGCATTGTTAAAATAAAAGACACTTCTAAACGATGTTTTAAATTATAAACCTCTTTACGTACGCTTTAAAAAAATGAAATTTAATAAACCATTTATCCAGCTTTTATAATACATTGATATGCATACTGTCAGGAAAACAAATATCTCTACAAAACACACAAATTCCATATTTACACCATTGTGTTGTATATAGTATGAACAAATTACACAAATAGACACATGAAAATAACAGGTGCTATTTTCTTAGAATAGAGGGTGTCAGATAATGAAAAAAACGGGAATATATCCCTTGAATATTTCCATTAAAAAATTGCTTAAATTCTGTAAACACATTCAGAGGGAAATATAAACGATTCATTCATAAATATGGAATTGTGAGAAAGAATTTAGCATGTACTTATGTTTTATGCATGGACATTCTTACATTATAGCAAAATAAAATCACATTAAATATAGAAAAAAGGGGATTCCTTTTCGAATTCTTAAAATGACTATCACTTTTTTATTTTTTTTATTTTTCATTTTTATATACTAGCTTACTTGATCTTCACAAATGATATTATATATAGTTCGTACTACTTAATTTAAGCCCTTCCTCTTCTATGTGTCCTAACAAAAAAGCACCATTAATAATCTCATTCAAAATAACGGATGAGATAAGTGCTCCCATACAAATACATATTTTATGACATATATAATAAATATACTAAGAGAAAAAGCAAATTCAAACTGAATCACAAATTTAGGTGTTACATAGATTGTGTCATTCCACCAAAAACCCTTATTAATTTTCTTTCTCCTTTTTACGTCAACAAATGTTGCTTTTATAAAAAAGAATAACAAAAAAAGACCACTTTGACCTTAGAATATAATAGAGACATCTAATTTTTATTACTTGTAAGGTCTATATATTGTAGCTCATTTGTTTTGCCTGCTTTTACCCAGAACAGAGGGTGGTGTATGTCGCCCTTGTAATTAGGTAAGTTTGATATAGTCAAAAAATACGTAAAAAATGTGTTGCATATTAAAATGCATACAAAAAAAAAAAAAAAAAAAAAAGAAAAAAGTATTAATCTTTACTTTATATTTTAAAATCAGTTATTCAAAGAGTTACACATAAGTTAAAAGATGTGAATAAATAAAAGTTTTCACGCGTTGATACATATGTATATATGCATATATATTCAAAAAACAAAAAAAAAAAAAAAAAATTGCTCTAATTTTTAAAAATTCAGGTAATTTATTAAATGCATTATAAAACGTAATTGCATTTTCCTGATTAATCATTTTGAAAAAAGGACTACAACCCATTGAAGCAGTGTACTTATACATATACACATGTATGGGTGGGAATAGATAAATAATATACATGAATACATATATAATTTTTGAAAAAAATTTGCTACTTTTGGCTTATGGAAAAAAATTAATTATGATCGAATTTCACATCACAAACACATCTTCATAAAACTCTTAGCTTACTCGCACATTTTTTACATTATACGGTAAATTTGTTTTGCTTGATATATTGTTTTTTCATTTCATTTGTTTTATTTTTGTGTTTGCCACACGACGTGCACACGGATCAACCTTCTTTTATATAGCTTTCATACATTGTATCCTTTTTCACGCAATAAGTTTTTGGCCTTTTCAGCAAATACACTATCATCAGGTCCGGCAAAATTGACATAGTGTGCAATTTGGTTCATTGTCCAATTTGATGGAACTACTCCCCCTAAATTCATTTGAAAATGTTCTTCATTTACTACTGGCGCAACTTGGTAATCATTAACTTTAGGAGGATTGTCTTCCTTTTGGGTTCCTGGTAGTATTTTCATGCCTTCAGGTATAGGAGAGTTTGCACTTGGTGGTATAAATCCGTTGAATTCTTCTTCCATTTTTGCGACAAGACTTTACAATTTTGTATATGTATGTAAAGAATTACAACAACAATAACGTATAATAATTGTTGGGGAACTTTTATATATCTTATATTAATATGATTTATTTAAGAAATACTTTTTTAATTTATATATTAAAACGTATCGTATGTATTTTTTTTTGAATAGTGAATAAAATATGTCATTTAATATAGAAGAAAAAAAAAAAAAAAAAAAGGGAGAAAAATAGTCTCTAATACTCAAAAAGATTAATATATAACATTTATAAAAGGAGCTTCAAAAAATTTGCGTGTTTTTAATTAACTTTTGAATTTGTTTTTTCCTTTTTTAATAAGAAAGATTTTTTTAAAAAAATTATTTTATAAAAAGATAATTTAAAAAAGAAAAAGAAATTTATATATTTTTTTTAAACATAAGTTATTTAAATTGAAATAAAAAACAAAATAAAAAAAATGTATATAAATATATATATATTTTTAAGGATATATATATATACATGTATAATATATATAAACATTAAAAAAATAAGTTGTAAAAAAAAAAAAAAAAAAGAAAAAAAAAGCTCGTTGGCTAGCTAAACAAATTATATTGTATATAAATGTAAAAAAAAAAAAAAAAAAGAGGTAGAATTAATCTGTACATGCAACAATACAACAAGCCATTTTTTTAATATATTTTTTTTTTTAAAACTTAAGGGGATTTTAGAGCATTCTATTTTGCATATTCGTAGTTCATTATTTGACTAATTAGTACAAATGAATAAAAAAAGAAAAAATACATTATGTTTTATCTAATACCTACAAAAGTATTATTTTCAGTTAGTATTACGCTTGAAGATGGAATGATAGTTGTGGTCTATAATTTTTTTTTTTTTTTTTTTTTTTTTTTTTTTTTTTAGCATGCTAAAGAGAAATATTCGCTTAGATAAAAGTTATTTATGCTTATGAATCTTTCATCTCACGAATTTTATTAAATTTTTACATGTGTAAATGCATTTGGTTCATATATACATGAATGTACAATATCCTATATATATGCAACATTCTTCGCACATTTTTTTAACAAAATGGTAAAAGGTGCAAAGTATTATGCATTATTCGTTGTAATGGTGTACGTTGGAATTGGCTTTTTTGCCCTCTCTTCATTCATTCCTCTTCTCAAAAAAAAAAAAAAAATATATAAATAAATAAAATAAGGCTCAAAAAATACGAGAAAAAAGAGAAAGCCCATAAAAAAAATAAAAAACTGGATTTTTTGAGTTAATGCGCGCTCAATATTTGTTATATATCCAAGAGCCTAGCAACAAGTGCAACAACAACAAAAGAAAAAAAAAAAAAAGTAGCAGAATGACAAATGAACAAATTTACAGGATTGCATACAACATAGGGTTATTATTATTTTTTTTAATAAAATATATCGATTAGTAACAAATTTGAGATATTGTTTAAAAGAGCAATTTTTCATTTTTATTTTGCTCATTTTGCAAATGATAAATTAGCAAATGTATGAATTATTTTTTTTTTATAGGACAAGCTATTTTTTCCATTCTAATAAAACAGCTACTACATATTTTGTATTTTTTTTTTTTTTTTTTTTTTTATATATATTGTGCGAAATTGTTGTAAAGTGATCTATTAGAAATTTGCACTTTAAAGCAAAAAAAAAAAAAAAAAAAAAAAATGTTCTCAAAACTTTTAAATGATAAAAAAGGAATTTCACGAATTTGTATTATTCTTTAAAATATAGAAAGCTAAATTTTAACTTCAGATGAAGTGAGATATTTCACACGATTGCAGAAGTATGTACATATATATATGTGTACTTACATGGGAATCATCTGAATAACCTCACCATGATGGACACCCATTTCATCCTCTTTTTTTTTGAAATTTCATAATGATGAAAAAAATGTACCCCCTTTCCCTCTCTTATTCCATTTACTTTTTATGCCATAATTCATGTCTCAAAATTGCGTATGTGTGTAACATGTACAACTGTTTGCTTGCAGTTTTGTTCTGTTTTTTTACAGAATGATAAGACAAAGGTAACAATATAACTGTCATTAATTTTTTTTCATGCATTAAATTGATTTTTCTAGCATGAAACTTTAAAACGTTTATACATTTACTATGTGAATGGAATAAAGAGAAAAATATTATTTATTACAAACTAGAAAACACTAATCATGAGTTATATCATGTAATTCTTTTAAAAAGGCATTTTTAAAATAAACTTGAATTTGCTTTCTCATCATATGGGGTATTTAAAATTACGCCTAGTACAGTAATATGATATGGGAGTTCAGTTTTAATTATGAATTTTTATGTAGATTGATGTGCTTAGTAAACCTTATAACATTTTTAAATGTGCTGAAATTATTTAATAGAACAGTTTTAAGTGCAACTGTTTTAAATGTTAAATGTTAATTAACCGTAGTTCTACGTTCCCAATTACTTGGAAAAACTAATGTATGAAAAAAGAAAAAAATATCTTTTGTCCGATAAATCCTTTCCCAATTTTGTAAAAACATAACAAAAAATAAGTAAAATTTTGCAAAGTCTAGATATACAATTTTTTTTTTTTTTTTGGCAGATAAATATAAATTCGTGTATGCTAGAAAAGGTTGTCAACTTACTCCTTAAAAAAAAAAAAAAAATGCACACTTCTGTACATGTTGTGTAGGAATATATACATGCATACTCTTCTTATTGATGTATGAATTTACAATTTGAAAAATACAAATTCGTGCGAAATTAAACAATTGTGGTGTTAAGTTCACAAAATGACAAATGGTGGTTTACGTGAGTTCGAAGCGATTATGTTAAAACAAATTGTTCTAATGATCACTTAAAAAAAATAAAAAAAAAAAAAAAAAAAACGATGAGACAAAAACACACAAAAGAGAAGTTTCCCAAACTCTTCTTTCCCCCCACCCAAAAAAAAAATGTCCCTCCGCACCCCTTTAAACAAGCAGCAATTATCATGTATATACACGAATGTGTATGTAAAATAAATTGAAAGTAACAAAGTTGCTATGTTTTAAAAAAGAAAATTTGGGGCATTACCTCTTCTTTTTAAGAGATGATTATTTTACTCCCTATGGAGTTCAAATAATTCATTCAATGAGACAAACTTTTCGACAGTTAATAAATTATCCTTCACATTTTTACCATTAATTCTTTTAACGATAATTTTATCATGAACTAAACTAAGAACAACTTCTGTTTTTCCGAAAGTGTAAACTCCTCTTCTGCTTTTCTTCCAATTTATTTGACTATTATGTGTGTTATGCCAATCTTTTAATTTTTTATCGATTGGATCAGAACTATTGACAATATATAACTTTTTGGGTTTTCCTAAACGTATATTAATATATGTTTTCGAGTTTTTAAAAGAAGTAGATGGTTCAAGATTCTTTAAGGAAATATTAGTATGTTCTCTTTTTTTTTGTAGTAATTGGATTTTTTTGGATGGTGAAGAGGAAGCCTTTTTAGGGTGTTTTTTGTTTTCTTCATTTACATTTTGATTACACCTTCCTTGTATACCATCTTCTCCATTTCCATTTCCTCCCACTTTTTCTAATCCATTCAATGCACCATTAACCCTCACTCCTTTACGAATTATCTTTTTATTTGCACTTTTCAATTGATCCTCATTTAATGTTAAGTAGTACCCACGTTCATTATGTTCATAGTGTGCATTATAGTCATTGTTGTCATTATGTTTATTATCCCCATTATATTCATTATTACGGTGGGGGTCATTCGTCGTAAATTCTTTGCCCTTGTCTAAAAACGTAAAATTATTGGTATCGTGATAAAATTCATTAAAAAATGAGTCATACTTATTATTTTCTGCATCATGTTCGCAGTAATTTTCCTCTCTTGAGTTTTCATTTTTTCCAAAACTGAAATCACTTTCTATGTCTTTATTTCCATTCCGGTAGCTGTTATTGCTAACCATGTTTCCAATGTCACTGCTTCCTCTACTGACGTCCCCATTATTGTTATTATTACTGGACAACAAAGATGAAGAGATAATTTTCTGATAATCTGGAGTGGAATTAACAATGCCTTGAGAAGAACTATCTAGCAATAATTTCAACTGTTTTGCTTCTTGCTCTAAAATATCTTTATCTTTATTAGGTACAACTGTAACTGTTAAGTTCTTAGGTTTATCCTCGGGAACTAGATAAGATGGCAATCCATACATGTTTTTTCCTTCATTATTTAATTGCAGGGGTAAAAACTTACTAGATGGTTGAATTTGTTTCGGTGAAAAATTGGGGGGCTGGAAAAATGGAGATACAGATGCAGATGCCAAAGGGAATGGATTACTTCCTTGATTGCCTTTTTTTATGCTGCCGTTAATATTTTTGTTTAATGGTTGAATATATGTGCCTATGATTTCAGGTAGCCCTAATTCGTAAAGATGTTTTGTATTCTTGTGCTGTTGTTGCTGTAGATGTAGCTGCTGCTTCTGCTGGTGCAGTTCAGACAAGTTTGCCTTTTCTAAGGCATTCCTATTATGCTTTAACATGGCATTGGTTTCTTTGCACAAAGTTTCCAAATTTAAAGATGGCTTTACGGGTTTCGGCATGATATGCTGGATATTTTTGTTCAGGTCTAACATTTCCAAATGGCTAGAATCTAAATATTCATACCTATTATTTTTGGGACTTTCATGAGGTTCATTTATTTTTCCTTTTATATATAAGCTTGTTCCACATTCCTTTTTTTGATCATTTGTTTTACTTATTCGGGTAACTGTGCCTTTGGGGAACATTAAGTGACTACCCCCTGTGTAGTTCATTTGATGCACAGACTTCATATCTGTATGAATTTTGTTTGCTTCTACAGTTTGTGTGTTTGCTCTTCTTAAGGTACTTCTCACTTTAATATGCCTTCGTATGTATAGTTTTTTTTTTTTTTTTTTTTTTAAAAGTAATAACAATGTGTATGCACGAATGTATATGTAAGAATGTACATGTGTGATAATGCGTTCAATTTGTGTATGTATATGTGCGTATATGCTCTGCCTCCTTTTTGTGCCTTGGAATTTAGTCTGGAATACAATTTTTTCCGTGCCTGAATTCTTTTGGAGCACTGCTATGCTATTTTTGAGAAAAAAAAATATTTAAATTGCTAAATGTTTTCAAAGTTAATGCTTACTCGCTCCTATTTTAATTAAATTTAATTATGCCGCAAGGTGTAATAAAAAAAGAGGTAACAAAAATATATGGGGTTGGGACATAACTTCAAAATAGAAATAAAAAGGGGAAAGGAAAAAATATGTTAAAGTACGCCATACGGCAAATTAAGGACAAAAACAAGAATTCATGAAACTCACTGAAATTGTGCGTTTATACTTATTTATATATACGCAGACAAACTGTTTTTGTGTAGAACAAATGGCAAATAAACTTTTTGGTGTCTTATCCCCTGTAGCATGTTTCAGCGTCTTTTTAAAAAAAAAAAAAAAAAAAGAATCATTCATGCAACATTTTTTAAATCTTTTTTAAGACTTATTTTTTCAATTGTTTTAACAGGAGCGCAAATATGTAAGTGAATGTGCATGCTTATGTGCACCTTGTATATATTGCGAAAGGGAATATTTGATAGGAATTTACTTCCACTTAACGTGCATATAAAAAAAAAAAAAAAAAAGGAGGTAATAAGTGTAAGTGAATGTTGTAGAAATATTTTGCACTTTCAAAAATTGCACACACAATTGTAAAAAAAAAAAAATATATATATATATATATACATGCACATAATACACTTTTTTATAGAAAACTTTTACAATTTAAACGCTCGCACACTAAAATGGCAACATCTTTTACCACTTTTCAGACATGTGTTCATATAATATTCGCATGTGCTCCCATGTGTGTTTTCCCTGTTTTTCTTTTTTGTAAAACGCACAAGTTAGAACTTAACAGTTAAGCATATTACATAGAGTTATTGTTAACAGGCATTAGGAAAAAATATTGTGATAATAGCTTTTTTTTTTTTTTTTTCTGTTAGCATTCTAACATGCAAAAAGCTTTTCCATTTTCCATTTTCTTTTTTTATTTTAACAAACGATGAGCTGAATAAAAATTTTCCTTACAGTTCATATGGTGTGGTATATTACATGAGCATGACATATTTTTCCCAAAAATGTTATGAACGAGTCATGTTATTTTTGAAAAAAAAAAAAAAAAAGTGCTCATATCTTGGCATGCATAATGCATACACATTTGTGTGTTTGCTTGGTTGTCTTTGTCACAACTTTGAGTTAGAGATGTTGTATAAACCTTTAGCTGTGGAAAAAATTACAATGATAATGAAATTTTACAAATTAAGCTTCCAAAGGAGTAAAGGAAAAAAAAAAAAAAAAAAATGAATAAACAAAAATATAAAAAATAAAACAAAGTTTTAAAAAGTATACAATGGAATGAAAAGTGTAGAAAAAGGGGCTTGCAAAATATATGTACATTTTGTTATTGCCCAACGAAATGAATAACTTTATTTTTCTGAATTTTCGAATAAATCACATGAAAAAAAATTAAATTTGAAGATTATTCTGTGTAAATCACATTGTGTGTGTAATGATTGAGAAATTTTTTCTAAAATCACGTTTTTTTTTTTTTGTTTTTTTTTCTAACTATTGTAATCAGTAAAGTGCTATAGTTACATATGAAACTACATGTAACACATGTGTTTTTTGTTTTTCGTTCATCTCATATTTTCCTTTGTTTTTATATTTTAATAAATGTACTTGTAGAACTTTGAAAAAAATTGTTAAATCGATGTTATCAGAGAAGAGGACATAGCCATACATGGGTTGTGCTACTTTTTACATTAATTTTTTTTTCTGTGTACCTGATCAATAATTACCATCGTAATATTCATTGGACTCATGTATGAAATCTTATTTACCCTTATGAATGAGAAATCTCATAAGATTTTTATACAGTTTTTACATTCTTCGTCCTTGCCAAGAAAAATATAAAATGTGTTTTTAAAATTTAGAATGTTATGTTTAACCTTTTTTCTTTCTTTCTTTTTTTTTTTTTTTTTGCGCAAAAATGCTCTTTTTTCTGACACAGGTCCAAACTTGGTACATTTTCTTTTCCTAATTTTTTTTTAAAGGAATGTTTTATTTTTAGCATGATATAAGGTGTTAAATACATTTTTTTGCCCTTTATACTTTTAAAACATTTTTTTTTTATTATTAAGTCATTTTTATTTTTAATGTTTCAATGCATGACCAGTGAAATTCTTTTACTAATGTTCTGTGGATTAAATGGAATAACACGTTTGCATTTCGTGAAAATGTTAGCTTAAGGATTAGTGTCCATTTTATGTAGTATTATCTAGATGTATCTGCATGTATACATGCACATATTTATATTTTTTTATAGATACGTGAGTTTGTATATACATATAGATACATACATAAGTATCATCATTACCATAAAATTTACATTTATTGGCACGAGCATTAGGAAATAATAATGGGAAGAATATAAGAAAAAAAAATATGGTACAGTAAAAGAAATAGAAGCTGGTGTATTTGGCATAAATGTATACTTTAATATTTACAGTAAGGAAAAAGCAAAGAAAGTCTTTTTTTTTTTTTTTTTTTTATTCCCCATTTTATTTTGTGATACTATGGGGAATATCATAAATCGGTTTATTTTTAATTACCCAGTTGATGGAAGCTATGAAAAATTTCACTTAGATTTTATTTTTATTGAAACGGAAAATGGGGGTAAAATTGCAGCATATTTTATAAATAGGTATATAAACGATTTGATAATTAAACTTGGTTATGTATTACTACAACGTGTATATGTCTTTTTTTTTTTTTTTTTTTTTTTCTTTTCTTTTTTTGAGCCTATCATCAAATATAAACATTTAATAACTTGATGTTCCTTATTCTCCTTTTTAGAGGTGCCCCATTAACTATTTTATTTTGCCATGGAAATGGTGAGAACATTTACATGTTATATGATTACTTTTGCGAGACATCAAAAATATGGAATGTTAATGTGTTCTTATATGATTATCCCGGTAGGCCAAAGAAAAAGAACATGCTAAATTCGTTAAAAATGTGAAATTTTGTTCTCGGTGTGTTGAAATGTTTCCTTGGCTTGTTCATTTTTACCTTCAGTGTTCTTAGGTTTTCACATTTTTATTATATTTATATGCTTATTTTTACCATTACTTGTATTTTTCTTTCTTACCGTAACTGTTGATTTTTTTTTTTTTTTTTTTTTTTTTTTCCATTTTCTTTTTTTATAAAAAAAAAAAAAAAAAAAAAAAAAAAGGATATGGAGAGAGCACTGGAATGCCAACCGAAAAAAATATGTACCTAAGTGGAAATGTGGCATATGAGTAAGGAATTTTTTTTTTTTTTTTTCCTTCCTAAGGCATGTAATTTTGAGTCCTACTTATGAAGGCCTTTTTGTTTCATTCGTTTGATTTGCTGTATTCGCTTCATTTGCTGTATTCGCTTCATTTGCTGCATTCGTTTCATTCGTTCCATTTTTCTGGTAGCTATATGGTGAATAAGTTAAACATAAAACCAGACAATATTGTCTTATACGGGAAATCCATAGGTTTGCAACAAAAGCAGTGTGAATAAATGCTTTTTGTTTCTTACATTATACATGGCATTGTGTACAGAAGAATAAAAAAAAAACGAAGACAAAGTACACTACTAAAATGAAAATGCGTATTTTTATTTCACTTTTCAGGTTCGTGTGCTGCGATCGAAATAGCCATTATGAAGAAGGTAAAAGGTATAATTTTGCAGAGTGCTTTAATGTCCCTACTGAATATATGTTTTAAAACGCGATTTGTCCTTCCATTCGATTCCTTTTGTAACATAAAGAAGGTACTACAACTTGTCTTATCATAAAGTGGTGCATGCAAGCATCGTCATAACAGAAAGATGTATACATATGTTTATATACGATGAGGAATATTATAAAACGAATGGTTTTATAATATCAAAATGGTATTTTTTTTTATTATTTTTTTTTTGTGTGTTAGATCGGCATGATTCCCTGCTTTGTATTTTTCATCCATGGCACCGATGACAAAATAGTTCCCTTTTATCATGGATTGGTAAAAATAGAAAAAATGGAAAAATAATGCAAAATGGAATATGTAACTAATCCGATTTTTTAGACCTTCAAAGAGCTGCATAACCTATCCGTTAAGATAGGCACTTTTGTGGACTTTGTTTTGTTGCAAACGTGAAAGTTGTCATGATTAACTTATTTTGTTTAATCGAATATTTTATGGCCTTATTTATTTTGCTACAAACATGAAACCATCTCTTAATGCCCACTTTACGTGCGTATTGAAAGCATATAAAGTACACATTTTTTTTTTTTTTTTTTTTTTTCTCCCATGGGTTTGCATTCTCAAAGAGTCTCTATGAAAAGTGTAAACTGAAAGTTCACCCGTACTGGGTTATCGGTGGCAAGCATAATGATATCGAATTAATTGATAATATAAAATTCAATAAAAGCATCAAGTGTTTTTTAAAATTTCTCAGTAATTTGTAACACTTTTTTTTTTTTTTTGCGCTTTATTTTTATTTCTACTTTTTACCATTTTGTTTTATTTTATTCATTTTCTTGAAATCGAATATTTGTCGTTACGTGTTTATATATAGTACCTTATGAATGCATTTTTTCGTTACAAATCAAAGGGGCTCCCTTTTGTTCTTTGTCTGGATCCCCTTTTACAAACTATACATATGTATTATATGCCGGTTGTGCGGATTATATTTTATGTTCTTAATGTGTCTTGTTTATAAACTTAAGAACATATATATGCATATATATACCTTTTCGAAGGGTATATGTTAAAGCCAACTAGCAGTACACTTGGTGTGTAAATGAAAATTAAAATAAACCAACACACTGTGTATTATACTGTGGGTTAATATTAAAATTTCGCTATTCCCTTACCCGTATGCTGAAAGCGCAGGTGTGTGCACAAGGAGGATGTATTTTTTACATTTAAAATATAAGAAGGGTGATGCTGCCTCTGTCATCTGTTTTTGCAATCCGTTATTGCAGTCCATTTTTGCAGTCCATTTTTGCAACCCGTTATTGCAATTCATTTTTGTTTACATTAACAACCATTCTTTTTCTGCACATGGTCATACTATAGATGAGGTACATAAAAAAAAAAAAAAAAAAAAAAAAGTGGATAAAACCAAATTAAGTAAAGTTAGTACCTTTATAAATGACCAATCACTAGAGGAAAAATTTAATTAAATATTTTGTGATAAATAAACATAAGGAGAGAAAAACTGTGGGTTTACTCTTTTATCCCACTATTTATGGGTTAGGAAGATGGTACATGAAATTTATAAAATAGTACTTATGGGTTAAACAGAAGGTAAATGAAATTTATGAAATTGTATTTATGTGTCATGCTAATTGTATATAATGTATTAGTACTTTTTGCTATCTTTTTTTTTTTTTTTTTTTTTTTTTTTTTTTTCTGTGTTGTTCACAAAATTGCACGCACCTCCCCATTTATGTGAATGAAACTATGTATTAAATTTATTTACTTATTTATTTATTATTTTTTTTTTTTTAAAGGATGTATATATATAAATGTGCACAACATACGTAACAAAAACATACAATGAGCGACACTTTTAAATGGCACTGCTTTAATTGAACAAATGAGAGTGACAAAATTGTTACATATATAAAACTTATGAGGATTTGTGAACATTTTTTGACACCTGTAATTTATTCCGATTTAATCATTTTATATTTTATAACCTGAACAAGAGCAGAAAAAAAATTCTGTGTTTAAAATGTAAGAAAGCTTTTTTTTCAAAATCAGATTTGCATAAATGCATATTTAAATGTAACAAAATTCGAAGCCCTAAAAAGTGTGGTGCTTTTCCACTTTTCTGGTTTTAAGTACATCCATATTTAATTTAAGTGGTATGTAAGCTGGCGTAAGTATATTTTGAATACATAAAAGATTTACACTTATGCCTGTACTTAAATGTATACATAAACGTGTGCATAAACGTATACACATACACAAACTTATATATATATATATATACATATACACATGCACGAACTTATACATCAAGAAATACAAAAGTGATGAACATACTTATACCCCATTCATATGAAGCATTTTTATAGGTAAGAAATGTGCATATATATATATATATATATATATATTGTATGAGAAAATATACACACATACACGAATACTTATATATATATATGACTTTAACAGTCTTGCGTTCCTAGCATTGTTAAAAAGCAGAAAACGCTTGACACACTGAAATGTTCAAGACGGTTGAAGCATTGAAGCTGGTTCGGACGGAATACTATGAATGCACAATTTCCTATTATGTGTGATGAATGGCCTGTGACAATTTAACGATAACCAAAAAAACTGAAGAGAGAAAGAAACAAAATAAAAACAACATATATGTATCACTCCAATTTGTGCAAAGTTGAAGCTTTCAAAATAGACGAATCAATAAAAATAAGGAATTTATTTATAAAACATTTAAAACAGGGATCATACAGAAAACCTTAGGAAAAGGAGACGTGTTAAGTAAACATAACACAGAGAAATAAAAAAAAAAAAAAAAAAAAAAAAACCTTAAGAAATTATTAAAAAAAAAAAAAAAAAAAAAAAAAAAAAATCACCTGTTTTAATGAGAAGCATGCACTTATCCCACTTATCGTGTTTGTGTAACCCAGATGCATATGCTTAGAAGGTAAAAATATTTACATATGCACACATATAATCACATTCTCATATATGAACACATGCATATATCAATGTGGCTGTATAATTAATGGTCTATCAGACGAAATGGCAGAGAAGATATAATTTTTTTTTTTAACACCCACGAAGTGCTAAAACATATACATGTGTGCGAATGTGTGTAGGCAAATTTATGCAGAAATAGGGAAATAAATATGGGCAACATTTATCTGTAGCACAATTGTGAGTTTTTGTGCATAAGGGTGAAGCCATAGATGCGAAGTGGGTACATGTGTCCCGCACATGTACGTATTTGCTAACATAGGTATGTAGTACATATATATGTTTTTTTTTTTTTTTTTTTTTTTTTTTTTTTTTTTTTTGCCTGTACAGCTGTTCATTTTTGGATTTAATTAAAATTTGAATGTTCACGGCATAGTCACCGTTTTAATGCTATATACGCAAAAATGAAAAAGGATTTGATTAGCGAAATTTTGGTATATGAACAGGACGATAGGGGATATGTGTTGGATAGCTTAAAAGATAAAATATTTAAAACCATTTTGAGCAAAAATGAAAATAAAATATGTTTTGATTGTGGAAATAAAAATCCGAAATGGCTATCTCTGACATATGCGATATTTATTTGTCTGAACTGTTCAGGTAAACATAGACAATTGGGAACTCACATTTCATTTGTGCGTTCAACAGGAATGGATAAATTTACAGCAAAACAGTTGGTTAGAATATGTTTGGGAGGAAATTTTAAAGCAAATGAATTTCTAAAAAAGAATAAAGATGGTAGCATTATAGATTATTCATCACATAACTGTTTAAAATATAAAATGTATTTGGACAGCTTACTGGAGGAAACATTATTCACACATGGAAGGGAATGTCAAAATCGCACAAGTAGGTTTGATCCTCATGGTAGTAATACGAACCAGTTAAACAATTTACCCAGTGGAAAGAATAATCCTGAAATAGATTTAATTAATGATGATGTGAAAAAGATAGAGGAGGAAGGTCCAAGCGGACATATTCGAAATGATATGAACGAGTTTGGAAATACATTTCCAAATTGTAACAATGTTAACAGTAATAAGAAAACATGTGATATGAGTGGTAGGGCGATTCCAACACACTTTATCGATGAAAAAATGCTGTATAATAATTGCAATAAAAATTTTAAAGCAAAAAAAATTGACATCAATTTTGACGATACCATATTTGAACACAATGCAAAAGCTAACGCAGGTGAAGGTATGAACACACATCCTAGTGTGAACAAGAATACTTTTAAAACTTATGAAAGTTCAAGCGCTTTTAGTATGAATGATAATGGTTATGGAAATAATAATAGTGTGCAGAAAAACAATTGGAGTGAGAGTATTAGAATTATGCAAAGTGGAAGAGAAGATGAGATGAAGAAGAACCAATATGGAAAAGAAGGATATTATGCAGGTGATGGTGGTCATCACCATATTGCAGGAAATAATACCAACATTAGAGGTAGTAACATCATTAACAACAATCGGAATTGTAATAACTTTTTGAACACAACAAATGATTCTAAATTGAATAAATTTAAAGATTGTAAAAGTATATGTTCTGATCAATACTTTTATGACGAGAGGCACAAAGATGAAGAGGAGATAAAACCAAACGTTCATATAACAAATAGCATATCATCTGACCAATATTTTAATAGAAATGTTAGTAACAGAAAAGGGACTTGGAATCTGGATGAACAGACAATTCAAAATTTGCAGGGTCTCAAGGTGACTGCGAAGGAGGGTCTCTCGAATATTGTTGCTGCTGGCAATGAGGTCTTTTTGAAGGCCAAAGAGTGGTTCAACAATTAATATCCTTGCAAGTTTACAATTACGTTTACATGTAACGTTACATATACCTATCTGTACTTATCCGCATACCCATTATTTACCCGTGCTCAATTTTTTTTTTTTTTTTTTTTTTTAAATTTAATTTTTAAGGTAATACATGTACATATGCCGATGCAACAGAAAGAATGTGTAAAACCAGGAATACATGTTTTGCACTTTTCTTGCTTGTAGGTTTGTATCCCCCTTCCCTTTACTTCTCCGTTTTTTCATTTTCCTTGCCCATTTTCCCCCACCCTTTTTTCGTTTTTTTGTGCACCACCAAATCGATGCTTTGTGTGGTATTACATATCTGCATTGGTCTGTGTTTTTGTATATGTGTGATTATCACAAAACAACCATAGCTGAATTTTTACTGCTATATATATATATATATATATATTAAAAAAGTATTCGAAATTGCGTGTTTTTGAAACGACTGTGAGAAATGAGCAGCGTAAGGGGGGGGGGATGTACACAGCTGGGTACGCACATAGATACGTGCGACTACGAGGAAATTGTTCCAAGTCACTCAAAAAAAAAAAAAAAATTAAATAAAATAATAAAATAAATAAATGAACAAATAAATAAGTAAAATGCAGCAACGTGAAACAAAATAAAAAATAAGGAATAAGTGAAGGCTGACTATTTTAGGTTACATATGGGGATGTTTTCATTTTATCTGATTTGATTTTACTTTATTTTACTTTTTTTTTTTTGTTTATTTTTTTTTTCTTCTTCACTTTATGTTTTGTCCACCCACGCCCTGTAATGATCGCAACACTCGCAGTGATTCCCTTTCGTAAAGTGATCATATAGATTTCCTGATTTCACTACAGTAAATATGGGGACATCTTGATTTGATTTCCATTTTCTCTATGCAAAACGTTTTTGATGGGATGTAACTTTTCCCATTTAATGTGTTATTTTCCGTACACATAATCCTGCTGTACATATTTGGACGCTTTTTCACCATCATTTGCTTCTGCCACGTGGTCCCTTTTTTCGATCACTTTTTTCGCTCACTTTTTTTTTTACAGCTCACCACACTCTACAATATTGATTGGAATTTTTGGCTTATAAATGTAAGGTGTAACAGAAACGTTTTCTATTTTTTTTAGCAGAATCAAAGAATCGCTGTCTATGATTCTACCAAAAACGACATTCTTCCCATCGAGCCATTCACATTTTTTGGTAGTAATAAAAAACTGACATCCATTTGTGTTAGGTCCACTGTTAGCCATACTTAATAATCCTTCTTTGTCATGTTTTATGTCAAAATTTTCATCTTCAAAATTTTCCCCATAAATGCTTAAGCTTCCACTTCCATTATAGTTCACGAAATCCCCACCCTGTATCATAAACTCTTTTATTACTCTATGGAAAGTTGTGTTTTTATATCCAACTGGTAAGTTATTTATTTTATATTCTCCTGTACAGAACTGTCTGAAATTTTCACTTGTTTTTGGTACAATATTTTGAAATAATTCAAATTTAAATTTTCCTAAAAAATGGTTACCCAAATTTATATCCATAAATACAACAGGATTCGACCCGTTGGTTAGTAAGTTGGATAAATAATATGGTATTACAGTGTTTTCATCAGTCTCTTCCAGGATTAATTGATCAACCTTTTTGTTTTCACCTCCGTCCTTGTTTTTGCAGCGTTTGCTTTTGTTGCCCTCATTTTGACTTTCCCCCCCTCCGTTTATATTTTCTTCCCCATTTTGGTTTTCCCAGTTTTTATTCTCCCATTTTTTATTATCATCTCTTTTGCGTCCTTCATTTTTTCTTCTTTCTCTTTTGTTTTCGTCAACCTCACTATCCCTATCATCATCATTGCTCCTATCTCGATCGTATTTTCTTCCTCCCTTTTTATCTCTGCTTCCTCTCATTTTTTTTTTTTTTTTTTTTTTTTCTTATAAACGTATTTCTTTTACTTGGGAAGGAAAGATTATTATATTTACTTGCTATCTATTTATCTATAAATGTAACTAACTTTATGAGCTTTAAAATATTAAGCGTATATATTTTTGAAAAAAATTGATGAAATACTTTCCGATGTTTTTCATGCATACTCTGGTTAATTATTTCCCCCCTTTTTTTGGACATCGTTCCCCTTGATTTTTCCTATGCCTCTTCTTCGCCCTATTGAGTCGTTGTTTTGCTGACCGTTTTGCTGACCGTTTTGCTGATCGTTTTGCTGATCGTTTTGCTAGTTGTTAGCTTAACTCTTGCCCAACTTCTTGCCTAACTTCTTGCCCAACTTCTTGCCCAACTTCTTGCCCAACTTCTTGCCTAACTTCTTAGCTAACTTCTTGCCTAACCGTTTTTTTTTTTTTTTTTTTTTTTTTTTTTCCTACAATTGTTCACTACCGCTCTTTTGCAATTGACACGTGTTAAACAAAGCCAGCCGTATCATTTTTTATCTGACCATTTTGAAATGTCTCTAAGGACACTTACTTGTGTGAGAGAGAGGGATACATTGAAAAGGTGATAATAACATGATGATAAAAATAAAAAAAAAAAAAAAACTGTACGTTTTCATGTATACTGTTGCCTGCATTCGACAGGGGTCATCTTTTTCTTACTTAGCAAAATTGTAAAATATATATGTGCATTTCTCAGTTTTTTAAAATTGCAAAAAAAAAAAAAAAAAAAAAAAAAAGAATGGGACTTACATGACGATTTTTATCCGAAAAGGTGCAAACCCCATGATGATGCTGTATTTTTATGTCCCTGGGCAAGGGAAAATATTTGCAAGACTTCAAGTCAATCACGTGAAGTGCACACTTTTTATAATTTATATGTTCATGAATACATAAATAATATATAACGTTTCAATTTCTTTTTTTTTTTTTTTTTTTTTTTTTTAAAATATGCTTTTCCACTCTTAACAAGAGACACGTCATTTTTTCTTGTCACATGTTGTTCATGCCTGTGCAATGCTACACATGCATACACCAACAAAGGCAACACGAGATATGTCAACATGAAAAACGGCAACATTGTCAATACATGTTGTACAATATTCACATTTTGTAAATATTTCTTCTTTTTTTTTTTTTCGCATTTCCACGCTGTTGAAGATTATCAGTTTTAATCGAATTTAGGAATCTTAAAACGATTTCCTATCAAACGAAATTTTCCCCAAGATGGAGGAAGTAGAATTTCCAGAATGTGTATTTTTATAAAAAATAAAAATTGAAAAAAAAAAAAAAAAATTACGTGCACACAAGTTGTCATAGTTGTCGAACTGAGCTTAAGGCAGGCCCCCGACGTCTGCATTCAATTTTACGGACCTGCGTCGTCCGTTAAGGTCTTTCGTCTGCGTCCCGTTTTTTTGTCTTTTTGGTACCATTTTTGGTACTATTTTTGGTACTCTTTTTGGTACCATTTTTGGTACTCTTTTTAGTACTATTTTTGGTACTCTTTTTGGTACTATTTTTGGTACCCCTTTTTTTTGCCCCGTAATTGTAGTGCCTTTCCCTTTTTCTCCATTTTGCACCTGCACACGCTCCGTCCACCCCATCTCAAAGGATGAATGAGAAACATGGTCAGACATAACATTGAAAAGCATCAAGTGGAAACAAAGGAAGGATATGCAAGACGAAAGGAGGAGGGGAACAACAAGTGGCACTTGATTAATTTTTCACCTAAAATTTGTTTCAGCAAATTAAAAACATGGAATGATGATGAAATAATTCAATCAATAGTAAAGGAAGAAGGTGGGAAAATGAAACAAAATAAAAGCGATGTAAAGATGTGGCACGAGAGGGAAGAAATGAACACAAGGAATTATAATGGTAGAGAGAAAACCACATTGAAGAGAACAGTTCTATTTAGAGAAGAAAAGAATAAAGAAAAACAAAATAATATGAAAAAAGAATGTAAGATAAAATGTGCAAATGCCAAAAAAAAAGGTTCTTCTTTTATTTCGAATGAGGCACCACAGATTGGTATCTGTATCAACACAATGCACATGTTGAAGAAAAAAAATGAACTTGAGAAGAAATCGAAGGAAATTTCAAATGGTAAACTCGAGAATGATAACATTTCAGAAGATGATCTTAAACGGGTTGATGACATATCACAGTGCACATCAAATGTTTGCACTAAGGTGAGTTATAGACCCCCCACGAAGAATACATGCTTTTTAGTTGAAAAACAAAATAATGACTTGAAATATAACAGAATTGCAATTGGTGGGAACAGGAGTGAGGAGATGAATAAAAAGGAAGATACAAATATGCACCTTAAGAAAAAAAACAATGTACATTTTAACATTCCCACTAAAGAAAAAGAAGCATGGACGAAGCTGAACCCCAACATGGTAGACGCTAGGAAGTTCAGCCCTGCAGCATCGCGTATGGGAATCTTTATGAACAAGGGGAGAAGAGGGAAAACAACAGAAAGAAATAGAACCATTAGAAAATGTTGTGATAAACCATATTTATGTCACAACAAGAGTAACATGAATGAGCTAGGAAAGGATGAGACAGACATTATGATGGCAATTCAAACTATTGGAGAACACAGAAATGTGATAAATAACAATGTGTCCAAAAATGTGTTGAAAAAATGCACTCCTGTTGAAGACAAAGATAAATTATTATGTATGCAAAATAAGAAGGAACACCTTTTAGAAGAATTAAAAAATGCTTACAAATGTGTGGCCATGAAAGAAACAGATAAAATGTTAATATATTGTTTAAACGTTAGCGATAATATCAAAAATAAAAAAAATTGTAAATCTGTTAATAGAAAAAATACGAACAGAAAAACTGTGTATCAAGTTTCTTCTCCTTATGATATTCCAGGTGGTGTGGCCAAATGGACAAGTAGGGAAAATTTCACGCGTTCCAGAAGTGCATCAATGAGGAAAAAAACTTCCACTTGTGGTGCCAAAAGAACCCCCAAAGGGAGCAAAATAAATGGAAGGAAGGGAAGCACTGGGAAAAAAGCAAGCACTCAGGGAAACGTCACTACCAAAGACACCAACAACGCTAGTGCCAAAGATACTATTAAGGACACTACTAAGGACACTACTAAGGACACTACTAAGGACACTACTAACGACACTGCCAACCCCTTGATGCAGAAACCACTCGGGAGACTAACCCAAATATCAGGGAAAAATGGAAAAGCGAAGGAACAAGCACATAAAAAGACTGTGGTGATTAATCTTAGACGTAAAGTTACAGAGATCCATAAAATGCATTCAAAAAAAAAAAACAAGAAAAAAAATGCTACGTGGGAGGAACATAACCACATTGTTAAAAGAGAGAAAGATACCTTTTCAATTTGCACCAAAGAAATGAAAACAGAGCCTAAGAGGGGGAAAGGTAAAGAGGGAAATAATCCTACAAGTTCCATCGTTAGGAGTTGGATAGATGACAAGCGACACGAACTTCTCACCAGCTTTAATGAAAGAATTGCAACAAAGATTGGTCATCACGAGCAGATGGAAATATGTATTCCATGGGAGTGTACACCCATAGAGTTGTTGTATCCCAAGAGAAGCGAAGCAAAGGATGAAAATACGCTCACATATTCGTGGGGCAGACAGACAGGGAACGGTGAACATGCCAATGTAGATGCTGACGAAGATGTAGATGCGGACGAAGATGTAGATGCTGACCAAGATGTAGATGCGGACGAAGGTGCTGATGTAAATGACGATCTCTTATCTGTGCACGCATCCCTGCATGCAAAGCACCCCGTTTCAAGGGGCGCATTCGAAATGGACGCATCTAGTGATTATGATCCTGTTGGAGAGCTTATTCAGAAAAGAAAAAGAACCGATTCAAAGGTTGATATTTGGAATAATGTGGATGTAATGACAGGAGCAGACAGAAAGTCATCATATAATGATCTTCAAGGGAAGGAATCTACCACAGAGATTGGATATCGCGGAAAAAATATAAACATGAATAGTCTAAACAGAAGATCTCAAAGCTTGAATGGAAAAAGGGAAAACGGGTTCTTCAATGCACTCATCCTTACGAATGACCTTCGAATTAAAATATGCTACAGCAACAATTATGTAGATTTCAAACGGTTGAAGCGGAATCGTTGTTGTGAGGACACGGGGGTGGAAGTGGAACCAGATGTGGAGTCAGATTCGGGCATAGATTCTTGCATAGATTCGGGCATAGATTCTTGCATAGATTCGGGCATAGATGCAGACATAGGGGGTGGTGCAGGTGTCGACGAATATCCGGAGAAATACAGACCCGTATGCTTCAAGACGGATGATCATATGCTAAACACAAGTGATGACCTGTTTCTTATTTCTCAAGATTCTGAGAAAATTAAGTCAAATAATTATCAAGAGGAAATAAATTCGCATGAACGTTTTGATGGGCACAGGGAGATTATGGAAAAGGTGTGGAAGGGAGAAACGGCATCTGCTTATGAAACGTGCGTAGAGAATAATTTCCTAAAATGTTCACATTTTGTTAATAATAATATTGAAAATGAAGATCAAGAAGTAAGCAGAGAAGAAGGTGATATGAAGATTCCTATAAAAGAAAAATGTGCTGAGAAAATTATTTTTTTAGAAAATGATATGACTACTGACAATGAAGAGAGTAAAGAAAGGGACGTAATAAATACTAATAAAAACAGAACAGAAGAGCGAAACGCAAATATTTTCTCTCCCATCAACTACTTGACAATGCAACGAATGTGCAAAGGTCAAAGGGAACGAGAACAACTTGGAGAAAGCCAAAACTCTTACTTAGTTCAAAAGATTCTAGGACCCATAACCGATGAGAAAATGCCACGCGACTCCAATGGAATTGATTCTGGAATGAGTAATAGATGTAGCTGGGAGGGGTTCCTACTAAGCAGTAACAGGAATAGTAATACCAGCAGAATTCACTCTTTGGGGAGAATAAGTACACATAACAGCATTTGCATTTACAACAGTAATGATAATAGAGAAAGAGACTCGATTAATGAACGGAATGATGAAAACGTTTTTTTGAAAACTCGAAGTGGTGATAGGAAAAATGGTATTGTTGCACACCACCACCCCGTCTATCACAATGAAGTGAATATTTTTAAAGATTCATTTAATCCTGAGACTGAAAGTATATCGACATCTGCTTCTCTATGGGAGTATAATGGTAGAAAGATCGTTCAAAGTAGCAACATTCGTATTTTTCCAACCGTGGGGAATGAGTTGAATAGTATGCATGGAGGAGAAGTGAAAAAATTAATAACCACATCCATATCAGAAGCTGATGCGGTTGAAGATTCAGAAGAAAGAATTAAACGAAATAGAGACAAGAAGACTCTCGTAAGAAAAAGATGCAATGTAGTTATGCTAAGGGGAAAAGATACACTAGTGTCCACAAATTGCCCCATTCAGGTGAAAAAATGTTCTAGCATGAAGTTAAAAAAAGGAAAAGAAAAAAAATGTATCCAAATTAAGAAAACCCCGTTTTGTGGAATATATGCAGAAGGAAAAGACACCTATATTGGTGTTAACAAATATGCAAAAAAAAACAAGAATCGCTCAGTTCTAGACTTAGAAAAAAGGAGCATTTTTGCACGTGCAAATGAACTGAATCGGCAAGTTAAAAAAACAAAAGCTAATGATAAACTGATCCCACAGCTTAGTGAGAATACTAACGATTGGACAGTTAAGAAGAATTCCTCCATAAATAATTTTTCCATCGAATCATTGGAGGCATTTCATCCTGGCCGTGTTGTTTTGGGGAACCAAATGGAGACAGAAAATAAGGAAAAAAAAAAAAAAAAAAAAAAAGTTAAAATGAAAGAAGTGAAAGTGGTAAAAGTGGTGAGAGATACAGAAGAAGGGGAAAATTGGGAACCGAAACCGGATCAGCATTACAAGAATTATTTTTTTATTATGAATCAGGAAAAGGAGCAGGTAGGTCCAGGAGGAGGTTCCATAATACATATGAATGATAATGAGGAAGGTAAGGAGGCGAGCTATCATTTTTCTAAACATAATGAACACACGAAACATAAGCATGAAAAGGGGAAAGCATACAAAAGAATAAGGATGAAAAGAAACGATCTTACTACAAAGCACACTGATATTGATGCTTCACTGAAAAATAAAAGTGAAGATTTAGTTACCAGAGAAAAAGACAAAAAAAAGAAAAAAAAGGTGACAAAAAATATTTTGGAAATTCATAATAGTAATATAAATTTTATGGATAAGGAAAGAAAACAAATGAGTGAACATTCCACATTAAAACTATTGATGCGTAAAAAAATAAAAAAAGGATTTCTGAAAATTGAAAAGGATAAAAATTTAATCAACAATTTAAATACCAATTTGTTCATAACTGACACCAAACAAATGGAAGGAAAAATAAGTAGGAAAAATAATTTTCACAACTACAGTGTTAATACCACGCGGAACGTGAAGGGGAATCAAAAATACAATTTTTCCATGGAAGGAAAAAATAATGAATTAAAAATGAGAAGCGACTACAATTATGCACCTAGTGCAACTGTGTCTGAGAACAAAACAAAAAAAAAAAAAAAAAAGAAAAAAAAGGTAAACCATCATAAAGGTGTTAAGAATTCCCCCAAGCGAGATCTTCAAAATGTTGAAAAGGGAAATGAGACAGAAAAGGAGAATGGAGGAGAAGAAGAAGAAGAAGAAGAAGAAGAAGAGATCCTTTTTGAAACACGCAATTATTTTACAAATTTGATTAATAGAATGAATTACGCTGGAAAGTATGGAAAAATCGATGAGTTCTCCCATGTTTCCCATTTTTCAAACATTGCTGCATTGAACCAAGAAGGGAAGGCAATTCCTGCACAGGAAAACGAATTGGATAGCTGCTGTAGAAATAAAACCTCAGGTAATAATTATCAAGGATGGCGGAGATTAAAAAAAAAAAAAAAAAAAAAAAATTTCAAAACTGTTTCTTCAATGCACACAAAAAAATATATTAAAAAACGATCAAATAAGATGTTATATGACAAATATATGCAACATAGATGGAGGGAAAAACATGTCATACGCGCTCACACCCATATCCCTTTACATTGGATATCCTGGAAGAGCACATGTGTTCCTAGGAATGGTTCTTATGAAGAGAATAATCAAAGTCTAACTCCACTGCTGCAGAAGGAAAAAAAAACAGCTAGCGATGACCTAAATATGCATGTTCAGAAAAAAAAAAAAAAAAATATTGCCAAGGAAGGAGAAAAAAAAAAAAAAAAAAATGGAAAAGAGCTAGCTACAACAAGTGTGGTAAATCAGGATGAGCGAAACGAACGAACTAGCGTAAGACGCTATTTCAGTCCCCCCGAATTGGAAAAGGGAAAAAGAAAGGATGGAAAGTGTTTGGAGAAAATACACGTGCTTACTGGAGCAGTAGAAGAAGGAGAAGAAATCTTAGAGGAACAGGTAGACGAGACAATCGAGGTGGCAGATGAAGAGGGAGACGAGGTAGTCCAGACAATCGAGGATGCAGCTGAAGAGCCAGACGAAACGGGTGATAAAATGAAGAGTGATAAAATGAAAAACGTTAAAGAGACACACTCACAGAAAAGTAAGATGAAGAACGGGATCTCCAGTTGTGAAATTTCTGATATTGGACATTTGGAAAGTATAGAAAAATTTCATCTGACATATTACACAAGCAATTTGAATAGTCCATTAAGGAGGTTAAGGAGCAAGGGGAAGCGTGACATGATTAGTAGGAGTAGCAGGAGTAGCAGAAGTAGCAGGAGTAGCAGTAGTGGCAGGAGTAGCAGAAGTAGCAGGAGTAGCAGTAGTGGCAGGAATAACATGGGAGTCGAAAAGATTGAGGAAAGGTATTTCGAAGAAAAAGAGAACAAAAAGGAACATAGTTTATTTCTCCCAGTTAGTGCTGCAAAAGTGAGGGATAATAAGTGTTGGAATGAAGATGAAGGAAAGATTTCCAAGGACGATAAGGAAATGAATGTTTACAATTTTAACAATGAATATGATTCAGAAAGGGAACTGGAAGTAATTGATAAAATCGGTTCCATATGTGCAAAGGAGGAAGAGGATGATAAAGTGGATGACCAAAAATACAAACGCACATTTTCACTTAATTTTGAAAAGTACGTGATAAATCATCGCATAAATGATATCAATCTGAAAAAGAACCTTTTTAAAAATAGTAGAAAACTTGAGGATGGCTTATCCCACGAGGAGGGAGAATGCAGGTATGCTGCCATGAATTGTTCTCCTATGGAAAATGTTAATGTGAAGGATGAGAAGGGTGATGAAATTCACACGAAGTCACACTGGGAGGAGTTTCATTGTGAGAAACGAACGAATCAGAGAAATGTAGGAAACGAGCCAATTTTTAGGGAAAACGAGAATTCAACGAACAAAGGGGATCAAATTAACAAAAACTTGAAGTGGAATTTTTTACAATGTGAGAAAAGTGAAAAGAGGGAAGGAAATAAGCAAAAAGGTGTTGCTGACGAAGAAATGGGAGGAAATTCTTTATTAAATTGCAGAAAATTTAAATATATAAGTTGTGATGAAAAAGTAAGACTTTGTGAGAGCCCGGTTTTTAACAATATCGTTAGAAAAAAAGACAACAGTTTCTTACAGCTGAGTGAAGAGAAGGCTCAACAAAAATCATTTATAATGGATTTCTTATTAAACAAGATTAAAAAAATAGAAAAAAAAAATATTTTCAGAGCAGTATCTATGAATAACATTTATAGGGCCTTCTTCCCAAAGAGGAGAAGTAACGACTTGAATAATCTAAGTTGTATAGGCGAGTGTGGTAGAAGTGGATGTGGTAGAAGCGGGTGTGAAAGCCCCCCGCCTAAAAGAGGAATTAGCACACCCTATTTGATAGGAAAGGACTCAAAAAGCATCCCACACAAGTTGAACCGAACGAAAAGCTTAATTTTTAGAAGAGGGAAACGGGAACACAGAAATGGGTATGGTGCAAGGGATGCATTAATTTGTGTAGATAGTATTACCAATAGTAGATTTGTACACTGGAAGGATAGTGAGTCCAATATGAAAATGCCACATTATTCCAGAACCTTTGATCAAAGTATTTTTTTAAAAAAAAAAAAAAAAAAAAAAAACTTAAGAAATGGTCTATCTCTAAAGGAAGTACCATGGAAAAGTGAGAAATTTGAAGGCATACAAAAAGCACAAATTATAGGGAGAAATAGTTTGAAGAACAGCAACGATTGTAAAGTAAGAAATGAGAAAAGAAATTCCATCATCAGAGAAAGGAACGTAATAGTACTACCAAATAAAGTAAAATTTATGAGAAGATCAAAAAGTTCATCTATACTTAAGGGGAATAATAATGACTTTGATGGAGATTGTTTAAGACGTGTAATGGTTCGAGGAAATTCAATGGGAAGAGAGATCATTTATAAGCGAACTGTTAAGACTTGTAATTCCATGTCAAAGGAAGATACTATTAAGAAATGCTTTCCCATTCATAATACTTTCGAAAAAAATGTACAAGCACAGAAATATCATTTCTTATGGAACCCCTGTTTTTTATTTGAAAGTGGTGTTAAGCAGTAAACGGGGGTGCACAACATGTACATGGGAGAAAAAGTAATTCACTTGAAAATTCCATGAGCACAGGTTTCAAAGTGAGTGGTCGAGTAAGTTATGCATCTTAGTATGCCTTTTTTTTTTTTTTTTTTTTTTTTTTTCTGCTAAATAGAATCCGTGCATGGGAAAAGCGTCTCAAAAAGGGGTTTATAAAATAGGGGTGGTGGTGGCAAATTCTCTTAGGAAATTGTGATTTTCGAGAAAAAGGAGAGAAGGGAAGAGAAGTGAAGTGAAAAGAAGGGAAACGTATGAGCCATTGTTTAAATATAGAGTGTCCTTTCGCGAGTGAGGTACCTTTTTGCATCGCAGGAGCAAATTCAGGTTGCCCGTTTGCTTGCCCGTTTGCTAATACATAGGCACGACTGTGACAAAATGCTGACAAGCCTAAAATGGCCATTTTCTAGAGACCTTTGATTTGTACACTGTCCTTATGCAGAACAGCTTGCTGGGCTTGCTATGCACCTTCTCATTTGGCTGCTTTGTGCATTTCCAATTTGTTCATTTCCAATTTGTTCATTTCTAATTTGTTCATTTTTAATTTGTTCATTTCTAATTTGTTCATTTCTAATTTGTTCATTTTTAATTTGTTCATTTTTAATTTGTTCATTTCTAATTTGGGGCATTTTTTTTTGTTTGTCCCCTTTATGTAAATAATATAGCTCATCAAATGGGGGACGTCCAAGGGACTGCACAGATTGTAAAAAAAAAAAACTGATAAAATACTGAAATAATGAAATAAAAACTAATAAAGTACTGAAATAATGAAATAAAAACTAATAAAGTACTGAAATAATGAAATAAAATAATAACAATAATAATGTACAGCGTAGTTAGCTAACTTAAACAACTACCTGCTAGTTTGATAACTTCACAAAACAGGACTTGGACTAGACCTATGGACATCACTGGGGCATATCATGCATTTGTGAACGAAACTAAAATTGCAACTCCCAGAGGAGTTGGGATGGTGGTGGTGTCACGCATTTAATTTATAGGTTGCATATTCATCTGGATTTGTAATGATAAAAAATGCGACATTCTTTCGTGCATACAATACATTTGGTTGAAGAGAGAGATATGGTATGTTGTTTAAGTTAAGGCGATCTTAGTGCCTTTTCTCTCTTTTAACTAAGCGTTTTAAAATTTACTCCATTTTACCATTACGCCGATTTGCTATTTTTTTTTTTTTTTTTTTTTTTTCCCAATTTTTTGCTTTATTCTCCACCTTTTATGCAAAATTGCAGTGCACCAGAAGGAAATCGAATGTCGAGTTGTCACTTTTTTACTATATATTATTTTTTCACCATTTTGAAGAAGGAAAATTTTTTTTTTTTTTTTCTTGTTTTAACGAAGCTTTAACAGGAGATGATATAATAAGTGTGATATGCAATTTGGACTCGTCACTCGAAATTTATCATTGGTGTATAAAGATGAAGAAGTAAAAAAAAAAAAAAAAGCAAAAAACATAGCGGTATATATATATATATATATATATAGTGTAGTAAGGAATATAATAAATAACGTTGCGTATAAATATAGCCTAGCAATATAACTTCAGGAAAAAAAAAAAAGATCTCTCTTTTTTTTATGACTTCTTTTGACGGTACTCCGCCTTTCCCAACTTACAGTGGATTTCAAAATGGGAACGGAAAAAGAATGAACAATTATCAAAAGAATAAGGAGAGAATAAAGAGGATCAAGTTAGAAGAGGTTTTGAAAAAAAGGGCTAAGAATAGGTTGGAGAATTGGAACAATGAGACGAACGAGAACAAACAAAAAGAAAGGCATCCAAATTTGAAAAAGTATGCATTGTGCATTGGTTATGTTGGTACTAGGTACCATGGGTGCCAAGGACAAGGGAAAGACTGCATGACCATTGAAAATGAAATAGAAAGAACGCTAATAAAAATGAATGCAGTAAAAAGAAATGGAATGAGGAAGGATTTCAATTTCTGCCTTTCACGGTCAGCCAGGACAGATTTGGGGGTGCACGCCCTTTACAATGTGTTTGTGTATAACGTGGATCTGAGCTGCGTCGATGGGGCAATCTCAAACGGGGCAGTCTCAAACGGGGCAGTCTCAAACGGGGCAGTCTCAAACGGTGCAGTCTCAAACGGGGCAGTCTCAAACGGGGCAATCTCAAACGGGGCAATCTCAAACGGGGAGAACCACCTAGACGCCATAATGGAGGAAAGAAGAAAAAAAGAAGCAAAATTTATACAGGTGTTAAATCTGCATTTTCCAAATGACATCCGGTGCTTTGACATGTTCAAGGTGACGAAAAGTTTTGACGCAAGGAAGTTCTGCTCCTTCCGGTTATATGAGTACCTATTTCCCGTGTCTGTTTTAAGTGAAGTGGATGTGCATGAGAAGTATAAGGGGGCATTTAACGAGGTTGTGGATATGATGGATAGGTTCGTCAAGGAGAAGAGAAGCGACGGCAAGGTACGAGGTGATCAGATGCAGAATGGAGAGGCTGAAGCGGTGCCAAGAGACAAAGCAGAGAATGAAACGGTGTCAAGAGACAAAGGAGAGGATGAAACGGTGTCAAGAGACAAAGTAGAGAATGAAACGGTGCTGAGAGAGGAAGCAGAGGAGGATATATTCACAGTAAAGGAAGAGAAAGGTGAACTGACGGAAGAAGAACTAAACACCTTTTTCGACATATTTAAGAACTACACAGGATACCATAACTTTCACTGTTTCACTAAAAATAAAATAGAACAAACGACCTACAGGTACATAAAATATTTGGACGTGAGTACAGTAAAGTTATTTAACTATAATTTTGTTTCACTTAAAATTTTGGGGCAATCTTTTTTAATGCATCAAATAAGGAAGATGATAACACTGAGTGTTGAAACTTTTAGAAAGGCAACTTCGATGAATTCTATATATTATTGTTTAAACAGTAAAGAATACATCCCTATCTCGCTCTTTCCAGCCGATGGGTTGATGCTCATATGCCCATACTTCAACTCGTATAATGAAAAGACATGTAATCCCCCCCAGAGTCCTCAAATAATTTTTCAAGAAAATGAGAAAATACTCAAGTTTAAGGAAGATATGATTGCCAAATGTGTTATCCAAAAGATGGAGAATAATGTGTAAGAATAAGAAAAATACAAAGATATTGTAAAAAAAAAAAAAATGAAACACTTTTGAGTCAACTACTTTGAGGAAGAGGGAGATATCTTTAAGCAGAATGGGAGAGGATTTTTTTTTTTTTTTTTCCCCTTCCAACCTGCTTTGTATGAACTTGTTCACCTTTTCGAGTGCTCCTTTTGAGTGCTCCTTTTGAGTGTTCATTTTGAGTGCTCTTTTTGAGTGCTCTTTTTGAGTGCTCTTTTTTTTTGAAACCCCACCCAAGTACATATTTTTTTTTAATCATTTCTCTTGTTCAAATCACAACAGATGGAAGGAATGGATTCTTAGGATGAACAAACGCCCTTTTGTGTATCATTTCTTGAAAGATAAAATTGGAAAAAATTGTAATTAAGCGAATTTTTTTTTTTTTTTTTTTTTTTTTTTTTTTTGAGAAAAGACCAAACATGTTGACGTTAACATTTTAGAATTGTACAAAGTAGGAAAAGATGTATAATTCTTCTTCTTAACATGTTCAAACATGTTAACTTGTTATGCTTTTAACAAGATCAAAGCGATTAACTTATTCGGGATTTGAAATGAAATACTGTAGGACATGCGCATAAAAAAAAAAAAAAAAAAAAAATTGCACACACATGTATATATATATATATATATATATATATATATATATATATATATATATGTATATATAGAGACAGAGAAGAATGACGAATTTATTTTCTCCTTTTTCGTTCAGTGGAAGGTTGTGGGTGTGGGGGTGCGATTATCGCCATGTTGTGTTTGTATGTTTTATAAAAAAGTTTACACACGCATCTCTAGTCTCTAATATCTACACTTGCACAAAATTCATGGGGGAAAAAGGGAGTCTACATGAAAGAACAGAACCCGTGCCCCATTGCTCCCAAAAATAAAGAGAAAAAGAAAAAGAAATACATGTATATATGGACACACACATAAAAAAAAAAAAAAAAAATGGAAGCTCTGCATGGAAATAGGAAGGACTTATATATCGATGCAAAGTAACGCAACGATTTAATTCTTACAGAATGAGAAGGGAGCACAATATGCAAAAGTATTCATATCCTACCCCTGTAGAGGTGTTCCCTAAAGAAGCAAAATAAAAAAGGGGGTGGGGGACAAGTGCTTACAGGTGAGAGACGTGGATTTTTCTTGCATCTGTTATATGGACACCCGGAAAGTTTCCATAACTGGAGTTATTAAATTTTAATAAGAGTGATTGTGCCGTTACTGGATATAGTGACCAAGTGAGAATTGGATAAGAGGTATGCATCTACTATGGTTGTTTTTTTTTTATTGTTTATAAATTTGGAAAGGTTGAATCCTAAGTAGCCAAAATTGATTCCACCAATTATTACGCTTTGATACGCATCTTTATCACTGTTTGCATCTACATCGTCTTCACTGTCACTAGCCGTTTTGAAATGATTTGCAGAATTTGATGATGAATTACTTTTGTACTTTTTAAAAGAGCTATTATTTTCTCTAAAATGGGAATTGTTTTTTTCTTTTCCTTTGTCTTCTCCAGATAAGTGCATTATATGTCCATTTTTAGAATCTAAAAAATTGGTATTTTTGGGGGAGTCGTTCACCATATTGATAGATTTCTCTAAAGAAAATTTCTTGCTCCAAAAACTTTCATTTCCACTAACATTACCTCCTAAGTTACTGCTGTTATTTCCAACATTACTGTTATTAAAACCATTCGTAATGTTCAAATTAGAAGATGTATTCTTTATTCTTTCCTCAGTCCCTGCATTGGCTTGCTTCTTAGGATAGCTAGAAGATAAAAAGTATGACAAGTTAAAAATAGATATACCTTCGTTTTCATTCTCCACTTTCTTTTTCTTTTCCTGTAGTTCTTTTATTTTTTCTTCACATATGCACTTTTTTGGAGTGATGTCGTGTTTTATTTGCATTTCTTTCATGAATTTGATGTCTACAGGAGATTCAACTTCATATATGCGCAGCTGCAGGGGAGGGGGAAGCAACAGGGAGAGATGGAAAAATATAAGAAAAAAATAGGAACGAAAAAACAACATTTATGAACAAACGGGCAGATGCATGAGCGGACGAAGAGTGGTGTTTTTTTTTTTTTTTTTTTTTTTTTTTTGCGTATTTTTTTCTACAGCATTTTCAAACACAGCAACACGAAAGGGCGTGAGGGGGTGAGATGCATATAATTCGGTTCATTACCCGTCCGTCTGCCAATATCAATAACTTGGTGTCTAAATTTACACATATAAACATTTTAAGTATGGGCACGTCGAAGGCTCTGAAGAAATGAATTTCCTTATACATCTGCAAATGGACAACATGAATGTAACCCAACCGATCACCATAAAATATATATGCATCTGTGGAAAAGTTATTTGCGTAAACTTTGTTTTTAAAGAGATGCCAAAAGATTCCTTTTTTCTTTGGCGTTTCTGAAATGGAGTTAAAATTGTTATATTTTTCTATCCTGCTGTGCTGTTCTTCCCTCCTGCTGTACTTCTCTTCTCCTGTCTTGTGATTTTTTGTCATTTTTTCTTTTCGCTGCTTCTCCTGATGGTCGAACTGATTGGGGGCTATTGCTCTGCATAAAAAGTTGTTAGTCGATGACCACGTGCAGAAAGTTGTAATAGAATTGTTACTGTCTATTCCTTTTCTTTTGTTTCCTTGAGTCTTATTATCAGATAAGTTACTTATGATGCACACTAAGGTGGGGTGTAGTACTTTTCCATTTTCTGTTTTTGTTTTGTTTTGTGCGTGTAGTCTATTTGATGATGGTGCTTGATTTTTCCCATACCCATTATTAGTGGTTCTAAGTTCCGACATGTTCATACTGTTTGCACTAACATAATTTGTATATATATCTTCATTTACTAACGTTTTTTCTTTTAAAAAATCTTTTTCTTCGTTGGTGAAAATGGAGCATAGATCCCAAACACATATGCATATATTGTTCAAAAGTGCATCAGAATTTTGCAATTTTTTATTTTTTTTAAAAAACATATTGTTAGGTGCATCAAATTTGAAAAAGGAAGATTTGAAATATGATTTCTTTTTTTTAAATATATGTAGATTTAAAAAAGCATCTACATTGTTTATTTTATTTTTTTTTTTTTTTTTTGTCATATCAGCTTGTTGTAATTGTCGACTTGTTTGTTTTTCTCTTCCACATTGCTGTCTACCCTTTTGATTAGGTTTCTCCTTTTCCAGACACATCTTATCACTTTGGTAAAACTCGAATGAGGAAAATTTAGATCTGATTCTACTTCTGTTGTTTTCATTTTGGTACTCTTCCTGTGTGTTTTTGTTAAATTCTGAGAGATTCATGTTGTTTTCTTCCTCTTGGGTGGGCACGTGAATGTTATTGCTGTTATTTTGGACGTTTGTGGTTTCGGTAGTTTTCATTGAATCTTTGGTGGAATCTTTCAAAGAATCTTGTTTACACCACTGGTGCTGCTGGTGATGTTCCTCAATCTTCTCAAAATCGGCATTAATGAACACAGTTTGATTGCTCACAGACTTGTTACAGATTCCCTTCCCGATTGAAACCAAGTAAAAGGTGTTATCATCCAAACATTTTACGTCAATAACTTCATTGTGGAGTTTAACCACGCACATGGCCTCCTTTATGATGTAGTTGCTCTTCCTGTGGCGATGGTGTCTTCTTCTCCTCCTCCTCATTTTTTCTTTTCTATGTGCTTGAGTTAAATTTTTTTTTTTTTTGTTTTTAAGAAAATTATCTTTAAAAAAGTTGCGTATTTTTTTGTTGCTCTCTTTTATTTTACTTCCAAGTTTGGCACGCTCGTCATGTTCATTGCGTTCTTCCTCTTTTTTATTTTTGCCATTTTGAGCACGCTTTCTTTTTGTTTCCTTCATTTCTTCATCTCTACGTTCTGATTCGATGTCCCCATGGATTCCATCATGTGTGCATGTCCCTTCTTCCTTCTGGCCACCATTTTTCCTCCCCGCATCATGCAAGTGCTGGTACTGCTCAGTGCACTCATCACCATTCTCACTGGGATCGTCACTGTCATTGTCACTGCCATGGTCATAATCAAAGTCACTTCCAAAGTAATAATCATAATCACTTCCAAAGTCATAATCACTTTCATAGTCGTAGTCTCTTTCATAATCGTAGTCCCTGTGGCAGTTGGTGCCATACCCATGGGCATGCTCGTCGTGTGTCCCCTTTTTTTCCAAACTCCGTTTTGTTGGATTATCAGAATTGTTCATCTTCTTGTTGACGTACATGGCATTCACATCATTTTTTCGTTTATCAGCATTCGATAAAGCCGAGGTGTTTCGATATGTATTTGAAGAATCATCCATTCCGTTTAACACATTGTGTGAATTTAAGAAATCTCCTAAGAAAATACTATAAATGTATAGATTTCCACAATTATCTGAAATCATTAAGAGGTTGCCATTCGAGTTCCAAGATACACTGGTAATTATTCCATACCTGTATGAAATGGCATCATAGTTAGTTGAGAATTTACATAACCTTATTTGAAATTTTGTTTTATCATAATGTTCCTGATTAGATGTTGTACTTTTTTCATTGTTAATATGTATAAGTGCAAATATGGGTAGAAATGGATGTGAAATAATAGCACCCGTTTTTAAAAGACCATAACTTTCTTTTCCATTTGATATTTTGTTTATAAAATTGTACTTTTTTCTTATACATGTGTTTGCATTTCTTTCGATATATTCCTGTAAATTTCTGAATTCACTTTTTTGTTTCTTTATTCCATTTATTACTTTGTCTGCGTCATTTAGAGTTATGTTGTTGTACAAAAGGAGCAGAGTCATTTCCATATATTTTTCTGCTGATTTGGATATTAACAAATTGTTTTCAAATTCTTCCTCAGCCTCAGCCTCAGTCTCGGTTTCGGTCTCGGTCTCAGTCGCAGGCTCGGGTTTGGATTTTTTCTTCACACTTATTACGCTCGTCTTTTGGCACGTGGGGTGAAGTATCCCTTCACCTTTTGTCATTTCATTTTGTTCATACCTCAAGAAATGATTATCACCATTTGATTTATTTTTCCCAAAGAACAAAGTTCTAGACTCATGGGATCTTTTGCAATGTGATGATTCACCGTGCACACTTTCATCCCCTTTCCACTTTGTCTCTTTTGTCTTGGGAAAGTTTCTCTTCACGTGGTTACTCTCCTTCCCACTGTAACGGAGGGGCCAATCGATAGGAACGGATAAACCAGACGTCACTCCTGCTGCTGCTTCCTGGGACCCTGCACGAGGGCTGTAGTAAATTGAATCCAAATTGTTCGCGTTCAGAAGAAGTGTTAAGGTATTGTCATAGGTATAAAACAGATTGTGGAAAAACATATTATTTACAAAATGGTTGTTATAAGGGCTGCTGAACAAGCTGGTTATGCTGCAATCGTTTGGAATGGCGTTGCTGAGGTAAGAGCACATGGGGGTGAGGTTATGCATGCATTGTATATGCATGCATTTGTATATGTAAAGTAACTTATTCATGTTGATGTCGAGGAACACCTTTTCATTTTTCACATTATCCCTGCTGCTACTACTGCTACCAGCGCTACTAATGCTGCCAGCGCTACTACTGCTGCCAGCACTACTACTACCACTACTTCTACTACCACTTTCTATTCTGTTTCTTTTACGACATTCCTTAGTGTCCACAGGAATCTTCATCATATTGTAGTGCACTTCCCCAATTCTTGAAGTTTCTCTTCTACACGCTTCAACTTTTTTAGATTCTGTAGAAACGCTCTCCAAATGGAGTTCTACATCTAGCATGCCGTGGAGTGATAAAGGTGCTTGCGTTCTTCTGCTATTAGAGTGGCCATCCCCCTCCCCATGGAGATCCGCAACATCACTGTGATCCGTATTCACTATTCCATTTTTCACGCTATTTTCTATTCCATTTTTCACGCTATTTTCTATTCCATTTTTCACGCCATTTTCGCACATTCTACGTGCATACTGCTGCATCACATCTGTGTGGTAATTTTCTGCACTTGGATTTTGAATCCCCTTTGGTTTCTTCACATGGAGATTAGTCTTAATTTCTTCCTTCCTGGTATTTTCAGTATGTAGACGATCACTTCTCCATTGATCGCTTCTCAAATCGTCATATGATATGTAGTTTATGAACCTGCATTTTTTGTTTAATTTTTTTAAGTGTTCTAAAATGGAAATTTTTTTTATTTTATTTTTTCGATGTATGTATAATATTGTGCTGTTATGGCTGTCCATTTTACCCTTTTCTATAACATGTCTTTCGTTCACGTTCATACTGTTAAATAGATAAGATAATGGTATCACGTGTGGTAATTTACTATGTACTTTTTTGTGCTTTTTCAAATATCTATTTTTAGTCATGTTCCATTCTGGATGATACTTTTGGATGTCAAAATGCTGATTTATTTTAGAGCGATTCATATGTGCAGCGTTTCCTGATGGTGACTTTTCCTCTCTAACATGATCTCCAACTTTTGTGTCTTTATGATAACTACAGATGATATCCATATCTCTCTTTTTTTCTTGAACACTAACTTTGACATGCTCATGTTCAGCATTATTTCTCACTTTATCATACGTGTGATGGATGGTTGAGCGATTCCACTCCTCTTGGTCGCTATTCACACTGTATGCGTCTTCACTATTTTCTCCAGCAGCACCCTTATCACCACCAGGAACATAATCCACATTCGTTACTGTCTCTTCAGCCACCTTCTCAATCGCCTCTTCCTCCTCTTCGTCTGTCTGATTTGTTCCACTGCTCAATATTCTCTTTTTAATTTCAAAAATATTGTCATAGTTCACGGAATGGAACCCATTTCTCGACCTTTTACCACCTGGTTCCTTTCCTGAATTTGTTCTTTCCTTCGCTATCTGTTTTTTTGTGTTACATTGTTCATTTGGATTCTTTCTATTTCTATTCTGTGCAATACTAATGTTGGCTCTACTGCCACGTTTGAAATTTTTAAAAAAATTAATTTTCGAAGTGAAAGACAAAAAACGGTCATGTCTCTTTGGTTTCTTAAAAAGAAAGTTAGCGTGGTTGTACGTCATGTTTCCTTTCTCCATATTTGTGTTTGGCATAACAAGATATTCATTTTCATAAATCCTACATCCATTATTGTAAAGATTGTAAAATTTTATATATTCCTTAAAGTCTGGATGATGGTTGTCCTCCCAGTTTGGTGATAATTGTGTGCTAAAGTTGTTGTTCTGAGTGGATTTTCCATAAACATCACTTGTGTTTTGCATCTGATTATTTTCTAACTCTTCTCGGTTCGTGATCTTTGTAATGGGTTCTCTTTCTTTCGAATTTGAGATGTTAATGGGACTTAAGTAGGTAGTCATCCTTCCTCCATCTGCGTCCCTTACCCAGCTTGTACCGTTTCCACCGCCTACTGCACCGTTTCTACAGCTTATTACACCGTTTCCACCGCCTACTGCACCGTTTCTACAGCTTATTACACCGTTTCCACCGCCTACTGCACCGTTTCTACAGCTTATTACACCGTTTCCATCGCCTACTGCACCATTTCCACTGCCTATTGCACCGTTTCCACCGCCTATCGCACCGCTTATCACACCGCTGGTGTCTACAGGAACACCCTGGGTAAACAAATAATCTCTAACATGACTAGCTAATTGGTCATTGCACAAGTACCCCAATTTACCATTTCGATAAGTACTCACTTTATTATTCATAAAATCGTTGTAATCATAAAAACTTTTGTTGAAAAATAAGAGAAAAGATCTGTATGTGCAATCATTCAATTTCCAAATATTGTAAATATGCTTATTGTAAAAAAGGCAGATGTGAGAATCGATGAAATGTTCACATTGGACATGATGATTTCTATTTTTAACTTTTTGAAAAAAAAAAGGAAATGACAAAAATGTAAGAAGAGTGTTCTTAATATTATATGCTGATTTGTACAGTAAAATTTTCAATTTTGAAAAAATAAATTTATTTATGCAATAGCATAGATTTTCTATGCAAAGCAGAAGTATACACGTATTGTTGTAAAAAATATTTGTTTTCTTCTTTTTTTTATTTATCTCGTTTTTCTTTCGAACCATTGCATTTCTGTGCTTATCGTGTGCAGTGCGTGCTTTGAACGGTGTTCTTCCCTCGCTTAAGTGAACGTGCGGGGGAAAGCCGTTATCATTATTACCATTATTATTACAACTATAATTATTACTATTATTACAACTATAATTATTACTATTATTACTCCTATTATTACTCCTATTATTACTCCTATTGTTACTATCATGATGTTCATGATTCTGTACCATCACTTGCTTGTATTTCTCCCTTAAATGCAACTTTGGCGTAAATATATTCGCTTTGTATGCAAAAATGTGAAAGTTCCCAATCAAAAGTTCAAAGGTCGAGAGGAAAATACTAACAATGCAGAATTTTTCAAAAAGTAAATCTGATGAGGGCACTGTTCCGGATTGCACTTCCTTTGTTGTTACAATTTCTGATGATGGTATCATTCTCCCCTTGTTCATGTATTCACAGGATCGTATGCTGATCTGTGGTTCTATGTCATTTCTGTTTAAAGGATCTGTGATAGAATGATTTTTCAACACATTTTCTATCCCATTTGATGCTGTTGATGATTCTTGTTGTTCTTCACTTCTTTTTAATGTTTTCTCTTTCCTCATTTTATTGCGTGAATTTTTTTTTTTTTCCCTACAGTTGGATGTTTTGCACTGTGCTTCCGTTCCACTCGCGTCACCTCGATTTTTCAGTTTTCCCTTCTTTCCATTCAGATACACAAAATTCACAAACTTGACAAGTGCATCGGTGGTGGTTGGATTGTCATTTCCTTTGTACACATTTTCGATCGTCCAGTTAAGATGTTTAATTCTTTTCAAAAAGATGTGCAGCATCTGGAAGAGCTTTTTCAAGTGTCTACTCATTTTGCCTCCGCCTCTGTTTCTGCTTCTCCTACGAAGGGAGTTGTCTCGATTCACACAAACCTCATCGTTGTCGAAAAAATTGTAGTGAGTGCTTAGCATGATGATGCAAATTATGAACACAGTTAGGTAACACAGAAACAGATCGATCAAGTGAATGTGGTATGAGAAGAATTTCTTACTTACTCTGATGTTCTGCATGTTACGAATGATACCTTCTTCCTGGACTGTTGAAACCATTTTTGGATGTCCCTTGTCTTGGAAAGGGTGCATCTTTCTTATCATTTCTGCTTCGTCTGCTTTTTCTGCTTCGCCTGCTTCGTCTGCTTCGTCTGCTTCGTCTGCTTCGTCTGCTTCGTCTGCTTCTTCTTCTCCTCTTTCACCATTGTAGACAATGCCACAGTGTGAATCCCTTTCATGTGCAAAATAATTGCGAAGGCTCAGTCGCAAAATAACAATTTGAAGGTAAGGTAGATGCAAAAATGGCAATAAATTGCATTTTTTGTTCTTCAAAAAATTAAATAAAATGCTGACGACATCATTTATATATATAAAAAGAATCGATATGATATAATTAATTATGTAATGAATGATATCTTCATTGCATGTTTTATTAACTGTGTAAAGAGTGAAGAAATGAAAAAATAAATGAGTTAAAATACTATTATACTTGTTTAGTACAACATAATATTGGGGATTTAATGAGTATGCTTCTCCTTTTATTTCATTTTTTGGCAATTTGTATATCATAAAAAAGTTAACATTTTTTCGATTCAGAATCACTTCATTATTCTCAAAATTAGATGCAGAATTTATTTTTGACAAGAGGTTAATTAAAAACTTGCTTACATCCCGTTGTTTAGCACAGTTGTTTTTCGTTCTCAAGTCTCTCATCTTGTTTGAGAGTTGTGATATGGCAACTGCATTTTCTCCAGGTGTATGAACGCTCCAGTAGTCGTCTCGTTCTTGCCGTTTCATCAATGGTGCATCCATCTTGTGAAAAACATTATGATCCGCATTGTAGTTTACCTTATGATCCCTGTTAACTTCGTTAAAATTATGATTTCCCTTGTGACAGTGATGCGAAGTTCGATTCTCAAAAGGGACGTATTTTTCCACAACAACACCACTTCTATGGGCACCACTACTATGGCCATCACTACTATGGGAGTAGCATAACTTGGAACAGCTACTGATGTAATAAAAAAGTAAATGCACCAGATTTGCAAACACGGTTAGAGATTGCATAAAGTTGGTGTTGTACATATTACTATTTTTCTGATTGCTCTTCTGATTGCTGTCTTGGCAGTCCTCACTAGGGTTTCGAACTATATGCCCATTTTCACCGTGTGCAGAAAAAACAACTTCATAAAGAAACTGATTGGAGGCAAGAAATATCTCAAGGTACACTTCAGACATCACGAAGAAGAAAACTTTGTATCGTTGATAAAGGTGCATTAACTGTTTTTCTTTACCCATGTTGTAAAAAAAAATAAAAAACAAAATAAACGATACGTTATTCATTTTTTTTTTTAAGAAATGAAGGGAACTAAAGTAGCACTCAATGTTGTTCATACTAATATTGTAATTGTAAAATTTCCTCTGGGCTTCTCTATCCAGGGTTCCTCCTATAAACAATGCATTTCCCATAGTCTTCGTATTCCCAATCAACTTTCCGTACTTCTCCTGTCCCGGTTTGTTCTCCAATTCCTCTTTTATTACATTCTTTAAAAGCAAAAAGAGAAAACTGTTTTTCTCTTCTTCTTGGCACTTGAAGTATGCATCTGGGTAATTCATAAGGAGGATGCATTTCATGACGTCCACATGGTGGTAGCTATGATGTGCAGCATCATGGGTGCCTTGCCCGGCATGGTTGAAATCGAGATGCTCCATTTTTAATTTTTCGTTCAGGATGTAATCTAGATATTTAAAGACAAAATTCTGTATTTCTACATTGTCCACTTCGTCCACTTCTTTCGCATCGTCCACTTCTTTCGCATCGTCCACTTCTCTCACTTCTCCCACTTTTCTCACTTCTCCCACTTCTCTCATTTCTCCCACTTCTCTCACTTCTCCCACTTCTCCAAGTTCGCTAGATGGAATAAATGCTCGTCCTGAATGGACGATAGATCCACTAGATAAGTTGGAGTCATCCATCTCACTGATCTTATAGATTTGGTCTGCTTGTATGTGCGAAAAAAGATTCTCACTTGGAGAAAAGACATTAGCAGCCCCAACACAATGTCCCTGAAGTATGTAAGAAGCATAAATAAGCCTAATTATAAATATACTCAATTGTGTGTCGTTTAAATATTGATGGATTACATCTACAACATCTTTTACATCGCCTCGTAAAATAAAAAATGCTATAGCTAAATAATATCTTTTTATTTGCATCAATTTATAAGCATTGTTCATAAGTGCATTTCTCCATCTTTCCGTTGTAAAATCGTTGGAAAGAAAATCATAAATTTTGTGTTGTTTTTTAATTTTATAAAATAGCATTAATTTTTGTTTTTCATTTTTTGCTACATATAATAATGCTAAAAAATCAAGACATTCATTAATTTCATTTTGTTTCTCCTTGTCTTCAATATTGAGACTATTAATTTTTTTTATGGTTCTATTTGTTAGTACCTCGTGTAGATAAAATAAATTCATCTTGTCATATAGAACATAAAATAACTTCATTTTTTTTAAAAAATTGAAAAAGTTATATTTTTCTACGCTTTCTGTTATAAATTCCACTTTTCTAATTTTTTCAATTTTTACATTATTTAGTTCCTTCAGTAGAAAAATACCCTTTTCTCTGCTTCTTTTTGTTTTTCTTCTACTGAATAGCAAGCGGTCACCTCGGGGTCGTGGTGCAATTCTGCTGCTCCTGCCCGTGGTGGCCATAGTAACAGAACCCATGGTAGAGGAAGCACCTTGATTTTGATCACTATGATGTCTCCTCCTGCAATTCCATCGTGCTCCTGTTTGATGAGAATACAAATCGAACAGATCGACATCAGTCAAATGGGTTCTATTAATCTGTGTACTAAATAAATGATCATAGTGTGTAAGGAGATTCTCTAAATAGCTATTTAAGTCCGCTCCAACATTATCATTCATAAAGTAAAGGAAATATGCATACTGTGGATGAATTTCTAGGGTTATATTTAACAAGAGGTGACAATTCATGTACAATCGATAAAAGAAAAGGATTACCTGAATCAATTTGTTTCTGTTGTTACAACCTACTACATCTGGACTACTTTTCACATGATCATACATGTACATATTATCAGTTTTTATTAATTCTTTTTCAATCCTCAATGGAAAAAATTCACAATGGCATTTTGAAGCATTCCTCCTTTTCTTCTCCACACCCCTATTATCATCAGAAGACGAGGAAGAGGCTGATCTACTCCTTCTGCTGTTGTTTGTACAAATTCTATCTTCACTCCTATGAAGGCTGTCCTTGCTTCGGTTACTATTCCTGTCGTTACTTCTTTCACTACACTCACTTGCGATGTTCGAGTCACGTAGATTCGCTCTGCTTGGTTCGTTCAAATTTACAAAAAATGAATTCAGCACGCAAAAGAGAAGAAGTTGATAAAATCTATCCAAATGTGGAACATTAAAGTGAAGAAGTAAGATTTGAAGTGCTTGTGCTTCTTCTACTGTTATTTCGAAATTCATTACACTAGCGTTTTTTAAACTGGACTTAAATTTCTGTTGCTCCTGATCCATTTCATCTTCGCTAAGGAGGTCTGATTGGTTTTGCTCGCTTGATGTGTCTGATCGATGAGATTTGGATGTGTCCACATCTTTGTTCTTCTTCTTAGACTCATTTTTACCTCTTTCTCGGTTGGCATCTTCCCCTTCTGAATCTTCGTCTGAGTTCAAATTAAAATCGTCCAGGGATACCGATTCAGCTTCAAACATGTAAATGGCTTTTTCTTTGTTTTCTGTCTTCTCATCCAACTGCTTTCCTTGCAAATTTATATTCATTTGTCCATTTCCATTGTATCCAAAAGGAGGGTTTTCATTTCTAGTGGAGGAACACCCAGAGCCACCACCACTTCCCGTGCGTTTCTCATTCTGTCGAATTCGAGAAATTTCAGTGTTCATAAAGTTTATGTTAAATAAGAATTGGCTTTTCTGAACAGATGATATATCTGTAAAGTTGTTCTTAAAATTTTTCTTCAACTTTTCATTTTCTAATACAACACGCAATGCACAATTTTTCTTAATTACGTTCATTTGGGCATTTCCAGCTTTTGACATTTTGTTTTCCCCAATTTGAACCTTTTCCATGTGTCTAAAAAATTTTTTCAACAGAATGTTCAGTAATAGCTTCAGTGCAATATGCACATGTGAAAATAGTCCCAATTTAACATAATTCAACAGTAAAAGTGGATGATAAAAGACTAGTTTTTCCTTCGTGGGGCTGGGTGAAGCGGGTATCACTCCTCCAGTTGCTGCTCCACCTCTTGTTACTTCTGCAGCTGTTGTTACTTCTGCAGCTGTTGTTGCTTCTGCAGCTGTTGTTGCTTCTGCAGCTGTTGTTGCTTCTGCAGCTGCTTCTGCAGCTGACCCCTCAAGTCTCATCTTCTCTTTTAGATACTTCCTCAATTGGGCACACAAATTAATTTTGCGAAGAGCTATTCCCAGTTTGAGACTTTTATCTCGCTTTGCACTTGTTCTCAACAAGTTCTTTCGTTTTTCTCTTCGTTTTTTCTTCTTCTTGATCAATTGTGTGAATATACCTTTTTTATATCTTCCCTTAAGAAGAAATAAATTATTTTCGAATAAAAAAATATGTTTTGAAATAAGGAAAATTTCATTTTTTATTTTTAAAAATTTCCACTGATCCATATTGGGTGTATTATTGTACAAAATCATGGTGACGTAATAATTTTTCTTTTTGTTTATCTTGATTCGAGAGTAATGTTGATTATCGTTACTTTTTCTCTTCCATTTATTTGGTCTGCAATTTCTGAAATTCATTAAAAAGCTTACTACTATAAAATATGCACTTTTTTCATCTGAACACGTCATAAACAATTTTGTCTTTTTATTTGCAAACATTTTCGGGAATGGTAAAGAAACAAAGTTCATTCTTTTTATCATTCCGATGGGAGGTAGTGCTAATTCTTGGTCTGAAAATGTCACCCTGTTCACGTTAATTAACTCGTTGCACATCATGTTTAAATTCAAAATATGCAATCTTTTTTTCGTTATCAATACGATGTACCAATCGTACGTAACTACATCAACAAGGTTGGTAACATTTCTGATTTGGACATGGTGTGAGACACTTCCGTTCTCTGTGCAGAAGAGATACAAATTTATAGCGTCCTTTTTCACGGGCTTTTCTGCTACTTCTTCTGCTTCTGCCACTTCTGCTGCTTCTGCTACTTCCGATTCTCTCCTTTTCTTCTCATTTTTTTCATTCAATCCAATTTCACCCTTTTGCGTGCTGCCCCTGTGCAAAAGTTGGGAATTGCATCCAATCGAGTTTCTTTCTCTGCATACTGAATGGGTATGGACGTCACTACCACCATCGCCACCCCTTCCTGTGCCATCATCCAAGAGCATCACGTATTGAATTTTCTGTTCTGAATCGAGCCTAACATGTAACATGCAATTTCTAATGGTGAGTATTTTTTCACTCCTTGAAAAAAAAACCTCATCAGTATTTTCGAGCGGCCATTCTTCCACCATTTCGAAGCTGTAATCTGTGTTGTTATTATATTTTTCGTGTTGAGAAATTTTAAAATCATTTGCATTTTTGATTTGTGATTCACTCCTTGTGGAGGTATGTCTATGTCCAAATCCGTTTTCCCCAAGAGTCAATGTATCGTGCATATGTTGATGTAAGGCATAATTGGTTGTAAAAATAAATTTACTTTGGTATGATAAATGAAAGAAGGAAAATAAAAACTTTTCTTCTATGGAATTAAAAAAAGTAAACATTTCTTTTAAGTTCAATTTTATGTATATAAAGCTCTCTTTGCAAATTTGTACAGTTGATAAGGTAACTAGGTATACGTATTTTTTTTCTTTTTCAGGGTTTGTGGTATATTCATATTTAATAATTAAGAATAAGTAGTGTTCTTTATTTCGGATATACACATGAAAATCTTTTATCCTATGTTCTGTTATTTTGAACTGTTTTTTTTCTAAGTTCACCAGGTCTTGCTTGACCTTATTTATGTACTTGTTGTTTTGTGCGGATCCGCTATGGGGTGGTCCGTTATGGGGTGCACTACAAGATAACGCACCATGGTCGTCATCAAAGACGCACAAGAGTTTTACATTGTGAACAATGTTCCACTTTTCTGATTTCAGCACGAATATATATTCTTGAGTTTCATCTATACACATTAGTAAAAAATAGGAGTCGAATGATTCCATAATTTTACTTTTGTACGCAAGTGGAATCACATTTTTTTTTTCTAAAAATTCCCTAGTTGACATGAACAGATGCGTATTTTTTCTAACTTGTTCATAATAATTGCATAATTTATGCGAATAGGAGTAGATGAAATGGTTTTTCTTGCTTAGGCTGTCGATTCCTTTATGTTTCAAAATGTAGTATTTGTCTATGTATATGCTGTTCAGGCAGCATATCATGTGGAATTTTCCTTCATTTTCTCTATCGTCTTCTTCTCTATAGGCTTCTTCTCTATTGTCTTCTTCTCTATCGTCATTTTCTCCATCTTCTTCTTCTCCATCTTCTTCTTCTCCATCTTCTTCTTCTCCATCTTCTTCTTCTCCATCTTCTTCTTTTTTCTTTTTCCCTTTCAGCCCTCTTTTCACTCCTTCACATTTCGAATTGGCATCATTCCCTGGGGTGTTACCATTGCATAAGTTATCTTTACTTAAACTAATCTCGATTTCCCGATTATCATGTGGGTTATTCACAACTGATGAGAGATTTTCACCAGACTGATAATATAAGGAATGATTATGATCCACATTTGATGACATCCTCTTTCTCTTTTCTGTGCATAATGACTTCAGAGATCTATGCACATTTGCATTCATTAAACCTGGTTGGGTACTGTTTTCACTAGTGATAATCCTTTCGTCGTTATGATTCACCCTCCATCGATGCTTATTACCCATTATTTGCTTCTTCTCATTTTTCTTCTCATTTTTCTTCACATTGCTCTTCTCATTTTTCTTCTCATTCCTCTTCACACTTCCCGTTCGCTCCTCTCTGTCTGCTTCCCCTTCTGAGACACAATCGATGGAATTCTTTTTCCTCTTAACACTTGAGGAAAAATCATATAGAAATATTTTTCCGTTTTTTCCATTGTGAGCCAGAAAAATGTTGTGATTGATACTAAGATGGAATGTGTAGTTGTCATGCATTACATGTTCAGGGGATTCTAATTTTTTAAATTTCTTTATTTTTATTTTTTTTTCCCCCTTGTGCATCTTCTCCTTCTTCTTCCAATTGTGCGAATTCTCCCTCCATTTGTGAGCAGAGTCATACGCTTTGTAATCTAACATATACCTCACGCTGATACTTTTTTTTTTCTTTATCCATATATCACTAGGTTTGATATAAATTTTGTAAAAATCAGAATTATATGTAGAAACTGTTAAAGAAAAGGGTGGCATCAAATTACTAATCGTGCTGAAAAGCTTTTGAAATAAGAGAAAATCATTTTCTTTATTTCTATCCTTACGATAATATTCTTCACGATGCATGTGTTCATATATGGAACGATTGTGTCGATTTGCAATGTTACCATTTTTTTTCTGACATTCTACAACATTGTCATTTTCCCTCATCTCCTCCTGTGCATCATCACTGTAACATATTTTAGATTCGGTACAACTCGAGGAAAGTGAATAATCAGTTGCATCTACATGATCCAAATTTATCACGTCATTTTCGTGTGATATACCTTTTTGTAAGAGTACCGAATCTGATAATGAAGAAATTTTTTTTATTTTCCATTTTCCATATTTCATATTGTATTCATTTTCTGGAAGGTATGTATCATCTGTGTAAATAGAAATAAGAGACGTGTTCATAATTTCATATTTAATTTTGGCATTTAAAATGTAGTGATAGTTAACACTTATGGGTATGTTTTCATAGTTCAAAATGTTCTTTATATGGATGTTATTGCTGTACATGTTAAAAATTGCATAAATTGATAAAATAACTCGTTCCTTTTCGTTTCCTTGGTTCATACGACTTGCTGTGGTGGTGCTTTCACTTCTAATCTCTGCTTCACTTCTAATCTCTGCTTCACTTCTAATCTCTGCATCACTTCCAATCATGGAACTAACTCCAACATGGACATCCAGTGTGCGATTCCTCATTTCGGTCTTTGCCAAACTAACGAACGAATCTGAATCATTACCATTTGGATTCAACTCGTTTCTAGATCCATATACAATTAAATATTCATTTTTTGCAATGTTTATATTTTTATTGCTACTTAAAAGACGACAGTAATTTTCACTCGTCGTGTCTTTGTCTACCCAACACCATTTTACATTTCTAATCATCTGTTCAAAATAAGGAATATATATTCTGCATACAGATGTAAATGTAAATTTATTTTGACTATTCCTGTGCTCCTTCCATATATAAATGTACCCATCAAAACAAATGGATGCAACAATGCAAAATTCTTCATCTTGTCTTTCTTTCCATTTTACTGAATATACCTTGTTCTCGTGGTGCAATACATTTACCATGAACAGCCCCTTTCTGTCGCTGTATACATTTCTCCTTCGTCCGTGCTGCTGCTGTCCATAGTGTGCTTGATTGTCATAGTCGGAAGAACACCCATCCGAGCTGTTTGACATGTTTGAGAAGCTTGACGTGTTTGAGACATCTGATAAATCTGTGAAGTCATCTGAACTATCACCTGAGAAACCATCTGAACGGCCATCTGAGCAATTCTTCTGCTCTTCCACAAAACAGGTTCCCCTGTCGACGGTTCTACAACGGTGTGAAGAATCCGTTTTGGAGCTCGCCACAGCTTTAACCTTTCCCGTATCATTTGAACCCACAAATTTCTGATCATTGTAAAGTGATTCAAAATTGATGTTTTTCCTGCTTCTGTTTACATCTGTGCACGTCCCACCATCTCTACTTTTAATAGCTTCAAAAAATAACGAAGTTTTGGTTTTTATGAACGAATTATCATGTTTTCCCTTTTCATCTAATATGGCATCTATATCTCTCAGTCGATTGTCTTTCTCTCTCCTCCTTCTCTTCCTCATTTTTCTTTTTTCTTGGTGTACTTCTAAGTGTCTCTTGGCATCTGCGAAATTATTCTTCCCTGGGGTTGGCTTCCATGGACGGTCTACTTGGTCACTTTTTCCACTTTTTCTACCTCCTTCGTTTCGTTTGCTTCTCCCACTTCGCCCACCGCACCTTCCGGCTTTCATCCTCTTGAGAAACGTCTCATTGAGGAAAAATATAAAAACCATTCTGTTTTTTTCTCTGTGTTTTTTTTTCCTTTGATGTTCTTTCATCATCCCTGCTGCAAGAAATATGTAACCGGGACCGGCACATTGGTTCTGATGTGGGCTATTCTGAAAACCTATGCTGATATTCTTCCAACTGTCGAAATAACCACTTCCCTCTTTAAAATAAAATTTTGTGACATCTTTTATGATTATATCATGATAGAAGAATCCACCATGGGGAAAAATATTATAGGATCTGTATTTAGATCCATTACGTCTACTTTTAATTTCCACATTTTTCAAAAAATGGGTTCTATTATTTATGTTCGGTTTTCTTTGTAGATGTAGTAAGTTTTCATTATGATATTCATCATAGCATGGTTCTCTACTTTCCTTTTCCTTCATATCATTTAAGGAATTGTCCATTTCTTGGCTCCTTCCACCTCTCCTTTTCCACGTGATTTTTTTTTTTTTTTTTTTTTTTTTTTTTTCTCTCTTTCAATTGGGTTCACTTTCCACACTTGTTATAATTTCCTCCTTTTAATTTTAGACTTTTTTCTTCACACTTGTTGTGTCTTCCAGATAACTTCCTCCCCGTTCTGTATCCTCTTTTTATCGGCTCTAACTTTTTTTTTTTTTTTTTTTTACTGGTTCATGTTTACTTTTGATTGAGTTCGTGCTGTCATGAGGGATAGTAAAACGAACAGAGATTATTGGGTTTGCCAAATAAGCCACGTGTACAGGTGCCAACTGTAAATGTGACAATTGTAAATGTGTCACGCGTAAGTGTTTTTTTTTTTTGTCTTTTCACCGTTCTAACAGTTCCCCTTTGTTGATTCGCTTCTACCAATAAACACATGTATGCCTCCAGGAATATGTTATTATTCACATGTGCATTAGTTAATGACCCGGCTTTTACACAAGCTGTGTAAAATATGTATATATGTGTATATACGTATGCATATGCAATTAAGTGCGCTCAGAACGTTTTGCTTGGAAATAGCTACAAAAGGTCTAAGCTTATAAGGGGATAAAGCCTTGCGCAATAGCTAAGGCTTGTTTATATTTCATGTTGCTTAGCTTTTTTATTTAATTGATTAATTATTTATTCAGTTAAACATTTATTCAGTTAATCGTTTATTTAATTAACCATTTATTCAGTTAATCGCTTATTTACCTAACCAATCATTTATTTAATTAATTATTTTATTATTTTTTTTTTTTTTGAAACCCAGGGTTAGTACAATACCTCCAAATGTTAAGGAAAAAAAAAAAAAAAAAAAAAAAAATGCGAAATGGGAATAAGTGCACTTGAATGAAACTTTTTTTTTTTTTTTTTTTTTTTTTTTTTTTTTTTTTTGTGCAATGAGCTAAGCGATTACAAGAAATATTTTCGTTGTCATTTGTTTTTGTGTTACCTCTCTCAACTGGCCGTTTTTGTATTCAGCACTTTAATGAGGTAGATTTTTGTGTTCATTACTGTGTTCATATTTATTCGTCACATTTTATGACCTTTATTTTATTTTTGCTTTTCCCTTTTAAACATATAAAAATAATTACTGTGGCAGTAAACAAAAGCAATACGTCTGGGCAGCTGGTTCTCCTCCCCTAACTTTACTAAGAAGAAATATGTTACTCTTCTCAATTCCTGAAACATTTAGTACTTCTCCCCCACCTACCCGTTGGCGAATAATGTTTGTTTACCACTACACATGCATGCATATGTATGTATATGTACATGTATAACTGTTCATATAAATCTGTATTTACTAGTTGTTTGAGGGCAAGCTTAATAACGACACATTTTGCACAGCTCACCCTGTTAGCAACAGGATTATAGAGTATGCACCATATGTCCAGTAAGCTAGCACATAAGTTATATACAAGAAGGTTTTTTCTTTTTTTATAAAATTTGATGTGATAAAGTTGTGCTTCGTTTTAGGAGGTGATATAAATAAAATAAAACGGTCACCAATGTTTCTGTCGTAGAACTTAATAGAGGGATACACTATGTTATAACATTTTAGGTGTACGTGTATATACCCCTTTTTTTTTTCTTTTTTTTTTCTTTTTTTTTTCTTTTTTTTTTCTCGAAAAAGACGAAAAAGAAAAAAAAATTATTACTGTTCAGGTGAAATAGCCAAATTATATCATGTTTATGGTGAACGGCAAGAAAAATTAAAATGGCCTCCCATCTGAACAGTTTGTTCATGCAAAAGGGGTTCTCATTTAAAAATGTGCATTTATGCATACATATATATATACACATATATATGATGTGAAAGATGGGGAGTTTTGACATAAACATGTAATGGTGTGCATCCTCTTTAGGATGTTTTATTTTATTATTTTATTTATTTATTTATTTTTTTTTTTTCCTTGCGGAGCAAATTTAATATGGAGCTCTATTTGTTCACCCACCAGAGGGGAATGTTAATTTTGCTTTATAAGCACATTATAATAAAACTCTTTGCTTGGTTATGCATATGAGGAGTGTGTAGTACTGTTCATACTTATTGGAACATGTAATATAGAAACAAGGTGTTGTATGTATGGATATAAGCGTGTTTGACCCCATGTCAAAAGATAGGCAAAGTCTGCTGAATATGTGTGTTGTTTATGTACAAATCGGACGTGAAGTAGCTGATTCCGTGCAAGCATAGGGCTTTTTACTTGTAGAGTATGACATGACATCTAAGGACACGTAGGAATGATGATAATTACTTTTACGTTTTAATAAATAAGAAACAGAACGGATGATGTTTGTATCATCTCAAACGCCTACCCCTACTATCCCATCCACTGAGGTTTACCCTGACGTGGTAATACAAGTGAGGCCAGGATGAATGGTGTGCTGAAGTTAAAACGCCCATCATATACGAGTGGGTTAAACAGGTTCACCAATTAGCTATGAACTAGCCAAATGAAGAGCAAATTTAAATAGTTCAAGTGATTAAAGCATTCGGGTTTTGTCTAAATGTTTTCCTCATGTTGAATTAAATATGACAAAACGAGTGCGTATAAAAATGTTACAATAATATGTAACTCTGGTGGAAGCGGCACAAAAAAAAAAAAAAAAAAAAAAAAGAGGTGCATGAATAGAAACGTACGATTAAGTATGAAAGGGTATACATGTATGTATGTATGTATGCACGTATTTATGTACGTACGTATGTGTGCATGTTGTGGGGGGAGCGAAAGGGCTCACTAGGGCGTGGCACCATTTTCCCATATAAACTTTGGAGACTTGTCGTTTTTGCACGTGAGAATTTCGGCCCCGTGTTTCCTTATAACAATGGTATGTTCAAACTGAGCAGAATAGTAATACCTCGAATTTGACATAGTCCAATTATCAGGCCACATGATAAAGTCACAAGGGCGTTCGGATATAATAGGTTCTATTGTGAAGACTAGATTTTCGCACATCTTTCTATGGTCGTGATTTAATGTGTGCATTATAAAAGGTTCTTCATGAAAATTTTTTCCAATATTATGTCCACATAAATGTGGAACAACAGCATAATTTGTATAGGCATTATTTTTCCTCTTCAAACAACTATCAATCGCATCACCTATGGCACTGAAGGGAACCCCAGGTTTGCATACTTGAATAGCCTCCATTGTACATTCATAAGCAGTTTTCATTAAATTTATATTTTTTTCACGCATGTACTCTTTTAAATCATTTATATCCATCTTAGTTTTGTCGAAGAATTCGAAACGTTTTTGATTTTTTTCTTTTCCTCTTATGTTATTATATATATATTTTTGAATATCATAGTATGTTTGATTTTTTTGGGAATTATTATATATAACATTTTCATCATATTGTTTGTGAAAATTTTCGAGGTCACAAAAATATTTTTTATCCTCCGTTTGATCATCATACGGTGATAAAAAATTACCTTGTTTTGTGACATAATCATAGGTATTGTCATAATTATAATTTTTGTAAACAGAATTTGTGTTATCATCATACTGATTATTATAATGTTCACTTTGTTTATTTTTGGAATTTGGAGGATCATATTTAATTCTTCTTATTGAACAACTTTTTCCTTTTTTTACAACTTTATTTTTAATGAGGTCATAATTATATTTCAAAATAAATTTCGTGTATCTTGTTTTGAATTTATCATTTAAATATATAAAATCATAATATCTTTTTCTTTTTTTTTTTTCATTTTTTGTTAATTTTGGTACAAGAAAACTTTCACACATATCAGCATGAAAACCATCTTTAAAAACACTTATGTCTACTTTTACAATGTCATTTTCATATAAGACATTGTTATCAGGAATTCCATGACATAGAATTTCATTTATCGATATACATGAACTTTTTGGAAATAAATGATAATTCAAAGGTGATGGATAGTATCCATTATTTACACATTTGTTCAGAATGTATATGTCTATGTCGTTTGTTGTTATCCCTTCACAAATGATGTATGATACATCGTCCATTAGTTCACGTGCAAATTGGCAGTTACTCCTGATAATTTCAATGTCTTCCTCGCTTTTAATATTTGTATACTTATATCGTTCTCTCCCTAAGGTATTCGATGATTCGGAATGTATGTCATCGCTTGATGGTTCATATTCCTCCTTGCTTTGATATTGACGAATCGATTCTGCTTCTTCTTCTTGTTCAGAATTTTTGCAACTATTAACAGCTTCTCCTATACAAGAAGACATCATGTCATTTACTTCCTCATATGGAATATGAAGAGGTGTGCCAGTCCGATAATAATTGGGCCTATCAATGTACTTTGGTAAATAATATTTGGGAGATAAAATACCTTTTTTTTGTCTTCCCACATATTGAAAATTTTCGAACAGTTCGCTATTCTTCAAGTGAGAGTATAATTTATTGTAACTTTCTTTGCACTTTATAAATTTTTTATCAAATTCCGTTATTCTAATACTTGGATGTATAATTTTTCTCGTTTTTAAGTTTTCAATGTACCTATGATAGGTCGCAGGGGGGCTGTCTTCTGTGTAGTTCTTTGTGTTTTTCTTCACATTGTGGTGAACTGTATTGGAGAAGCCTTCACTTGCGCTGTTCAGGCGATTTTCGCGAGTGGGACGATTTTTCAAGCAATTTTTCACGCAATTTTTCGCGCTATTTTTCACACAATTTTTCGCGCTATTTTTCACACAATTTTTCGCGCCATTTTTCACGCAATTTTTCACCCGATTTTTCACGCGATATCCTTCCCAGTACCTCTCGAAATTTCTGTCCACTGAAACATATGCATTCAGCTGCTTTGACCATCCTTTGGCCCTAGTTGCATAACCAACGCTACAACTGATACTATTCCTTTTTCTGCATAAACACAAGCCCAACCAAATCAGTACCACAAAAATATGAACGTTCATAATTTTTTTACCCTTTCCCCCCCCGTTTTTTTTTTTTTTTTTTTTTTTTTTTTTTTCCTCATTTATGCGAAATTAAAAAAAAAAAGAAAAAAAAAATTATCTTGATTGTTCATTTTGTTAAGAAAACGGAATAATTTTGGGAACAATAGAAATGGGAAATTTGTGGCAATTTCAATGCAATGCGCGTAATTAAAAACAAATGTCGTAAATTGGTTGCACAAATGAAGAAACACAGTGGAGAAAGGAGGGGGAAAAAAAAAAAAAAAAAAAAAAAAAGAACTCTCGCCTGTCCTCCATTTGCTTATTCTGAGAGAGATTTATATACTAACTAAAATATAGTCAGCATTGTCAGGATTCCCAATACATGTATAAAGTGTACATAAACAAATGTACACATTCGCTAAATAAAATATTACGAGAATGGTTCCAATAAAGCAGGTGAATAATATAATGCAATGTTCACTTATGCGTCCCCATTGCTCTACATATTTTTTTTTTTTTTTTTTTCCTCATCATTAAATTTAAGGAAGCGTGCCCATGGTTAAAAAGTGGATTGGGGGACCCCTACCCTTTGTGTATATGCCAACCTTTTCTTGCATACTTGCTTACTTGCATACTTGCATACTTGCATACTTGCATACTTGCATACTTGCTTACTTGTTTACTTTCTTTTTTTCTTCCGTTAGTTCGTTTTTTTTTTCTTTTTTTTTTTTTTTCACTTTTGCTCTCCACACATGGTAATAGCTTATACACATACGTACTGCATCACCATTCCCTTAACTTAGGGATCAACTGATGTAAACAGAAAAATGGGGGAATTGCGGAAGGGGCACAACACGCTTTGGCAGCATAAAGAAAAAAGAAAAGAAAAAAGAGTGATATATTTTTAAAGATAATGTTAGATGATATGATTAGTTATGCATTCTTATAGTCACGATAATTGGGATGGAAAATGTGAGGAAACATAACAGTTATTAGATTTCAGTTTTCTGTTCTCATTTCTCAATTTTCACTAAGTGAGAACTGGCTTTCTCACCCCTCCTCCCCTTAACAACAACAGTTTGCACACGCCCCATATATGTGGTATGTGGATATATATATATATATATATATATATATACATGCAAACAAAAACGGTGTATATCTATCTATGGCATGGAACACATTTCTGAAAAATAGCTATCGTGTCTGTGCATTTGCTTCGTTCCATATAGCTAAAGCTGGGTTGTTATTTTTTTTAGATGAATCATATAATTAATTAAAAAGATTTGCCAAAAGGCAAAGGGGGGGAAAAATTTTTTTTGTGACAGTTTTTTTTTTTTTTTTTTTTTTTTCACGAAATGAGGGCACAGATATGGACACGGTTGTGGTCCTCCTCCCATGAGCACAGTTAATTTGGATAAACACAATACGAAAAAATACAATTCTATCATTTAGAAATATGTCGATTAAAACCTTTTTTTTTTTTTTTTTCTTTATTTCAGTGGTGATGGCATATAATACGTGTACAGTATGCAAAAAAAATAAAATAAAAAAAAAATTTCCCTAAATATAGTTCATCATTCTAATATACATTTTCAAGCCTCTGGGTGGGATCACATTAAATTGGTTATCTTCTTTTTTTTTCTCTTCATATGCCAACATCATTGTATTTTTTCGAAGCATTCATTACTAACCATCGTTTCAATTGCGCTACTTTCTTTTGCTTCCTCTTCAGCACCATCACTTTTGTTGCATCCACCCCCTTCAGCTTGGCTAGCAAGAGGACACGCACCCTGGGCAGCCACACGCTCGTAAGCGGAGTTCACGAGAAGTGAATTTCCTTCATATAAAAGTTTGAAGTTTATGTGAGGGTACTCATAAAAGGTTTTTCCAAGCAGCAAATCGCTAAGCGTGTGGAGTACGGAAAAGGAAAGATCTATTTCTTCGCTCTGATTTTTTTTTTTTTTATTTGTGTATGTGTTACTGAGGGAGATATGTATGGAATCCAAATTGTTCAGGTAGATGGTAAGAATATGTTTCAACTTTTGCACTTTGGTTATTGATAAGTTAAGGATTTGCAAAAAAGAGGTATCTTCACAAATGTTTTCATGTATCACAAATATATTTTCATTTACAAAAGTAACTTTTATCATCCACAATATTTCATTATTTATAATATTCGTTTTATTTTCTCTATGCAATTTTGTGTACATGGGAGCCTTTAGTAAAAAAATATTTTTTTTTTTTAATAGATTTATTAGTTTACTATATCTGTATAGCCAAATATTGGTTGTTTCATATTCTTTTATTTTTATAAATTTATAATTTCCTCGTAAAATTTTTTCCACATTTTCAAGATACAAATAATCTTTATGTAGTGTATTCTCGTCAAAATTGTTTCTTCCTATATTTTTTATTTTAAATATTTTTTTTAATTTATTTTTGCATTGAAATAGTTTTTTATGTGCTTTTACACATATAAGGGAACATGATTTTATTTCACAAAAGGGACATTTATACTTGTACTCTTTCTCTTTACATACATTACAATAAGAGGGTTTTTGGTTTTGTGCATTATTCTCTTCTTCCATGGGTAGATCCTTTACTACAACATGGTCTTCATCTGAATCTTGTTGTGCTTTTGTAGATTTGCAATTTTTAAAGTACTCAATTGCGTCTCTCAATATGTCAGATTTTATTTCACTGTACGATTTTCTTTTTTTTCTTTCACTCCAAGGGGGTTCTTCTTCTCCGTCTTCCCCGTCTTCTCCATCTTCTCCATTTTTTCCATCTTCTCCGTCTTCTCCATTTTTTCCATCTTCTCCATCTTGGCATTCCTCCCTTTCGTGCCCATTTTCCAACTTGGGTTTGTTCACACGGGGTGGGTCATCTACTTTTTCTTCATTTATGTAAGACCCTTCCATCAGTAGATCCTCCTCAAGATGTGTTTTCCCCTCTTCAGCGTTGTCTCCATGGTTAACTGAATTCCCTTCTCCTCTTTGGGGCCATCTAGAAGTTGGTTTCCATTTTCTTTTTTGTTTCATGCACGGATTCATCTTATTGGGATGGCATACCTGTTGTAGGAAATTGCCTTTCATCTGTCTTGTATCATAATTCGTTTGTGTTGTGCCAAAATTTGGCTTTCCTTCAACGGTTGGAGATGTAGGAATATACATCTCATGAGTAAACTGATCATCATCCATTACAAACGTTTTATTTTTATGAAAAGTTCTTCTGTTTATATTTCCTCTATTCAGTTTTCCATAGTGACGATATCCAAAACGTTTCGAATTATATTCCTGCTGCGGGTGAATATCTTCTCTTCTTATCATCATATGGTTACTAGTATTTGCATTTATGTGATAATTTATATTCTGAGAATTGTTAATATTAATATTCCTATTGTTGTTGTTGTTCATTTGAAATTTGTTCAATCCTTTTGCAATCATATTTCCTTCATTATTACATCCACTCCTGTCTCTATACTGTAATGCTACACCATCATTTCTCGTACGACTACAATACCAGTACAATTGATTGGTCTGTCCCTCTCCCCTTGGATTAACACTGTGCATTGTTGTCTCCATTTCATTAGTTATAGGAGCCACGCTTTCATTCGCCCACGCTGGATGTTTGGGGGAAAGCATTGTCACTTTGTTTTACTTCACATGTACGTGCGATGTTAAAAATAAAAATAACACTACAGTAGAGCAATATAACAGCAGAGCAATATAGCAGCAGAGCAATATAGCAGCAGAGCAATACAACAGTAGAGTAATATACCAGTAGAACAATATAACAATACTAAAATAATAGTAAACTTATAATAATAAAAAAAATAATAAGCTACGGTAAAAGCTGTTTTTTTTTTTTTTTTTTTTTTTTTTTTTTTTTTTTTTTTTCGCTGATTCGTTCTCCCCTGATTGGGAGTTCTTTTCCTTTTTTTTTTTTTTTTTTTTCTTCCGTTTTATAAGATATAAATCTTGAAATTTTTTTTTTGTTCTTTTATTCCAATACTTTATGCCGTTTTTGATGGATTCGAAATGCTGGTAAAACTAATTTGTATTTTCCGTTGTTACGTTCCATTTTGTGGTATTTTTTTTTTTTTTTTAAATAAATTAGTCACCGTTTGCTTCTCTTCCTCCATGTATATATATATATATATATATATATATATATATATATACTCTGGGAAAAAACAAAAAAAAAGCATGACTGTTGTTTGCTACAAGTGGCTTTTTTCTCCTCCCCACAGTATCGTCGTCTAATCATCCTTTTTTTTTTTTTTTTTTTAAAGCATTTTTCTTTTTATTTCCTTCCCCTACCCATATATAATAATAACATATCACAACATACATAGTTTATTTATCCTCATCATTACCCAAAAACTTTTCGTTGAAAAAATGGGGAAAACCTGCATACTCCACACGACACGCCGGTCTTTTTTTTTTTCTCCTCTATTGTATTCTTTCCCTATTTTAATTCACACACAAAAAAAAAAAAAAAAAAAAAAAAAAAAAAAAAAAATCGAATGGCAAAATGTTTATTTATTATTTTTTTTTTTTTTCCCTGGTTAAAAATGTTTTCTTTTTGAACGATTTTTCTCTCGTATGACGAGAGTTGTTTTTACAATACGTGCATACAAAGTTGAAGCAATTTTGTTTTATTTTTAAAATGCATACAAAAATGGGCAATTTTGACACTACGGAGTTTTGAAAAATAAAAAAAAAAAAAGAGAACGACTTAAACAATTAACACATCAACAGATGGGTTGCGAAAAAGATAAAATTTTTTGCAAATAGGTTGCGAAAAGGAGGGCATAATACATATGATAGAGGAGGAGGAGGAGGAGAATGGATCATTTTGAAGGGCAAAACTTATGTCACATTTTCACTCATTGGTTTGTCTATCCATCCATTCGTCTATGCATGTGTGTGTGGTTCCTCTTCTCACATTTGCAAAATTAACAAAAAAAGGACAAAAAAAAAAAAAAAAAAACACTTGACAAATTTGGCATTGCCTCCTCCTCCCTCCCCATCAACGCCTGTACCTCTTCTTCTTAAAATTAAAATACAGCTGCAGTATTCCTTTATCAAAAACGTTCCGAAATCCCTTGTGTTTATCATATGACCATTCAGCATTAACAATCTGAAAGGCTATGTCTAAGTAAGGGACTCCACCATGAAAAACTATTAACACTTTTGTTTCGTCATCAGTTGGGTATAGCTTCCATGATGGTTTTTCTTTTTTATTAATTAAATTCAAGTAAAAAATATTAAATTTATATCCACATATATATTTTGGTGGTGTATTTTCATAATCATAATGTGTTCTATTATACTTATTCCAATCGAATGACGTTTTTATTCGGTTGAAGTAGAGTGGTTTTCTTGTTATAAGAAGAGAAGCAGGAGATGGTAAGCCACTTTTGAACTTATTTCCAAATAAAGATGCATGTGCCCCTCCTCCTCCTCCTCTCCTTCCCTCTTGTGTTATATGATGCGTTGGAACATCCTTCATAATTATTTCACCCACTCTACCCTTTTTCTTTTCTTTTTGTACAAAATTGTTATACACCTCTTGATCTTTCATGAAAAGTTTCTTCAACAGGAGTTGTTCTGATTTATTTTGTATGTCCCCAGTTAAGTCGTCTTGAAATTTATTATTCTCTCTTTTTTTACAATTCATCATGAGTGTGTTCCATGCTTGTTCATTCAGTTTGATTCTCTCCTGCAGTTCTTCATCTGGATTGTATATGTGAGTTTCAACTGGAATACCCATTTCTTCTAGTTTCTCTTCCTGTGAAATCAATGGGGGGCTTTTACACTCTAGTCGAATTGTTGTCATTTTTCCTTTTGCATCTTCCTCTTCTATAGGTTCATGGTGCATCTGCTCCTCTTTTTGGCTGTGTGAGGGAAGAAGTGATGGATGATGTGTGGTTATATCCATGTGTGTCAGTAGAAAAAATATACAGGCACAGATTTTCTAACTGATGAAACAGAACTACATTGCACGGAGGCACTATGGAGAGTGAGGCGTTGTGTAACACACATTTCCCATTTTTCAAAATTGTTATAACGTTTCATATAACGTGTCATATAACGTGTCAAATAACGTGTCATATAACGTGTCAATTTTGACGTTTCGGAGAACATGTGTCGGTTTTATCTTGCAATTTTTTAGTTTACTACTTGCTCTTGCACGCGAAGCAGTATGTGAATTAATTGCTATTCATGGAGCCCGTGTGTGTGCGTGGCCAAAGCATAATATACAGTATGCAATTCGGTACTAATGACACGTGGCTCTCCATGAGAAGGGAAGAAAATGAAGAATACGCAGTCACTAAGGGATGGTGCATAACAGATGGTGCACAAAAGATACTGAGTAACCGATACTGAGTAACCGATACTGAGTAACAGATGGTGCATAAGTGAATGTGAGTAAAAATGTGGTGGAAGGCGAGAGATACGTGCACATACCTGTCGAGGTCCTCGGGTTCGTTGGCTGCGAAGCAAATTCGGTTGCGCAATTTCTGGTGAAAATCAGTTAACACATTTTTAGCCTTAAAGTAAGGAATTTTAAGTAACACTTTATTCCAATAGACTTGGTCTAAATTGCATTCATCTTGGGTAATAATTTTTTTTTTAATTTTCTCCTCATATGTCACTAATTCATCATAGTCTTTGTTTTCAAAAAAAGAATCAATTCGTTTGTCCGTTTTTTTTTGTATTCTTTTTAATTCTGCTTCTTTTGCTTCATCCTTTACGGGGCCCTTTTCATGTTCTTTCGATTCTAAAAGGTAGTGTTCAGAAAAGAATAACAGTGACTCCCAGTAGCGTTTAAACTTTCCTTCATTGAACAGTTCATCATGTTGTAGAAGTAGTTTAATTTGCTTAATGCAGTTTTCCAGTTCTCGTTCGCTTTGGCCTGCAGGGCGAGACAAAAAGTGGGGTGGTAGTGCATGTACATATGCTTACACGTGTGTATGTATGAACATGTACATATGCTTACACGCGCGTATGTATGAACATGTACATATGTTTACACGTGCGTATGTTTACATGTGCAAGGTGTTATGCTGGGTGGAGGGGCATGAGCAGGTAAAACGGTGGAGTCACCACTTCAGACGAAATAAATTCAACACATTTTTTTTTTTTTTTTTTTCCTTTCTGCTCTAACAAATGTGCATTTTTTTTTAAATAAAATCATCATAAGTGAAGAGAATAACCGCATGACCTGTCATGTTCAAGATGCGTGTAAAAATGACATATTTTTGCATGACGCCTCACCTCCCCCACTATACATATGGAGCATACTCTCTATATATATATATGTATGTACATATGAATTTCTATATATATGTATGTACATATGAATTTCTATATATATGTAAGCTTCACTTCTTGTTCACAAACACGTTGAACATTGTGTGCGAACGATTGGTTTAACTTCAATTTATGCATGCGTTTTTACCTTCTAGAACATCATAAAAAGGTGTACGATAGTGGTGCGGGTTCACATTTTCTATGTGTTCTCGATTTACCATTTTTGCAGCAATCCTGAAAATATCAGGTAACTGTAAAAGGTTATGTTTTATTCTGCTATCTGAGGACTGAATCTGTTGATTTATAAAAAATAGCTGTTCTTTTTCCATATGCTCTTTAATATTAATTTGATTTCTTTGTTTTTCCATCTGGAGCCTATAGTCTTCTAACAAAGCTCGTTCTTTGTCCCGTTCTTCTCTTCTTTTCTTAACTTCTTCAATTTCACTTATTTTAGACATTGAGTTTTGAAGTAGACTGTCTGTTGTCACTTTCACCTTATTGCGATATTTTATCTGTTCATATTTATTTTTTAATTTCCACACAAATGGCGTTGAAAGAGTGTTGTCTCCAAATGGATTGCATTCGTCCGTGTAGTTAAAATGTTTCTGCATCAATTTTTCTCTTTCCTTCTTAAGTTCCTTAACCGTGATGGTATTTTCATGTGCCTTTTTCTTCTCTTTCTCTTTCTCTTTCTCCTTCTTCTTCCTTTTCCCTCCATTTCTAACGCTGCCCCGTTCGCTATCTCCTTCACTAGCTCGTTCTATGTCTCGTTCTCTGTCTCGTTCTCTGTCTCGTTCTCTGTCTCGTTCTCTCTCTCTTTTTTTTTTTTTATCTTTTCTGCTCACTTTTCTTCTTCTTTCTGATCCCCCTTCTGAGCTACTACTACAACTACTGCTACCACTACGGCTCGTGCAATCTGACGAATAATTCCTGTTGTTATTCTCCCTCCTTCTCTTGTGTCGATAACTTACTGATCGAGACGACGCAGACTTTGACAATTCGGAGACATACGATTCTACAGATTCAGGGGAAACACTTTCTGAAAATTCAGATGAGCAACTCTTGGAACGTCTGGAAAAAGAGGATGTATGGGATGCTTCTCGCTTTGCAACTCTTCTACTGTGCCAAGCTCTTTTTTTGTTTATAACCCCTCGATCCATTCTTATCCTTTTTTCTCTCAGTTCAATGCCATCGTGTCCTCTCCCCCTTATGACTCCTTCTTCAGTTGATGAATCCCTCATCCTGGTAATAATAATTTGAAAAAGATATCATATGGTAAGGACGGAGAGACAGTGATACGTTGTTGTGTGTTTACATTTAAAAATGCCTTAATCCGTGCATATATGCAGTGTACCTAATATATGCCTCTTTATTCATCGGTGACTAACAACACAAGAATTCAGTAGTTTAAGTGTTCTTGGAGCATATGCTTTAACCCTCGCAAATGTAATGTCAGAAGGTTGATTTTTCAAAATTCTGCGGTGTATACATGATAATTTTTATTTTTACAATACTTTCCTTTGCCCTGTTTTTATTTTTCCCTATTTTTAGTGAATGCTTTCAATATTTACATTATATTTCTTGATTTGTAAAAAAGGAAAAAAAAAAAAAAAAAGAAAAACACAAAAAGAACAGTAAAAAAAAAATTCTCAGTTTGAGCTTACCAATCGGTTTGGTTAATAAGCACTCTCTAAATTTTTTTCTTACACCTACGAGCAAAAAATGGAACAACTGGTTTTTGCTGTTAATAAAGAAAAAGCAGTAAAATCCTTTTTTTTTTTTTTTTTTTTTTTTTTTGTTACATAAATATGTAAGATTATTGAATGCAAATGGTTCAAGCGAAATGTGTTTTATTTGTTGAAGTAACTTTTCCTTCGAAAAGGAATAACTACAAATCCAGTTTTTTTTTTTTTTTTTTTTTTTTTTCTCCTCTCTCATAAGTTACACTTCTTACATAATGGAAGAAACGCGAGGGAAAAAAAAAGGAAAAAAAAGGAAAGAAACCTATTACAGGAATCTATGTACATTTATCATAAGCATCCAATTTGAAGTTTCCTCCCCTTGGGTCAAGTTGGTTGAAAAAAAAAAATGTAACGCTAAAAAATTCCTCGCGCAAAAATCAGCGTATTTTCTCTTCCTGCTTTGTTTTATTTAAATTTATGCCACTTTATAGTCCTCCTTTCGCCAACCTCACCCCCCTCTACCCGTGTTCCCTTTTTTCCCCTTTATTTCGTGTGCAAATTTTTTCTCTCTCTCTCTCTATATATATATATATATATACATATGCATATATGTATAAATATGGATTTTCACTTTTAACCCAACCTAGTGGCGAGATTATAACTTATAAATTTATTTTATATAGAAATAAAAAAGCTCTGATTCCGATATTCTGTTTTGCACGCGTTTGGCTGTGAGTGTTCTTTGTTATGATGTTATGTTATGTACCTTATGCCATGTTATGCAACGCTATGTTTTTTCTTTTTTTTTTTTTTTTGTGTAAACCAGAATGGGAACCTAGTCACTTCGTGTATTCTTTTTTTACTATTTTGCCATTCGAACATAGAAAAAAAGGGAGGAAAAAGAATACTATAAAAAAAAAAAAAAAAAAAAAAAAAATAGGGGAGATGAAGAGGTGTACCCATATGTCCCTAAAATATATTTGGCCAATTTGGCTAGCTGGCCGTTTTTTTTTTTTTTTTTTTTTTTCATAAATTTTTCTACATTTTTTTACTTGTGCATATTTTGATACGAAGATGGGGGTAAAATAAATATAATTTTTTTTTTTTTTTTTTTTTTTTTTTTTTTTTTTTTTTCTTCTTTTTTTATTGATCCTTCCATTTTTATGGTTGAACCTCCTATGATGAATGAAAATAAACTGAATTTAAAACAATTTGATGAAAAACGAATGGTCATATTTTAATTTTACCTTGTTATCATCATTTCGTTTGACCCTGAGGAGGCATTCACAATTATTTTTTTTTTTTTTAACATCACTGTAAAGATGGAAAGGTGTATACAAAGGAAAGAAAAATAATGTTATAAATTTATATACAATCTGTGTACTTCTGATATATCATAAAGAGAGAAGAAAAAAAAAAAAAAAAAAAAATGAAATAAAGGATCCTGTCATTTTACGAACTTATTTTTGCTCATATAATGGCGCGCAAAAAATGAATTAAGTGTGCCTTTTTTTTTTTTTTTTTTTTTTTCATCGCTTTTGTTGGATTTTAGTAAAATGTACTTTTTCCAGAATTTCAATGTGGTTGTATGACAACCATTGGAAGTTTCTCATTATATATATTCCTTGCATGTCACGCAAAGTGATTTGTGTTGAACGGATGTATATATGTATTAATTAAGTGGCATGTATGTACTACTTATGTGCACGCAAAGTGTTCCTATATATATATATATATATATATATATATATATACATACATGCATGTGTGTAACTTAAAAAATAGGTCGAAAGGTTGTATGTGAGAACTGCAATTTTTAATATTATCCGTTGTTTTCTTCTGTAGGATAAGTTTTTGCATGTGTTTTATAACTTTTTTTTTTTTTTTTTAAAGAAAAGCATGTGTATGTGTTTTGTCTTTTATGGAAAGAGGGATTACAAAGAATCATTAATGAGAGCTATTAATTTTATTCTTCACTTTTTTTTTTTCTCACCCTTTGGTAAGAGTTCAATTTGTTTCGGTGCATAGCATCCAAAGAGTGTGTTTTGAAAAGTTACAAGTTGGAAATAGGTTTGCATTTCGCTATGTCATAAAGATGAAGCAAGCGGAATTACAAGAATTAGAACTAAGAGTTAGAGGTGTAGGAAGTGGGGAAAAAGTTTCCTTTGAGTTAGTGTTTTATTAGCGAGGTGTAGAGCATGTCTTGCAGCCGTTGCTTGAATTGTCGTTTTTCACTTCATTTTGTTTGATTGTTCCGACAGACTGTTTCCCCATGCCGCTTCACCATTTAGGTCCTAATTACGACTATTTTACCTGACCCGGTCAGGCGAAACTAGCTTTTCCAAATTATCGGTTTAAAAAAAAAAAAAAAAAAAACGATCAGCCAAAAAAAAAGGGTGCACACAGGTAGTCTAGTATTCATATATAATAAAGTATAAGTAAATCAGGTGTGAAGCATATATTTTTACGCATTCCTCACATACCAGTCCCTAACCCAGATCTGAAGGAACGCACTAAAGGTGATATATGTGAATATTTCTCCGTGTATTTGTATGTGTGTGTGTGTGGGGTAAAGAATATAGTTTCGCACATAATATAACTCATTTTACACACTGTATTGTGAATAAACGGAACTTGGTGTTAATCAATTCGGTGGTCATATAGATTATTCCTTATTTTCGGGAGGGCAAAAGTTGCATAAAATAAGCATGAAAATGAGTTTTTCTGACAGGAAAATACGTTTTCATTATCTCTATTTTGGGGATTGGAGATTACACAGAAGAGGATAAACTGCTAAATGGAGAGCACTAGTATAGGTGAAAGTGGTGTTTGCATGCCATGTGTTGTATGTTTTTGAACTTGTAATCGTGCACGGGACATAATACTCATGCACGCTTTGAACTACCTATGGCAAAAAAAAAAAAAAATGGCTATTTAAATGTTTACACCTCTCTTTGAAAAAGGCTAAGGAATGACTTGTAGCATATCCTTGTGACAATTCCTATTTTTTTTTTTCTTTTTTTTCAAATTCCAGATTTGTAATGCAAGTAATTTGTTCTCGAAATTTTAGAAATTTTCAGATGACTTTGACTTGATTTATGCCAAAGTGAAATGAAAATACGGCATGTATTGTTACATGTAAATAGGGTTGTCACAGTACAAAAAAAAAAAAAAAAAAAAAAAAAAAAAAAATTATCCGCAAAATTTTTTTTCTCTTTAGAGGAAAATCATTAAATTAAGGCACTTGTGTAGAAGGATTTTTCCTAAGATATCTTTTCTCCATCATCAAATACACCTCGTGATAGAAAAAAAGAAGAGAAAAAAAAAAAAAAACATAGCTTCGATTCAGTAATAAATATATATATACATATATATATATATATATATATATACATACGCATGTACATCTTTACTGCGTGAACGAACATACAAAACGAGATTAATAACTCAGTTTTTTCTCCCTTTTTTTTTTCTTTTTTGGCTACCCATTTACACACTTTTTTGTAAAAAGAGTCAAAATGACACTAGGACCCGTGGTAACAGGAACTTCGGTAATTGCCCTCAAGTATAAACATGGAATTTTAATCGCAGCTGATAGGAAAGGTACCCACATATGCATATATATGTACACGTGAATTTATGAAATTATGAATTTATGAATTTAAGAAATTATGAATTTATGAGGTTTTTTTTTTTTTTTTTTTCTTTCTGTTTTACTATATTGTCCAATGTAGTGGTGAATAATTGTTCATGTTTCACTACTCGATAGGATTTGCCAAATTTGTGTTTGTCTTGAGTGAGTACACATAGTAGAACATTCTTCCACGTGGTTGCTCATATTACCAATTTGGTTTATCAGCTGCCACATTTGCCTTAACGCACCTCTTCACCTCACCGCTTCACCTTACTGCAGCTAGCTACGGAAGCTATGCAAAGTTCCAGAACGTGGAAAGGATTTTCAAAATTAACAACAAGACAGTGATGAGCTTTAGTGGAGAATTGGCAGATGCACAGTACCTACACGAGTTACTGACAAGAGTGAATGTGAATAATGTAATGGATAAGAAGAGTAAATACGATTTATACAATACCAAGTATTATCACTCCTACGTTGGTAGATTATTTTACAACAGAAAGAATAAAATAGATCCCTTATTCAATAATATAATCATTGCAGGGGTGAATTCACAAGAGTATGATGATAACGACAAAGATATACTTTTGTATTCAAATCCACAAACGAATGATGAATATAAAGTTATAAATAAAGATGATTTATACATTGGATTTGTTGATATGCACGGCACTCAATTTTCTGCTGATTATATGACAACAGGTTATGCTCGTTACTTCGCTCTAACATTGCTTCGAAATCATTACAAAGATTACATGTCTGAGGATGAAGCAAAAGTTTTGCTAAATGAATGTCTACGTGTTTTATATTTTCGAGATGCAACTGCATCAAACAAGATTCAAATCGTCAAAATTACCAGTAAGGGTGTGGAGTATGAGGAACCTTACTTTCTCTCTAGTGAGATGAACTCACAGGACTATGTCTATCCCTCTATCATGCTTCCCGCAACAGGATGCATGTGGTGAATGAAAAATAAAATAATAGGGAGAAATGAGTGACCCACTTTAGCATCATTTCAATACGCCCTTATGATTTTTCATTCGTTAGGGCTTTTTTTTTTTTTTTTTTTTTTCTTTTTTTCCACCCCTTTTGCCACATTCAAGTTTTTCTTTTTTTTTTTCCACCCCTTTTGCCACATTCAAGTTTTTCTTTTTTTTTTTCCACCCCTTTTGCCACTTTCAAGTTTTTCTTTTTTTTCTTTTTTTCTTGAACGCGATAAATTGTTAAAAGAACATATCGAAAAAAATTCTTACCCACATGTTGTCAAAGGGGCGTTTATAAAATGAAAAGATAAGGAAAAGGCAACACAATTAGAAGAGAGCCACCAATGGGTCAAGAAACACCAAAAATTTGAAACATTTGTACTGTTTTTGTAAAATAGACACTTTCATGCTACCAATACGTGGAGAAGTTTTTAAAAAAAAAAAAGAAAAAAAAAAAAAAAAAAAAAAATTTTTAAAAAGGAACAAACAAAAGTGGAGAAAGCTTGAACTGGGATAATTCCACATCAATGGTTGATAAGTTTTTTCGTGCAGATTAGAATGAAAATTGCTTGAGTTGAGTTATGTTTTGCTTTCAAGCGAAGGAAACGACAAATATGATGAAGCAAAAAAGAAGAAGAAGATGCAGCGAAGTAACTGAATGTGGAGCTAAAACTTTGCTTCACCACCCCTGTGCAACACACATACTCTCTCTTTAGAGATAGGCGTGGCTAAAGTAATCATCGCGTTCAGCGCTCTTGTATTCATCTATCAAATTTTGAGTGATTTCTTTAGATGATTCCATTTCCTCAAAGTTGCCTTGCCCATCAGCACTGGAAAACATGGGTTCTTTTTTGTAATTTTCTAAAAATGCTCTTCTTTTGAAAAGTCTATCAAACTGAGTGACACACCTCTCAAAGAGAGTGGAGATGGAAGTATGGTTAGCCATCATAAGTCCAGAAACTTTATGAGTTGAAACAACATGTGGTGATGGTTTGGCTAACGTTACTTGAATAGATGCAGGATTCCATTTAATAAAATTAACTAGCTTTCTATCTCGTATTCTTTGTAATCCTTTGTGAACCTGAGTAGGATCAGTTTCCCCTCTGATAATATTCAAAATGGAGATGTACATACCTCTTCTGACAGGCACAGAAACCATAATATTTTTCGTGTGTAAAAGTCTTTTCATCACATCTAAAACGGTTGTTTTTTGTACATTGGATAAATGCTTATCAATAGTTATGGGAGTGTAAGAAGTAACGAGAAAATGACATTTAGGATTAATAATAAGAGATGAAATTAAACTAATCATATCATTGTTCATACTCCCTGGATATCTTAGTGTAGTTGTAGATGCTGACATTACACTTGAAATAATTGTATTGGTTTGTTGAAAAGTAGGATTATTTAATTTTAATCTATCGACAAATATTCTATTTAATGATGTATTATCAATAACAACAACACTATCAGTGCTTAAAATAAGTCTCTTCAATGTTAATATACTATTATATGGTTGAACAACTACATCACTACTTTCATTTGTCAACAGTGGGAAAACTGAAAAGGTTTGTATAACTTTCTTCGAATAATTGTCATTAAGTAACTCAAGTAAATAACTACCCATTCCACTACCAGTACCACCTGCTATTGAGTGAGATAATATAAATCCTTCTAAATTATCACTATTATCTACTTCTCTATCTATCATATCAATTATTTCTTCTTCTACTTTATGTCCTTGGCTATACCCACACCCCCAATTATTACCAGCTCCTCCTCCCTCTTTGGATATGTACATATTTTCTGGATTGTATAAATTTCGATATTCACTTGCTTGAATGCTATTAATAACTCTCGGCTCCAAATCGAACAGAAGAGCTCTTGGGATAAAGTGTTCATCGTCTGCTTGATAAAAAAATATATCTTTTCTGTCTTCATTCAAATAGTTATTATTTTTCAATATTCCCTCCTTGTCTATGTTGTGTTCATTGCACAGCTGTTTCCAAAATTCTACTCCAATTTGGTTTCCACATTGCCCGCACTGTAAGGTTATAATTTCCCTTGGCATCTTTTACAACTTCAGAGGAGGAAGCGGAGAAGTGGTGAAGTGGAGAAGTGGTGAAGTGGAGAAGTGGTGAAGTGGTGAAGTGGTGAAGTGGAGAAGTGGTGAAGTGGTGAAGTGGTGAAGTGGTGAAGTGGTGAAGTGGAGGAAGCAGACGAAACAGACGAAACAGACGAAGCAGACGAAGCGGAGTTTTTCTTTCTCCGCTTTGTCTTGCCTGGACTGTCAATTATACTTGTATTCAGCTTGTCAAGGGTGTGTCGTTCCCAGCTCAGAAAACATTACTCAATTTGCCTGACCTGTTAATGCGAATTGCGCATTATGCGATCAGTCTGTGTGCACACACATAAATTTTAAGTGCAGCAAAAAAAAAAAAAAAAAAAAAAAAAAAAAAAAAAAAATAAAAAAAAAAAAAAAAAAAAAAAAAAAAAAAAAAAAAAAAAAAAAAAAAAAAAAAAAAAAAAAAAAAAAAAAAAAAAAAAAAAAAAAAAAAAAAAAAAAGAATAACAAAAATGAGAAAAATAAAATGTAACGAAATAAAAGGAACAAACAAAACTGAGGAAATGGAAAAAAAAAAAAAAAAAAAAATACATAGGAGCATACATGTAAAGGAACATGTGGACATCATATGTTCATATTCAACAGATTTCTCATGTATAGCGATAGGAGCATAATTTATTTCCCCGTTCCAATAAAAAAAAAAAAAAAAAAAAAAAATACCAATGTGCTGTTATATAGAGAAAAAAAAAAAAAAAAAATAAAGGACGGACCTTCTCCTCTTTAGTTGTGTACTTTTCTTTTTGTTGAATGTTAATTTTTGAAATAACTTCTGTATTAGTTCGGTTTAGTTCAGTTTAGTTCAGTTTAGTTCACCTTGAATTTTAACTCTTTTTTTTTTTTTTTTTTTTTTTTCGCCTTCTTTTGAAGGGACGCATTCACACCGTAGGGTTGTGCAAATGTCTATGTTTGGATGGGAAGTAGAAGACGTCCCGTGAGGGTTTTTTTTTTTGTTTGTATGCTGCTGAAATTTGACGTAGGATACTTTCAGTTGCTTGGTCAGGCATTACCTCCTCGCGCGTGTGTGTATATATATATACATATATATATATATATATATACGTTTAAATATATTCGTTTAGAGAGCAGGCTCGATATGACCATCTCGTCATCTCAACATTCTCTTGCCTGCATACGCGAATTTATTTTTTTCCTCACACGTGTCCCCCAATGCAGAAATAATCTCTCCCCAAAAACGTGTTACAAAGAGGTTACTAATGAACATGACAAAAAGCAACCTATACCATGATATTTTCACTCAAATGGATGAACCATACATTCGTCTGTTCCTTTACAGGTGGCAAATAAAATGTGTGATGTTTCTACATGCATAGATTTATCCCCATAGGAATATATTTTTATTAATTGGATTAATGAGAACTCAGAACTTTGGTCTAAAATGGTTTTGTAAGACTAGGTTCTTCGTTTTTACTAATCTAACGAATTTTTACACTTTCAGGCACTCTTGACACATGTTAAGAAAAAAAAAAAAAAAAGAAACGGAAAGAAACGGAAAGAAACGCATTATATGTGTGTATAATTACCACAATAACCATTTATTCCTTTCCGTGAACCCTTATGAATAAAAAAAATTTTAATTAAAAATAAGTTAATTATTCTTGAATGTTTTTTCTTTTTTTTTTTTTTTTTTTTGTTTTGTTTGTTTCTCTCCATATATCACCCTAATTAATTCCTGACAAAGGTATGTATAGCCTTACATACGTATGCGTAGAACATCGCTAAAGGAGAGGGGAAATAATAAACTGTCCGTAAAAAAAAAGGCAAAAAAAAAAAAAAATATATAAGCACAATTGCAGTTACAATAAAAAAAGACAAGCACAGGCGTAATCATAAAACTTAATAATAAGACGAAATCATAAAACATAAAACATAAAAACTTAAATATTTTTTTTAATCGATCACGTGTTAAATAACCCCTACCCACCCCCAAGACCTACAACTGAAAGAATTCTTGTTATGCAACGGTGGAATATAGTGTATTAACATTATCGTACACACATATGGGGAGGGGACGAATGGATCATCATGAACCGGATGAACTACCCAAATGGGGTAAAATTTCACAAAACAAAAAAAAATAAATAAAAATAACGTAAAAATGTAGTAAAAAAAAACGTAAAAAATTATGAACAGGTAAGGTAAAATATAAAAATTTACAGAGAAAAAAAAAAAAAAAAAAAAAAAAAAAAAAAAAAAAAAAAAAAAAAAAAAAAAAAAAAAAAAAAAAAAAAAAAAACGAAAAAAAATAAAAAAAGGAAAGGTAAAAAAAAAAAATTTAAAAAAAAAAAAAAAAAAAAAAAAAAAAAAAAAAAACACAAAGGATATTAACACACACAAAAGACTCTCCTAAACCTGTCCTAATTTCAAATGGGTAAATTTCTCCTATTGCTTCATTAATTCAAATAATATGTATATCACTGCTGCAAAAATGAAGACCAGAAAGCTGCGAACAACTATGGATGGAAAGAAAAAAAAAAAAAAAAAAAAGGGAAATTAAAATACATTCGTAGCTTGAACAAAAACATATATATAAACATATATATAGACACGCATAAAAACGCACAACTGCGTCGAGTGGACGCGAAAGTAAATTACCCATCCTATGGAACATACGCATCCGTTTCGAAAAGCTTTTAACTGCATTGTGCAAGAATAATGTTGAAGCATAATTGTCATTCACATGATATGATATCCCCGTGGGGGTTGAAATGTTTGAATTTTCTAAAATTTTATCTTCACCAATCGTTACAATATCTATATAATCTTTTACAAAGGTACATTCAGAAGGTTGTGTTTGATTTTTCTTATTTATTGTACTTTTCTGTTTATACTTATTTTGAATGGCTTCCTGTGTGTACTTCTTCAAAGTGTTAAGGGATATTTCTAGCTCAAGTAGGGCATTATTTTTTATTTGTTTTTTAAAAAAAGTGTGTTTTACAAATTCGATATCATAGGAAAAATCCACGTGTGTACAACTGTTTAGAAGATCATCACTACCACTTGGGTTACCTCCCTCACAATTTATTCCATCTGCTTGGTTTTCTTCATTTTTCTTTTCATGTACATTGTGAAGAGTGACAGTAACAACGGTACGAAAGCACCCTGCTAATGGTATATTGCACAGCAGTGAAACTGATTTTTGAATAGAAATAATATTTTTAAAAAAGAAAAAAGATAAATTTTCTTTTACATCTGATCGTGATGGCATACCAAATACTCTCTTCCCATCATCAAAAAGCGAAATGTTATAAATAGATTCATACGAAAGGTGTCCTTTACCATCTAGCTCTTTATTCAAATTGTATAGATGTTCATAAGATAAATTATTTGGGTTTTTGTCTTGCATACTTTTCACAATTGGATTATCACAATCAAATTTTGAGAATATATCAACAAATATTTTTTTAAAATTTTTATTTACGTATAAACTATCCGTGTGATAATTACATCGAACATAATTATGTTTATTCAATAGTTCTTCTTCCTCCTCTGTAATGTTTAATTCTGTCAACCCTTTCCTTGTTTCTATCATTAGGATTTTTTCCTTCACATCTTTAGAGGCGGTGGAGACTCTAGCAGAGTCTTCGCCTTCCATTCCTTGACCTTCCACTCCTTCATCTTGTTGTACTACTTGACTGAATTGGGTATTCACGAGCGGATCATATTGTGTTGGTGTAATGTTGTAAATTACTGATTTATTATTTTGCTTCTTCCGATTTTTCATTTTGTTTCTTATCCTGAGGCGTTTTTTTAGTTTCCTTTTGTTCGGCCGGTTTGGGTCCTTTAGTCTGCCCATCTCTACCTCTTCGTTTTTTTCCTTTTCCTCGTAAGGGTTCGCGTTTCTTATTTTCTCGCTTCCTTCGTTTTCACCAACTTGATCGCTTTCATCATCCACGTCATCCACGTCATCCACATCATCTGCATCATCCGCATCATCCATATCATCCCCTTCTTCTGCTTCTGCTTCTTCTTCTTCTGCTTCTTCCCCATCCAACTCCTCACTGCTGTGTATTACGACACCTTTTTTTGGAATTTCATCCGCATTCATGTTGTCTTGAATCATGTCCATTATCAAGTCATACGCGTTGTCTCTATGCACAAAAGATGTGAACACAAAGGATCTATTTTTAGCTACGATTTTAAGTGCATTCGGTATAAAGTTGAAAACGCTCATTTTTTTTACGGATTCTATGGATTCGTATGGTATCCGTAGGATGGAATTTTTAGAAAAGAGGGAATCAAACAGAGACATAAAATACACACTGTCGTGTGTAATGAATATTTTCCCTTGCAATAACATTTTTTTCTTAAGTGCGCAGCTATACGTCTTGATGGAACTCCTGACTATAATATCTAAACCAGATTTACCGGGAACTTTGTATGCGTAGTTTTCTTCATTTGGAAATGGTTCTGTCTCAGAAGTAGTCCCCTCCTTAACGAGGTCTTCTTTTCCCTCTACATTTTTATCTATCAGATTTTTATCTGTCAGATTTTTATCTGTCAGATTTTTATCTGTCAGATTTTTATCTATCAGATTCTTATCTATCATATTTTTATCTGTCAGATTCTTATCTATCATATTTTTATCTGTCAGATTCTTATCTATCAGATTCTTATCTATCACATTCTTATCTATCACATTCTTATCTATCGCATTCTTATCTATCACATTCTTATCTATCACATTCTTATCTATCACATTCTTATCTATCACATTCTTATCAGCTATGTCTTTGTCGTCTGTTTCCTTCCGACTTTGTCCTTCCTCATATGCCTCTTCACACGGATTGAGATAACCCTGACTAAATTCCCCTCGATAGCATTGCCCGGTATCAACAGGTCCCTTCCTACTGTATCTTATCTGATTTCCTCCTCTTGTTTCGCGCTTTTCCTTGACATAATCTAGAACGCCTTCGTTCATGTTATCAAATGATAGTTCGTGGTCATCATCACACGACTTTGTGCTTTCTTGTTCTATGGGATATGGTTCTTCAACATCGTCTGTTGGCGTGTTATCAACTGTATTTGCTTCTACTTCGAATGTCCCTGCTGCTTTGACTTCCTCTACTTCGATACGTTCCTCTTCTTTGACAAAAGAATCGTCATCGTACAATGTAGCTAGATGTTCATAGACTTGCAGATCCTTTTCTAATTTGTATGACCTTTCAGATGAGGTTCCTTCGTTTAAAATATCACAAGAGAATTTTGATTCTTTTGAATACTGATTAAAGCATTCTGATTCCTTTGAATACTGACTAAAGCAGAGTATGTCATCTACATTGGTTAAGCAGTTAATCTTTCTCAGGGGTTCACTTGAAAGTACCCTCCGAATTTCCACAAGCACTCCTGTTTTCCGATCTGCTAGCGCTTCTGCTGGAGGTTCTGCTGGAGGTTCCGGTAGCAGTTCCTTTGTGATCTCAGGTAGAAACTCCTCTTTCATCCCAGGTAGAAACTCCTCTTTCATCCCAGGTAGAAACTCCTCTTTCATCCCAGGTAGAAACTCCTCTTTCATCCCAGGTAGAAACTCCCCTTTCATCCCAGGTAGAAACTCCTCTGTCTTCCCCGTCAGCAGTTCCTCTGGCTGTTCTTCTATCGAATCGGTGACACAACATCTGTCCGGTGGCTCCCTTTCTGAGAAAGTCCTCCTATTTATTTTCAAAACATGGGAGTTTTTCTGAAGGTGCATAGCTTTCTGTTCCGTTTTTTTTTCTTCCATGGTGCACTTTTTTGCACGTTGAGGCATCGTGGCAGATCTTAGTTCGATTTGGTTGATACCAACTCAAGTAAGTATAATGTACAAGTATATGTACATGCATATTTATTTACGCCTTTGAAATCTGGTTTCGACCTTGGGAGAACTTTTCCCTTGATGGATGCAATTGTATGAATCTATATGTAGTCTCCCACTGTTTCTAAAAAGTAATTGATGCCTTTATCATCAAAGAGGCTTTTTACTCACAGGCACGGGTGCAAACATTAGAGTGTGCATATATATATATGCTCAAAAAACATATACAAAAAGTATGAACATAAATATATGCATATAAGTGTGTACACACATGTGTACATATATAAGAACATAAAATGTATATGTATAGCCGAGGGCACATGTCACCAGCAATTTAAGCTGGCCCAAGTTAAATGCGTGAATTTTTCTTTCCATTTGTTGGCTCATTCATGCGTCAGTACATTTATGCATTTGAGTAGTCATATATTCACGCTTTCACACCTTAGCTTAAGATCTTTTTTCTTTTATTATTTTTTTAGAATGACATTATGCACTCCTTTGTCATGATAATAAGCTCTGGGAAGGTAAACGAATTTGTGTATACCCATGCAGGCACAGCCCATTTGCATATAAATTTTTTTTGTAAAAACATTCACCATGAGGTACAGCTGGGAGAAGACGTGGGGTTGCTGTGTGGTAGCTTTTCTTATACAACGAGAGAATAGTTGCGATATAAACACAAACACGTGTGTGAATTTGCGTCAATTCCGTTTATCGCGCTTATTCCTAACAGTCCATTTGTTGCCACTTACGTATGCATATGTGTACACATGTACATGCGCACATGCGTACGTACATATACCACCATATATACATATTTTTTTCTTTTCTTTCTTGATTATATATAGTTCAGGAAGAAAAAATAACCCTGAGGGGTGTGTGCATACTTTCTTTTTCCCTACTTTGCTTCATTTTTTTTTTTTTTTTTTTCTTTTCATGTGGTTATTAATTTCTCTGTTCATAATTCTTTCCAGTTTTTACATGTATAAAAATGTGCATGTTCTTAATGGGGAAAAAAAAAAAAAAAAAATAATAAAAAAAAAACAGCTAGCTACCATTTTTTTTTTTTTTTTTTTTTTTTTTCTCTTTCCTTTTCTCTAAATAAAAAAACATATTTTGCAAAATTAATTGTATGAATAACCGTCCATAGAAATTAAACACTTAACACCAACTATTTCTATGATGAAATGGGTATGTAGTTCCTTCTTTTCATAACTACAAATATATTTTGTTATAGAAGGTTGGTAAACGTTGCAAGCTTTGTGTCTTTCTAGCAACACAAGATTGTATGAACGTTCATATTTTATAAATACACATAGTCCATTGTGTGTATAACTTGGAGGTTACAGTAAGTACTTCTTTTCTCCTCTTGATTATTACTGCGTGTATATATATATATATATATATGTTACCCGTTAAGCAATTAGAAGACAACTGATAAATTTAAAAACATTTCGAAATTTACCCATATCCACTTTTTTTTTTAAGTGACACCCTGTCATTCAATTGTACCTTTCTCATCACATCCTTGTGGGTATCATATAACATGCCAAAAAAAAAAAAAAAAAACTTTAAACGCTCGTTTTTTTTTTTTTTAACGCTTTACTCGAATTCATTTAGCTACAACGTTTTTTTTATCTTCTAAAATGTTTGAAGTAGAAGGAAGAAATGGGAGAGGAAAACTCATTATTATTACAAGGGTCAATAGTTTTCTATATTTTTTTTGCTGTCTCTTTTGAACTCATTCCGATGTAGTACAAATTCTTTTTACTTTTCTCGATCTATTTTGTATTTTTTTTTTTTCTTGCAACGTTTTAAAGGGAACCGAAAAAAAGGAAAAAAATTAACAATTGGGGAGGAATGTGTGTGTGGGAAACCTGCGTGGTGCGAATGCACACCCTACAGCATTATTTTCTTAAAAAAAAAAGTGTTAATTTGGACTTTCTTTAAATTCACAAATAAATAAATAAACAAATACACAAATACACAAATACACAAATACACAAATAAACAAATACACAAATTCGTAGGTTATTTAATTAGTATGCATGCGTATCCCACTTAGGCCTCGTACTGGAAGGCGGTGACACGTTATGTAGGAAATTTTAAAAAAGGGAGAAAATTACGACGCGTATACATCCATATGCATGTACATAAAAAGAACGCAACAAATATGACAATCTGGTGGGGTGCGTGACGTGTCACAGGACGCTATGAAAGGAACATGAAATATCAACAACAAAAAAAGTAAATATTAAAACGGAGAGGGGAGGGAGGGGGGGGGAGCCCATATGGTATATGCAAAAAAAAAAAAATAAAATAAATTAAAATAAATATCCACCTAGTTATGGGCACAAAAAATGGGGAATAAATATATCATACAAATACGTCTACCTATTTGTTACTATATCATTATTTCTGTTCCGCTGTCGCTCCCTTACTGCTTCTCCCTTTCTACCTCCCTACGAAATGCACGCGTAAGGGGCTCATATCAGCAGGGCTGCAGCACACAATTCGAATGTAAAATTATGAAAAAGCTCTCTATAGATTTCCACAGTAAGCATAGGTGATACTTCTTCGGGTCGTACAAAAATCCATTATTGACACAGAAAGTGTTTTGCAGGAAGAAGCTTATATCTTCATCATTCCAAATTTTTATTTTGCATTTTTTTAAATCGTTAAAGAAGAGGAAATCATCAAATGATAGTTTTTCTAGTTGTGGATTATTTCCTTTCTTATGTTTGTTTTTCTGTTCATCATTCATTCGTCTGTCTAATTCTTCATTGCAAAAGTTAATAAATTTAGTTAAATATTCATCATAATCTGCATCCGTGGACATGTTGTTATTCATAAATTTGAGGTTTACAGAAGAATCGTTAACTGCATTTTTTTCGTTTTTATTTACTTGGATAGTAAGTTTTTCTGTATGATTGTCATATGTAAACTTTTTATACAAAACAGAATCAAGTACTTCAAACATAGTACTGTTGAAATTGTACACTTTTCGATGAATTGGACTTTTTGTGAAATTTTTCATTTGTGCCGAGTGAACAATTTCATCAATATCAGCACAGTTAAATAATGTTGTTAAAATGGCAAAGGAAAAAGTGTCTACGTGGTTCTTACTCTCATTAGGAGATCCACTATTATTACTGCTCGTTGTGGAAACATTTAATTGATCTCCCCTTTGCAGTGACTTCAACATAAGTTCATATTTGTCCGTAACTCTTGGATGAAGTGCATTAAGGTAATTTCCAAATTTATGTCTAAAGGGGGTAAATTCTAGGACAGGAGATTCGTTCCTCTCACGTAATCGTGGTAATGATAATGAGGAGTCTTTTCCATTCAGTGTTGTATTTTCAAAATGGGCATCTGCTTCTGGAAAGTTATAATTTCCACAAATTTTTTTTCTACCTATGATTTCACGTCCAATGATGTTTTTTCTACCTATATACTTATCCACATAAAATTCAAAAAGCTTTCTTCGCGTGAACATATTTGGTACATGAAAATGTATAATTTTATCGAATCTCTTTGATCTGATTAAAGCAGAATCTAGATACTTGTATCTATTTGTGGCTCCGATAAGGAGAATAAATTTTCCAGTTCTATGACTTTTCAAATTAAACAGTTCCTCCACTTCTTGTAGTGTCAGTTCATTGTTCAGATAATATTGCAAAATTTCATACCCATCCTTTTGATGAAGTGCTGTATGATTTGCATGGCGTCCATACGGATGATTTCCATACGGATGATTTCCATTTTTGGGATACCTGTTGTCTGTTGGACTAGTACTACCCGCATCAGTGTTGAGGGGAGGTCGCTCGAGTGGAATAATGTTCATAAGCGTCTTTTTAATGTGCGTGAAGAACCCTATTTGATCCCGTTTTTGGGAAGCGATGAGATACTGTTCTCGATTGTACTCGTGCAAGGAATCAATTTCGATTAGGAGCTGATTCAAAGTTTGTGTGTATTCATGGTTTTGATTATTCCCCGTATCATTGGTAACACTTCTGTTCAGTCCAATGCTATCAATTTCGTCTATAAAAATTAGAACTGATTTTTTATTTCGTTTGGCCATTTTGAATAGGTTTCTAATTTTGGATGCACCGTTTCCTATGTAAAGTTCAATAAAAGTAGAACCCGATAGATGTATAAATTCTACATCTAACTCTTTTGCAATTGCTTTAGCTAGTAAGCTTTTCCCAGTCCCTGTTTCTCCAGTAAATAAAATGGTATTGTTATGTGATAAATTATAATTTTCAGAAAACATGCTTGAATATAATAAAAAAAATAATGTTCCTTTAATATCTTTTTTAGTTTCATCATTTAATATTATTTCATTAAAAGAATCGAATTTATTTCTTTTCTGAAAAGAATAATCTGAATTATTGAAAGGCGAAGATGCTGACAAATTTTTCTCATAAATATAAAAGAATGTTATTAACGAAAATGTATACGTAACCAAATCGAACATATTTTTTTTTAAAATTTCATAAAATGACATTTTTAACATTTTATCATCTAGTTTTATTTCTACATTTTCATAAACCTTATTTTTTAGCAAAAATTTCATTATATAATCATTATAAAAAATTGTATACATATTGTTCTTCTCTTCATGTGTTGATAAGTTACTGCTACCAATTTTATTCGTGTTAAAAATCATCATATTGTTGCTGCTCTTAGGTATGGCCCCTTTGCTTAGAAGATAAGAGAACGTATTATTGGAAGGATTAAAAAAAATTGTTTTTACATTATTTTTCTGAATATTGTAGAAGAAGTGGTTGTAATCTTTTGATATCATCATTTCTTCACATCCACTTGGCCATACAGATATGTTAGTGAAGTATTTAGTTATATTCATGTAATGGTTGTATATGTAATCTGCAATTTTACCCCTCATTTTGTAGTAAAGGTACCCAAACATCACTACACTCAGTGGGAATATCCAATAAAACTTATTCTTCTTCAATGCTTCGAAAATGTGAAATATGTAATTTTTTCCAAATTGTTCATACTTATCTTCAAGTAGGTTTTTATCTCTCTCTTTCTTCTTTGCCTCTACAGGTTTCTTTCCCTCTTCAGGTTTCTTTGCCTCCACGGATTTCTTGGTTCCTGGTTTTGTTTTATGCGTTACGTTTTTTTCTGAGTCTTCGGCAGCTTCATTGAGTGGCGTGGAGCTATCTTCCCCCGTGCCACTATCCCTGATCTGATCTCCCACCTGGTTATTCACATGGTTATTCATTATATGGTCATTCACATGGTCATTCACATGGTCGTTCGCATGGTCGTTCGCATGGTCATTCACATGGTCGTTCGCATGGTCGTTCGCATGGTCATTCACATGATCGTTCGCATGGTCGTTCGCATGGTCATTCACATGGTCGTTCGCATGACCATTCAAGTGATCTTTCACATGGTTGTTCAGATTTCCCTGCTTGGGATAACACTCCTTCTCGCCCCTACGTCGATGCGTGATGCTTTCCTCATCATGAGAGCTTTTTGTTTTCGAGGTTGGAGGACAATAGAGAGATGCTGAATAGAGAATCTCCTGATGTGCCTTTTCCAATTGGTGTTCTACTTTCTTCTGCAATATTATGTTATAAAACATGTTCTTAAGAGCTAAAATGAATAAGTAACAAAAAAGATACTCATTTGTTTCTATATCTGCATAGTTTTTTTTATTTTTAAAAATTTTTTTTATATTCATATAAATTTCTCTCTCTTTAGGAGTAAAAATTGTATTCATTATTTCATCATAATGCAATGATCTGCTTTTTCCAGAATCTGATGAAATATCATCATTGGTGCTGGCACTACTTCCATTTTCGTTCTGGTTCATAAGTAATGATTCCTGCTTAATGTAACCCATTTTAGAGTTACTAGATTTACGCTGCTTATTTTCATTATTTTCATTATCACTTAATGAGTGTGAATTTTTGTATAGGTAGCTAAGGTTTATTAGATAGTCGTTCATCACTTGTTCGATATTCGCTTTTCGTTCATTTCTTCCTTTCATTTTTGTTATTTTATTTTTTTTAATTTTTTAAAAAAAAATAAAGTGGGTGATTTCGTCAAGCGGTGCGTTAACTTTAGAATATTTTTTTTTTTTTTTTTGGCGCAACTTTTTTTGGGTTCAGGTTTGTGGTCCCCTTTTTTGTGTCCAGTTTTGGAGTCCCCTTCTTTTTTTGAGTGTTTTTTTTTTTTTTTTTTTGAAGTGTTTTTACTCCTTTTCATTTGAAAGGAATATTTTCCCTTCTGTGCATCTACACATATGGGAGAGGGGAGCTAAGCATGCAGGTTCGTCTGGGAGTTCTGTCGCGCCCCCGTATGTGTGCATATGCGTATTTGAACACAAGTGATTCACTCATTTGTACACACAAGTGATTCACTCATTTGTACACACAAGCGATTCACTCTTTTGTAGATGTGTGAAAGTTTACATCCCTCCTATCATCTTGGTGCTAATGTTATGGAATTGCAGGTGTGTCATCTCGCACGGGTCACAAAACCCAGTGTTACTTAAAGGCAAGAAATAAGTGCACGTAAAAAGTTGGGGACAAATTGGGAACAATTTGTGGAAGAGGTGAATAACAAAAAAAGCAAGGAAAAAAAACTCTGAATAACAAAAAAAGCAAGAAAAAAAAACTCTGAATAACAAAAAAAGCAAGAAAAAAAAACTTTGAATAACAAAAGACTAAGCAAAAAATCGAAAAGCAAAAAAACTAGGTAAAAAGTGGAATAGCAAAAAATCGAAAAGCAAAACAGTAGGGAGAAACGGTATGCAAACTTGTGTAAGAATTACATAACGGAAGAGGGGGAGCAGAAAATTGGGAACACAAAAAAGGGACAAAACATATATATGTGTATGAGTATGAGTATGGAAATGGTATGAGCAATCACATGTAGTGAGATTTCCAAGTGAGGCTTGTAATGAGAAAGGTAAGCAAATCTACAAGCGACGCGCGGTGGGGTGTTGGGTTTGGTTCTTTCCAATCCGAAAAGAAATTTTTACTTTCTGAGAGAAAATAACCTCGCAACCCTTACAATCTACATAATGTTTTTAATATCATGTTGATTCAGTGGGGTAAAAAGTACATTTCTTATTTGTTACTATATAATAGCACGTTGTTTTCCTCAAGTCCGTAAAAATACAAACCTTCGGTTGGGGAAAAATTGTTAAAGGAGAGGAAAAAAAAAGAAAGAAAAAAAGAAAAGAAAAAGGGAAAAAAAAAAAAATAAATAAATAAGTAAACAAAAAAATAAACAAAAAAATAAACAAAAAAATAAACAAAAAAATAAACAAAAAAATGAACAAAAAAATAAAGCTTACTAAAAGGCTGAAAAAAGGTTACGCATTTTGTTGTAAAGAAAAAAAAAAAAAAAAAAAAAAAAAAAAAAAAAAAAAAAAAAAAAAAAAAAAAAAAAAAAAAAAAAAAAAAAAAAAAAAAAAAAAAAAAAAAAAAAAAAAAAAAACAAAAAAAAAAAAAAAAAAATGAACAAAAAAAAAAAGCTTACTAAAAGGCTGAAAAAAGGTTACGCATTTTGTTGTAAAAAAAAAAAAAAAAAAAAAAAAAAAAAGCAAGCACCTGCTAAATAAATGACTAGAACAAAAGAGCAAGAAATGCATAAAACGTGTATAGAAAATGCAGAAAAAGTGTATAGAAAATGCATAAAAAGTGTACAAAGGAATGCGCAAAAAAGTGTACAAAGGAATGCGCAAAAAAGTGTACAAAGGAATGCACAAAAAATGTATAAAAAAAAGAGATTAAAAACAAAACATGTAAATATTATATACATATGCATATCTACCGTTTGAGAGAAGATTAAGGCGACGCTGTGCTTGATGTAGTGCCTGTTATTTAGCACATAGGCTACTATGCGAGTGGGCACAAATATTTCTTTTCTTTTCTTGTTCTTGTGTATGTGCACACACACACATATATATATATATATATGGCATTTATTTATGCTCTTCTTAATGGGTGTATTTACCTACACCTCACTGATTCACTGATTATGCACAGGGGCTGAAGGAGCGGTCTGATAAAAATGATCTACACAAACCCCTCGGTCATTTTTCCCTCACACAACTTTAATGCTTCTACACCCATGAGAAGAGGTTGTAAAAAAAAAAAAAAAAAAAAAAAAAAAAAACTATACACATGCTTGATCCATATACCCTAGTGCTAATCCGAAATAAATATATATACGTACACTACATATGTAACGCTCTTTATTCTGCTTTGCTTCGCTTCATTTTCTTTTCTTTTTTTTTTATCACAAATCAGTCACTTATAGCAAAAGCAAACACACACAAATACAGGTGTCATTTTGTGTGCCTAACGATGGAACCGTTAAGTTGCATTAGCTTAGCTACACCACATTGTGTTACACTTGTTCTTCCCCATTCTGCCCTACTTCCTTCTATTCTATTTTTCTCTTATTCATGCGATAATTAAATGGGTACGTAAAAAAAAAAAAAAAAAAAAAAAAAAAAATTATCTGGCAACACCTAGCGGGACTTTTTTTTTTTTTTTTATATGCACACTTGTACCTCCTTGGGACGCTCCCATTTTGTGTACATTCATTTGGAGTAACTTTTTTTTTTTCAATTTTTTTTTAATTTTTTTTAATTTTTTTTAATTTTTTCTCCCATCTCGATTAAATTAAACTCTCTTTTTTTGACAAATTGCAAATGTGTGTGAAAAAGGCGCAAGTCAAACTTACAGGGTTCACATGTCTGACCATTCCTCCCCAATCCACTTGCTTCTGCTGCAAAAGCTCATATAAAGTACGAACTATCTGTGCTGACATTTTCAACAGATGCATCTACATCTTCGGACATGGAGAGAGTTACCTTGGATTCTTCGTCCTGTGACAAGAGTTCCATTAAATTTTTTTGTGTCATATTTCGTGTGATCCGTTTGGAGGAGTGTTGCTCTTCTTGGTCGATGATTCTTTCATCTGATTTAGACTTTGTGTGGTTATTCATTCTGCTATCATTATTTTGATTTGCTTCTTTCCTCACGATTGACAACTCCTCATGATCTTCTCTTTTGTCATCATCCTTCTCTGGAAGAGATCTACTTCTAGCATGTGCTTGTTTCTCTTTTTCCTCCCCCTTGGTTTCTGTTTCTATGTCAAAATTTTCCTCTTGTATTCTTTTCTTCGGTTCGTTCGTGCCTTTCTCTTTCTTCCTTATTCGTTGATATTCCATTATTTCCATGATCTTGTGTTTGTAATCTTTTTTAAGCGTTCTTTCTGAGGGATCGTCCTCCTCAGCTTCTTCGTCATCAGCTTCTTCGTCATCCTCTTCTTCGTCATCTGCTTCTTCATCCTCAGCTTCTGCTTCTTCTTCCGCTTTTTCATCATCCTCTTCTTCGTCATCCACTTCTTCTTCCTCTTCTTCTTCTTCCTCTTCTTCTTCTTCTTCTTCTTCTTCTTCTTCCTCTTCTTCTTCTTCTTCTTCTTCTTCTTCCATTTCTTCCTCTTCTTCTTCTTCTTCTTCTTCTTCTTCTTCTTCTTCTTCTTCTTCTTCTTCTTCTTCCACTTCTTCCTCTTCTTCCGCTTCTCCTTCTTCAGAATAGACCCCGGGGAGTGTTGGATCTTTTCCAGCTTCCGTCTTGATCTGCATCTGCTTAGCCTTTTGCTTAATCAAGTCATCCCTAAACTCAATCTTGCAACTCATGGCAAAAGTGATAAATAAATTTGAAAGTTTTTTCAAGAGGGGGAAGTTGGACATATCATTACTCTTAAACTCGGTTGCTGCTTGTACAGCTTTTACTAAGATTGGATCTGGAACTGTTTCTATATTTTGGTGATGAGCCCAAGTATTAACATCTTCTTCTTCAAAATCTTCCAACTGTTCTGAATAATTTCCCTGAGGATTTTTAAAATTACATCTAGTACATTCGATATTATCATGTGTCTCACAGATAGTATTCATTTTGTAATTAAAAAGTTTTTTCACATTTTCATCTGACATTTGATCTTTTGATAAATTTGTGTTTGTAACAATCATTGATGATAATCCATCTTTACTTATCTGACGTTGATACACCTTTTCATCAATGGTTCCCGTGCAAAATAATCTGTAAATGTAACAAATTTTTTTTTGCCCTTCTCTCCATACTCTTGCTAATGCTTGCTTATCATTTGCAGGATTCCAATCTGGATCTAAAAGAATTAATCGATTGGAGCTTATTAAATTAATTCCACATCCTCCAGATTTAGATGAGAGTAAGAATATGAAAATATCAGATGAATGGGTAAAATCATTTATCACTTTGTGTCTTTTTTTAATACTTATTCCTCCATCTAGACGAACAAATTTGTAAAAATTTTCTTTACATAATATTTCCATATAATCTAATGTTTGTGTGTAATTGCTTACAATTACCACTTTATCTGTTGTTTCTTGTTTTATTGTTTTTAAAAGAAAATGCAAAAGCTGAAATTTACACGACATGTTGTAGTACGAGTGGTATATGTCTCTCTTACACTCTTCCAGCAATCTCTTCACGGGTTTGTCGTAATCCATTTCAACAGGTTTCCTCCTATCTCTATCCCTATCTCTCCACGTTGTATTATCCTCTCCCACCGACATAGTAAGCGGCTTCCCCTGTACAGGGTTGCAACTACCGCTGGTGCTGTTGTTCCTTCGTTTGCTACCTCTTTCCGTTTTTTTTTTTTCTACTTCTTTGACAACATCTTCTATAAGTTTAGAGAGAGGAATGTGGCCTGCGTCCTTCATGTCATTTCCATTCAGAAGTAGTGGATGATTGCATATTTTTTCTAACTTTTTAATATTGATAAGCACATTGACTTTATTATTAGAGTTTTCATTTTTGAGAATTTTTTTATTTTTCAAAAATAGCACATATAATGCTTCTTGAATAGGATTTAATTTAATAAAAATATTGATAAGATATTTTAGTGGTAAAACTTTGGAGAGTAAATTATTAGTCCTTCTAAGAATAAACTTATTTGTAATATTTGACAATTCAGCCAATCGTTCTGATGCAATTTGTTGTTCTTTTTCTGTTGCATCTTTGTCTCTACCAATGAGAATTGGATTTGCAAATTTTTTTCTAAATAAGTTAGTATCATGGAATACATCAGGATTGCATAAAGAAATTAAAGCAAAGAATTCTCCCAAGTCATTTTGAATGGGAGTTCCAGATAATAGAAGTCTCTTCTTTGCTGCCAATTGATATATACTTATATATGTCTTTGTCTTATCATTTTTTAATCGATGTGCTTCATCACATATAATCATATCTATGGACGATTTGTCCAATGCTTCATTATTTATTCGAAAGCATTCATAAGAACAAATAATAACTGTTGATTTTTGATCATATTTGAATCCTTCTAATTTACTTACAATTTTTTCTTTTGCATTATCATTTACACATGTCACATTACATCTACCAGGTAGCCATTTATTAATTTCATCATTCCAGTTATTGATTAAGCTAGCTGGACATAAAATAAGACATCTTCTAACTGCTGGTTTTTTATGGATACCTTGTTTTAGTAATGTATACAACACAGATATACTTTGTAATGTCTTTCCAAGTCCCATATCATCTGCAAGTATACATCCACTTATATTATCATCTTTCAAATTCATCAAACATTCAAAAACGAATGTAACTCCTTCTCTTTGATGTTCTCTCAAAAATTGAGCTAAAATAGGATCTACTTCAATTTTAGTATTTTCATTTTCATACAGGATTAATGGTTCGAAATCTTTTTTTATTTCATCTATTTTGTTCTTATCCTGATCATCTATTTCTCTTTCGTCTGATCTTCTTGGAATCGAGTTCTTCATCAAGTTTATCCATCCTGTTCGTCTTACCTTTACTCCTAACGTCTTCTTTACATATAAACTTTTGTCACTTACGAATCCTGGTAATGGGTTCTTAAACGGATGAAACAATGTTGTTTTCTCATTCTTACCGATGCTTAGAATTGGCAGAAGAGTGGCTCTCACTAGAGTTATGCACGTTCTGTCTGGACTTTCTTCCCTGCTCCGCTTCAGTCTCTGCGTGCATTTCCTCATGATACAATACTACGTGAGGGAGAAATCTGGTTGGCAATCAGGTGGGGGAGAAATCTGGTTGGCAATCAAGTGGGGGAGAAATCTGGTTGGAAATCAAGTGGGTAAGTGGGAATCTACTTGAATGATTTCTTATTATTCAACTTCCTCACGCCCTTTTCTAGCCCTGAATTATGGTGCGTAATCCTACACACATCACTACTGTATCTGATCGAAAACAATTTTTATGATCCCTTGAATGGAGTAACGATTCGGTTGTATGTGTTTTAAAAAGTCATATTGGTTTCTGCGTTCATAGTACCCGGTGGGGGGAGAAAAAAAAAAAAAAAAAAAAAAAAAAAAAAAAAAAAAAAATACTTTCACTGATGGATAGTGGGAAGCTAAGCTTCGTCTAAATCATTTCTGCGTATGACGGTTCTGCTGACATGAAGAATTTTCCTCTGTTATGTGCAGTGGCAATCGGAGAAAACTGAACTGCAAATTTGTGTGTGTATTTGTGTGATAGCTGCAATGGTAACATTGCTATGGTGGCTACCATATTTCAATTCTCGCACGAGAAAAAGAGAAGTGATAATACACACACATATACACGGATTGATTGTACGTGTAAGTCTTGCTTTTTTTTCCTCAAAGAGGGGTAAAGGAAACTTTACGAATTTAAAATGTGGAAAAAAAAATAAAAAATGAAAAAATTCGGGTAGAAGAACATGTAAAACTTTGGTTAACTTATAAAATTATAGTGTAACATAATCTCATCTAGTTAGGAGAAGTCCGGTTTGTGCATGCGTATATGTATATGTATATATATATGCTTGTATGTGTGTGAATTATGGAATGAAATTTTCTAAGTAGTGTGAAATAAATAACCAGTTCTCTGTGTATATTTTATTTTTGGTTATACCAGCTTATGGAGCTTAAAAATGAGTATTTTGTTCCATACACAAATGTTATATGTACATTTGTGTGGCTTTTTTTTTTTTTTTTTTTTTTTTTTCCTGTAAATAAAAAGTTACTGCTTCTTAAATAATTTCAACGTGGGATTAAATGGTCTACTATTCAAATGCACTTGTTTTTTTTTTTTTTTTTTTTTTAATTGAACTTTTCAACCATAAGGCTTAAAATGATAAAAAAAAAAAAAAAAAAAAAAAAAAGATATAGTATGAATAAAGAGAAGGAGAAACAGCAGGAACATGGTAAACTCAGAGTTCAGAATAAAACGTTTAAGAAACATTCCTTAAGGCTTCTCTTGACTTCATCACATCAGTATTTGAAGTAGCATTTTTAGCATATTTGTGACGAGGATATACAGTTGTTTATGCATGAATTGTGATAAAAAAATAATAAAAATAAAAATGCATGTGAAACGACTGAGTTGCTTTTTGTATTATTTCCCAAGCGTTTCAAGCATGTATGCCTCGTTTTGTCATTTTGTCATTTTGTCATTTTGCTGATTTGCTTATTCATACGTATTTTCTATTTCATTTTAGTTTGGTCATTTTGGTGCGCTCCTTTTTGTTCTCTCATTTTTGCTTGCTCATTTTTGTTTATTTTTTTTTTATTTTTTTTTTTTTTTTCATTCCCTTATTTCTCACTCTTTTGGATTATTCTCCATTCCAAAAAAAAAAAAAAAATTCTGAACGTTCATATTTTTCGAAAGAACAACATACATTCTGAGAAGATGTATTCTTTAATTATTTTCTATTTTTTTTGTTTTATTTTTTTTTTTACTCGAAAGAACGTGTTTGTATAAGGAAAGAGGAAAAAAAAGCTCAGTTTAAAGATATTGTTTTTGCTTTTTTTCGTATGTACAAAAGGAGGGGTGTACTTAAAAAGTAATATGGTAAAAAAAAAAAAAAAAAAAAAAAAAAGGAAACGAAAAAGAAAAAGAAAAAATATTTCTCACACAGATGATTGTAAAAAAGGGTGTATGTACGACATGCTAACATGAGACAAGTCATAGTTAGACATCATAATACAACTGCAACACATGTATGTTTCCATCCATATCACCACAAACCAACTTATTATCTACATTTTGAAAGTCCTCATCAGCAGATTGTACTTGCTTTCTCGTCCCATAATGTTTGTATTTACTGAGAATAGTGTCATATTTCCCCTTGTTGATATAGGAATTTTCTGTTAATATATTTTTATTGATATTTAAGTAGTATGTCGGTTTTCCTATGGGTAGTTTAATATATGTATTTTTGTAAATATCTAGATTTTCTTCATATTGCAGATTCCGGTAAAAAGTTGTATTGTTAATGATGTTACTCTTTACAATATCATAAACAAGCAATTCGTTTTTATATGAACAAGACAGGATGTATTTATTTTTCTTGTCAAATTTTATGTTCCTTCGATGGCAGTTGTTCATGTCGCCTTTGTACAGACCCAGGACGCTTCCTGCAAGAGTGATGGGTCCGAGACGGGGCCGTACGTGCGTGTGTACATGTGTATGTGTGTGCGTGAGGGGTGGGGGATCCTGTGGAGGCGCGTGCTTTTCTCTCCTATTGGTTCGTCACGTTTCTGCACTGTGATGTGAAAAAATCCATTCAGGGAGAGGAAAATAAACTCTATTCATTTTTTTTTTTTTTTTTTTTTTTTCCTTACCCCCATTCTTCTCAACCAACTTGATACTGTTATCTATCAAATTTACACAAAAATAATTCTTATCATTGCTTACGTCAATACTTAGAATGGACGAATTCATGTCATAGCTTAGGATTTTTCCCATTCGCAAATCGTACAGTCTCAACAAATTGTCAATACTGCATGTGTAGATTTCGAAATCGTCTACCAAGATGCTACACGTGGGAGAAAATAAAAAAAAAAAAAAAAGAAAAAAGAGTGAACGGCATGGAAAAGAGATTAAAATTTAGGGGATATTAAAGATGATAACTCAAAAAAATATGTGAATACTGATCTAATTTCACTCTATGTGAATAACTATATATGATTCATGCGCATGCACAATTATATATATGCAATATACATGTGCGTAAGGGCCATGCACACACGTGATGCACAAAGAAGAGAAGATGTAAAATGTACTGTATAAAAAACTGATTCTATGAACATGTAAACGATTTTCTAACTCAGAGATAGAGTCCTTGGCTTCACTTAGCACTTGTAAAGGTGTGTTTTTTTTCTTGAAATCTCTCTCCCTAAAATCGTAAACATTAACTGAATTATTTTTGGTACAAAAGAGAAGTTTTTCATTGTTACTTAGCTTGATTACATTTACCTTGTCTAAAAAAGTGGGGAAATTTTTCAATTAACAGTAATGGGTTATGGCATATCACTGTGGTTGTGAGGTGTCAAATTCTTATCCCATTTTTTTTTTTTTTTTTTTTTTTTTTTTTCATGATCACTCCTTTGTATGTTCATGCATTATTGCATTTATACATGATCATGCTTTTCTTAGTAACCATTAATGTAAATCCTATTTAAAATTTTGTTAGAGAGGGTATCCCAAAGGTAAATGTGTGCGTCATTTCCTGAGGAAGCACACAAAAGGTTAGGCAAATATGGAGAAATAATCAGGTCAATCAGTGTATATATTCACTCTAATTTGGAGACATATTTTGTGTATATAAGAACCTGCTGAGAAAATTTTCGTATTGTCTCGGAAAAGGGCTATATCGTTTATTCCCTTTTTGTGCACATCTGCAAACAGAAATGAGTTTTAAATCGGTTTCAAAGTTTGTAAAAATGTAAGAGCGTTATTGTGCATGTGCATATACGTATGCGTTGTTGTTCCCTTTTATAAACAGAAATGACACACGTAGAATTCTACCTTTGTATGTGTTTATGTGTAAGTGTGTGTTTACATTCCAGAGACAAATAGTGTTGTCCAAACTTGAACTCACGATATAGTTCTCATCGTTGCTAAATAAAATTTTCGTTATGCACGCTGTATAGTGATGTTGCAAAACGGAAGAAAAAAAAATATATATTTTTTTGAAGAATTTATAGTATATAATCTTGTGGTGGTAATGATTTCTCTCTTGTGCTGCACTGATATGTGGTAAAGGTTCCCACTTTAATGTTCATGGTGGTTTTTAGGAATATATATATTTTTTTTTTTTTTTTTTTCCCCAGACAGGTGAGTAGCAAAATTGTGGATACAGACGTGATAGCTCGATCATAATTGCTCGTGTGGAGATAAGGTATAGATTATGTATGAGTATTTGTACATATGTATATGTAAATTTGTGCATGTAATTTTGTGCATGTAATTTTGTGCACGTAATTTTGTGCACGTAATTTTGTGCATGTACATTTGTGTATGTACATTTGTGTATGTACATTTGTGTATGTACATTTGTTTATACTTATATACAATCTATGCCCTATCAGTGTGAACAATTGTGTAAAAAACAACCTTTATGACCGGAGAGCTTCCCAGCAGCTTTGAAAGTGAGATCAATGTCCATGGTAGGGTTGGGGAAATTGGAGGATGTAATAAATGCTTCTTACGTTTGGCATGGTGAAATGGGATAATTTCGTATTTTTCATTTTTAGGATAACATATGAGGGAAGAAAGGAATTTTAATAGTTCCACATTGGTGAACAGTACATTGTTATGTTGACATTTTACCTGATCAATTGTGTTGTTTTTATGAACAAAAAAAAAAAAAAAAAAAAAAAAAAAAAAAAAAAAAACTTATTGAATAGCTAGAAATAGGTCATTCTATGTTTAGATGAAAAAGTAACTAAATAAAAAGTAACACTTGAAAAAGTTTAGAAAGGGGAGTTATATACAAAAGTTAATGGATACATAAAATATAAGAGCGTGTTTGTAAATATGTGTTGGGGTTCTGCTTTGTCATGTTGGCTTGTCGGATCGCGCGGAGACAAGAGACGACCAGTTTGGTACTCTGCAGCTTTTTTTTTTTTTTTTTGTTACATTTTGTTATGCGGTGCTATATTTTGTTATGATGATGTACTACATTTTGTTATACTGTATTACATTTTGTTATACTGTACTACATTTTGTTATGATGTACTACATTTTGTTATGATGTACTACATTTTGTTATGATGTACTACATTTTGTTATGATGTACTACATTTTGTTATACTGTACTACATTTTGTTATGATGTACTACATTTTGTTGTGTTTTATCTCTTCTGAGGAGCTAGGTTTCAGGCGTTAAAAATATGCAGCGCCCTGAAGAAGGAAGAGACGGTACATTATTTTTCAACATTTTTAAAACACCTTAATTTTTTATCGCTTTTGTTCCTATTCCCCCCCTTTTAATTACGCTGTGAATTTAACTGTGGAAAAACAGAGATTGGATAGGACATCTCAATTGGTTATATTTATTATTGTGCTTAGTGAAGCGATGCACATATATATATATATATATATATATATATGTATACAATCCTTACACACAATTTATGCACCCCAGTTGCAGACAAAATATATGAAACAAAAAGGGAAGATAAAAAAAAAAAAAAAAAATCTTAAATTGGAAAAAACTCTCTTGTATGATTTTTTGTAAACACAATATTGTATTGAATTAAGTTACATTAAGTTACTATTCGTTGGTTTCTCTGTGTTAAAAAATTTTTATAAGAATGTTTTGAACATGCTCCATTAGGCTTAAGCGTGTGCAAAAAATGTATTCACTTGCAGGACTATAATACTACATGTTTCTTTTTTTGTGAAAGGGGAAAAAGCTGATCCGTTCACCTTTGAGCAGTTGTCATATTTGGTTTAGTCGGTATTATTACATTTCATCGTTTCAAGTGGAGCTATACCTGCTCTGTTGCCCTGTTGTTCTTTTTTTTTTTTTTTTCTTTTTATCTTATTTTGTGCTCCTCTGAAGCGGTGTTGCTATCAACGGGTATGCACGTAACTTACATGAACAAGACCTTTTGTGAAAATTTATTTCTGCATAATCATGTCTGTTTGAAGAATGACATGTTCAATTCGATAAAGGTAGGGGGGGGGGGGGGGGAAAGGATTGGAGTTAAATTAATTTTTCTACTTTGTCTGCATGTGTGCATATATATATATATATATATACAGACCGTGCTAGGGAAAGATCTTTGTATACATGTGTCAACGATTGGAAGTTAAGATAATTCATTTCCCTAATTTCTATGAGTATATTTCTCTAAGAAAATTACAATTATCTATGTTCATATTTTCGATAAAAAAATGAGGATATTTTACCTTGACGGATGCCTCACTTTTTTTTTTTTTTTTTTTTTTTTTTTTTTTTTTTGCGTAACTGATCACATGGTGTTACACTTAGTAAGTTTTTCATGCAATTTTTTTTAAAAATCATTAAAGAAAAAGTAATATGTAAATATTTTCATTCCTTGGGAAGGGGAGAAGATAGGAATGGTAACAAAATTTCCTGTTTTTTTTTTTTTTTTTTGTATGGACACATGTATCGGTTAATTTTTTGCACGTATGCCATAAACACATATATGTGTGAATACGCACCTGTATCATTGCCTTTTGTTTGCACTTTTGTTCTTCCCCTCCTTTCCCCAAGTCATAGTACACGTAGAAAAGGTGTGGCACTTGTTGCAGTTTCGTCCACTTCAGTTCATTTCATTTCCCTTCCTTCCACTTTCGCTCAATTCTCCACTGTCTCGCTTCATTTCCATTTTGGTACCTATTTTATTCCCCATTTTTTATCCATATTTTTCTTCGTTTTTTCTTCGTTTTTTCTTCGTTTTTTCTTCGTTTTTTCTTCATTTTTTCCTATTTTTTCCTCATTTTTTCCCCATTTTTTCCCCATTTTTTCCCCATTTTATTTCCCATTTTATTTCCCATTTTATTTCCCATTTTATTTCCCAATTTTGCACCGCCCCACCAAATCCTTTAGACGGTTTTGTTCAACCGAAGTTTGAGATACGGGCGAGGAACTCACTTAGGCCAATTTTTGGCAATAAAAAAGACAGAAAAAAAGGAAAATTAAAAAAGAAAAATTCGTTTCCATTCTGCTTATTTGAAGTGAAAACTCTCCCTTTTTTTTTTCACCCTTTTTTTTTCACCTTTTTTTTTCACCTTTTCCTTTTTCCAATAAGACAGCGCGCACTTTTTCGTTCGTGCGAATAGTCTCATTCTTAGTTGATACATATAAATATATGCAAATATACATACATTAAATACTTTTTTTTCATTACTATGAACACAGTTTGCTCATTTTAGAGTAATATATATAAAAAAAAAAAAAAAAAAAAACTAAATTGGTCGTACGTTTTTACTTGCATACAAATTGGCAACACATTTTTACCTGCATACAGATTAGTAGCACATTTTTACCTGCACATAAATTAGCAGCGCGTTTTTATCTGCACACAAATTAGCAGTGTGTATTTATGTGCTAATTTCAAAATTGGAAAGAAATCCAATTTTTTTAATCTTTGACGTGTCATATGTAGTGTTTGTAGATTTGCAACTTCTGGTCCTACTGTAGCATCATATTACACAAGTCGCATGTTCATGCAATAAAAAAATAAATAAATAAAAAATAAAAAAAACATTGTAGTGCCGATAGGTACCTTGCTTTTGTTTATATATAAAAGAGGAAGAGTTTATCTGTAGAAGGGACAAAAGTAGACTATTCAGTTTAAAAATCCAGAATAAGGAAGAGTTTTTTTTTTTTTTTTTTTTTTTTTTTTGCGAATTGTCTAGTATATCATAGAACAGGTGCTAAAGTTTATCGATAACATAATATATAGCATAAAATATAATGTTCGATATGAACGATCCACCCAGTAACTACAACAAAAGAGAGACAGAATCGTTCAAGAAATCAGATGATAATCTCTCCTCCTATAACAGTAAAGAGAACGTGAATAATTTTGATAAGAGGGGAAATTTCAGTAGTTTCAGTTCAGGAGAGAAAAGCAGCAGGGAAATTTTTAAATTCGACAACGAATTTGGTGATGATGATTATAAGGGCAACAGCAGCAGAAGCAGAAGTAGAAGCAGCAGCAGCAACATAAACAACAACTGCAACAAGAACAGCAACGTAAACAACAATAGCAACAACAATTGCATCATTAATAAGAATAATGACTATCTTGAAGATGCATACAGATTTCACAAAATAAATACAGACAAAGAAGAAGAAAAACCATTCAACATAAATAACTGCGAATTTTTTTTAACAGGGGATGAGATAAGAAGTAGCAACTTAAGCAGTGATTTTAGAAAGGCCAACAATAAGAAATTTTCTAGTAATAAATATAAAATAAAAAAAAACACACACGAAGAAAATATCAGAGAAGAAGGTATATCTTGCACATTGCGAGATTTTACCTCTCTAAAGGATAATACCTTTTACGACAATTCAAGTGTAAACAATTCCCTGAATTTAACAAAAAACGACATTATGTACAATTGCAGGGAGGGAAAGGGGATGATGACAATGATGATGAATAAGAACTTTTCGGAAGACACAGTGAGCAAAACAAATTTGAAATTAAGCATGAGCAATGTGTGTACGAGTGGTGTGGATTCAGATCGAATCCGTGGAGGGAATCATATAAATGTTGCACCTCACACAAGCGGTACTACTCATTTGAGTACTACCACACAGATAAGCGGATCAACACATGCGAGTGGAGGAAGCGGAGGATTTCATGATGATAGCTCGTTCTATAAAACAGGAAAAGTTCGAAGTGATAGGGGGAAAATGCAGAAGAAAGGAAATTTTGGATGTAATTTAAAGAAGGCAACAAGTAGTAAGGGAAACAACTTGAATGAGAATATGTTCTTCAGTGAGATGACAAGGAAATCCCTTGACATTAACGAGAAATGTATTAACAATAATACAAAAATAAAAATAAAACGATTGTGTGAAAAAATTGAAGGATTTGAAAAAGAAATAAAAAATGAAATATTACAAAAGAAAAATGTGGAGAAGGAAAAAATTTATGTTATTAGAGAAGCTATTAACAAATTAGAAAAGAATTTAAATAGTGAAATAAAAAAGCGAATTGAGCACAATAGAAATATTCAAAGTATTTTTTCATCTGAGATATTAAAAGTGCAAGAAAAAATTGAAAATGTTGTAAATGATAAGGTAAGTGAAATCGAAAATGCCATCAAAGTTCTGAACGATAAGATAAACACCATTAGTGATAACATAGAAAATGAAAAAATTAAATGCATTCAAAATTTGGAAAAGAAAAACAGCAGCATTGCTAAAGAATTCTCAAACCTTCAGTCTGCTTTTCAGCGAGAAAAAATAAGTAACAAGGAAAAGGAAAATAACATCTGCAAGAAGCTTGAGGAAATCGAAAAAAAGTCTGAGAGCAAAATTGCCACGGAGAAGGTAAGTTCATGCACTGTCCACTAGTGCTTCTGCATCCCTCTTCATGTTTGTAGCGACACTTGGGGAGGCATGTTAATAGGAGGGGCCTGGTCCGCTTGGTTTTGCATAACTGTGTTAGTGAGAGCTACTGTGTGGGTTGCGATGAATTTGCTGTGAATTGAATGCCGGTTACACCCAACATGTGCATATTTTTTCGTTCCCCTCCCTTTTGCCTTATTAGAATATTCGGGACAGCAAATATCAGGAAATAATATCATACATAGAAGAGATAAAGCGCGAACGGAAAGGCAAAAACGAAAACTTCCAAAACTTTGTGATGGAAGAAATAGCAACCGTAAAAAACGGCTTAATATTAGAATCCCAGGCACGGGAAGCCGCAGATGATGACATTGTACAGGCTGTAAATCACTACACCAAGGCGCTACAAGACTCGTTAAGACTTATCAATTCGAATTAGCAACGGGTCGTTGTCACATCCTGTTGGGGGTAATATTGCATAATTCTGAGCTTTTAACCTGTGGGTTATTTCGCTAAGACAAGATCAAGATGTATATTTGTCCATGTTAGAATACATTTGTTTGCAAATTTTATACTTTATTTTATTTTTTTTTTTTTTTTCATTCGGATTGCAGCAATTTGTTCTCATTCTGTATGAACAGTTCAGATCTTATACTTTATTTTATTTATTTTTTTTTTTCACGCGGATTGCAGCAATTTGTTCTCATTTTGTATGAACAGTTCAGATCTTATGCTTTATTTTATTTTATTTTTTTGCATACGGATTGTAGCAATTTGTTCTCATTTTGTATGAACAGTTCAGATCTTATACTTTATTTTATTTTTTTTCATTCGGATTACATCAATTTGTTCTCATTCTGTATGAACAGTTCAGATTTTATAGTTTTTTTTTTTTTTTTTTTTTTTTCAGTTACACCATACTATTCGATTTTTTTTTGTGTGTGTATGCATTTTTGTTCCTCTTACCGTTTGTACCTTCTTATTTGTCTTGTTTTTATTATATTTTTTAAGGCGAAGGAGCAGTGAGAAGAAATATGGACATACGAGGAATGTCTTCTCCTCCCAGCTCTTATTTATTTTATTTTTTTGTTTTAAATTGAGTAAATACAATAAACGCGTTATATAAAACAAGAAAAAGAAAAACATGTTTTGATTTCTTTAACAATTCTATCATGTATTTGGTTAATGTTCCGAACACATACTCAGGGCATATGTGTTTATATATAAAAGTCTATGCGGTTATAATTTTCATTAAAGAATTGGGGATGGTCTGGTTTATACTATACTATATGTTAAGAGTCCGTTTCACAACAGCTGTGTAAATGAGGCAAACTGTACATTAAAAAAAATTTCCAAAAATGCGTTTCTCATTTCTTTTCTGCCATTTTACTTGTTTGGTGTGTAACTTGATGTAAGTATATATTAACGGTATACTTGGAGACTTACATTGGATTAGCATATCAATTTTTCGAAGCAAGTGGGGTGTTGTCCTTACTATAATGTGTTTTTTTTTTTTTTTTTTTTTTTTTTGGTTATTCATCCTATCCCATTGGGAAAAAATAGTCCTTTCTTTTTTTTTTTTTTCCTCCTTATCTCACATGCTATATTTTTTGGAACACTGTATTTTGTAATTTTTTAAAAGATTTTTTTTTTTTTTTTTTTCCTTGTGGGGTTTTAACATATTTATATGCATACAGATAAACCCCACAAGGAAAAAAAAAAAAAAAAAAATGATAAATGAATAAAAGGAAAAAAACGAGACCTGATCGATACATATATATAGGAAAAATTCAATGCGACAAAGAGGAGAATAATAATTATTATGTACCATATGTACATCTTCCCTACATATGTTCTTCTCCCCCTTCTTAGCGGTTCCACGTTTTCCACTTTTGAGCCGCATGGGTAAGGATATTCTCCTATCCCTTGACGAAAAGGCAAGAAGTGGGATGTGAAAATGAGAACAACGTGAATTTAAATATAATTGAACGGCGCAAAATCGCAAAAAAAAAAAGAAAAAAAAAAAGGAAAAAAAGAAGAAAAAGAACAAACATTGTTCTCTTGATAGAACAGTTTAGTAAATTTCTTTTTTTTTTTTTTTTTTTTTTTTTTCTGTTTTAACTCATTTTATCCCATCTTTACCGATAAAAAATTGGTCTCTTCTATGTGAGAGTAAGCCTAATTTAAAAGCTTCGAAGTTTGCGAGTAAATGAAAAATAAAAAAAAATAATATAAAAATAATATAAAAATAATATAAAAATAATAAAAAATAATAAAAAATAATAAAAAATAATAAAAAATAATAAAAAATAATAAAAAATAATAAAAAATAATAAAAAATAATATAAAAAAAAAGCTTATTATTATATCTCATGTTGCAGCACTGGGAGGGGGGAAGTGCAGAGGAAACTCCAGTTGTGAAGAAGTGAGAAAAAAAAAAAACACTCCCCAAGGGCATTGCTCTCATTATGCATACCTGAACGCATGACTACACAATCTCCATGAATGTAGGGGTCCTTGTTAATATACACATAATGTATTCAAACTTTCTGTGAAAACTTTAGCATATCGAACGACGAATACACTAATGGAAGATCACAAGCAGGGGGGGGAAATAACGTTAAATGGTGATTTGGTCGAAAATGAAAGGAAAGAAAAAAAGAAAAAAGGAAAACTGAAAAATGGAAAAAAGTCCATGATGCGCAAAGTTGTCAAGTTGATAGAAAAGGGAAAAATACCGTCCCTCAAAAAAAAGTTAAAAAAGGTAAAAAAAATGGAAAAAGCGAAAAAGGGGAAAAAAATGGAAAAAGCGAAAAAGGGGAAAAAAATGGAAAAAGCGAAAAAGGGGAAAAAAATGGAAAAAGCGAAAAAGGCGGAAAAAAATAGAAAAAGGGAAAATACAAATTTGAGCAGTGAAGATAATGAGGTTAACAAAATTGATACCAAAATTAAGGATAAGAAAGTTAAGAACTCTAATGAGAAGAAGAAAAAAAAAAAAGATCTAGCTTTCAATAAAAGGATTAGAGTTGATGACCTTTCCAGATTGGACAATGAAGATGATGAACATAGTGAACAGGAGCACGTACTAAAGAAGGGAATTCATTTTAAGAAGACTAAACAAGTGGTTGGGGCAAAAAATGGAAAAAAAGGGGAATCCAAGGAAGTAGATAAAAAGATGAATAAGAAATGGATGAAGAAGTGGACGGAAAAAAAAAAACAAAAAACAAATACGAATGAAATAAAGCAGTGGGGGGGAGAAGTGGATGAGGAAGAGGACGAGGACGAGGACGAGGACGACGACGAAGAAGAATGGCCAACAGATGATTACACGAGTGGCCATATGGAACGTGGGCCCCACTCCTATTTATCTAGTGAATTTATTCCCATGAATGGGGAAAAAAAAAAAAAAAAAAAAAAATTGAAAAAAAAAGTTCTAGATGAAGAGAAATATTTGGATGATATAGAAAACGAGGAGGATGAGAAGAAGAAGAAGAAAAAAAATTTTTCGAAAAATTTCATAAATTTTTTAAAAAACTACAACAATAATGAACAAGAGGGGAGAGAGGAACTAACGAAAGGTGTCAAAAGAATTGGCATAAAGAATGTAGTATCACCACCCTTGCATTCTGAAGAAGTGGAATATGAAGACGATCATTATGAGGATGATATGGATACATATAAATACTTTTCTCAGAAAGACGATGTTTACAAAATTGATAAGCCAGATGAACATGTAGATATATCTGACTTTATATATTCAGGAGAAAAATTTCCAGGAATACAAATAAGTGAAGATATTAAATTGTTGAAGAGGGGGAATGATGAGAAAGGAACACGTAACCATATATCTATCTTGGAGGAAGAGAAAATGAATTCACATTTGAGTTACATTAAAAATGTAGAACTGTTAAATAAAATGAATAAGTCCTTTTTTGTTATACAAAATTCGCAACGCGTACATTTTGGATATGGTGTAAAAAAACGGCACGGTGCTGGAGAGATGTCGAAGGCGTCCGAGTTTATTAACAAGGGAATTCTCAGAAGATACTTCAGGAGAGGTGCAGAAGTGGGAGAAGTGGAAGACGTGGAAGACGTGGAAGATGTGGCTTACGTGGCAGAGGAAGTAGAAGGAAGAGGCGAAGGATGTCTTGAGAGAAAGGGAGATGTCGAAATCACAGCACACGAATTCGAAAAAGAAATGGAGAATAATTTGAGGAAATCTAAAATGTTAATCGTGTCGGATGATGTGTTAAAAACAGAGAAAGAGAAAAAAATGGAAGAATTAAAAAAGATTTCCCAACTTAAAGCACTTTTATTGAAGGAGCATAAAAAAAATAAATACAAAAAAAGAATAAAGTCTAAATCATACCGCAGACACTTACGAATGAAGGAGAAAAAGCAGGAAGAGAAAATTTTAGAAAAAATATACTCTGAACATCCATATTTGGCAAGAAATATAGAAAATTATGAAAAAGAGTATGCAAAGAAAAGAAATTTAATAAACAATGTGAAGAAGAGGAAAGCGGTACGCATGCTAAATCGTTACAAAAATGAGGAATTAAAAAAGCAGATGCTTAGAAGCTTTCAAGCCGATAAGGAGGAAAAAAATATGTTAAAGAGGATTATCGAAAAAGTGGTTGTGCAGAATGTGGAGGACGTAGACCATTCTGGTAGCGACGATTCAATCAGCTTAGATAATGATAGTGCTCCAAATGATGACAGGGGTGATATGAAAAGTAGGAGCGAGGTGGGAGAAACATATGACGAATCTTCGCATAAAAAAAGAAAAGTTCGCAAGGAACTACAAAAGAGAAACCTCTTACGATTTTCCTTTGTGAAAAATGCCGAAGAAAGAAAAAGGGACGAAGAGATATATCAAGAGAGAAAAAAACTGCTTTCTAAGATTGAGCAGAAAGCCGATGAGAACGATGGTGATTCTGTTGTCTGCTCCTCCACAGATGGAATAACGGACGATGCAGAGAAATACCATGACTTAGAAGTGAGAAGCGAACTACACAGATCGAGTAAGAAGGAGGTGTCGAGGGCCAGGGCTCAGCTGGCAAAGGATACAGATTTGGAGAATGCCTTGCGGAAGGGTGGCATTTTGGGAGAAGTAGCCCTGTCGGATGTGGACCCGTCGGAGACGAACCCGTTGGAAAAGAACCGATCAGATGTGGACCCGTCGGAGACGAACCCGTTGGAAAAGAACCGATCAGATGTGGACCCGTCGGAGACGAACCCGTTGGAAAAGAACCGATCAGATGTGGACCCGCAGGAGACGAACCCGTTGGAGAAGAACAAATTAGATGTGGACCCGCTGGAGGTGAACCCATTGGAGGTGGACCCTGCATCTGGGAAAGGACGCAAATGTCAAGTGAAAAACATCTTCGACATAGATGCTATAGATGACGAAGCGGTGCTGCAAAACTGTGGAGAGAAATTAACAGTTTACAATTTTGAGAACAACATTTATGAAGATTACATAAATGTGAATTTAAATGGAGTTAATGTACATAAGGAAGACGAGGAGTTATACGAACTAAGCGATAGCGAAAAAGTAGAACTGGAAAAACTTAACGTAAGGGAATGGTGCAATTATGAAACACTTTTAGAAATGGAAAAAAATAAAATTATAAAGGAAAAAGAAATCATTGAAAAAAAAAAAAAAATACCTATCCATTCTATAAATCTTCTCAACAAAAAGGACAAAAAATTCAACAAATATTACATTGATAAAGTACCATATCCATATGAAAAAAGTCAATATGAAAAGTCATTAAACATAAATCTAAACAAGGAGGTCAATGATCTCTCAGTATATTCGAAACTGATCACTCCACAGATATCAAATAGGATTGGCAATATCATATCTCCGCTAGTTAAGAACCCCTTCGAGATAGCCAATATATTTACTCTGAAACGGGGCAAAAATCGGGCCAAGTTGTGAACTCCCCAAATATATAGCGGTTGGACGGTTCACAGTGAATTGCAAAAAAAAAAGTTATAAACATTTGGTCCTACTCGCGACTGAGTGCGCATAACTTTGGAGTAGAAAAGCACGAACGAGATGTCATTTTCGTTCCAATTTTTGCCCTAATTTTTGCCCTAATTTTTGCCCTAATTTTTGCCCCACTTTTTGCCCTAATTTTTGCCAATTTTTATATCCGAATTTGGAGCATCTTTGTCACTATTTTAGAGAAGCACACTCGGATGGGTAGGTAGAGTGGCCAATTGGTTCCCAAATGCAGGAGTGTGGAGGAAATTTCTCTTATATATACCTCACATGGTGTGGCAGGTAAGGCCATCCCACACGAACGTACACACATGCGTACAGGCACATGATTTGCATACATATGCATATATGAACAGAATCGAGCTAAGCGTTTCTCTCCAAGTTTTGGCGAATTTCCACCGTGTGCTTGTTAAAGTAACGATCGAGCTTTTTGTTATACATTTTGTTTCTTCTGTTAATGTAATTTTTGAATACTTCGCCTTCATGGTTTCTTTTTCGACTGAGTTTACTTCTGGCCATTTCTTGCTTTTTGCAAAATTTAATAACTTTATTTTTGTCATTTTCTGTACATTTCGAATTATCATTAATCAATAAATTTTGACCGTAAAAATTTTCTCCAAATATTTTTTTTTTTTCTTCATAAATTTTTCTATTTATAGAAAGATTGAATTTCATTTTTTTAAAAAATTTGACATCCCGATCAACTTCGCTTACGTCATTTTTGTTGTTTTTATATTTTTTTTTTAATTCACCTTTTGCATGAATAGCACTTGTTGTGTAGATACTTGAGATGTCTTTATTTCCTTCATCACTACTTGGGGGATCATCATCATTCTGTACGCCACTTGTGTTTGCATATGTTGGATGATATTCACTTGACTGAATCTGCTCCTCTACTCTCCTCGCAGATGTATTTGCAATTTTATTATTCTTCTCATACTGATAATTTATGTACTCATCGAATCTGCTTGCAGAGGATGTTCCACGAGAAGAGATAAGCGAATTTTTCATTAGCTGTTCATTCTTTACTTCTATTTCGTTTAGCCCTTTAGATTGGTTAATTTTGAGTTCAATTTCAAGCATCCTTTTTTCTCTGTCTGTCATTTTACGAGAAATATTTTCTTCATAGGAGGATTCTAATTGTTGAGGGTGGATTATTTCTTTCTTCTTTTCCTCCTGGTAAGGATCCTTTTTACAATAGTGTCTTTTTTGTTTGGTGGAGCTTACTTCAGTATTAGCCATGTCTTCTATGGGCACTGTTGATTCTGCTGTACCAAGTGAATCTATGTCTGATAAGATACGATTCAATAGTTCTATCCCTTTTTTTTTTTCTGTATTTTTATTTTTTTTAATTTTATTTTTTTTTTCATCTTTGTTGAAAATTTCCATACGGGCGGTTTTTTTTTTCTTGTGCATTTGTTTTTTCTCATCTCCTTGTTCACTTTCATCATGGTCAGTAGGATCACCCATAATGCTGCCGTCACTTTGAGCATCTGGATCTGGATCTGCATCTAAATCTGCATCTGAATCTGCATCTGGATCTGCACTAGCACTTTTCCCTCCCACGGTTGCGAAGAGGTCGTCTATATATTTTTGTCTAGATGAAAGACGTTCTCGTTTGAAAACAGATTCATGAACTTGTGCGCAATCGGAAATGTAGATGCATATTTTGGGTTCATAATTGTTTGTAACTGGTATAAGTTCTATAGCTCTAAGAATATGCATGTTCTTAACAACTCGTCCGATTACAATATTTTTATCGTTATATTTACTAACCTTATTAAGAGTAATTTTAAAAATGGAAGAATATTTCTTATGTTCAATTTGTACCATGGTAAGAAGCCCTGCATTGAAGTGTCTCCTCTTGGAATACTCTTTGTTATAACTACGACCGAAGATGCATTCAACATTTTCATACTTTTGATAACTATCCGATTGTTCAGTTCTGCTTGCTAGCGATGGTCGTGCATTCCCCTTCTCATCATAAATCACTTTTTTTATTAAGTACCCACTTTTTATGCATTTATTTTTTTTTACTTTTTCGATTATGCAATTTTTGTACGTTAAGGTCTCCCCTGAGTATATGCTGTGGTACTTGTTACCCCTACAGAGGCAGAGGAAATTTTCTACGGAATTTTTCACCTCTGGATCATTGAACAGTTCTATGTATACCTTTCCTAGCACGATGTTATTCATCGACAGTTGGATGTACACGTATTTCTTATTTCCCATCGTGCGGAAGCGGCCACAGAGATGCACTTAGGTAGAAGCAGCTACTGAGAAGTAGTTGCTGAGATGCACTTGGGTAGAAGCAGCTACTGAGATGCAGTTGCTGGTTGGAAATCCTTTCTCGAGCCCCTTATTTTACCATTACTGCTTTTCCAGCTCCAGCTCCTGTTATTGTTATTATTATTTTTTATTATTTTTTAGCTGACCAAACCTGGAGCTGCGCTTTTTTCACATTTGGGGTTAGGTCGCCAATTTGAAGTCGTTGACAGATCTTTTTTTTTTTCTTTTCCTTTTCTCACCCTTTTTCGGTATAAGATATTTTTTTTTTCTCTTTTTTTTTCTCTTTTTTTTTCACTTTTTTTTTCACTTTTTTTTTCTCATCTTGCCCGTTTTGGAGTCACTTTGCGGACCTGTTAATACCCCTACAATATAGTAGTTAAATTTTAAACTGCAAATTGTAAAAAAAGGGGAAAAAAAAAAATATGAGATGGGTATATATCCCCTGTGTGGAGTAGAGAAAAGTAGGTGAATTTTTTTTCTCCTTCAGAAAAGTGGGAAGGTATTATATACATATCTGCCCGATTAGGAAAGTGCTGGGATATGCACAACTCCCCAAGCGGAACAGTGGGACGAACAAAACGAGGAGGAACGAGCCGGAATGAGGCAAAACAAGGCGAAACAAAGCGAAACAAAGCGAAACAAAGCGAAACAAAGCGAAACAAAGCGAAACAAAGCGAAACAAAGCGAAACAAAGCGAAACAAAGCGAAACAAAGCGAAACAAAGCGAAACAAAGCGAAACAAAGCGAAACAAAGCGAAACAAAGCGAAACAAAATAAGTAACTAATTGCAGAATAGGAGGGAACGGGGAAATTATCACGCGGTGAGCCACAAATGTGTTAAAAAAAAAAAAAAAAAAAAAAAAAAAAAAAATTAAATGCCTTACTTTATTTGGTCCATTCATCTTTATGACATGTTTGTGTTACACCTGTTTTGTGAATTTTTTTTTTTTTTTTTTTTTTCTTTCTTGAGCCACGAAAAAGTAGTGTTTTTTTGAAAAAGAAAAAAAAAAAAAAAGTCAGCCCCCCAGGTAAAGTCAAATCAGTAAAGAGACACCGTAGGCAATTCTTGAAGTTTTTTTGTTTGTTATTTTTTTTCACTTTTTTTTTACTTTTTTTGTATTGCTATTTTGTTTTGCTATTTTGCTTTGCTATTTTGCTTTGCTATTTTGCTCTGTATTTCGCGACATGCCCTGGTTTGCCCCTCGCGTGGGAAAAAAAAAAAAGCAGATATATTTTCAAAAAAAGAGCAGCTAAAAGATACCTCAAGGTACGAGTCTGCACACGATCATATTGTTACTCCTTGCAGTTGTTTTTGTAGTTTTTTTTTTTTTTTTTTTTTTATGTGCATTGGCAGGATTTTGTGGGCTGGGTGTTCTGCTGTAAGGAGTTGAGAGTTACATAAAGAGTACATCACAAAAAAAAAAAAAAAAAAAAGTATTGGCGTGTTCTAAAATATACGTAACTATATTTGCATGTTTCAGCACACACAATTATATGTGTATATTTTAGAACATACGTTGGTAGATTGGCCAAAGAGACAGACAGAAGGACGCTACCTCAGGGATGGTTTACAAGAAAAGGTATGAATATTCTCCATTAGAAGAAATATTTTTTCCCAAGAGAATTGCCAATACACAATATTATAACGATGAGGAGTTGTTGTTTTCAAACAAAAAGAATGAGAGGAAAGATATTGGCAACAGATCAATTAAGACTAAAGGAAAAAGAGGAAAGAATGTACAGGAGAATATTAATAATATAAAAGATGACTTGCTGAGAACCAATATTTCATTGGAGCTATGTGTTCGAAAAAAAAATTATTACCTGAACACCAGAAACTCGAATCATGTACAAAATTATTTCTTCTTCTATGATTATCGCAAATGTTTTCACAATATGGATGGGAAGTTATTCATTGATAGGAACCCAGTCCAGATAAAGAGTAACCACAGCAATCATCGCTCTCCACCAACACATTCCTTTTGCTTTGATACATCCTTTGTCTTGAGACCAATCTTTCCACGCGACATACCTTTACTTCGTTCTTCGATGCCACGTCTGTTTCGTCATATCTGTTTCCTATCTATCTGTCTGTCTATCTGTCTGTCTATCTATCTATCTGCCTCCTATATATCTGTCTCCTATATATCTGTCTCCTATCTATCTGCCTCCTAAATATCTGTCTCCTATATATCTGTCTCCTATCTATCTATCTATCTATCTATCTATTTTTTTTTTTTTTTCCCCATTCCTTGCAGGCGACCGGACGAAGCGAGATGAGAGACTAAACCAAGTCATTCCAATTCAGAACTACAACACGTTTATGCATGCCTACAATATATAGAGAGAAGAAAAAGGACACAGTTGGTTTGGCCACCATGGATGGCTAATCATGTGTGTCTTCATGCGGTAACTTTATCTGTATGTACTTCATCAGCAGGATTTTTTTTCATAGTACGTTTTTAACTCACATTTTTGATTTTGCATGTAGTGATGCTACTGTACACGCTCCTGTGCTGGCACCCCTCTCTTGGGGTCCTTGAACGGCTGAACCCAGAGAGTGATCGGGGCAACAAACAGACGAACTGAATCCATAACGTGTATAGAAGCAGATTCATGGGAAAACACATTCATAAATCGAATTAAGGTGTTTGCTTTTTTGTTCCCTTTTTGTGTCTTTTTTGTTTCCTTTTTGTTTTTTTTTTTTTTTTTTTTTTTTTTCCTTTTTGTTTGTTTTTTTTTTTTTTTTTTTTTTTCTTGAGTTAGGCAGAAGCACACATATGCGCTTGTTTTTGTGGGGTTAGAAGTCAAAAAAGGCAAAAAAAATTTCAAAATTAAGCATGTCTAAAAAAAAAAGTAATATATAAATTTATCCGTTAGTGATAAGAATCTGAGAGACTAAATCTAAGTACTCCTCCGGTTAAATAAACAGAGAAGCCATGTTGTATATGAGCACATAGATATTTTTTTTTTTTTTTTTTTTTTTTTTTTTTTTTTTTTTTTTTTTTTTTTTTTTTTTTTTGTTTCCTTTTTGTTTGTTTTTTTTTTTTTTTTTTTTTTACATGAGTTAGGCAGAAGCACACATATGCGCTTGCTTTGATGGGGTTAGAAGTCAAAATAGGCAAAAAAAATTAAAAAAATTTCATAAGTACACGGAATTGGAATATACATATGGTGAATTTCACAGTTTCACGACACATTGTGTAGGTTCTTTTTTTTTTTTTTTATTTTTATGCTTTCTCTCTTGGTGATGATAGGAAGAGATGTAACTGACACAGACAATAAGTTTTATCTTTTTAAATTCTTCTTTTTCATTTATTCTAATGTAATATAAATTCTCGCGTGATCTATTCGTCACCTATCATGGCAATTAAATGGGACAAACTCAGGGAGTGGAAAAAAGTGGAAAAGTAGGGAAGTAGTTTCGTTGGTTTATAAGCTCACGGATAGATGCACAAGTGGATCCCTTCTTGTTGTTGCTGATCCACGGAGAGGAAGAAAGGAGGGGAGGGGAAAGACCCCTACTCATTCGGAGGTCGCTTCTCATTTATGCTGTCTATTTGCTTGACCTTAGTAAACTTCTCAAGTTCATTTTCCAACCCCTCTTTTCCCTGGAGGAGAAGACCCACGGGAATTCTATAACCAGGGCTACAACCCTTAAGTTGAACAATCAATTCATTTTCTTTTCTGAGAGTTCTGAAAACACGCATGAGTCTTCCAATTGATTGAACCTTTTTCCTGAGTGCATCTGATCTGTCTTTAGATGCTTGTTCATCATTGGTATCGAGAAGATTCTGAGTTTGTCTACTTTGGTTATTATCCGATTTTGGTACATCATTTGTAAGTGTACTATGTGGTGTTGCTTGATTCATTTCTTTGTTTGTGTCGTTAGTAAAGGAAACATCTCTGAAGGATCCATCTGTGAGAAGAGCCTCTCTCGTAGGTGAAGAAAATGGTTCAAGATTGTTATCATCCACAGATGTATTCTTCAAATTAAATTCTTCCAATTTTTTATTATTTTCTTCAATGTAATCAAGTATCTGTAAGACCTCTCCTGGTAGAACAATGTCTTTAACTCCCTCATCGGATTCATTTATACTCGAACTAAGAATTGAATATAACATTTCTGTAACTTTTTCACTTACAAATGGTACTGACCAGGTAAATAAGTTCATGAAATTTGGGAGATGATATGGATGTGGAGAAAAATTAAACTGTTGAATGTTTAACGTGTTACTATCGAATTTTAGAACAGCACCTTTGTTATTATAAACATCACAATAGTTTGGTGCAGAAAATATAGTTATAACAATTGGAAATCCTGTTTTTAAATTTGTCTGATGCATTTTGTATCCTTCTAATTGTGCTTCATGTGCACGTATAATAGATAAAAGTCCATTTTTTTCTAAAAATGTAGTTGCTGCATTGTATCCAAAAAAATAGCTGCATCCACGTACATCATTTGGAAAATATGATTCTGTTTGTATTGTGTGTTCTTCTTTATCTTCATCTATGGGATCAGACCATAGAATATCACAAAATATACCTGTTCTTGGAGGTTCTTGAAAACGAGTGAATGAACATATCTGATTTAGAAGTACTAGCTGAGGAGATAACCCACCATGAACAGCTAAAAATTTTCCATTTATGACAGCTGATAATGGAATTGTATCAAATGATTCCATAAATGCATAATAAACAACCATATCATATTTATATTCACATTCATCACGGAAATTAAAAAAAGATGTCATTTGTCTACACTCATGATTTCCACGTATGAGCCATATTTTTTTTGGAAAATTTATTTTCAATGCGTAGAGAAGTAGCAATACTTCTATGCTGAAGGAACCTCTATCTACATAATCACCTAAAAATAAAAACTGTGTTGTATCTGGATTTCCTCCTATCTCTAACAACTTTAGCAAATCATAATATTGCCCGTGTATATCCCCCACGATTGTTATAGGATCTTGTAATCTCAAAAGATTAGGTTCATTGCTGACAATATCAATTACTTTTTTTATTATATCTAGACAGTCTTCTTTCCTGATCCTCCCTTCTTTTCTCAGGTGATCCCGTAGTGCCTTGTAGTCTGGGGGCTCGTCCGTCCCGTTCGGGTACAGGATCTCTATGCTGAGTGGCTGCAGTGAAGATGCAGTGAAGATGCAGTGTAGATGCAGTGAAGATGCAGTGTAGATGCAGTGTAGATGCAGTGTAGATGCAGTGGGTAAAGGTGCAATGGTTGATGAGGCAGTGAATGGATGGAATCTACAAGACACGTCGCAAATGTGAGCATAAAGGGGAGTGAGGGAAAGGCGAAAAGTAACGACACAATGAGTATCCCCTTTATGCAGCTAGCCAAATAGGAACCCCCGTCACACCACCACCACCACCACCACCCTTTGTCTATCCACAGGGACACTGTAATTTGTGGGGCCAAACAATGCGCTGCAGCCAAGTGAACATATTCATTTTGACATCATTATTATTTCACTCTATTATTTTTACTTTATTTAATTTTATTTTATTATTTTATGTTATTTATATATATATATATATATATATATATATATATATATATTTTTTTTTTTTTTTTTTCTTTTCTTCTCTTTTGCCTTCTCGCCCACCGTATGCATTACAATCCTTTTCACTGTAAACAAGTGCAGAGTACCAAGTACGCATTTCACTTTAGTGAAAAAGAAAAAAAATCCACACACATGTATGCACATATGTATAGATATAGATAGGCACAGACACAGATGCAGATGCATATGTATATTCCTTATTATAATAGCCATTCAATACACACAATTTCCTTCTACCATAGCATCTCTCGCACATCACTACAAATTAAAATATTTTCCTATCCTCTACCGGATAGGGGATATATATATATATATATATATATATATTTGCAAAATTGCTAGAGGGAGAGGCAAGATCTGCTTTTATGGGATCTACATCTAGGAAATTTTTTGTTTGGCTATCTAACTGGTTATCTCAATTTTGTCTATTCACACATAGAACAAGAAACATTTGCATCAATTTCAGGTGTATTCATTTACCACAAAAAAATGTTTACTATTAAAATGTACAATTCAGTTAACATGTATGATCTTTCATCTGTTGATTTTTTTCTAAAGTATATCCCCACGGGTCATGGGTAGTACATGAGAGAGGAGGGAGAATTCAACTTTTGTTAGTCCTTCGCTTCAAGGTAGCACAAGTGTTTCCATCTGCCTAGTGATTCTACTTTTGTGTTTATTTGTTCATACGCCCGTGCACAATATGGAACTCTAAATGGAATTCTAAATGGAATGCTGAATGGAATGCTGAATGGAATGCTGAATGGAATGCTGAATGGAATGCTGAATGGAATTCTAAATGGAATGCTGAATGGAATAATGAATGAAATTCTGAATGGACGTCTTTCCCCTTATACATCTCCGCTTCCCCCTCATCCATAGTGTAGAATCGTCACAAGAGAAACACACCCTTCCCAACAAAGAGATGCATAACATAACATGTGCATATATTTGTATACTTTATCCTTTATGTTCAAATTGTGTAGAATTTCTCCCATTATTACGTTCAATACATTTTTACCGTTTCTTCTTTATAGTTGTCTTCGTCTTTTTCTCCTTCTTCTCCCTCCCATATTCTACTAGCTGAACCCATAATGGAACGTCTTCTTGAATTTACCATACATGGAACGATCATTAAAATTTTTCGCAAAATGAAAAACAAGGTTACTGCTTTTTGCATGACATGGAAAAATGTTGCAAAAATTGTTCACTCACATTCAAGTACTCCTTTTTTTTTTTTTTTTTTTTTTTTTTTTTTTTTCCTCCCTCTGCGGTGGCAAATATGGCTAGCTCCATTCATTTGTCCCCAATAAATAGTGCAGTATCCGATGGAATAATTTCGCACGCTCTCCTTCAGCAAATTGAAGCAACAAAATGATGCAACAAAATGATGCAACAAAATGATGCAACAAAATGATGCAGCAAAATGATGCAGCAAAATGATGCAACAAAATGAGATGACCATTATGAACATGTCCCATTATACAACTAGCACCTGCTTTCGAACGTTAGCACTCATTGAGGAATATTCCATCGCATGAAAATCGTGAAGACATATGCATACATGAATCATGGATGGTCGAGAGTGTGCACACTTGTGTATTCCACTACAGTTGAAGAGATAACAGATCGTGTGCCCATCATTGTTTACCTTAGCTGGTGGGGGTTCTACATCCTTCACTTGTCTATCATTTTTAGGATTCGGTAAGGGCTCCATTTTTTAAGAAAATTTCAGATTTTTCTTCTTCTTTATTTTTTATTTTATTTTATTTTTTTATTTTTTCTTGTTTATGTTACTTTTCCTTCTCTTTTTCTTTCTTCTTCAGTTTTTCAGGGATTATTGCTGTCTGTCCTTGTTGTGTTTTCAGTTTCAGTTTTTGAAGTACATTAATTAGTGTATTTATAGTCATGTGAAAAACAAATCATAGTATAGTAGAGAAGATGAGCAAAGGAAGAGTAAGAAAAATGGAAGAATAATGGAAGAGGAATGGAAGAGGAAAAAGGGACGAATCGAAAGTAAGACACCAGGAGGGTATTTAAGACTACTAAACAAATGGGGGCTGTGGGGAAGAACGAAATGTTGAATTAACAAAGATAGAAATAAGATCTTAATTCATATGTGACAAATGGATCCATTAAAAATGTATGTTTAACTTTTTTTTTTTTTTTTTTTTTTTTTTTTTTGTTGCTTTTGTGGTGTGTAAAGATGGAGTTCTGCTCTGTTTCTTTTGGGTTATTTTTTTCTACTTTCGCTGTAATTGCTATGTTTGCTATTTTTTTTCTGATTTTTTTCTTATTTTTTTCTGATTTTTTTCTGATTTTTTTCCGATTTTTTTCCGATTTTTTTCCGATTTTTTTCCGATTTTTTTCCGATTTGTTCCCTTTTTTGCTTCTTTTTTTTTTCATTTCTTCACCATTTCGAAATCCTGATTGAATGAGATGAATCCATGGGGGAAGGGTTCTCACTGTGAGTTGAACCAAAGGGACTTCAATAAATTAAAGAGGATGGGAAGTGTGTATGGAGGTGGGCGTGTGAGTGTAAAAGGGAAAGCGTTCTGTACCAATGTGAGTACATGGGTAGAGGGGGAAAAGGGAGAAGCGGGCATGGATTTCCAAATGAACATTCGTGCCTAGGGGTGTGCAAGGCATGTGCATAAATATTCGCGTAAATGTTTGTACACAAATATGAATACGGGTTTCTGTATGGGTTGGGTATGTTTTGGCATGCTGAGGCATGTGTTCCTGCATGTTTCTGTATGTTTCTTATGTTTCTGTATATTTATGTATGTTTCTTATGATTTTGTATATTTCTGTACGTTTCTGTATGTTCATATATGTTTGCGCGCACTTGCACATTTGCACATTTTTGCGTGTGTTTACATCTATACACTCTGACATACCCACCCTTTGTAGTAACATGATGCACATTCTGGAAAGCGTGGCGAGGGGAAGCGATGGGTCACACACTCCCTCGCATCAGAAACATGTTGGATTCCTGTGAAGAATTCTCTCTGTGTGTGCAGTTGTGTTTGTCTGTATAAATATATATATATATATATATATATATATATATATATATTGAGGTGGTTTCAGGTGATTGGAATCTTTTCACTCATGTTAAGAGGTGGAACATACGTGCACATGTAAAACCTTGTAATGGACTTAAGCGAATTCGTGGAGGAAGGGGGAAAACTTTCAGGAATGAATTGGAAATATCAACACAGAAAGAATGTTGGCTCCTTAATTTTTTTGTAAAGTATTTTACTGGGCACTTAAAGAAGAAGTATCACGTGTGAACACACTTTCCATTTGATTGTGAAAAAATCCAAAAAAAAAAAAAAAAAAAAAAAAAAAAACAGGTTTATTAAAATGCTTTGAAGCAATGGAAATGATTTTCCAAATGATACCCTGGGAATTTATTTTTTATTTTTTTGGAAATTTTTTGGAAAATTTTCAAGTCGCGTAAATGTTAATGAGAATGTGAGGGTGGTGGCAAAACGGCATGTGATTGTATTACATCGTGTGATTGTGAAACCTGAAAAAGGGAACTCAAATCCAAAGTGTGATGAACGAAATAGAACGTGGAAAAGCTACCTCCTCTTCTGCAACACACGCATGTACTTGTATGTGTGTAAACATATGGAAAGATTCACCCTATGATGTTGCCCATTCAGATAAAAGATTGCTTAATGAGACAATGTATGAGGAAAAGGTTGCATTTCTGCACTACTTTCTCTTTATTACTTCCTCCTCATTATTTTACTTATTTGTGTCTGCTTAGTTCTCTATTTTGTTCTCTATTTTTTTGTATTAAAAAGGCTGGGAGGTGGAAGGAAAATTGTTGCGAGGCATGCAGTGCTACATGCAAAGGTATCCAAATAGGAGAGTTTGTATATATGTGATGTGAGTGCACATGTGTTAAATAATTTCAGATGAGAAATTACGCGATATAATAACATTTGATCGTGAATATAAATATGTGCATGTGAAAAGCACACACATATCTGCCAACACTATATCATGCATAAAATTGTATCATGAAATGGAAATAGGAAGAAAAGACCTTTCTCTTGCACGCATCACTTGTTTCGTGAACATGATACGTTGAACTATTCTCAGTAAAAGAATCTCGAAAAGGAAAAATAAAACAAGCAAATAGACAGGTAAATAAATGGATAACTAGATAGATAACTAGATAGATAACTAGATAGATAACTAAATAGATAAATAAATAGATAAATAAATAGACAAATAAATAGATAGATAAATAAATAGATAGATAAATAAATGGATAAAACACCCCTTCCCCCCCATTTTATATTAAAAAAAGAAAAAAATTCAAAAAGAATTCAAAAAATTTACAATGTCTAACATAGGATTAAGTGGAAAGGCAAGAATACAAATTTTGTAGATCATTTCCATCTGTCCAATTTTTTTTTTTTTTTTCTCATTTTGGAGAAAAGTAGAACACATGTATACTGCTTCGTGTAATCATAGGGATAATAAAAAGCGTGCTACCTACCGCTACGCACCAAACGAATACATGCGTACAATGCATGCGTATATACATATAGCAGTTCCTGTTGTGGAAATTAACAACAGCACACACATATATTTGAACCGAAAAATGTGTAAACAGAATGAATACACTGTCTTGCAAGACGTACAAGCATACCCATATGTATATACATATATATACATATGGGTATGGCCCCTTCACACAATTCTTTGTGCAGTGAACGATGCGTAAGAAGCAGCTAAATGCTCATGCACATACTCTTTATTTTTGTTAGATTCTTTTCTAGGTCTCGAATCAATCGAACTGCATCGGGGTCCCGAAGAAAGGAAAAAAACTGAAAAATGGGGATGGATGAACCGAAAAGGGGGATAAAAAAAAAAAAAAAAATATATATATATATATATATATATATATATATATATAGTAACTCTATGTTTGTGTGAGGGGTAGAAAGCATTTCAAACAAATTGATGTATGTATCACTTGTGAATCCTTTTTCTTTCTTCTTTCTTTTTTACCCCATGTTCAAGAGAACTTAAGCGGATACTACCAACCTCGTGAATACAACTCTGACTTGACACAGTTCTACAAAAATGAGTAAAGGAATACACACATTTTTCTAATTCACTTAAATGAGAAAAGAATAAATCTATGCTCTTCCTCCCTTTTATTGGAATTTCATTGTTCATCATAGTATGATATTCCTCCCTTTGAAATTCCACATTCTTAGGCTCAATTTGGCCAAAATATGTTTTCTGTTTTTGCTTCGATTCAGCATTTTCGACATATCGAACGGTGAAATCTTTGTTGCATAGGGAATTGAAGGCTTTATCTGCAATTTGTTTTTTCAGCTAAAAAGGGGTGGGGGTGGGAGGAGGAGGAGGAGGTTCGAAGTGTATTCAAAAATGCCACAAGGTGATGAGGTCGTGCATTATTTGGGAAGTGTATTAATAGAGCAGTAGTAGTAGGCACGACACCAATACAAACATAGATTAACCACTCTGAAAGTACATGTGTGAATGGAAATTCATTTGGGATGAATTTAATGAGATCCCTCAACCTCCAACCATCCCCTGGAAGCACTGACCATACCTCGTAAATATGTTGAAATAACATGTGTCTCTCCGATTGATATGAAGCAACAGAGTGGTTAATTTTAATTTGGAACTCTAGCATTAGATTCATCTTTTTCAGAATTTCTTCGAGACATAGAAAATTCGTCTTCTTATGTTCTAGTGTGTTTTTGTGTGTATCGATAATCAGTTCCTTGGAAAATGAATCGAAATGTATTTTTTTTTTTTTTTTTTTTTTTTTTTTTTTTCAGTGATATCATCAGGTTTGATGAATGGAAACTGTAGGTATGGCTTAGCATATAAGAATGTAAATTATCACCTGTATAAATCCTCCTTTGTCAACCATTCGGATTTCCTCAAAACTTTGTTTTGACATGGCAGTATTTTTTAATGTTGCATAATTGTGATACGTTTTTCCTATCGATTGTTCTTTAACATTTTCTTCATTTTTGTCACTTTCATCCATGCCGTTCCCATTTTGATAATCCTCTTCATTATTCTGATTTTTCATATGATCAAGTGATCCCATGTAATTTTTTTTTATAATTCGAAAATTGAACTCGCTCAACTTTTCCCCGGAGTAGACATAGTTTTTTTGTTCTACAAATGAATAAATGCACAAGGAGGGAAGAAAAAACAAAAAAAAATTCCAAAAAGTGCAATCGTGAAATTGTGCAAATGTGGAATGTTGAGAAAATAGAAAAAACTGAACAATGCAATTCAAACGGGACAAACGCTTAACCAGTTCGGTTGTCCAGCTTAAGGATGCTGTCATAGATTTCCGAGTTTATTTTCGGAGATTCCGAGAAGGTAGGTAAATCGGTGAGTATATTACTTTCCATTTCATGAAGCTCCAATTTGACTTCACCATTTTGCCTGAACAAGTTATATTCACCTGACTTGTTCATACAGGAATTGGTTTTTTTTTTAATAATTTTTTTTTTTTTTTTCATTAGTCATGTAAATATATTAAAAAAAAAAAAAAAAAAAAAAAATGCAATTTTTGAATGAACTGTTCATGTAAAAATGTGTACTTATAGTCAAGCGTGTATGTGATGGCGACTTTATAATGTGGCTTTGTTGATTGTTCTTAAATGGACTTGTGCGAATCCACAACACGTTTAAGAAGTTCATAAAAAAGGTGTTCGTGCATGTATTCACAAATATGTGTACATACATACATGCATACATGTGTATGTAGACATATTTCGTGATAGTTGATTTGGGAGAACGCTGGGATCCAGCAAAAAAAAAAAAAAAACAACGAAAAAGATAGACAAATGGAAAAAAAAAAAGAAAATTAAATAATAAGTAGGAAGTAATAAAAAATGATATGATGTGATATAATAAAAAATAATAAAAAACAAAGCTGATATATATTTTAAAAAAAAAAAAAATTAAAACCAAAGTGGAGCTATTATCCACAACTGAACAAATAATAAGTAACTTTTGCCTACTCGTCTATATATTTTTTGTAAATTTTTTTGATGTATTGCTTTTCTTCACTCTCGAGCAAGTCATTCAGCACCTGCGGGGGGAGTAAAAGGGGGGGGTGGAGTGGATAACGAGAAATAAAGTAAAAAATATAACACACACTGGTATGCACACACACTGGTATGCACACACACGGGTATGTACACACAGAGGGGCGTTTACAAGTGGAGTAATAAAAAAAACTTCTTATGGGTAATCACTTCAGCAGAATGTCAACACCATACGTATTTGTCACACGTTCAGGAAAATGAGGAAAGTAGAAAGGGCCAATCATTTTTCACAAACGATGTTGCTAATTTTAGGTTGTTTTTTTTCCCTTTTTAATTTTTTTTTTTTTTTTTTTTTTTTTTTTTTCCCCTTATATTTGCTACCTTTTTGAGCGAAAAATTCTTTATACAAAAAAATATCGAGTCATCTGGCACCGCTGAATTTTTGCTGAATACAGAACTATGTTTGTACCTCCTCTCATTGACATCACTAATTTGGTTATATATGTGTCTATACACAAAATTGATGTTGTGAATGGAATTTATATTATCTTTTGGAACTTGATCCGTTTTGTTCTCCTCACACACAAGGAACACATCCTTCTTGAGCAATTCTTTAGTGATTTTCTTCAACTCGGATCGAGAAATATATCTCGGGTATATACACTCCATTTTTTTTATGTTAAAATTTTGCTTGAAGAAGGAGCATAACTTTGCCAGCAGCAGTTCCTCTTGGTTGAGGCTGTCGATGAGTGACATACAATGGGCAGTCTGTCGAGGGGTGAAGATGTGGCATGCATGTTTTGAAGTTTGCAAGTGTGGTAAGTGCCCACGGAGTGCGTCTTTTATGTTTGTTTCATACAGGTGCACAGACAGGTTGTGCGTGTTCAAGCATGTTCCAGCATGTTCAAGCATGTTCCAGCATGTCCAAGCATGTCCGTGTAACTGTGTTATCTTACCAATCGAGGTACCAGGGGAGCCGAGTTTAAGTCGCGCTCTATTTTTATCCCGTATCTGAACCGTTTCTGGCCATTTTTTATCATTGCATCTTTCTGGTCTGAATGAGAACTGGTGAAAGAGGCAATTTTGTTAAAATTTGGGGGCTCATCATGATTGCTGTTCCTCCCTTGTTGTTCACTCTCATATTCATTGGAAAACTGAAAATGCAAAAGTCCTTTCTGCTGTGTAATTATTTGCTTTGTTATGTCGTTGATGTATGTATATGAAGTGGAATTCTGTTCATTAGTCGATCCTGTGTACGTGGTACTACAACTACAGCCACTTGTATGAATATGACCATCGCTGCTAGCACTGTCACCACTGCCACCACTTCCACCATTGAGGTTGACATGAGAAGGTGAGGGGGAGACCGCTTCACGAATCTGTGTGGTGATCAAGTGATTGGATGAGAAGGAAGCGTTGGAGGAAGATCGTTTTTTTATTTTTTGTGAATTCTGTTCCATTTTGGTACTTGTAAAATTTGAGGCATGGTATGAATCCTGTTTTTTATGAATTGATTTAATCGATTCAGGTTCATATGGATATTTATACATTTTCATATACTTATTTTTTAGTAGATAAAATAAAGTATACTGAACAAATTTTGGAATCCCGAAACATGTCTTATTTAAGTAATCAATTAATTCATTATTCAATTCTTCTTTTTTAACCCTTAAGCATAATGTGACAAATTCATATAATTGTTCTTTATTTAAATGTTCAAGTTTTATACACCCATTACATTGCTGTGCATATCTTTTTATTTTTTTGATATCTCTAGATTCATTAGTTTTATTTTTCACTCCATTCACAAATAGAAAAATTAGTGGTTTTTGTTTTCCAATAAACGTAGGGTTACAAAGTGGTGATTTCTTACACTGCATGGAATGAGTTTTTTTATTACTGAGAAGATTATTTTCTCTAATTTGACTATTATTTGTGTTATAACTTAATTCGCTGTTTTCACATGTGGCTAGTTCATCATCCTTTGTGTTTCCTTCTAATTGTCCTTTCATCTTTTGTTGAGCCATGTACAATAATATGCTGTCATTTATATTTGGATACAAGGTTTTAAATAATTTCTGCTTGGTTTTGTATGATTGTTTGGATTTTTCCTCCCGAAATAACTGAGCTATGTTAATGTCATCCCATTTATTTCCTGAATTGTTCATAAAACGCTCTCTTTTTTCGCCTTCTTTTTTTCCCTCGTTTTTGTATTCTTCTGGAAGGGGTTCCCCGTCTTGGTTATGCTTGTTCAGACCCTTTTCATTATTAAGTGACGAATCTGCTTTGTCTGATTCCTCACAAGTTAGCTTTTCCCTTCTATTCCAACTCGAATAATTATTAGATTCGAGATGATACTGTCCATTTGAAGAATTTTCCTGCTTCATACAATTCTCCCGTTTGATGAGATTCGCATCTGTACCATGTTCATGCGTATTTTTTTCAGAATATTTGTCTCCTTCAGCACATTCTTTATGCTTCGCTGAAGTGGATGAATCCTTTGGATAACTTGAAAGTATGTGATTATTATTTGGAATGTGGAAAATTCCTTTGCAATAATTGCACCCTCTGCTGTGATGTCTCCTCCAGTGTTTTATCCTGTTTTGCATACTTTTCAAAATTTTGTTCCTTTTATACATAGCCAATTTTGCAATGGTTTTGCACACATCCCATGCAGTTTCATCATTTTTTATGTTTAATGATGTCCCGGTTCTATAGTTGAAAACAATGAATGTATACTCGTGTAGAGTGAAGTAATAAATCATGGAATTTATTATTCCAATTCGATTCTCTTTCCAATCGGTTTTAAATTTTGGCTGTTCCTCAACACGTCCATCAGACGATCCTTCAAGTGGTTTCACAGTTAACTCTCCAATCGTCCCTTTAAATACTTTCTCGGTTCCCTCTCCTATGGCATATCCATCCGATTGTGCACTTATTTCTGTTCTGTTATGACTCCTAGCTAGATCCTGAGTCTCGCGTCGATGCCACCTTCCCCCAGTGTGGCTGTTGAATAAGTAGCTTATTGTGGTTAAAACTTGTTTGCACAAATTGTTGTTGCTGTTCTTCTTCTTCTTCTTTTTCTTCCTATTCTCCTTTTTCCCATTGCTGTGGTTTCTTTTTTTTCTCTTTCCATTTTCTCGCTCATTGGATTTGTTCGTATCCAAGGAGTCCACACTAGAAATGTGGCTATCACTGTGACTGCTTCTGCCGCTGCTTCTGTCACTGCTTCTGTCACTGCTTCTGTCACTGCTTCTGCTACTGCTTCTGTCACTGCTTCTGCTACTGCTTCTGTCACTGCTTCTGCCACTGCTTCTGCCACTGCAGGTTCCCCTCCCGACACTGTCGTGCTGTTTGTTTTTTTTAATTTTGTTTTTTCCATTGCTACTCATTTTTCCCGTGTACCGTTCTCGCGAAAGGGTATCTGCACATTGTGGTTCGTCGGTAGGATCGCCTGTGCCAGCATCTGTATCTTTGTCTGTATGTGAATGTTGGGAGAATAAGAATCCCTTTTTAGTACTTTTCTCGTTCCTCACCTGGACACTGTTCGTCTGAGAGTACACATTTGCATAAATTTTTTTCTCACCTTTTAGACTCATATGAGGTATATTCAAATCGTCCACAATGCTAGACATGCACTTGAAAAACCAGTGATAAGATGGGTGTGTTATTTCTCTGAGGACATTATAATTGTCATTTTTTCGAATGAATATATTTTCTTTTCTCATATTACAGACTTTCCACATGTGCAGCATATCATTGCATAACATTTTCCATGGAAGTAATGAATTGGTAATATTGATGTATAGAGAATCTGGCATATTACTAACTTTGAATATTTTGAAATTCTTCAATCTCTTCGAAATTAGTGTAATCATTTCGAATACACCAATGTTTTCATTTCCCTCTAGGAATAAGACACCTCCAATGTTATACATTTGAGAAAAATCTAAATACAAGGGATCATAATATTCATGTAGAAGTAGTGGGCCCGTATGTGAGTTATAATCAACACATGTTGCAGATTTTACTTTGCTATTGAGGGAATGTCCATAAATGGCTTCCCACGGAGGAGAGTTAGGTTGGGAATGCATCTGATGGGAAGTTTCCCAATTTTTTTTTTCCCTCCAAATTTGCTGATTTAGATGAGGAGTATCTATTTCTTCACTTTCTCTTAAGTAGTAGAGACAGTCCTTCCTTCCAAGAAGTTGGTTTATTTTTCTTCTGAATGTTTTTTCATAGTATCTAATTAGATAATTTTTGTTTAAAAAGGAGAAATCCGTGACTTCCTCGTAGGGGCAACTCTCCTTTGTGTCGGGTGTACCGATACTAGCGATACTAGCGATACTAGCGGTGTTAGCAGTATTAGCAGTATTAGCAGTATTAGCGGTGTTAGCGATACTAGCTGTTTTAGCAGTACTAGCTGTTTTAGCTGTGTTAGCGGTACTAGCGCTTCCATTCGTACTAGTGATCCCGTTATGGCTAGCACTTCCATTGGCTGCAGCGCTTTCATCCACACCCTCTTGTAACTCGTTATCAGTGAAGTAGTCATCCGATGTGTCATAGTCGTAGGAAAGCTGGGTATGTCTTTTATTAATGGTTCCTATAGGGGAATATATTTTGATAAGTTTGTTTTTTCCTTTAACCTTAATAGAAATAAGCTTTTGAAATGAGATGGAATGCTTGCAGCTGTTAAATGTGTTTTCATCTACGTATATTTCCTTATTCCCAGCTTTACAGCAGAGTCTAGCAGCAACATTGACCGCATCCCCAAGGGCTGTGTATTCCTTTCTGATTTTATTTCCAATTATTCCACACCAAATTCTACCGGTGGAAATTCCTATACTACCATTTAATTTTAGAGATTTCAATGCATCTATAAGCCGAAAGCAAGTTAAAAGTGCCCTTACAGAATCATCACAGTGGAACAAGGGTGGTAATCCAAACATAATAAGAATTAATATCCCTTTATCATCAAATATGAATTTATTTATTGTACCTTCCATGGTAAACACAGCTTTTTGTGTTAACTTCATTATTCCATGAGCTGAATATATACCTATCATTGTAGATGTATCGATGTCTTTTACAGAAACGAATATTATGGTGACTTTTCTTATTTCATTAAAAAATATGTTACACCCTATTGACATTTTTCTGTATACAATATCTGGAACAAAGCTTTTTAGAAGGAAGTAAAAATGTTCAAGCCTCAAATTTGCCTCGTTCAGCGATCCGCATCTGTTTTGTAGTTCATTTCTCCTGCTTTGCAGTTCACTTCTCCTGCTTTGCAGTTCACTTCTCCCGTTTTGCTGTTCACTTCTCCCGTTTTGCTGCTCACTTCTCCCATCAATTGGTATGCACGCTGCCTCTTCCTCCTTTTGGTACTCTCTTTTCAATTTCATCATATCTATTTCATTCTTCAGTTTAATGAACAAATAAAACTTCTTCCTTGGTATCTCTTGTACTATAATCTTATCTTTTACTTTGTTGTAGAATTTGTAAGATATAACACTTTCTCCATTCTTAGCTAGTGATTCTCCTATACCTATTTCTTCCAGAGGTTTTCCTGACAGTAGATAATCTCTCTTGTTAAGTACATTCCCCAGTTGAAGAAAGCTAACTTTTCCATAGGTAATAGCAATGTGCACTTTTAAAAATCTATTCTCTATCGGTGTTGGGAATTTGTTGAGGAGTTTATGTATGTCTACGCAGCATCCCAAAGCTAGCAGACATATTTTTTTCACATCTTCTATTTTCTGGTTTCTGAGTGGTCTTTTTTTTGAACCCCTTTTTGAACCCCTTTTTGAACCTTTTTTTGAACCCATTTTTGAATCTTTTTTTGAATTCGTTTTTGAATTTTTTTGGTTTTCTTCCGTTTCGTACCCCATAGAGTATGCACTTTCAGAAGGATAATAGTCTGAGTTCTGACTTGGAGTCAGCACCTCGTCGGGTTCTCCTCCCCCTAGTGCTGTATCATCTCCAGGTGGTGCATCGTCTCCCGATTCTACATCGTCTCCCTGTTCTACATCGTCTCCCGGTTTTGCATCGCCTCCCGGTTTTGCATCGCCTCCCGGTTTTGCATCGCCTCCCGATTCTACATCTTCTCCATATGCATTCGATGCTGGCATCTTTGGAAGTCCCTTTTTAGAGGTTCTCCTCAAAGGCCAAATGACAAGCACAGCATCCCCACTGAACTTTATGATGTCTCCTCCCCAGAAATCGATAATCTTAATGAGGATGTTAAAAAACTTGTTTAGGCAATTCCCAAGAAGTTCTGTTCCGTTGATTCGCTTGTCTAGCTGTTCGGCTAGGTTTGAGAACCCACTTGCGTCACAGAAAAACTGAATCAAAAAAAAAAAAAAAAAGGAAAAGTGAACAAAAGGGAAGAAATGAGTTTTGGAAAAATGTAAACACATAAATTATTTTTTCTTTTTTTATATATTATTATATGATGAGATTGTTGTAAAATTCTGGGCAATTTTGAGTAGAGGGGGGGAGAGGTCAGGCAAAATGGATGTTTCTTTTTTTTTTTCCTTTTTTTTTTTTCCTTTTTTTTTTTCCTTTTTTTTTTTCCTTTTTTTTTTTCCTTTTTTTTTTTTCTTTTTTTTTTTTTTTTTTTTTTTTTTTTTTTTTTTTTTTTTTTTTTTTTCTTTTTTTTTTTTCCTTTTTTTTTCCCAACCACAACCGCATCGAACTTCTGAATGACAAGTTTTGAGAAGAATCTATTTGGATCTTGACATCGACTATAAACATTTAACAAAATTTTGGGGAAGAAAGATCTGAAGGTGTATAGATTTTCACTTTCTTTGAGAATGTTTTTATACGTCTTTTTCTGATCCTCTAGATTGCCTTTTTTATTAAGTTCATTTTCAATTGTCCGTTCACATTTTATGCTGAACCATCTCCAATCGGTAGTATAATCTTTCTGCGAGTGTGGTGATTTGGCAGGTATGCACAAATGTGTAGGAAAGATACACCTTGTCACAAGACTCTATTAGAGACGTATGAAATGTGTTAAGACAGACTCTAATGTGGTAACGTGGGTATCAGAAAGAGTAAGGAAGTATGTGCACATGTATTTGCGTGTGTGTATTTGCCTGTACATGCATTTGTGTGTGTGTATTTGTCTGTACATGCATTTGTGTGTGTGTGTGTGTGTTTGTGGAGAGAACCTACCGAATAATCCCTGCTCGTCTTGCTGATTGATTGATGTCCCGTTTGTCCATAGTCACAGGACTTGAGGTATTCACTGAATATGTTTTTAATCATTGTTTCTGAGTTGCACTGCGATCGTCATAGGGAGAGGTAAAAAAAATGAATAAATAAAGTAAAATAGAATAAAATTAAATAGAGCAAAATGGAATAAAATTAAATAGAGCAAAATGGAATAAAATTAAATAGAGCAAAATGGAATAAAATTAAATAGAGCAAAATGGAATAAAATTAAATAGAGCAAAATGGAATAAAATTAAATAGAGCAAAATAGAATAAAATTAAATAGAGCAAAATGGAATAAAATTAAATAGAGCAAAATAGAATAAAATTAAATAGAGCAAAATGGAATAAAATTAAATAGAGCAAAATAGAATAAAATTAAATAGAGCAAAATGGAATAAAATTAAATAAAGCAAAAATAATGGTTCGGGTTGTTCACGTGGACAATGTGTGGGAAGAGAATGCCGAGAAAACACGAAATAAACTTAACGAATGAAAGAAGTGTGAAAAAAAGACGCACATGACATGCATATATACATGCACGGGAGTTGGCAACTAGAAAAATGAACACGCAGTGTGCATGTGGCATGTCTACAAAATTTTCTGTCGCTGCTGATTATGTCATTTGGATGTCAACATCGCCTTCCCCAGTTATGATGCACATTTGAAGAAGACTAGATGTAGACTAGACACAGATTAGACGCACCTTGGGAGCACATTCGAGATTGGAGGCTACAAGTTGGGGAGAGGGGTCTGAAAATTTTGGCCAAAAATTATTCTCTACACAACATGTTTATGTTAGTATAGCTCAGAATGTCTTTATATATGCACATTTGAAAAAAAAAAAAAAAAAAAAAAAAACATATACTAGTGTTTTTTTTTTTTTTTTTTTTTTTCCTGAAAGCACTTTTTCAGAATTGTCCTTACGCATACTGGTCAGTTCTGAAAAGACATATGAAGTGAATTTCAAAATTAATAATTAGGGAGGATAATAAAAAAAGGTGAGAAGTGGAACCAACTCCACCTGATCAAAAAAAAAAAAAAAAAAAGGAAAAAAAAGTTTCCTTCATCTAAGGTTATCCTCAAAATTGGTAAAAAATCGGAACATATATTTGTACACACCAGTATATACATATATATATGCAAAAATATGCATATATATGCAAATATGTATGAATATATTTACGTGTTTTATTTTTTTTTCCTTCTTTTTCCTTGTCTGCGTGTTGTAATCTTAGCGTAAGTTGTAGTAATTAAAACCATCCTGTAAATTGTAAACGGGGCGCACCCTTTATGCTGCAACTGAGGTAATGTAAAAAAAAAAAAAAAAAAAAAAAAAAAGGGAAGAAGCAATCTGTGGAATATGAACAACAGATCTATGTTTTGTTCTCCTTTTTTTCCGAGGGAGGTATATATCAACAGAACAGTTGAGTGCAATACAAAAAAAAAAAAAAAAAAAAAATGTGTGCCTTTTATTTTTTTTTTTTTTTTTTTTTTTTTGTCAACAGTGAGGTGAAACGGAATGGGGTGGGGATTCAAAAAATATCAAATTGCGAGTTGGTGCTGAGGTATATGGGTCCAGGTAGATTGTTGGAGAAGTAGAAGAAGAAAAAAAGAACAAGAAGTTGGAGTAGTAGAGGAAGAAAAAAAAAAAAAAAAAAAAAAAAAAACCTAACACACAGAGAGAACAAAATAACTAAAATTGGAAATAGCCAAAATTAATGAGGAAAAGGGGTAGGCACCCACTTGCCTAATTTAGAAATAAATTATGAGCACTAACGAAATTGATAAAAACTGAAAGATGTATGGAGGAAAGCTGAGGGCGCTGAGGAAGGTGAAGGTATATGGATCCCAAGATTCGATATTCATTGTTGGATTAAACAAAAAGGAAGAGTCATATGAAATTACAGAATTAGCTAGAAGCAAAGAAATCGAAATAAAGCAACATTTTGAGGTACACAAAAAAATAACATATAGGAATTTTATAAGAAAGAAGGGATTAGAATATGTATGCAAGTGTGAGGGAATATTAGGATGCATTAAATTTTTAAACTATCCATACTTGTATGCTATTACAAAGAAAGAAAAAGTAGCCCTTTTATTTAACGAACATCAAGTTTATAACGTGAAATCTATATTACTAATCCCTTTTAGAGATGATGTATATGACAATTTCAATAATGAAAATGAACTAGTACAGATATTTTACAATAGTGTAAATCACAAATATATGTATTTTTCATATACATACAACTTACCTTGCTGTGTTCAAGAGAATTTTTATATACAAAAAGAACTTCTTAAAGGTAATGAGGTTCACGGAGCGAATTGTAAAAATGTGTATATATGGAATTATTACCATTGTAAACCTTTTATCCGAAAAAATATATTTATATGTGTATTAGTTATTAATGGTTTTTTAACACAATCTAAATTTTCTTGTATGGGCAATTGGGTAGATGTCACATTTATCGCTAGAAGGTCTATTAAATATGCAGGGACAAGGTATCGAAAAAGAGGAGTTAATGCAAAAGGGTATTCAGCAAATGAAGTGGAAACAGAAATAATTTTATTTAAAAAGAATTATGATAGTGCTATCTTGTCTTATGTTCAATTGAGAGGTTCTGTTCCAATATTATGGAATCAATCAGTTACATTTCAGATTTTGAAGAGACCCAAAATAAAGTGTGTAAAAAATGACATAGATTTTACCTGCACAAAAAGACATTTTCAACATTTGTTGAAAAGATATGGATATCCAATAACTGTTATAAATCTGTTAAGCCAAAAAAAACATTCGGATGAAAATAATTTATCGAAAGAATATGAAACTTGTATAAAAATTATCAATAAGAATATTCCTCCACCTATTCGCATTATTTATAAACATTTAGATTTAAGAAAAGCATATAAAATTGGAACCAAGTACACTTTACAGAATCTCAAGTTACTTTTTCTCTTTTCTCAGAATAAGGTGGGATATTTTTATCTACTCAACAATAAAGTGCTTATGATTCAAAGAGGTATTTTTAGATTCAATTGTGTGGACTGCTTGGATCGGACAAATGCCGCACAGTTATTTATGAATATGTACATGTTTGTACATTTCCTTAAACTTATTAATCAGATGAAGAACAATTCATTTTGTGTAAATCATATTTCACATCTCTCTCACATGTATGAACATCTTGGGGATGCCATATCTAAACAGTATGCAGGTTCTACTGCACACAAGAAGTATACTCCAGGACAAGGTACAAACTTTTTTGTTCAATCGAAGGAATTACTTACATCTTTGAAGCGATATTACATTAGTTCCTTTAATGATTTGGAAAAGCAAAAGTCCATAAATTTGTTTCTCGGTGTGATGGATGATAAGCTTGACGATATCCAGGATGCCCACGACTTGGACACATATGTGCATGGGTGCATTTTTTTTAAATCCCCGCGCGCCGATTCTTACCACTATTGGTGGGTTCTACCTCTGGAGCGCTTCTACCGAAAGGTGGAGTTGCTGCTAGGGAGGAGAGGCGAGGGCGGTGATAGAAGTAGAAGAAGTGATAGAAGTGATAGAAGCAGGAGGAGCGAGAGAAGTGATAGAAGCAGGAGGAGCGAGAGAAGTGATAGAAGCAGGAGGAGCGAGAGAAGTGATAGAATCGGTTTGGAAGGTTTAGGGTTTAGAACCCATTTTGGGCGAGGGGAAGGTGGCGCCCCATGGAACGGATGGACACGATCCAAAGGATTCGTCAAACGTGGGAGGAAGACATGGAAAACCAGGAATGAGAAGAAGATGAAGAAGAAGAAGAAGAGGAAGCAAGACATTCCCAGCTTGCACCAGAATTTGAAGTTCTACCATCGCTGCTTCAGCAGAAATAATGTATTCAAAAACATTTACAATGCACACAATCTGCACAATTGCTTCATAGCTGGAAGTTTAGGTATTGCTGGAAACAATCCCCAAGATGGTAATATGCCAAAGGAGGGGAGGAACCCTGTTCCTACGGTTAGAAGAGAATTAACAACAAGAAATACTGTATTCAGAGTTCATAATAAGATGCAGAATGACATAGTGCAAGAGAAAGTGCAGGTGAAAATGAAAAAATGGGACATGCATGTGCTATCTCCCTTCGAACGATCATTTAATCACATCGGATACGTATGCAAATTTTACAATGTTTACAAAAATGATTTCAGTACTCATTTCAAAAATCAGAACATTTTTAGATTCCGTGCATGGAGATTGATAGCCACATATAATTATCTTAATTATGTAAAAATTTTCTTTGATTTTTTTTTCCTCTTTTACTACTGCTTCTGCATTCATTATAGTGTAAATATGGTCTACATGCAGCATATAAATGTCCTGTCTGAGAAGTTTGGTGGGGTCGAAAATGGCAAGGAGAGACGGATCCAAATGGGTGAGCCGAATGGGCAGAGCGAGACAAACAAGCTGAGTGAATCGAACGAGCTAAGTTCAACGGTAGAAGAAAATAATTTATACGAGTTTTTTCCCCTGATCAATATACATACATCTGAAAAAGATGTACAAAGCGTGATACGGCATTTTGAACATTACAAAAAAATGCCTTTTTCATTAGAACCTTATTTGGTTTATGACAATCTTAATAAACATCCCTATCAGTATATGCTAATGAATCTGCGTTCGACTTGGTCACGTGGAAAAAAATCGGGAAGATGCAATCCATTAGTGAAAGAACGTTTATCCAGATGGATTTGCAGAAGGGGTGAGCGTCAGGGGATGATAGAGAAAAGTAAAAACGTTGAGATTGGGGGAGAAACAAACGAAGGATTAGAAGAGAATCTCCCACCAATGTGTACAAAAAGACACATGAACCAAATAAGAGAACGAGTTATGAATGGAAAAGGAGCTTCGCCATATTATGGAAGATCTTATAAGAGACCTCAAAAAAGAGATTGTGAAAAAAGGAAAAAACGGAAGAAGCAAGTGGATGCGTTGGGAAATCAGATAAATAAAATGCCGCGCGTGTACTGTCCTCTGTACTTTAATGTAAACATAATAAAATTTTTTCTTTTCATATACAATAATTATTGTGATAATGGGATTACTCATGAGAGGATTGATCTTGACATGTGTCCAAAGTCCATGATAAAGGTAAAAGAAATGGTGATAGATATGTGTAGAAAGCACACACAAGAATGTAACAATTTGGAAGTAATGTCTTTTGCACCACGATCGGCATTGTATAACATGAAATTATTCATTGATCAAGCGATTCGCTCACAATCCCTTGAGGGTTTTCTTAGCGATTTGTACATGAATTATATTTATAAGATCCATGAATATAAGGAGTTAAATATAGAGAGTATCGCAAATTCATATATATCAGTCTGTAGCAATGCAAAAAAAAATATAAAAAAAAAAAAAAAAAAAGCAAAAGGAAAAAAGTACCTTTTAGATGAGTATGGCGAGGACTCCTTTGAATATAATTTAAAGAAAAAAAAAAAAAAAAAAAAAATTCTTCTAATCGATAAGAAAATAAAAAATGAAATTAACAAGAATTATAAAAATATGAGCACTACATATTCATCCATTAAACATTTTGAAAAATACTATTTTGATAAAATGAGCGAATTCCAAAAAAAGGACAAGCAAATAAAAACATTTTTTTTTGACAGAACCAACATTGTACGCACAGATATGGTTAATCATCGTTATTATAATAAGTACCTTATGGAGACTCCTTTGCATTATGTTAATTTCAATCAAGATACAAATATGTCAAAACTATATTCCCCTCATCTGTCCGACTTTAACATTTTCCATCATACAATCGAATCGAATGTAGATTATCAGCAGTATTGTGATCCTCTCTCCCACCAAATATTCCGACATTAGGGAATGTGTTTGTGGGTGTAGGTGGAGAGGGGGAGGAGGTCGTCCTCCGCCTTCGGTTCACTGCATCAGCCATGTTTTGTATTTCTCCCGATTTTTTGTGATTTTTTATGATTTTCTACGACTTTGTGCCATGTATTGTATTTCCTCTAATTTTTTGTGATTTTTTATGATTTTCTACGACTTTGTGCCATGTATTGTATATTTCCTCTAATTTTTTGTGATTTTCTACAACTTTATACCATTTTTTATTCTACACTGTTTAACATGATTCCAAAATGATACCTGTTCGATCCCAATTATGTCAATCGATTCATCCTCTTCGTGACTATTAAAACACTCCTTTGAAATTCACACAGGAGAGAGTGAGTGCTAATAGATTTGGCTCTTGTCAAACATGACACCTTCCCCCCCTACACACACCTCTCTTTGTATCCTCAGACAAAAGAAATCTGCTCATATACACAACTCTTAAATAAAAACACACATTATGTCTTTTTTTTTTTTTTTTTTTTTTTTTTTTTTTTTTTTTTTTTTTTGAGGACTGATTGGTTAAAGTTCGGTGTAGACTTGGGGTTCATATATCCCATGTGAGAAAAGTCTTCGTTATAGATTCTATCGGTGTGAAAACCTGATTGATGAGTAACATACTATTATAACATCTGACTTAGATGCAGGATGTTCCTCACTCGTCGAAGAGCCTGATTTCCCGTAATGCTATCTTTACCCTATTTATGCTTTTGTTGCATGGGAGAAAAAAATAAAAAAAACGAAACACGATGAGTAGTCACATCGGTATGTAGTTACATCGGTATGTAGTTACATCGGTATGTAGTTACATCCATATGTAGTTACATCGGTATGTAGTTACATCCATATGTAGTTACATCGGTATGTAGTTACATCCATATGTAGTTACGTAATTAAATAAGCAGGTAAAATTAAACAACGTGCAGCATTACACGGTGGTATTCCACGACCACAAATGGAACTCTAATGTATAGAGGATGGGGAAGGTAACGTGAGAAATGTACGTCACAAAAGAACTAGTTGGGAATTGCTGAGGGACTCTCGTCTGGCCTACCTTATTGGATTATCACAGCTTAGGAATTGTGTAAAATGGATTGCTTTGTTTTCGAAATCTGCGAGGTGAAGCAAAGGTGGTGAAGCAAGGGTCGTGAAGCAAGGGTCGTGAAGCAGAGGTGGTTACTCAACAGTGATTATGCAAAAGATGGACTCGAGGCACGAATGAGCAAATAGGAGTGCCGTATGTCTAGAGGAGAAGGAATAGATGATAGTGGTGATGTAATTCTATCTCTTCTTTCCCTCTCCCCCATGACCGGCCAGCAGCAATGTCAATACATAAGTGTAACTGGTTCAACAGATTAGTGGGGATTTACCTTGGAGAGACAAGGTTCGCAGATGGAGCTGTGAACAAATGCACTTAAGTGAAATGTAAGAACGTAATATACATGCAACCATTATTTCTTTGGAGTTGAAAATCAAGCAGAGTGGTGTTTTATAATAATCTAAGATACTTAGAAATGCAATTTTTTGGAGATAAGATATTTGTTTTTGTTCAATGTAGTCTTTCATTATATATCCAAATGAGGCTATAAATGATGGTAATATTTCAAAAGAAAAATTCTCTGTTTTTAAAAAATAATTTATACTCTTTAATATTTCTCCCTCGTAGTAGATTATAATTTTCTGCATAAGTTGTAATTTCTGTCCTGAGTTTTTTAAAATCCATTGAGAAGATGATATTTTTATTTTCTGTTTCTCATTTTTACACAATTGTTGGAACTTCCTTATATCCCTCTTTGTCATCTGCTCTTGATTGTCAGCTAAATTTTTACATATGCTACTGTCACTTTGTGTATCCTTTTTATCATCATTCTGTTTAGGAATGGATGATACCCCTGACTCGCATTCTTCATATTCAGAAACATCATTACTGTTGTATTCAGAAAGGTAGGAGTTGAAGTAATCGCTAACGTGACTTATATTATTCACATCTGAAATGTATCCCGTGTTTATTATTCCTTTTATTTCATCCAAGTCGTGGTAGAGGCTTTTTTTTTTCTTTTCTTCCTCCGTAGCTAGCTTTTTCGTGTCTCTCACAGGGGATGTATTTCTTTCTTTTTTTTTCACTGTGCCTATGTCATTTTTGCCCCTATCATTTTTGTCTCTATCATTTTTGCCTCTATCATTTATGGTTCTATCATTTTTGTCTCTATCCTTTTTTTCTCTATCCTTTTTTTCTCTATCCTTTTTTTCTCTATCATTTTGGTCTCTATCATTTTTGCCTCTATCATTTATGGCTCTATCATTTATGGCTCTATCATTTGTGCCTCGTTCGTTTTCCCTACTTCTGCGATCCCCTTTCTGCATCTCCGTCCGCTTTACCCTCTCCATGAATGTGCCAAATGTGTCCTCAGAGGAAATTTTGAATTCCCCTCTGTTGGTGGACTTGCTATTGATGAGCATTCCAATTTGAATTTCTTTCATTTTTTTTTTTATTTTTTTTTTTTTGTCGAAATAGTTTAGCAGTTTAAAAATAATTTTAGGAATATCGTACAACTTTTTAGACTTTTTGAAATTCTCGAAATCTTCCCTTAATTTCCATGCAAGAAATATACATGCACCTGCTAATAAATATGGTAATGAATTTTTTTTTTTTTTCAAGACCTTTTGATGGTATCTATGTAAGTAGTATAATGCTATTGTTATGGTAGAGAATGACAGGTTTAGTTGCTTTCCCAGGATAATAACAAATTTTGATGTATTCACAATATATTTTCTGAATTTTTTTTTTTTTTTAAATTTGTCATAATATTCTTCATCTGTGTTCAGGCACATATTAATATCTAGTGCTATGCTTAATCTGTTGTATATTTCCTTTTTAATTTCTGCTTTTAATTGTTCGATATCGTTTGTGGATTCTGATTCTGAAGTAGGAGATGGTGGTGCTTCTGCTGCCGATGGTTCTGCTGCTGATGGTTCTGCTGCCGATGGTTCTGCTGCTGATGGTTCTGCTGTTGATGGTTCTGCTGCTGATCGTTCTGCTGCTGATCGTTCTGCTGATTTATCTCCCTCCACTTCACCTACATTATAATTATCACCAACTTGGATATCATTCTTTCGATTGTTTCCCTTCGATGCACATTCCTTATTCTCACCAACTCTTCCATTTGCTTCTCCTGAATTTTTGGTTTTTCCATCTTCTACATTTTCCCCTGTATTGCTTCGGCAAATCAAGCCATTTTTCTCTATGTTTATTAAATACTTTATTTCCTTCTCAATATTCTTTGAATCCTCCACATTTTGTGAATCACTGTGCTGGTTGGGGTTGTGATCACTTTTATCATTTCCTCTTATGGGCACTACTACCCTTGCGTTTGAATTCTCACAAAAGCAGGGTTGGAATTTAGGGATATAAAACATTTCTGATGCCTTTATTTTATCACATAATGAATCTGGATTTCCATTAGGGGAAGATTCTCTGCAAAATTCTTCTTTAATTTTTATAGCATGGGCAAATTTATGTGAGCAGACCTCATTTTCTGTTAATGTATTTTTTTTTTGGAAATTGTACATATAGTTTTCTTCATCCACTAGTTCATTTTCCTTACTCTTTTTATTTTCATCTCGTACAAATGGATATGAGTGATTTTTCTTTTTTTTTTTTTCCTCTTCACCTTCTTGCAGCTTCTCCCCCATGTCATTCACATTAACATTTTCGTGTGCACCTTTGTAAAATTCTTTCACTTTCGATTTTAATTCCTCATCATTCAGGTTTCCCCCAACATGGTTAATTCGAGTCACACAGGCAATTCTAGTCAGGGAACCAATTCCATCCACGGATTCAGCTCGAGCCATGGAGCTCATTTTTAACTGTGTCTTTTGTAACGAATTTGGAATTGCAGTTATGTGGGGAAATTCTACTTGTCCATTGGGTACGCTTTGTCCCTTTTTATTATTCACATTTTCAGTGATGGCAATGTTAATATTGCCTTTTTCGTGAGTTGCATGAAGAATTTCTTCTCTGCTTTGTGAAGAACATATCGTTACATGAAGTGATTTCTCACCTGAAAAAGTTTTTTTTCTTTTCCTGTTAGATGCTCCTTCTTCACCTTTTGCTCCACTTCGAATAATTTTATCATTTGCTATTTTCTCGATCACATTTATGTTACAGATACTTGAATCTATAATTTTCATATTTCTTCAAAGAAAAAAAAAAAAAAAAAAAAAAAAAAAAATTATGCACAAGTTGGGAAAGTGATTTGGTCGTTGTTTTGTGTACGTGTTTTTCTCCTTTTGTTTGGAAGGACTATTATTTGTCATTTTGTCTATTTTTACGTGCATAATTTTTCATTATGCAAGTTCGGTTGAGCATTGATGTTCTTTCAATTTGTTCTTCTATTCTGATGGATCTCTTTTATTTTATTTTTGCGCAATTTATTCAGGCTTTTTTATTTTTTATGGACAATTTGTTCAGGCTTTTTTATTTTTTATGGACAATTTGTTCATATATTTTTTTTTTCCCACCCCCCCCATTTTCGCTCTTTTATGTTGCTACCCTATTACGTGTGTAGCATTAGTGCAAAAACGATATGCACAAAAAATTATGACTTTGTTCAGGCAAAAATGAAAATAATTTTGTATGTTTTCACAAAACCTTTTTCTCACTTTTTACTGAACATTTTCACATATAATGGATAGGGTAGATATGTTGACAATAACTACACACATCGGCAGCGAATGACAATTTGTGGAATTTATTTTTCTTCTTAGAGGCGAGAATTAAGGAAAAATACGTAAACCCCAAAAAGCTTTACTTTTGTGAACATACTAATCATTAGTATCACTATTTTTTCTATTGTTTTATTACAACAAATTACTACAAATTACTAAAAAAGTTTATACCTCATTTTATGGAGATATGCGCATACCGAGTATCTATGCATTCATAAAATCATGATTTAATAAAATGCAGGAGAGTGAAAAATAAAAAAAAAAAAAAAATAAATAATAACAATAATATGAATAATAAGCGTAATTAATAATGGTGTAAAGCAAAATGACGCAAGGGACATTCTACAGATTTGGCATGTCCCAAAAAAAAAAAAAAAAGGGGAAGAACAGAAGCGATGGTGTTATTATGTGTCACGGGAGCAAGTCTCAAAAAATAACGTCAACTTTCTTGTTCTTCCTTTTTTCAAAGGAGAAGAAAACAAAATCAGATTTCGGTTTGAAGCTCTAGTTGTGCCACCTCGTGTTAGTAAAATTTTGTTTTTCTTGCGATGTACTTTACTGTGACGTGAGTAGCAAGGCCAGCAAAAAATGGGAAGCCAAAAAAAAAAAAAAAAAAAAAAAAAAAAGCTTAATGTGAGAAGTGGAGTGCAAGAGGTGGGACGTATGAAAACAATGTAAAATGTAAAATTCAGAATGTAAGGAAGTGTAACGTTAAATGTAAAACTCAAAATGTTACCCCATTTGGGCTTGACCCGTTGGAAAATACTCTTTTTTTTTTTTTTTCCCCTATTTGCAGTTTGGAAATCAACGCCGCAGTTACTTTCGGTCACATTGTTCTCCTCTACAGAATGTTGGAGTGACATATACCCAAAAAAAAAAAAAAAAAAAATTTTTTTGAAATGTTTGTAAAAATTTGAAAAAATATGAAATATTTAAATTAAAGCAAAGCTTAGGCAAATTTAAGCAAAATGTATACAAAAAAGAAAAAAATGAATAATAAAATATGTGAATAATAAAATAAATAATGAACAAGTAATTCCAATTTTTAGTACAACATGGTTTAACTTTCAATAAATTTGCCATTGCTCGTGAACCAACCCTGTTTTGCCGCTTAACAAAAAGAAAGAAAAATGATCATGGAAAATTTTGGCGAACACTAAAAACTCAATGCATCCCCATCTGTCGTTACATTTTTGACATAGTATTTTTTATGTGTATCAAGCTGTATATAGGACGACACCACGGATGAATCTTAAATTTTGCTGAAAGCTTGTTATATGGAGAATCATGACATGCCTTTTTTTTTTTTTGAAAAAACAGCTCAAGCGAAAAAAACGTGAGTAAAACACAAAAACGGGCAACTAGTGGCATCAACTGAGATGAACAAATTTACAACCCGGTAAACGTATTTTGCACGTATCAACAGAAGAACAGAAGAAAAAAAAGAAGAAAAAGAAGAAAAAGAAGAAAAAAGAGAAAAAGCAGAAAAAAGAGAAAATTTTTTTTTTTTTTTTTGTATGTTTGGCCCGTGGAGAATAATTGCTATTCCTACTCCAATCTGAGAATGAGAAGATTTTTCGATGAATATCGCACAAGGAAAGATACCCCTCGAATGAACACGTGTTCTGAGTAATTAAATGGTTGCAACATCATATACAGATATAGATGCATGGAAAACTGTTTAATTTCGAGGGAGGAAATAGAAGATCTTGTACCACCTTGTCAACAAGGTAACCCAGTTAAATCTTTTTTTTTTTTTTTTTTTCTTTTTATTATATGTCCTTATTTGTGGTACCCCATTTGAAAATTTTGGAAGGCACTAACTCTTAATTGTTGTCGATTTGGCCCTAAGTAAAACTGAGAAGTGAAACCGAGGCAGAATCAACTGAAGGGAACTTAGCCCAGTTGACACTCCTTTTTTTTTTTTTATGACTCTGTAATACCACGTTAAAGGAGGGGAAGGAATACGTGAATATTGTGATGTCCATCATATTACATCCGTTTTGAGATTTTCATTTTTGTAGTTTTCCCGGAAGGTGGAGTGTTTCACAATTGAAGAGATAAGTAAGGGGAAACAAATTTTTTCTTATGGAAGTTCTTTTTTTTTTTTTGTTAGTTTGTAAAGTCACTACATACCCTTAGAAGGATTTTCAAAATGATGAACTACAATCTGAGTAACATTTGCGGCTGTGTATATACAGGTGGAAAAATTCAATTCAGTGAAGATGGGAATTCATTGTTTGTACCTGTAAGCAATAGAGTAAATGTTTATGATCTGAACGACAATAAATGTAATACACTTAAATCTGAAAATAAAAATGATTTAAGACACATTGTGATACATCCAAATATGGAAATAGCTATAACTATCGATAAATTTGAATATGGATGTATAATAAATTTGTTAAAAGATCAGATAATTTCTAGAATTCTATTTAAATCAAAAACTGGTATTATTACTTCATTTAACTACAACAATATTTTTACACCTCAAGAAGAACAAGATTCAGTAAATTGTGCACTATTTACACACAATGGCAAGTATTTCTTAATTGGTATAGGTAGGAGAGTTATCATATGGAAGAGTCCAAATAAAAACAATAATTACAAGTTAGTTAAATATAACGATATATGTTATCATTCCTTAAATGTTACCTCGATTGACGTGTCAGAAGACGATCAGTTTTTCATATCCACATCTTATGATCTAACCATTAGGATCCACACCATTGAGAGAAGGAGAAAAACACGACCCACCATTTTGACAGGAAACAAGACTACCATAGTCGCTGCTTATTTTTCCAAAGGTGGCCATTTTATTTTTAGTGTCAATAAGTCTGGGTTGATTCTGCTTTGGTCTTACGAGACCACAGGGGAAGCGGTTGCACATCAGGCCGATCGGGTCGATAACGTCGATCATGCTAATCACTCAGATGCAGCTGATCATGCTAATCATGCCAATCACTTAGATGCAGCTGATCATGCTAATCATGACAACCACTCCGATGCTGCAGATCATGCTGATCATGCTGATCGCACGGGTCGTGTGCGTCCGGCGCGAAGGAGGAAAGCTTACGAAAAAAGATGGTGGCAGAAAAAGGTGTACTTTTGCAACCAGGAGAAAAACGAAGAGGTCACGAGTGTGTGCTTTAACAGAGAACAGAACATGACAGTAATAGCTTATTCAAGTGGACGGTTTGGAATTTATAAAATGCCTGAGATGGTGTCTCTGTACACAATCAGCGTAAGCACAAACAGTATCGATGATATTGCAATAAGTAACGATGGTGAGTGGATTGCACTAGCTGAATCGAGCAATGGTACAGTAATAGTATGGGAATGGAAGAGTGAAAGTTACATAATGAAACAAAGTACAACAAGTAGGAATATAAAATGTGTAAAATTTTCTCCTATTATTAGTCATCTAAGAATTGGTAGTCATATTGTGGAGAATGCAAATACATATCATGAAAGTGAAAATTTCACGAGCAAATTTGTAATTGTTACAGGAAATGAAGATGGGACAATTAAATTGTATGATTATATTTCTTTTATGAATTTTGTTACTTTTACAGCTCATACAGATAGCGTTACTGATGTTTGTTTTTTACCACAAGGGAATGCTTTCATATCATGTTCTTTGGATGGTACAATTAGGGCTTTCGATTTGTTAAGGTATCGTAATTTTAAGGTATACACAGCGGATTATATGTCCGATGAAAATGGAGAGACAAATAATAGATCTGCTCTATCATCCAAATTTGATGACGATGATGATGATTATAGCAACAATGGCGCTTTACTAAACCAAGATGAGGAGAAAAAAAAAAAAAAAAAAAAAAAAAAAATTCTGAACGGTTCAGAAAAATACGAAAAAAGAATAAACGTTCAGTTTTTATGTGTAAGTGTGAACTTAAGTGGAAACATTGTTGCAGCTGGAGGGAGAGGAAATGAATACATCGTTTACATATGGAATATACAAACAGGAAAATGTATAGACAAATTATATGGGCATAATTCTCCAATAATTAAAGTATGCTTTAGTACTAGCGTAAAGAATGAAGGAATAATAGCTAGCTGTTCATGGAGCAATAAAGTTCTCCTATGGGATCTATATGCAAGAAGAAACAAGGGAAGTAAATTTGATGAAATAGTTAATTCTCATGACATCTCATACATGTGTTTTGATCCAAGAGGAAATGACATATTAGCTATATGCACACTGAATTGTAAAATTATATTTTGGGATGTACAAGTACAAGAAATTGTAGGAACTATAGAAGGTATTAGAGATATCAAGAGAGGACAATTTATAGGGGAACAATTTTCAGCTATTCCAAAGATGAACAAAAAGAGGAAAAAAATTAATAACTTAAAGAATGGAAATGATAAGGATGACGAATTTGTTAATCCAGATGAATTGGAAGATGAAGGAATTAATACTACTGTAAATCAGAATTCGCACTTCACAAGTATAGATTATGTACAAAATGGAAATTACATAATTGGGTGTGCAAATTGTAGTGTATCTATGTATATATATGATACCAATTTGTATGTGTTAATACAAATTATCGATTTGACAACTAATTTTTCCATAGATGGTATAAAAAGAGAAATTTCTAAAAGATATTTAACTGAACAGGGTACAAATATTTATGAATTTGATTTGAGTGATGAGGATGGAAATGTACAAATGGACAAGTACAGAATTCAGAATAGGAAAAAAAAAAATAATATGCTACCTGGTAGTATAGATGAACATTACATTATGAACAAATTTAAAAAGTATAAATTTATACTGAACAGTATAAGTATTTCTGGTGATGATAGACACGTGGCAGTTGCGTGCAGTGTAGGTTTATATGTTTTTACAAAAGATTATCAATTTCAGTATGTTGTACCGACATTTTTGAGGGGTGCAATAGGAGAAGGGAAGAAGACCAAAAATGGATATAAAGGACTAATTATGCCACTTCTATATGAACCCCAGTTTTTAACAGAACATGTAACTTTACGCAATTTAAAGCTAGCTATAAAAAAAAACGAATATATGAAAGCATTCATTTTATGTTTAGCTTTGAACAATTATGAACACATGATAGAAGTGTATGAGAAAACTCCTTATAATATCATCCCCCTATGTGTAAAGATGTTGTCCAAACCTTTCGTTTTTCTGCTAATTAATTTTATAAAAGTATTGCTTCTCAATGATACGCTTAAGCATATCCACTTGCATCTACTTTATTTGAATTCTATTTTTACAAGCCATTTTAGCCTTTTTTTGAACGCCAATTTTTTTGTTCATTCGGATAATTCCACTGGAGGAGGAGCAGAAGGGGGTCCCAAGGGAGATGATGCCAATAAGAACATCTTGAAGAGAAGAACATATTCAGCTCATTCCTCGGACGAATACAGGAATGCCCTTTTACTTATCTTGAAGCAGGTGTTCACAGTGTACAATGGATTGCAGCACTTGTATAGCAACAACACCCATGTGCTTCGCTACCTCTCTGCGGGTTAGAACCCCAAAGTGGGAGCGGGAGGAAAGAATTGCATGAATAATATGTACATATCAGTGTATATACACACGTGTGTACATGTGTACGTGTGTACGTGTGTACGTGTGTACGTGTGTACGTGTGTACGTGTGTACGTGTGCACGTGTGCATGTATGCATATTTTTTCTGCCGCTCTCCCACATCGATAGCTACCTCTGAAGAAACGTTTTAGAAGCCCCGCCTCTTTGCACTTTGTGTGAGAACCCCTTAAATGTGGTGCGTAAATAGGTATTTTTCCCCATTTTTTTCTACGTTTTTGAATTTTTTCACTTTTCCGATTTTTGTAAAAGAACTCGCGAGCCCAGAAAAAGAAGTGCGCTTCTATTTAACAGTTCATTTTTAAAAATAACTATTCTTTGCAACTCGCACATGGTGAATACACGACGAATGAATGGCGAATATAACATCATATGATACACACGCGAACAAATGGACACGCAAGCATCCCCTCCTCCCATTGGCGTTGTTTGCTAAAATGTGTATTCATTCGACTGGGAGGGGAGAAATTTTTGAAATCAAGTTGGTGGAAGGAAAAAAAAAAAAAAAAAAACGTGACAGTGATAGTGAAAATGAAAGTGAAAATGAAAGTAAAATTGATAGTAAAAGTGAAAGCAAAAGTGAAAGCAAAAGTGAAAGCAAAAGTGAAAGCAAAAGTGAAAGCAAAAGTGAAAGTAAAAGTGAAAGCAAAAGTGAAAGCAAAAGTGATAGTAAAAGCGATCGTGAACATGAACATGAACATGAACGTACCATTGGGTGTAGATGTCCCGGAGGGCACTCTAATAAGTCGTCATCTAGAATCCACCTCTCTCTCTTCTGACCTCTACCAAGGGATATGTGTCTATTTCTCCTTCCATTCCTGAAGGATGGAGATGTTTTTTTTTTTTTTTTTTTTTTTTTTTTTTTTTTTCCCCTTCCTCTCTCAACCCATTTGTAGAAGAGAACATCATCACATGGGCACGAATCTGAGGTAAGGCTTCTTCGATGGCAACTGAAGTTGTTCTACTTCATTCTGGAAAATATTTTTGAGATCGGAGTTATTTACAGTTGGAAGGACACAACATTTGTCTCCCGTTTTCCAATTGACAGGAGTAGCAACTGGATGTTCCTCAGTCATCTGCAAGGATTTAAGGACGCGCAAAATTTCTTTCGCATTTCTTCCAGTAGTAGCAGGGTACAATATTGTGGCTTTCACAATTTTTTGAGGTGAAATAAAAAAAACACATCTACAAGTTAATGGTAAACCTTTTATATCTTTTTCTTTTTCATCCATAATTTTTAACGTATTAGCAATATCTCTAGATTCATCACAAACTATTGGTATTTTCCATTCTTTTATCTTTCCATAATATTTAATATCTTCAATCCATTGTTCGTGAGACTCTTTAGAATTGCAACTAAAACCAACTAACTTGCAATTTGAATTGAAAAATTCTTCATACATGTTTCCAAATTCTGCCAACTCTGTTGTACATACAGGAGTAAAATCATTTGGGTGGCTGAAAAAGATACACCACATATTTCCTACATATTTGTACAAGTCAAAAGTTCCTTCTACATTTGATGCAACGGAGGTGAAGTTAGGAAACGTTGATCCCAAGTGGTAGCTCATGGTGGGCTGCTCAGTTTGGCCTGTTATATTCTGCTCGTGTGTAAACGTGTTTTTATTTTATTATTTTTTTTAAATTAATTTTACTATTAATTATTTATTTTTTTTTGTAAGTGAGAACGAGTGTACGTAGGTAACTTTTCTACAATTCAGACTTTGCAAAAAAAAAAGAAAAAAAAAAAAAAGGGATTTTAATTCTAGCTCTACTTGATACGCGTTCCTTTTACAGAGTAAAAACGACGTGCAAAAAAAAAAAAAAAAAAGAAATAGCAAAATTAAATTTAAAAATGTTCTGCTTGTTATGTAGATTTTCTTTTACGCACAAATGAGATGAGTTGAGTAAGCTGGGTGAGATGAATTGATTTGCACAGCACGGAAGTGAGTAATTCAAAGCGTGCATTTTTGTTTATGGTTCCTGAAAAATAGAGAAATAAAAATTCTCCTTTTTCATATGGGGGGTGGTGGTGGTGGCCCGACAAAAAGTGAGTCATTGGCGAAAATATGCATTACGCGACACGTATTTAGTCTCTTTATACATGCATATATATATACATATATATACATACGTGTATGTACAATTATGTACATGTAACATTTGCTTTCTTTCTTTGGAACGTAGTATTCTTAGCATAAAGGAGAGATTGAGTTTAGATGCACACCTGTTGTTTTGTGTAGATCAAACTAGAGCTACTAAAAATTACTAAAAATGAATTATCCCAAAGAACGGAAATATATATATATATATATATATATATATATATATATATATATATATATAGAGGCTTTGTTTTCACAAGAACATCTATATAATACATACCAAGGAAGTCATCCATGAAACACAGCAGGAGCGCATAGTGGAGGGAGAGGGGGTACGAATCTCATCCTGGAAGTGATCTCTTATGAACATTGTAAAACAGTTGGAGGTTCCTACCGCTTTGTGTCGTGGTAAGATTTTTCTCCCATGAGAATTATTTATGTGGCCTATAATTCTGTGTTCACAGTTTTCTCTGCTTGCAACGCCGATACATTTGTGTGACAGCAAATGAGAAGTGGAACAACTCTACATAACCTTTTTTTTTTTTTTTTATTCACAACTCATGCGGCAATGTATAAACTTTTTTTTTTTTTTTTTTTTTTTTGAATCCTTCTATTTTTGCGCAACACCAAATGTGTGGGAAAATGGCCACAAAGAAATAAGAAATACCTTTTCTGCCCATTGCTGGATGAGAAAAAATAAAATAAAAGAGTAAAAGTTATAAGTTTGCAAATATAGTTGGGAGAATAACGTTAAGTAAACTTTCCCCACTACACCGGTTTGACCTTTTAAAGATGACTTCAAATTTTTGCACATTCATTATTCTGAAGCTAGCTGTGGAAAAAAAAAAAAAAAAAAAAAAAAAAAAATTACAACTTCATTGTATCACCTTGCTGTTAAGGCGTTTTGTATTTGTTTATTAGAAAACCGATTTATGTACACCTAGCAATGTTGACTCAAATATGTTGTAGTGTGGGTTGATTCGTTTTATGATGGTATATACCATGTATAAGTGACAGTTGCATATGGATCTTGGCATTTCATCGAAGCGCTATTTTTCGCAGTTACGTGAGCAATTTTATCGCACGTATATTTTAAAAGAAATGCACGTCCCCTCTCCCCACACACCACGACATCATTTTTAAAAAGAAAACAAAGTGTTACATTTTCCCTTTTTTCTTACCAATTAAGAACAAGTGTGTTGTGCGTACATAAATAAATAAATATATCCATATATACATGTGTGCTTGTATGCTTGTGTGTAGACTGTATTCTCAACGAGGCGCTACATTTTTACCTTCTTCTGACAGAGGTAGTTGCGATATTATTATGTATTATGCACATTCACCTGAACATGTTTTCATGCTTTGTAGATTGTGTAAATATTTATATTCCCCCCACCCCACCCCTCGCTGTCCTTCATAGCTCCTTTATATGTATACCTACACATTTCTATGTGTGCACACCGTATGATATTATGTACTTATATTTAAAAACTGCGTAATGTATATAATATTTACGCACCCCTATCAAAAGAAGCGAAAAGGAGGGTTAAGGATTATCATAATAGGTGTGCTCCTTTTGTGAATGTATTTTTCGAGGAGAAAAAATCTAGGGAGTAGACCGACGTCAGACATGACATTGTGTTTGTAGCACTGATTTTGCATGTGATGAATGTTTTATGAACTTTACCGTTTTTAATGTATATCGGATTATCAACTGTTTATGTAATGTTTTTTTTGTATCGCAGCTGATTCAATATATTTCCCTTCCCCCTTGCTTGCATATCACATATCAGATTCGATGAGTACCAACAGACATATATATTACATAGATGGGTTGCTATACAGGAGTCATGTGAAAAGTGTTGCATATTTTTTAGGGAATAATGGAGATGAGATATATCACACACTATATACTTCTGTATATTTTGGTGTACTTGAGCACCACATTTCAAAATAAGTGGGGTGAACAAATGTACCTTGCCCGTAGCCCTAATATAAACCCTTACTTCTTTCCTCCCTTTTTTTTTTGATATATTCCATTTTTAATTAAGCATTTTAAAAATTTTCATTTTTTTTAGTGACCATTAATATGCCTCTCTAGCGCTTTAATTATTTTATTTTTTTTTTTATTTTTTTTTTAAATTCTCTGCACGTGCCTATCTATGCATGTATACATAACAATGATAACATTCTTTCGTATTAAGAAAAACAGGATGCTTACGCGTGCATTTCGTTATAATTTGTGTCGTTTAAGTTTATGCCTCTTTAGATTCTCTCCATTCTGTTACACAAAGAAGTTTAAGAAAAAATAAGAAAAAAGGGATATATCACAAAAGGGTTAAGATAGTGGTATTATTTATACAAACGAATAAAATCGTAACATTAAATGTAATTTTTTTTTTTTTTTTTTATGAGGCCATTTAACAATACCAGTATCACGAATGGTTACATATTTCATATGGCCACGTAGACAGAATGTTCATAGAGGGGGATATCTGTAGTTAGGTAAATGTTTCTTGTATCCGGGTGAATATTTTTTATAGCATATTGTGACCTTGTGTGTTTTTTTACATGAAAGATTTATGACATATATGCTGGAAGGAATGAAGAGAGAAAACCAGTAATTAATACATTTTATGTGGTGCAGAGATTGTGTGGTGAATCGGTTTATGTAGTTGTTTTAATCTGCTGAAATGTCATTTTTTTTTTTTTTTTCTCACAAGTTTACCTGAACAATAAAAGGTATTTTTTAGGAAGTAAGCCAGCAGTTGATCCTTTCGTGTGTTCTCTCCTTCCGTTCACAGGAACGTATGTCGTTAGACCCCGTCGTGCGTGTGTATGCATTTAATATCCCTGTATGGACAGATAATTTTTTTTTTTTGATATATTTAATAAACACGGGAAAATTCGTATGAACAAGTCAGAATTTAAAAAAAAAAAAAAAAAATGTTCATACCATTTGGGGGAAATGTTTCCATTTTTTTTTTTTTTTTTTTTTTTTAATTCATCCAAAATATTCATTTCGTTCATAATTGTCCATCCCGAATTGACTACTTCACCTTTTTTATTTTATATTATTCTATTTAGTTTTGTTTTGTTTTATTTTGTTTTATTTTGTTTTATTTTGTTTTATTTTGTTTTATTTTGTTTTATTTTGTTTTTTCTTTTTCCTCATTTTTTTTGGCTTTTCCATTTGTAATTTCACACCTCTTTTTTTTTTTTTTTTTTTTTTTATTCATTCTCCTTTCCCTCATTTTTTAGTCCCCCATTTGCCATTTTAAACTTTTATTTTATATATATATATATTTTTTTTTTTCTCTTTCCTCACTTTTCTCTTCCACCTTTTCCGCCTAGCCATTTTTTCCATGCGTACATTTCACATGCCGTGGAATTTTCCACGCTTCCGATGAATTTTTGATTTATTTTAAGTGTATACGCAACGCGAATAAAATGGAAAGAAGTAAAGAAATGACACCATTTTTATGTACATAAATATGCGTTTGTATATGTATGTATAAATATATATATATATATATATATATATATGTAAGTTTACATTGTGTATATATTTTCACAAATGTACGTAAGTGCATACCTGCACGTTTACACATACATACACATATGTAAATGTGCGTCACATTTTTTCCCCATTTTTTACTGCTTTATGTAAACTTTTTGGGGCTCATTTTTTTTTTTTTTTTTTGAGATTGCCAGTCTGTGTATTTGTATTTATCCATTTGCCTATGATGCTAGGAAACCAAAACGCTTTGTCAAAATAGTGTTTTGAAATTCAGAGGGATGCAAGTATGAACATGTGCACGTAAGTAATCTCTGTACTTTTTATGTCCTTTTTCCCAAGTATATATAACAAAACAAGAGTTCACACTAGTGTATAATGCGTCTGTTTTCTCATTTGTGTATATGTTCACACGTATCTGCCAAAATATATATGAGCACAGATGCGTGCCCGACATGCTATCTCCCCCGCCCAGCCGAAGAAACTGCGTAAAGAAAAGGTGACGAGTGAAAGCGGGGAAAGATAACGAGGAGAGAAAACGTGAAGCGAAAACCAGAGACTGTAAATAGAGACCACAAATAGAGACAACAAATTGAGACCACAAATAGAGACCTCAAATAGAGACAACAAATAGAGACCATAAATTGGGACCACAAAACGATGATCGAAAATGGACAACTTTGAAATGAACCTCTTGATTGAAAATTACATAGATGAAGAAAAGGTATTTGATAACTTTCCTTTTAAGTATTTCCATTTTCTATTATATGCGTACAAAAATTATTACAGGAATACTTGTGCGGGTAAAAAAGCGTTAGCAGATAATGGTGCATGTGCATGCACCGATTCTATGAAGGGAATAGAAGATGGCAGCCACAATGCAGAGTTGAATATAAATATGTTAAAAAGTCACTATAATTATAAAAAGAAAAAAAAACAGAAAAAAATATCGTTTGACATTTCAAACCGTACACGAAGCATTATAAATGCAGGAACAGGAAGAAAGAATTCTCACCTTGTTAAAGCCATTACAGATGTGAACCCCTTGTCGGATACAAACTCTGTGTTGATGGGTAACATAAGAAGGGATGATAGCATAAGAAGGGGTGATAACATAAGAACTGATGATAACATAAGAACTGATGATAACATAAGAACTGATGATAACATAAGAACTGATGATAACATAAGAACACATGTTGTAGGTACTCCTACGGATAGTAACTTCTTAACTAGTTATAGAAATGATAATCCATTGGAAAAGTATCATGGGTTATGGAAAAATAATGTGGAAAAAGGATATAAAAGGGTCAATTTTAGTAACAAAGCAGACAGTTTCATTATGCATGAACTGCCAGAATTACTTGAAGAGGAACAGAATGGTGAAAATTATTCTGAAAAAGATATAATAAAAATTATATATTATTTTATGCAAAAGTTCGTGTTTAATAAGGAGACTAAGAGAAGACACAAAATGAAGGAAAAAAGTAATTTGATATGTAAACTAGAAGAGGAAGAAAATGGAATATCAAATAGTGGAGTCATATCAAATCGTGAAGTTATATCAAAGGGTGAAATCATATCAAAAGGTGCTTTAAAAGTATCATCTATTACTGGACAGAACAAAAGTACTTCAAAGGATTTAACATTTAAAGGAACAAATAAGAATGGTGAAAATTTGGTGAAAGAATTAGAGAAAGGAGTAGATACTAATAAAGTAAGCAATGATATCAATGCAGAAATAATGTGCAAGGAAAAACCAGGAGAACATTCCGTTGTAATTGATAATTTACAAACAAGTGAGACAAATTATGAACACAAAGTGAAGAACTTTGTAACTGGAAGTGAATATGGTGAAGCAGATGTAGTAGTCAAAGATTCTGAAGTGGATGGAGGAGGAGAAGGAGAACTAGCGAATTTTAATCCGAATTGTGAACCTGTCGAAGAAAATGGAAAGATTGTTGATTTTCAGAACGAGGCAAAGGAAGGGATAAAAGAGATGAATGCTACTAGTTTGCACGAAAGGAGTGTTGTTGGAATGGAAAGTTCCATGTCAATTTTCCATGATGAGCGAGTTAATGTTTTTTCGAACGAGCAACTGGAATACGGCATTGATCATGCATTAGTAGGAGATTCTATAGTAGCAGATTCGCTAGTGGGTAAGGCGGCGTCGGAAAAATCAGGAGAAGCTGTGTCATTAGAAGGTAAGAGAAAAAAGAGGAAGGAGAAAGAGAAAGGAACGGAAGAGGAAGGAACGAAAGAGGAAGGCACAAATAAGGGATCATTATTTTCAAGTATCGCGGGATTAATCAATATAAGCGGAAGAGTGGAAGAATGTAACAAAAATGACGAAGTCTACTTGAGCAATGATAATTCAGAATTTAGTTTGAGCGAAGAAAAAAAAAAAATTGAAATAATTATAGATAATTATATGAATAAAAAACAAATTTGTTTTACTATGAATGATATATTTTATCCATTTACGAACAGAAATTTGAATATGTCGAGAAAGAAATATCAAAACAAAAAGTTGGCAAAGAATGGATTATTTGAATGCAATAACAACAAGTGTATTGGAGTAAATGGGCATAAGGACCCAGTTGAGAGGGGTGATAACGCACCTTCGAAGAGATACTTGAAAAGTAAATTGATTTATGGAAGATTGAAAAAAGGGTTAAATCTTCTTCTCAAACATGAAAAGAAGAAAAGAAAGTATAGGAGAAATGTTACAGCTGGGAAGACGAATGCTGGAGCTTCGAAAGTTTTAGTTGATGAGAGGATGCAAAGTAATGGAAATATCTGTGCAATCGTGAGCACAAATGATGGGGCTAGTACGAATAATAATGCCAATACGAATAATAGTGCTAACAGAAATAATAATGCCAATACGAATAATAGTGCTAACAGAAATAATAATGCCAATACGAATAATAGTGCTAACAGAAATAATAATGCCAATACGAATAATAGTGCTAACAGAAATAATAATGCCAATACGAATAATAATGCTTATACGAATAATAATGAACATAACACCTCTAACCCAATTGCTAGTAGTTGTAATAATGCCCTCCCTGTGGGAAGGAGCAATAGTGGGAGAAGGAAAAGTAACAAAAAATGTGCAAATAATGTTCATGTAAATGATGAAGGTTCTTCTTCTATAGTAATTCATCAGAATAAAGAAATCAACATAAACTCGAATTTTATAAGTGTAAAGGAAAAAAAGTCTGGGCACCTGAGGAGTAATTTGAAAGAAAAAAAAAGAGGATTTAAGTTTAATAATGCACCACTAATGTTGGATGCAAAAGAGGAACAACCTGGTGGATATACAAAGATGAAGTATGAGACACAGAAAAGTGGTTCCTATGACTCGATGGCTGATATGCATTGTGGGTTCCATCCTAATGTTCAAGGAATAGATGGAACTACCGGAGGATCAAACGGAAAAATCTGCAGAAATAATAGTTGTCGTAGTAATCGTAGTAGTAGTAGTAGTAATAGTAAGTTCCATAATCGAATATATAGCCCAAGTAAATATACACCACAAGGAAGAAATAAACAAAGGGATGAAAATAACATGTACAGTGATATTTTGAATACTAGTGGTCGTCAATTGCAAGGAATGAAAGAGAGGAGTGAATTTCAATTTGGAGTATGTGGAAATGATGGATATAATAATGTGGAAATGATGGATGACAATGCCACCACATCTAATTTTTATCGAAACAATGTTGCAGCTTCTCATATAATGAGGAATCCAATGAACAATGATCAGTTTATAATAAATGATTACCCAGTTAATTATACTAATAAAGGATTTAAGAATAAAGAAAAAATGGATTCGAGAGAGGAGAATGCATACCAGATGAGTAAATTCTCTAACGAATTATCGTTTCATAATTCTAGAGTAGTAGGTGCAGCAGGAGAGGACGAAAAAGAAAAAGAAAAAAAAAAAAAAACACCTGACTTATACAATAGTTACATTCCTGATAAGAATACTGAAAACATGAACGAAATGTTAGAACAAAATTGTGTAAGAAATAATATTCATGGAATGGGCATACAAGATGATGCACAAAGTAAACTAGGTAGGGAAGAAATTCCTTTCAAGAAGCCACGTGCTAAAAGTAACTTGAAAAATAAAATAGAATTTGTAAAAGATAGTTATATGTTTCAGAACCGCAGTGTGAAAATAGGCAATAATGAACCATTGAATATGGAAATGATGAATTATTTTTCAAATCCCGTGATGCATATGGGAAGAGAGAAAATTGATGGTGAACATTTTAGAAGCAATGTAATTCCGCATGAACAATTTGAAATGGGTTATCATCATCATCATCATCATCCTCATCTCTTGACAAATGCAAAAAATAGAAGCATAGGTAAAAAGAACGAAAAAAAAATAAAGAAAATGAATAATATGAGAGGACACAATACTGCTGGTAGGAAAAAAAATGCTGTGAGTGAAATTCGAAAAAATGCAGGAAATGGAACGAAGGAGAAAGAGTATGTTATGAAAAACAAATCCTTTGTTGGTGAAGAGAGAGAAGGAGACTACAATGGAGATGAGGGCCATAACGATGATGATAGAGCTTCCGAGTCTGTCGTTTCTTCTCCAATAGGACTGGGTAGAGGTAGAGATAGAGGTGGAGATGGAGGATATTGTAATGAGGAAAGCAAAGGCATAGGTAACAATAGAAGAGGTGGAGAAGATGATGATGATGACTATAGTAATGATGGAAATGCACCATATGGACAGCAGAGGGGGAGGGGATATGGAGGCAACATTGGTGGAGGAGGAGTAGGACTGTGGGGATATTCCGGGAGTAATTCCAACGCTAGTAGGAGCAATACTGGAGGAAAAATGAATGGTGCACCATCGAGAGAGGGAAGAAGTGCACTAATGGAGAAAATTGAGAAAGAACAGGAAATGGATGAAGAGCTACGGGAGTCCAATAGATTCATCATGGCTGGGATGAATGAAAGCAAAATTGGATGTAATATGAGCAACCAATTTATCTCAGAAAGGATAAGGGGTAGAGAAATAAAATTGGAGTGTGCAAATATAAACGAGGCCACCCTTGAGTTAGGAAGTAGGAAGTGTAAAATGTGGAAAGATAAATCTGAAACACATATCGGGACAAGTGCAGTAAGGATGAATATAGGAACAAATGTAGGGTGCACTATCATTGGCAATGTTTCATGTGTCGGAACTATGAAAGGAGAACGATCAAGAGATTACATAGATCTCATGAAGGAACAACTGGGTGATATACCTATTACGAAGTCCAGTAAAGATACTCACAGTGTTGGAAAAAGAACAATCATTAGCAAAAAAAAAACAATGAACAATAATGGAAATTTTAAAGAAGAAGGAGGACATTGTGGATTCAGTAATGAAGGAATGGAGCAGAAAATTGGAAAAAGCAATAATAACATGAACTCAGAAATGAGTACTTATTCAATAACGCACGAGAGTGGTAGAAAGGATCCCACGATATGTGATCTCTTGAATTCGGTTCATAATGAAAAAGTAAACTGCAGTAAAGCCATTCGAGATGGACGGATTATTTCTGTTGGAACAGGTACAAGGGTGTCTTATTTGAATTTGAAGAGCGGGAAAGGTGATTCGGAAGAAGTAGAAAAAGTGGGCGAAGTAGAAAAAGTGGGTGAAGTGGAAAAAGTGGGCAAAGTGGAAAAAGTGGGCGAAGTGGAAAAAGTGGGCGTAGTGAACGAAGGGCGAATTTCAAAGGAGAGGATAGAGACCACGTTAAAGGGGAAGAATCGTAGATACAGTAGTGGCAGCATCGGTACCAACCTAGGAGTGAAGAAGACAAACATTGACAAAGAGGTGAAAGTGAAACTAGTAAATGAAGATGCATCAACTAGGGGTTGCAAAGGCGAGATCGTGCAGATGAGACATTTCACAGATGTATATGAAAATAGAAACACATTAAAATGTAGCGATTCGACGGAGCAGGTATACATGGAAGGTTTTAAGCATGATGGGATGGCTACCTTGGGTAGCGGTCAATCAGGAAACCGAATTGAACATCCACTCAGAATAAAGAACAAGCAAGAGAAAAACCAATACAATGATGAGATGAGACCCGACGAATACTGCGATACAGCAAATAGTTGTTACAGAATTGCACATGATGAAATTTTTAACATTAACAAAATTGAAAAAACGAATGACTGTGCAGATGATATAGAAGATTTGCGCTTCCACACAATGGTATCTTTTCATAATCAGAAATCCTGTTCAAATGAACCCCTGGATAGTGTGAAGATGAAGGAAAATCCTTTTCCATACGTTAATACAAGTATAGTGAACAATTCAGATAATTCCATAAAACATGTATCTGAAAGTGTAAAAAGATGTAAGAAGGATACGTCCTCTATTTGTGGAAATATGGATATGTTGGATGGAGATTCTTCTGTTGAGATTGGCAAGAAGAGAAGAGGTGGTGTTCAAAATCAGTGTATCCACATGATAGAGCCGTGTACAGAATCTCAATATTGTGGAATGAAGAGAAAAGCTTCGATGAACAAGAACAGCAGCAGAAGCAGCAGCAGAAGCAGCAGCAGAAGCAGCAGCAGTAACAGCAGTAACAGCAGTAACAACAACAACAAGAATAACAAGACATCGTTCAAATATAATAAAAAAAAAGCTAAGGGGGATGTGATGAACAACCCTTTGGACGATGGAAAGACATGCAGAAGTATTAGTATTACCTCAACACATAACCCTTCCCTTCCTTTGAATGATGAACAAATGACTGTAAGAAACATATCCAATATGACATTAGATAATGCAGAATCCATTCCACAACCCTGTGGAGTCCAAGAATTCGGAGAGAATGAAAAAAAAAAATATTTCGTGGAAGAAAAGAATGATATTAATAAATCTCTGGTGCACATGGGCCTCATAGTAGATAAGAAGATGGATAATAGGAGTGTGAATAATATGAAGAAAGAATCAACTTATTCAAGAAGCAACAATATGAATTGGAATTCCTCTAAGGGTGGTGAGCGTCCAGAAGTGGAATATTTGAAGAAAGCTGCAGCGAAGGATGTGCATGCGGAAAAGGAGTTTGAAATGGTTAATGTTGCATCTAGCACATTGGGAAATGCTGCATCTGCCACTTTGGGAAATACTGCATCTGCCACTTTGGGAAATACTGCATCTGCCACTTTGGGAAATACTGCATCTAGCACATTGGGAAAATACGTTCTAAACAGGGACATGCTAAACGTATACAATCACATTGGAAGAATGATATCCGATAGGAAAATGCAAAGAATGCGTTCGTTGAATTATGCAGTGAATAAAGAAAATGGAAAAAGATTAAACGTAGAAGGAACTTTTAAAAATGGTTCAAGCAATCGTACCAACAACATCTGTGACAGTAGCGACAGTAGTGGAAGCAGTACTTACCATGTGTTAACGAAAAAGAATAAAAGAGAAATCTTTTCAAAAAAATCCATCGATGATGAGTATGAAAAAATTCACATGTTGGGAGTTAATGGAATGGAAATTATTACAGGAGAAGGAGAAGAAGAAGAGGAGAAGAAGAAACAACACATTGTGGGAAATGATGTCTGTAGTGACAGTTACGCCATTCATAATATTTGCACTGATGATAGCAAAATTCGAAGCGGGAGAAACAACCATATCCAATCGGATGTGCATGACGGGGGAAATAATCATCACCATGGGTTCAAAGGATCTAGCGATAATCTCCATGATGTTGTAAGAACCCACGGACGAGAAGGAGTAGAAGATGTAGAACAGGCATTAACGGTACAAGAAAAGTTCAGTTTTTCGAAAAACTTGGAAAGGAAAGTTGACGAAGGGTTAAAATATGCGAACGAGAGAGCATTTCATGTAGGACCTCAAACGCAAGGGGAGAGCAGCATTAACAATGATAGAGAACGTAACATGAGGATTGCAAGTAGAAGCAATGGAGAAGATAATGGCAAAGGTAGTGGAGAAGTTTGTGGCAAAGTTCATGGCGAAGTTCGTGCCAAAGTTCATGACGAAGGTTGTGTCAAACGAAGTTGCAAAGATAAGAACAGGGATGATAATTGGAGCAGCTTAATAAGCAGCGGTGATGGAGATAATTGCCACTTCCATAGTTTGAGGGATACGCCCAACCTGAGGATCACTAAAGATATTGAAGGAAGAAGAACTCCTCCTTTGGAGGATTTAGAGAAAGGAATTTCGAAAGACATAATGCAGAATGTATTATCAGCACCTGATAAGGGCTTTGTTGCACCTCCTGTGTATGTGGACGATTTAAAAATGAATAATATGATAAAAATGGTTGATACTGAAAGCACAAATCCAATAATTTTGGGGAATGAAGAAATTATAGGGAAATTAAAGGTTCCAAAAAAGAAAGGAAGGAAACCCAAAAATGCTCTTCTCCTACAGGATGAAAATAAAGGCAATTTCGAAGAAAAAATCACATCTGGACAAACATGTGATGATGTATTCAATTTGAACTATGATGGGGATATGTATCAAAGTCCTGATTCGAATCGGAAGCCCAAAATGACGAAAAAGTCGCAGGGTATGAAATTTGGGGTCGAGAAGGTCGAAACCGGTGCATACAATGAAAACGGGGAAAAGGTTTCTGGAGTTTGGTAAGGCTACTCTTGCATTATGTGCTATGTGCTTACCCGCAGGGAGAGAGGGGGGGTGGGGTAAAGTGACTATGGTATTAACCGGTTCACTGCTTGTCTCTCCTCCCTCCCTTTTTATATGCACACTGCTTACGAACACCGCTTACGAACACCGCTTATGAACACCGCTTATGAACACCGCTTATGAACACCGCTTATGAACACCGCTTATGAACACCGCTTATGCACCTCTTATTACACTCCTCTTATGCACCGTTTCCCACGCAGGTATGACACCAACAGGAGACTCTGGAGAGTCATGTACATCGAAAACGACAAGCGAAAGACAAGGGGGTTTTCTCCCCGCATTTACGGGTTCAACGTTGCACGGGAATTAGCGGTTCAGCTCAAATATGAGATGAATAAAAAAAATAAAAAGTGACACACACACGGAGTCAGAATGAGGAACGAAAGAGATGTGCACTCTCTTATTGTTTCAGAGAAGTATGCATGCCAAGTATGCTCCGTTTTAATATGTATTCGATACGTGTTCGATACGTATTCGATACGTATGCGACATGCATGCGACATATGTGTCCTTTTTGATTGTTTCCAAATTATTTAATGAACGAGTGAATGGAGAGTAGTACGGGGGGAGCCATTCCCACTGTACCTGACATCTTGCCCGTACTTTGTATCTACACTTTTTTTATAGCACTTTTTTATAGCACATTTTTTGTCCCTTTTTTTTGTGTCCCTTTTTTTGTCCCTTTTTTTTGTGTCCCATTTTTTGTCCCTTTTTTTGAGCCCATTTTTTGTCCCTTTTTTTGTGCCCATTTTTTGTCCCTTTTTTTGTGCCCATTTTTTGTCCCTTTTTTTGTGCCCATTTTTTGTCCCTTTTTTTGTGCCCATTTTTGTGTTTTTTTTTTTTTTTTTTTTTTTTCATTCTATATTTCTATACCAACGCAAATCAGAAACAGATGTCTCTCATTAAGATGACCTGATGAAACTCGTCCCTGTATACACATACACATACACACACACACACGCAGTCTATGGGGATGATACATGAATTCGTAACAATGGAAAGTGCATATTAACACAGATTTGCGTAGGTGAAAACGGGAAAAATGGATATACAAGCG